GTCGTCTTGTTTGCGGAGACAGAGGAGGCTCACGAGAAGGCGTGGGGAAGCCTCTGTAGGGAATTTGACGATCAGCGGGCCATCCTGCGGTATCTCCATGGAACCTCCATGCCTGTCAGGGCGCAGTGGGCACGATGTTTCATTCGCAACTATCGCAACTTCGGCATCCGCGTCACATCTGGGACAGAAGCAAGCAACAACAACATCAAGAGCTATCTCCTGAATGGTATGAGCAATCTCTATCGGCTTATCGAGGCTATGCAGGACATGATGAAGGACCAGGAGCGAGATTTCAACGACGCCTGCGCAGCGGACGAGGTACTTACCGCGCGAGAGTACATAGGGTCCAGCTCGGAGTATCTAGGCGAACCCCGGACAGCACTCTCTTCGAAGGGTCTCGGGCTTATCAACAAACAATATCGGCTAGCAAGGAAAGCAATGCCGACGGGGAAGAATCCGTTCCCTGACCCCATTGGCGATTGCAGTGAGGACTGCTCGGTTTCGACCGAGCTTGGAATCCCCTGCTGCCACACAATCTACTCAAAGCTGGTGAGTGGCACGCCTCTCACCAAATGGGAGGTCCATCCTCGGTGGCGCCTACGAGAGCCATCCTCTCGAGATCCATACCGACGAATCCTCGACCCTAAGATCGCCACTGCTCTCCGTGGCAGACCTAAGAACACCACACAGGCTGTTCCAGCGCGGCTAGCCATTGAGGCAAGCAGCCAGCCGAGTGGCCAACGAGCCAGCAATCCAGCAAGCCAAGCGACAGGGCGCAGACGAGGTCGACCACCAGGAAGTCACAACAAGTCAACGCTAGCTAGGCTTGCTCTGGAAGCGAGCCAACAGGCCAGCAGCCAGGCTAGTAGCCAGGCCAGTGCCTCATCCCAGCGCCAGACGCGCAGCCGGTCAGCTGTTCTTGGAGCTGGAAGAACTACAGGAGTACGTGCCAACGGACGGAAGACGCAATCTAGCATTCGCAGGCGAAGGAGTCAGTGGGAGCTGCTTGACAGCGACGAGGAGGTTCTTCCATCTATAGTAGTTAGAGGATAGAGATATAGATAGCTGCCCTCTAGGGCGTGCTGGAATTGGCCGTGTTCTGTATTGAAAACCAGACCTTGTTTTGATATACGCCTAAGACCTGTTCTAGAGGCCTGGTTGACCTGGTTGGTTCTGACTATACCGAAAGCACGGCCTTGTTAAGAGAGCTTGCTTCACCGCCTTTGCACTGATGTACCTGTGGGTCGAAGGAAAAAAATGAGCGAATCAGAGGCGATAGAAGTCATGCCCGTGTAAGAGTCATGCCCGGGTAGCAATTCTTCATGCCCGTGTAGTAATTGCCATAGATATACGAGACAGCCCCATACCAGGAAGCAGTTCAAGAGTAAAATTTGCCCGAATCCCCTACATCCCTACTATGCCTAAGTAAATACTTGTCGTTGACTTTTTTTCTACGGTTCTAGAAACTTCCTCATCATGCCCCTGCATAGCTCCTGTCTCGGGCACACAAGACCGCCTGGGACACTTGACGTTCCCAATCGGCGCCAGTGCACTGCGGCGTTCGCCGACGTTATTTCTCGAGCTAGCTGTTCCCAAAAAGAAAAAAGAGGCCTAAAAAAAAATCGAATGCTATTGATCAATAATTGAATCCCACTCAGCGCTCTTGACTCAATGGTATTTAGAAAAGTCACAGTATCATCTCGGCTTTCTACGAGGTGAGGTTTTTGAGTTTACCATTGCCCACGTGTTTAATGCGAGAATATCCAACTTCAGAAGTACAAATAATCGCGCAATGATGACTCTGCCAGCCATTGGTTGTGATTATTTACTATCGCTTACACATCTACGGATCCACTGCAATTTATAACGAGATGAGATCGCTTTTGTTATTATTATTGATAGTACGCGTTACCTATCCAGGTGCGGGAGCCTATAAATCTCTTATAATAAGCCGTGCCGGGGCTGGATGAAAAATATACGCTACGTATTCGGTACGCCTGAGCGGCGTCTGCGCTGCGTGGTTCCGTCGCGTATCACGAATGGCACTCACCAGCCAGACGTTCTTTGGGCGAGGTTGGTCGCCCTCCTCCACGCCACCGAGCCTGTGTGGCTCCTGGACATATGCGATTCCTAGGGGCGTATGCGCTGCGCCGAAGCTGCACGGGCGCATCGCTAGCGGCGCTCTCTTTCCGGACGTCGTCGTGTAAGTCGGCCTCAGTATCCGGGGCAATCAGTGCAGGTGCTGCCGCGCCCTACATATCGACGGTGGCATTGCCGTCGTCGTCGTGATTCCTTTTCCCCTCCTTCAAGCCATCGTCAACCTGTAAGTGTTCCTCGTCGAGGGTCTTGCGCTGACCTTCTTCATAGTCGCAGCAACAGCAGCAGCAACAACAACGGGTACGTCGTCGCCTCCGGTCTCACCTTCACTTCACCCGCTAACTCCGCTATGTTTCAGACCCCAACTCTCTCAAGCGCGCCACTCCGGGGACGCGGGGGACGAGGCGAGCGCGCGGCTCGCAACCGTCGCCGCCGGTGCCTCTGCGGCCTGGGCGAGGCAGGAGAGCGGCTGCACCAGCAGCAGCAGCAACCTCCCCGGTCCCCTCCCCGGACGCCCCCGCGGCCGCCACAAGTGGACGGCCCGTCCCCGCCTTCGGCGTCAGTGAGTATCTCCCACGCCCCGCAGTCGCAGCGCTATCGTTCGCGTGGCTGATATATTCCCAGACGAAGAAGAAGAAGGATTTGCCGGCCGGCGCCGTCCGCGACTGGCCCTGTGCGTCCTGTGTGACGCGCACAGCCGGTGCGTATGCGCACTGCTGTTGCGACGTCCTCGGGAGCAAGGGCCGGCGGTGCTGGTCGTGCTACAAGGGCAACAAAACTTGCGTCCCCGTAATTACTATGACCGGCAGGCGAGCGATGTAGACCAGCTGAACCGGCAGGCAGCAGAGCGGTTCGTGCAGACGCCAGACTGCCGGAGGCTCGTGCTTGGGGCGTTCATGGACGGCATCGCGCAGGACTGCGATAGTCTTCAAGCCGTGCGCTGTGACCGGTGCCGGCAACTTACAGAGGTACAGGCCGACGTACTAGATGAGGTTGTCGGTATGGGCGAATGTAGCGAGGGTGGTACTACAGGCGACTGGCACTCCGCAGTAGTCGAGGTAGTAGACGACCGTCTTAGAGGAGATAATAAGGAGAGGCAGAGGAGGATCCGGAAGTTGCTGGAGTGGGTAGAGTTGATGGATAGCAAGTGCGCAGTGTGCTACGTCAAGTGGTGTCACCAGGGCCGGGCAGATGGTCGACAGAGGACTTACGAGCACGAGTTCCGGAGTTGCAAGGTACTAGGAGGATCGGAAGCGTATATGGCGTGGCGGCGGCAGATCCGGTTCAAAGAGTACACGTGCTGCTGGACGTGTGGTCTCCCGCAGGCTTGGTGTAAGTGGGGAGAGACGGCGAGGTGCCGGTGGGGAGATCGAGTCATGCCGGTGGTCTGGCTAGCTACAGCGAGCAGGAAGCTTGAGCAGCTGATCTGGCGAGAGCTACAAGTCGAGTGTATGGGGAAAGAGGAGTTCATAGCGTGGCTAGGGCGGGTAAGGACCGTCGAGGATACCGAGGGTACGAATCTGGTCGCAGCTTGGAAGGTGATCGTCGAGGCAGAGTGTCTAGAGTAGTAGCACAGTCAGGCTTCGGCTGGCGCCGTGCAGAGGCCCCGCTTGGGGTGGAATGTGACATTGGCCGCCCCATCCCGCTACGGATGTTGCGCCGGAGCCTTAATCAAAGTCAAACCACCAGGCAGTCCGTCTTAGGCGGCGTGTAGTGGCTCACGCCAACAATGTTGCGTCGCCCCATTCCCCGTCTGAGCCTGCCATCCTGCAGAAAAACGAGCTGAAGGATGCCGCTCGCAAGCCTTGAAACGCCTGCCAAGCCACGCTCAATCTGGTCCACGTCATCTCCGTGGCTGCATAGAACCTCGCCCTGACGCGCATGGCACTAGGGGCGCGCGCGTGGACACATGGCACAAGCTCAAAGCGATGTTCTGTGCCCTCGTCGAAGTGGACGAAGTGCCTTTACCAGGACATTGATGTGGCGTGTTCAGACAAAATTCCGAGGCCGCCAACCTAATATCCAACTAGTATGGGCCGCCAGTAGCCCGTCGGACTTCGACACTCGCAACTACTGATTGCGTGCCATCTGGATTGGCTGATTGGTCTCTGGTGTCGGAGTTGGGCCTGTGACTGCCGAGCGTGGGTGTGGTGTCTTCAGCTGGGCCAGGTCCCCAATCGTGCTGCCATGTTCCCCACTGATTTACATGTTCTAGACCACTCCATAAGCGGGACTGTTGCTTGCAGCCCATCAACATGAATCGGTCGGCTGATTGGGCGGGAAGTGTGGCCCCTGGTTTGGGTGCCGTTGTCGTTGTCCCCCTTCAAGGTTCAACGCCACCATGGAGTCCTGGGGCCAGAGGACACGCCGCCATGACACTTTACAACTTACCATGGCGGCGGGAGGTCCTTCAGGGTTATTCTTGGGCGGGTCCATGGCATCTTCCGCTGCCTTCCGGCGGATCTTCCCACTTACACAGATATCATGGTGCGCAGAAATCCAGCTTCGCCAGGTCCGGTTTCTTTGCCTAGCCTGCCTGGTCCGCCGCGCAAGAACGGAATCCCTCTGTGGCAGCTTTTGAATTTTTCCATGACCCACGCCATCTTGTTGCTTGCTGGTGTGCTTTGTGGTCATCTGTTCTGACAACACCAGTCGTGCTGCAACCTGGTGGGAGCACGTGTCGTCGATGTCTGTATTCTTATCTCCTCAGCTGCATCGCCCACGGGTATCCTGTCCCTCTGCATAATACCGAAGACTAATTCAATCACCCCCAGAAGTCAGCCGCTCCACGCCCATTCGATTTGTCCACGCGCAAGCGAAAGCGGATTACGCCAACAAAGCACCCATAATACGTTCTGTCGGTGCAGGTGGCTTGCAGGCTGTGGCCGCGATCGAGACAGGAGATGGTGACGCGGACCTCGGACAATGGCGCAGTTCCAGTGCCTCGAGACAACACACGCAAGCAAGTTGTCTCGATTCTCGTCATTCAAGGGCATCCTCGCGACACCCAGGAGACTCGTACTACACAGTTATGTGCCACCCGGCAGCTCTTCCATTCGACAGACCTCGTCAGCCACACCTTCGAGCTGGCTGGTACGCGGCTGAATTGGACCATCAGGGAGTCAACGAACACGACACATCCGAGCGAGGGTCCAAGTGTGGTCGGATCTGTCGACATCGCCACAATATCATCAAACGCTCAGCAAGAGGATGCGCTGCTGTCAATACTGCGAGCTATGAACGTGAATCCTGAATGGGATCAGCGCAACTGGTTCGACGATGTGTTAAGAAGATTGGGAGAGACGTGGCCGACGGAGTTCGCCGACGACATGATAGCCCCATTCCTCGACTACACTGTCAGACTACTCGTCGATGCGCCATTGGACTGGGTAGGCCGGCAACAAAAACAACTTTAGATGCTATGCTACGAAGAAATATCTGGGAGGAGACCTAGCATGAACCGCATTTAGCCATAACACTCGAGCTGCGACTTTCACACCGCTGCTGGCAACCAGCCCTTGCACGCAATGGCGACCGCAAAGCCCCTTCACCGGCTTTCCCCAGCACATCAGCCGCCAGGTCTTGCGGACGGTCATCTGCGTGCGTCCGTGAGTCCAATAGAAGCTACTTCGTCGGGTTTCTGAGAGATGGGCATGACAGAGGCAAAAGTGTGAAACATGGCATATGCTAGAGCACTGAGGCTCCATGCTGTCGCCGAACGCCCTGGACGACCAGTGACCTTCCAACAAAGGTCACCGAGGGACTGAAATTCCGATCAATAGGCAAAGGAGAGCACCGTCAACGACGAGAGCGCGGCTACGTGCTCGCTGCCATCGAACTGGCATTGAGGAGAAAGACAATAGTGGTGGATTTAATGCAGTTGCGGGAAGCTGTCTCATGGTGTGATGGCACTTGGACGCAGCGATGAGTTCTGCGGCGAGAAGACGTTTTTGCCTGAGGACCAGTGCTTGAACATTAGTGCCCAGCCAGTCCGGTGCAGCGCACTTTATAGCCAGGTCGGGAATTTGCTCTCGATTGGTGGGAAGTAATGGGAGGTCATCATGATGTCCGGATCGCAACAAGAAACGCTCGGCCATTCTGGAGGTTCAAGCGCTGAGGCGAGGAAGTCAGACAGGTCCAGGAGGCCCCTCATAGATAATATTATTAGATGATACCGTCCACCATTGTATCTGTACCGATCCACTGTTTCACAATTGCTGTTCGGCATTCTAGAGCTAGCTTGAGCGTGGTGCTATGCTCGAAGTCCCTGCACTCTGCCGGCTTACTGCGGCGGCCTTGGCTCTGGCATCAGCCTTTGCAAGTTGATGACCTCCAGGTTCCACTATAGATGTCTTGCACACCTGAAACAGGGCGCGCTCTTCGGCGTCGAACGCCTAGCCACGACTGTGACGCACACTGCCGATCTCCAGGGTGTCCATGCTATCCTCGTGCTGCTCAAACACTGGCGCATCGTTGGTAGAGGGTGACCCGCTCGCGTCGCCTTGGTTTCAGTGTCTTTGGACGAAGCACGAACATGGGGCTGGAACAATACAATATCTAACAATGTCGCACAGTGCAGGTGGTTTAGATCTTCACGGAGGTCCATTGGGCTGACTGAGACTCACGCAGAGATCGCCAAGGAGACGGAGTGTGCCCGTCAATATCTGTTCGTACCCGTTCCAAACTAGACACGGCGTTGCTGGCACAAGACGCGGCGAAGCGGTTGGCGCCATTATTGAGGCTGGCATGGCCAGGTAAGCTCAGGCATGTACGAAATGAATACAGAGACTTGGCCCAGTACACTCCAAGCTGGATACTCATTACAACGTGTATCCCTCGCATGCCGATGACAGCTGGGTTGTGAATGAGAGCACAGAACTGGTGGGTGATCCTCGCCCTCGACTGGCGTGCACAGCAAACTGCAAGCCATTGTTCCCCGCGTGTGTGCGCGGGGCTGTAGGTACAGTATGGCACCTGCTTTGCCAGCGGCTGGGAAAGCACAGGCCTTCCATTTGGGTTTGGTGGCTGGACTGTCCGTCATCAAGGACAAACCGAAAAGTGGGCGCGTGATAGGGCTGCCCACTGTCAGCGGCGGCACAACGTTAGCGGCGGCAGAGCGCCTATTGCTGGTCCAAGCTGCAGGCATCTGCCCTACGCGGCATCCTGGAGTCAGTGGGGACCCTCTCTGCATGTTGACTCTCATTGGGGATGGTCTAAGGCTGAGGACGGTTGCAGAGCCGGAGCGTTGTGGGGGGGTGTCGGCACAAACCTGCAGTTGCGGAGTGCGCGAAACTTGGCCTACCCAAGGGCGCCGCAGCCAGTGGAAGGGCACAGCGGCCGGCGCGGTGGCTGCTCCTCCACCCCACCCTTGGCGCCCTTCCTACCCCGGAAACTATGCGCTCACGCCACAAAAGTTCCCCAGGCGATCGCCAACCCAGCTGGCGCTGCGCTTGGGAGCGTGGCCAGGCTCAACGGCCGGGAGCTGGATGCGTTTCCGACTGCCTCGAAGGGGGAAAGCTGGCAGCCATAAAAACCTCAGCCGGTCCACCGCAGGGACCGCGGCCACATGTCAGAAGCAAACCTGGCACCGGTTGTGCGCTTGACATGTCAAGATGCGTCCGTCGTGTCCGTTTGACGACTAAGACTCGGCTAGAAAGCGCTGCTGCTGGTCGCTGTCAAACACCCTGCAGACACACCATCATGAGATCCGGCGCGTGCCGATAGCCCTACAAGCGTCGAAGCTGCTGCGAGCCCGTGGTAACCATGCCGGGAGAGACGGGGCCGATCGATGTGTCGCTGCCCATCGCGATGCTGATTGCGGGCTTCTTTGCCGTCGCGATCTTCAACACTGGAGAGATTACCATCAGCATTTTCAGCCTCTTCCGCCGCAAGCAGGGGCTCTACTTCTGGAGCCTGCTCGTCGCGACATTCGGCATCTTCATCCACACCATCGCCGTCTTCCTGCGGTTCTTCGCGCTTGCGCCAAACCTGCCAATGTGCGTTGTCACCGTCGTCGGGTGGTGGGCCATGGTGACTGGCCAGTCTGTCGTGCTCTACTCGCGTCTGGGGCTGGTCAGGCCTGACCGCTGGAAGACTCGGCTCGTGGCCGTCATGATCGTCTTCAACTTTGTCGTCCTCCACATTCCCGTGTCGATCCTGTTCCTCGCCAGTAACAGCGGCAATCCCGACCCCTTCTTTCGCGCCTTTGATGTGTATGAAAAAATACAACTCGCCGGCTTCTTCCTCCAGGAGAGCGTCATATCCGGGCTGTACGTATGGGAGGCCGCCACGGGCTTCAAGCCTATCCTGGTGGTCAAGGCCACCACGGGACGGCGCATCCTCCGCCATCTCGTCATCCTCTTCGTCCTCACCGTCCTGCTCGACGCCAGTCTCCTCGCCACCGAATACAGCGGAAATTTCCAGATCCAGACGACGTACAAGCCCGTCGTGTACAGCATCAAGCTCAAGATCGAGTTCGTCATCCTCAACGAGCTGATAGCCTTCACCCAGACGGGGAGGCGTCACGACCAATTCTTCCACACCGAAACGGACGAGGCGCCAAGGTCATCGTTGTCGGCCGGTGCCATTGCAATGGACGGCCCCAGTACGATATCGCGATTCAGCACGCAGCATGGGATGGGCGTAAGGCTGAAAAAATTGAACACCTTTCCGTCAGATACCGCCTTTGGCCGCAGAGATCTGGCAGGTTAAATTGCGTATAAGGAACCTGTTCCTGCGCCCGTTACTATAGACTTGAGGATACATACCCTGCCAATCACCCAATACTGCTTGTGGGTTCAATCCCTGTTGAATTTCAGTCCACTTGACACCCTGGCACTGGTCAAAGTAGCTGCCAAGGATATGCCAGCCCTGCCGTGACCGACTAACTCATGTTCCCCGGCGCCGTTCTATTTTCCTGTCGTTGGAGGCTTGATTTAGTTGCTGCCACCCGTTGCCCGGCCGATGGAGAGGGTGTGAACGAGCACCCCGGAAACATGCCATATTGATGGTGCAAAATTGACGAAGGCGCAGGAATAACACCGCTGCAGATACTTTGGCTCTTGATGGACAGATGGATGCGTCCGTTGGCAGAATCCTTACCCGTGGGTGAGAACCCCATGGTGGAAGGTCGGTCAGAATAGTGATCTTGCAGTCGCACCTGGTCGGATACGTTGAGTTCATGTGCCGATCAGCCCCCTGTCCCCCGGAAGAAGCCGAGACAGTGCTCCCTTCCACTTACCCAGCTATGTTGCAGTGCGGAGTTGAAGTGGACACTCGGCGTATCCACAAACCCCGCAAGGTTCAACCTTGGTGTTCACGATCAGGCCACTGATGTTCCATAATTGCCAGCGTATGGGGTCGACCACCTGACTCGACATTGGAGGTCCTATTCTGACAGACAGGTACTGTAATTGCTAGGCGAACAAAACACCGACCTTTGGTGCAAGCGTCCTTACACCGCGGAATGTTTGTGTGCCATGGCCCTGTTTGTCGTGCTTCGTTGGTGTGTACAATCCGCCGGACCACAACAATACTCCCACCTCTCATCCCGGCCTTCTTACCAATCTTGCTGGATGGAACCCCCTCCCGCCCCCCCACCTCGGTGGTCCGCCACCAGGCCAAAGTGCTGAGGCTCATCATCATCTGTGCAACATAAGCCGAGTCCGATGCCGGGGCAGCCATGGGCGTCACACCCATGAGTTCAATCGCGCATACTTAGGAAACTGTACATCTCGTCTGCATTGCCTCGGCGGCAGGGGGTGTGAAGGACTACTTAGTGTGGCAGCCGACTTTTGTGCTGAGCACGCAATCCAGCTATAAGTTTTATTGTTATTCCTGTTGTTGTTGTCGTTGTTGTTGTCGTTGTTGTTGTCGTTGTTGTTGTCGTTGTTGTTGTCGTTGTTGTTGTCGTTGTTGTTGTCGTTGTTGTTGTCGTTGTTGTTGCTTGGTTGTATCACCTTTATCACTATCCCCTTCTTTCTCCATCATGTGCATCATCCCACAATATCGCGCTACTGCTTCGGAGTGGCCTTTTGTTTCGCGTGCTCCGCTATGTAAGCCCATGGCTCTAATTCTCCTGCGAGATGATTGTACTGACGTTGAGAACATATTCCACTTCGTGTCCAACCACAGTCGCATGTGGGCCCAGGCCTGTAATCGCCTCGATTATTTAGGCATTGTGGTCCTCGTCTGGAGTGCTAACGCACCCGTGGTTCGTTACGCACTGTCAGGCCTCCCAGACCTGCAGAGAATATACAGCTTGATCGTATGTTGCCTTTACCAGCAGTATGTCTGAGCGTATCTAATCACCGTTTGGCTTCAAGAATATCATCACGGCTGCTATGAGTATAGGGTTCATCTTGGGCCATAACTTTGGCCTTTCTGCGTTTAGAAAGTGGCGTGTACTCATCTACAGCACATCCGGCTTGGGTTCACTCGCGTCACTGTTACATGGCCTCCAAATCAAAGGCTGGGCAGTTCTGGGAGATCATCTGTCCCTTCGGTGGCTGGCTTGTACGATGTCGCTTAATCTCATCGCCGCAGCTGTCTATGCCGGAAGGGTACGTCGCCTTCGATTCCTGGCCCAAGACCCAAAATTGACTCCTGGTTGCAGATCCCCGAGAGATGGTTTCCATATAGGTTCGACCTCGTTGGGGCTAGCCATCAGATTTTCCATGTCTTAGTTCTGGTAGCCACGTTCACACACCTAGCAGGTCTACTTGCAGCCTCTCAATATGCCGCCACGTGATCGCCTCTGGGCCTGGTACAATATGGCGGCTTTTCAAGTGCTCCAGCACAGCTTGGTGTCACGGTTGTACTCCGTGGGCTCATCCTGTGCAGCGGCATGCGGAGACAATATGTGGTGGGTTCTCCTCGAACCAGGCCGATACAGGAGTATGGATTTATGAAAAACCTAAACAGCTTCAGACACAAGTCCCTCCACTCATTCATCATCGCAGCCTCCACTTCACGTGTAGGAGGAAAAACTACCTTGGCGGCCTGTCTTGAGGCCACCCTGGAGGTGCTGGCCATAGGTAGACAGTATCTAGAGTGAACCTGTAGCTGAAAAACAGATTCAATAAGATAGCACGGCAGCCTAGTAGCTATCGTTAAACCGGGTACGGAACTTCGCCGTGGCACCTTCTCGAACTAAGGCGCCCTACCCGGACGCAGTAGAAGTGGTAGCGCTTCCAGTATGCCTACGTATCCTGCCCGTTCTTAGTAGTGGAAAGGCGGGCTGCGGGCTGCGGGCTAGAAAGCGCAGTACCTCATTCGGTACCGAGGCTTGCCCGGAAGTGCGTCTTATTACTGCCGGCCAGGTGCCTTACCCAGTCCATCTCGTGGACCTAGGTCAACTCTAAGTTAGGTCCCCGCCGGATATCGACCGAAATGCCGACCTCTTCTACCTACGCCAGATGCGCCTACGTCGGCCGTTCCGACAGATCCTCGCTCGACTGCCCAGTACTGGATATGGCTCCCCGACTATAGGGTTTGGAGCCATACCTGACTCCAGGCGTTATTACCACTACGACCGCTGGTCGCCTGGTCGTGTCCTCCTTGTAAGCAGTGGATCGTGATTATCTCCCGTAGTAGTTTCTCCACATAGTGATTGTTCACTATGACATGGCCGAACTGTATCCACATACTGTTATCTACATAATCTAAGGCGCCAGATTTGGCTCCAGAGCAGAAAACACACGACGCCCCAACAATGCGCGACGCAACGCTAGAGGAGCGCAGCAATTTTAAATCCGGATTGCAGCCGCAATTGTCCGGGTCTCATGACCCTTCTAGTGCAATCTACGACTTATCGAACTTAACCCGCAATGGATGAAGCTACCACAATACAACTCCAGCGCCGTAAGAGGTCCTATCATCAGCGGCAAACACTTAGCTCCGCCAGACCCGTCATTGCTTCCAAGCGAGAGACTCCATCTCAGAATCCCAGCGATCCTGGACGATACCACAGATCTATAGAAATCAATAGCGAAAATATTCTACACGACAACTCATACTCTGAAGTCGTCGTTGAGTGGCTGCGCACTATGTCTCCCTGAGTTTTGTAGGAGGGCGACCCGAATGATACCGAGGATAGCGGCTGGAGGATTATGCTATCTCAAGTCAGATAAGGATCTCTAAATCGAGCGGAAAGCCAAGATTGTGGTCAGCTTGGTTAAGAAGGGGCCCAGGGGTTGGACGCTTGTTATTCACGGCGAGGTAAACTTGGGCTAGATGCGGGCTAGTACCCGGCTCGCCAGTACAACCCGCAAGACCCAAGCTGCCATGCAGCCTACATCTGTCATCGTAGGCACGATCTAGGGAAAATATTACTAGTACAGAAAGCCACATCCCAGGATTGCAGGAACTCAATTATCCCCTCTATGGAATCCTTCTCCTACATGTGCACGGGGGGCCGAGAGACAGGGACTGATTTATGGGGCCGATGTCGAATGAAAGAGGATGATCAACCAGAAAAACGGCCTATTCCGGAATCGGACACCGTACTATGCAACCCTCCACTACTGCGCGCAGCGCGCCCGAGTGTGGAAGCCACCATCAGTCATACCAACCGCACGAGAAGTTCCTAAGCGGCGGTCTTGTATCGCGCGAAGCCACCCGCTCGGCATCTGCTCCCGGGGTCCGTTAGTGGCCCCTCGCGGTGACTGTCGGCAGCATAAGATGGTAACCGCCGCGCCGCGGTCGTGCTCCACAGCTCCTATCTCCTCGCAACATCGCCTCTGCGCCTGTTTGTCCCATTCTCCACAGAGTCGCGCCAGGATCATTCGTTCCAAGACCAAAGTCCGACGCCGTGCTGCGCCCACAGCATACCGGCATTGGACCTCTCGGATGCGACCCTCAACAGCGTCTACGTCACATTCTTGACTTGATCGCAACTCGTTGAATGGTTTGTCAACTATGTTATGGACGACATTCCCTCGAGCAACGGAGGCCCGTCATGACTAGACGAAATCTGAGCAACTTAGAGTGCTGCCATTCTTGATTTATGCACTTTGTCATTTCTCTTATGCATCACGTTGCAGAAACGTTATTTTGACACGCGGAAGGGACGGAGATTCCATAGAGATATATTGCATAATCGCCGGCTCGATATCTTAAAGAATAACGGCACATCTGACATCAACTGTAGTCCGACCCATTTATGTTTTGCTCATATACAACAAACCAAAAACCTGGGAACAGTACATATCCGAACCTATGAACTGGGTTCAATTATGGCTGGGACTAGGAATTGATGAAGTCGCCGAAGGTTCCGTTCTGGTCGAGTTCGGGCTGGGGCAGAACTCTCTCGCTCAACCCGGAGGAGATAATATCCTTGATCCTGTACAATTATTAGCATCGCTTTGTAAGAATCCTCTCTGAAAACGTACATATCATGATTGTGCTCTCCCCTACACCTTTGCGTTAGCCGCGCTTATTGTCACTGAAGAAGGTACTCACTTACAACTTGTGAATGGCCTTAAGAACCGTCGCCACATTCTTCGCCGACTTGAGATCCACCTCTGCGATTCTGCCACTCAGTATTCTAGACTCCTCTGACGATTCTTGGTGTTGTTGTTCCACACTAGTGCAGGTGAGCATTGGATCTATAAGGCTGTCAAGCCATGAAGCCAGGCAGACCTACACTCGCCCGAGATTTTCCAGTAAAATTCTAACAGCGTCGACCTTCCGACCAATTTGAGCAAATCTTTCATGTGAGGGCGGTGTCAGTGAGATGCACAGTGCGAGCTCAAATTTTTGCGTGATCACTGACCTTCTGTCGAGCTCTCCAATAAGACCGCTGGGTCTGACTGACATTGCAGCTGACGATGATTGTTGAACATAGTCTAGGGGATCAATTTCTCCTAGGAAATACCCGTTGTTGGGTCGTGATTGACCGGGATCGACACTTGATGGTATCTGGATTTGCGAGTGGACTTGCTCGGGCGTGTGCTGCTGAGCCTGTTGGGCCGGTTGAGGCTGCTGAGCCTGTTGGGCCGGTTGAGGCTGCTGGTACAGCTGCGGCTGCTGAGGCTGCTGGTACAGCTGCGGCTGCTGAGAGGACTGGGTGGACTGCGGCTGTTGAGAGTGTTGTAATGGCTGCGACTGTGGCGATACCTGAGCGTGCTGTAGCTGCTGAGCCTGCGACTGCTGTGGCGGCTGAGCGTGCAGCGGTTGCTGTGACCGGGATTGCTGGAATAACGGTGAGTTTTGCATCGTCTGCATCGGTTGGAACTGGGGATGTCCCCGGGGCTGCTGAAAGGGTTGCATCGCCTGGTGCGGGGCAACCATGGTCCGGGCACCGATGTGGAGTAACGACGGAAATCTGGTAGTGTTCCTCAAGCCCTCGAATGCCTCTCTGCTGCCAGCTCCCTTTCAAACACTCTTGGACGGGTGATCGAATTTATATGCAATGCATTCACTCAGTCGACCTCTCAATCTGGCTTGTTTGCTATCGCGATAATTGTCATGATCATGCAAGCAAATGTTGGGTCTAACATGTTGGTTGTGCACGCTAGTATGGGAGTGAAGCAGCCAGAAGTGGCCTTGCTCCATGACCGGGTGGCGTGAGAACCTGGTCACAGACATGGGTGCCCCTTGCCCATGAGCAAAGCGGAGGTCCGCCAAAACCGAGCATGCCGTGCCCGGACGCCTCCGCCAGTATTTGTGCGATATGCGCAGCGCTCAAATTGGTGTAAGATTGGTCCTGTACTGTAGCATCCTTTTAAAGAAGAACAAGGAGAACAAGCCTAAAGAAAGGGAAGCACGGAGGCATTGATGCACTAGTGAATCAAGCACTAGCTTTGCCATGCCCATACTCTCAAGCACCGTACGAGGACAATGCAGGGGGGGGGCGGTTGCATTTACGCAACTTTTTGCGCTGGCCTCCACCAGGTCATTCTGTGTGGAGATGCACAGCGATTGACATAATAGTGGATCGTGCGGCAAACACCGTGTGCGCAACCCATTCTCCCACGAATACGTAAAGCGTTCACCTCATCGGCTGATGCCGTGCTTGACAATATTAGTGTCGGCTCCTGTGCCAAGTGCATTTGGGGCAGCCAGCATTAGGTACACTCTTTGGAACGACGCCTTTGACCCGCTCGTATCAAAGACGGCGGCATCTTAGGCGAGACTTGTACGATATGTCTGAATGAGAAGGGCCAGGAACGGCCAGGAACCACCCGGGCGTCACTGGTTATCGCCATACTAGATGACTCGCGGAACTGACGACCCACAATTCGGGCTGTGGCGCCTGGTATCGTCCGAACAATGTCCTTCGAGGCAAGGGCCAATTCCACCGAAGTCCGGCTCGATTTGCCTATGGGGGACTAGTGGCTACGAGCCTCGCAAGAATAGCAAGGACCAGGCCAGCACACCCAAAAAGTTCCAACGTGGTCGAGAGCGGAAGTGCCAGAAAGGAACCACTTCTGGGGCAATGGTCTCTGCCCCCAGTCTGAGGTGTGGGTATCAGGCGGGATAGTACCGTAGTCATGAATTATTGGCGAAGATGACGTGTTGCCGGATGCACTGACGATTCGGAAAACTGCGCCATCGCGGCACGAGATCCACTACTCGTCGGCTGGTGGCAGGTGGCGCTATTAACTTCCACGCTTTCGAGCCACCTCCCTCCCACAACGGGAACCACAAAGTTCTGTCACTGGCACTCGTCCGGTCCTCCGCGTGCGGGCCGTTTATGACCGCCCAGAGACTTGAAAATCCGATTGAAGACGCAAAGAGGAGCTCACCCCAAGATGGTCCGGCGCGCAGCATTGCTAAGCCGGATGGGTACAGTAGTGACCACTAAATGTGTCCGCTTTTCTAGCACTAAAGAACGTTTCCGCACAGACCAGCATGCTGTGGCGCATTGTGGCGCATACCGTGCAGACTGATCCATAACAATTACTCTCCAAAAGTGGATTACAGCATTACAGTACATACAACGGTTGGTACAAACGGAGGATTGTTTCTTCGTCGCCTTATCTGCAGTAGTGACCACCGCGAATCGTTGGCAAACTTCGTTATGTCCTTCGTAAGATGATGGCAAACTATAACGCGGCAAACATTATGCAGAACATTGAAAGGCCAGTGGTAGGGTTTATATACCCTTATAGGCCTCCGGTACCTAACCTAGAGGTGCCTGTATACTTTTGCCTGCATAGTGCAGTGGCTTATTGAGACCGTAATAGCCAGTTTATGTCTGCCCATACATAAAGGGTCGCTGGGGCATCAGCCAAGTCAAGGGAAGTCAGAAATGGAGGGGAGGTGGAGCTTTTATAGACGGTACATAGTACTGAACCTTTTGCGCACAGTCCTAAGCCACAGCTGGGTCAATATGGCCCGTGCGGGAATCATCTCAATTAAGTTATTTGTGGACACTGATTGCGGTCACTACTGTACTGGTCACAGCTGCCAAACGAATCGTGGCGTGTTCTAAGCTCGCCTGGGGTGAAAGACGCTGGGCACCAAGGCGGGCAGGTTTGTGTGTGTGTGTTTGTGGATCCATGTTTGTGGAACTCGTGTATATCCCGTGGGGGTTTGTTCGCGAATGTCTGTGGGTGAGGAGGTTTGTTTGGACGTGGAACCTTAGTAAATTGGGTCGAGCAGAGCATTAATATAATTGGTTACAGCCGATGAGCTCCACAAACCGGCACAAACCTGAACAAACACACAACTGCAAGTGTAAGTCCAATGAGAGCGAGCGGGGCCTTGTCAGATCCACACACTTCTGGGTGCCCATGCTCGTGCTGCAAGCTCACGACGCCTGCATCCCTGCTAGTGCCGCAGTAGACTCGGCCGTCATGCATGAACGGACGGGGCTCTGCCAGCCGGGGCGGCGCACCGGGGCCGTGCTGCTTCCCGACTGAGCACGGGACCCTGTAGGGCATACGCCGGCGATATGCAGCATCATCACAAACTTGGGCAGTCATGTTGGTCATGTTTGATTTGAAGACTTGGCAGGAAGTGGCGGTTTGATACTGGACTGGGATGTCCCGCCAACCCCAAGTTCTCCAAGAAGCATCACGAGCCGAGACACGGTCCCATCCCAAGTTGGACGATTTGTCCTACCCCGGTCGTGTGCTGGGAGGGGGAGGTCCGTTGTTGGTTCTCGTCAACAGCCACCATTCAGGTCCACTAACACGGGTCTCCGCAACCCCTCAGACGAGTCAGCCGAGGGGGAACCACCTGGTCTCTTTTCGGCGCGCGCAGAAATTCACGCAGTCTGCTCAAGCTTTCACGGTGAGGTTTGCGTACAGTACAGTACAGGCTCACGTTAGAGATCAACCACATGAAGGATGGGCTGGCGAGTTATAACCGTTAGCAGAGCTCTCCAGCTGCACCATATGGCTCTCAGACGAATGCAGTCTGATTGTGAACCAACCGGCTAATCTCATACGAAGATCGCCGTGCGATGGACATCCCCCCATACAATGTTATCCACATGCGGGTGAAGGGTTTCCCTGTCGCCCTGTTCCGATAAGTACCGCAGCCGTTTCCGGCTCCTTCAGTGTCAGCGGCTATGGCAGAACTTGTGCAAACCTTCCTATGGAGATGAGAGAACGAGAGCTGTGCGGCGCACTATCCATAGCCATAACCTAAAATCTGCCAATACCGCCATTTCCAACGTTCCGCGCACTACACGCAAGTCTCGGCCCCAACCGCCCACCACCCTCGGCACAATGAAGGGCTGTCCCAAATATCACACCAGATGGCAAAAGGAGAAGCACCGAAAGAATGTGCAAAGCGCAAAAGCGAAAGCCGAAAAACTCGGCAGGGCCTGCAACACGTTTGTGCTATATGTCACATTCAACCCAGTAAGCCGGCAAATGGAAGGGGTCTGTCATCTGCCACCAGGAATGCAATTCCCGGACATCAATAAATTTGTAGGCTCCTCGTACTCTAGACAGGGGAGTCTTTAGGTAAACATAGCATAGGTTCGCGAGCAGCTGTTGCCTGGGAACACTGGCGAAAGTCAGGATCCGGACTTTACGCATGTGCAGATGGAGCAGGAAGACCACCGTGACCTCGGCAGTTCTCAGCAACCCGAAGCCACAAGATCTTCATGCAGCTCGCCATCACTTGACTTGAGGGAGCTTTTTGACTCAGACCCTGATGGAGATTTTGGAGCAATATTAGCCGCAAATGGGTCTCCCCCTCCCACGAGTTCTGATCTCGATCTCGTATTTAGCTCCATGGCACCACAGCCCAACCCAGGTACAGCGCTTTCGCATCATACGGACGATCCCCTCGATCAAACATCTTTGCCAACTATGGAAGCAGAGAACAGTTTGGGCAGTGCAGACCATTCAGATTCAGGCGTCAATGACATATCCGTAAATGTCATGCCGGAGTACTCGCCAGCTGCAATACCATCTGACGATACTCTACCTCAAACATCATCAACTACGAACGAGCAAAGAAGATCAGATCGACGACGTGACGGCATGGCAGGAAAAGGCGCGGGCCGGACTCAGACAGATGCAAGAAAAAGGAAAAAGCAATTGCAGAGGCTTCATCTAATGGTGTGCTTGAATCAAAGGAGGTTACCTCTGATGAACTCATTTTAGTCGTATCAAAGAGAGATCGCACTGGTATTGAAAAGGGTCAACATGAGGGGAGCGCTGCTTTCAGCCCTCGTCGGTGAATGCTCTGAAAAGCTGGCGTCTATCAGAATTTGCTCTGCGCCACTCTTGTTCTAACCCCTGTCATCGCCACCGGCAACTACCCAATCGCATAGCTAGGCAGGTCCCGACAGTTCGGTACGGCCCGCACGTGACGCTTTTCCAAAATAGCGCTAATGTAGACAGCTGGATCCTGCTTGGCCCGGGCGCGTCATACATGTGTCAAGGCACCAACCCCCTGGACCTAGCTACCTGCAGTAGCCTTCAAAAAGTCCCTGTCGAACGGGGTTCTTAGCGCGCGTCCACATGCATGTTGCATTTGACGGAATGGATCCTCGCCCGCAAGATCCGCGCCCTCATCTTCCCCTTTCTCACCGCCCTCCGAGCCGGCCACGCGGCCGGCTCGTAGGCATTTCCCGGCACCCCGCTTAAGGAGGCCTGGTCACTGTTCCCCGTGGCCGACAACATGGGTATCACGACAATTGTGCTGGTCTTGGGTCTCGGGCCCGTGGTATCAGCCCTGCTGAGCGAGATCAATTGGCGGTGCTAGATCGTCGTGTCGTGTCGTGCCGGGTCATATTCTCGCTTGTCCAGACGAGATACGTGTTCATAGCCTCGTGCGAGGGGTTACTGGCCGCGCACTTTTGTCACCGGCGCCGGAAATCGGTCCACGCTCATGGCCCTCTACTCGCTCTGTTTGCGTGGGGCGTTCGTTCCTCCTGACCAGTGAGTTGATAAGCAAGATCATAAGCAAGGCAATCCCGGTGTTACAAAGTAGCCAACAATATTTCCCTTGCTCCCTTCCTTGTGAATGACACGAGCATGGTGAGATACCGAGCAAAGCCATGGAGGAAGGGTCCAAAATTCTCCCTATGCAGAGGTCTGTGAGCTGGTTTTGGAGCTTATTAGCGCCGCCCCTCTTCAGGCATACCCCGGTGAGTGCTATCATATGAACCGACCTTACAGTATGCCGAAGCTGGACCTGGTGAGCGCTTCATTGTGTTGCCAACGGCGATTGTGTTCGGCGGCTATCTGACGCATGTGCGATTGCTTGGGTACTAGCTCAGTTGTTGATCGCGCGGAAGATGGTGGTGGTGATGAGATGAGAGCACGCTGCAAATGAGTCACGCGCTACAAGAAGTACTGCAGAACGATGACATTTGTGAGCAGCCGCGCTCACAGATCCATCTACGTAACATTAAGCCGTACCACAAACTATGCTTTGCGCTCCTCGCTGAACGCGGACTTTGGATCCAGCTTTTGCTCGCTAATGGCCAACCTCTTGGGGGTTCGCCAAGCTAGCTCTGCGTGCGCAATTTGTTCTAGCTTGAGTGTTACCTTCCAGCCAGTCCCGCGCACGCTGTTCTCTGCGTACGCACCTCCAAGCCAGACCTGCGCACGCTGCCACATGCGTGCGCACCTCTGAGCCGGACCTGCGCAAGCTGTTCTCTCGCACGCTATTCTCTGCGCACGCTGTTCTCTGCGTACGCACCTCCAAGCCAGACCTGCGCACGCTGCCACATGCGTGCGCACCTCTGAGCCGGACCTGCGCAAGCTGTTCTCTGCGTACGCACCTCTAAGCCAGGCCTGCGCACGCTGCCTCCTGCGTGCGCACCTCGTAGCTAACTCTACGCTCCGCAGTCGGTGCTAGTCCTGCACAGGCTGCTTCCTACGTACGCACCTAATAGCTAATTCTGCGTATACTACTTTACCTACAATACTGTCCACTATTGAGCCAGTTTCCGGCGTCTTTTTATTGGATTACAGTAGTGACCGCGAACTGTGTCCGCTTCTCAGTCCTTAGTTGATGTTCCCGCACGGACCATAGAACTGTGGCACATTATGGTGCACACTGTACAGACTGTCCATAACAAGTACCCTCCAAAAGTGGATTACAGCATGACATGCAACAGTTGGGGGCTGTTTCTTCGTCAACCCATCTGCAATGGTGACCATCGCGAATCGACAATCTTCACCATGCCTGTCAAAGGACGACGGCACAGTATGACAGGGTCCACACAACGTGGGGCATCGATAACCTTTTTATGCCGGTTGATGTGGGATAACGTAATCCACAAGCAAGCGGGCCACACAAGCAAGCGGGCCACTTTCCTACCATATTCGTGCAGGCCATCTTCTTTCCCCTTTTTCTCCACCAATAATTATGGTACGACCATCAATTGAAGGCGATTTGATTCTAGCGCTTCAGGCGCTCCAGTCTGACCCAGAATTAACCGTACGAAAGGCTGCACAGCTGTATAATGTACCTCGTACGACCCTCCAACGAAGACGAGCCGGCCGACCTGCGAAACGCGATCTCCGACCACATAACCAGAAATTGACCTCGTACGAAGAGGACAGCGTCGTACGATATATAATCGACCTAGATTCGCGATCGTTTCCACCGCGGTTAGGTGGTGTTCGAGAAATGGCGGATCGACTCCTCCGCGTACGCGACGTGCTACGCGTCGGAACGAACTGGGCCTTAAACTTCGTACGACGACGACCAGAGCTCCGTACGCGTTTTAATCGAAGAATCGATTACTAGAGGGTCCTTTGCGAAGATCCGGACGCGTATCGCGCGTGGTTTACGCTCGTACGAAACATAATCGCGAAATACGGGATCCACGATGACGATATCTATAACTTCGACGAAACGGGCTTCGCGATGGGTAAAATCTCCGCCGAAACTGTCGTTACGACCTCCGATCGACGCGGGAGGCTAAGAGCCGTACAACAAGGTAATCAGGAATAGGTTACAGTAATCCAGGGCATCGCGTCGTACGGCTATTTAATCCCGCCATATATCATCTTCGCCGGGAAGGTCCACCTCGACTCCTGGACCGCGAATAGCCCCCTACCGCCCGACTGGGTAATCGCGCTTTTAGATAATGGTTGGACGACGAACGAGAGAGGCCTAGAATGGGTAAAACACTTCGATTTCCATATAAAGAGTCGTACGAAGGGTACCTACCGCCTCCTTATCCTCGACAGCTATGAGAGCCACTATTCCGTCGATTTTGAGCTCTACTGTAAGGAACAGAACATTGTTACCCTCTGTATACCTGCTTATTCGTCGTATAAGCTCCAGCCTCTTAACGTTAGGTGCTTTGGACCTCTAAAACGGGCGTACGGTAAAGAAATCGAGGGTCTTATACGGGCGCACGTAACCCACATTTCAAAGGAGGACTTCCTCCCAGCCTTTTATAAGGCGTACGACGCTGCAATGACAAAATCAAACATCCAGGCAGGCTTTAGAGCGACAGGCCTAGTACCGTACGACGAGAATTATGTAATTTCGCAGCTAGATGTGAAGTTTCATACGCTGAGACCGCCAGGTTCCTCTACTGGACTACTACCCCTATGGGTTTCAAAGACGCCGAACAACCCAATTGAGACCGAATCGCAGACGAAGTATATTGAAAATCGCATCGTACGACACCAGAATAGCTCTCCGTCGTCCATTATTGAGAGCCTACGGCAGCTGAGAAAAGGAGTTACAATGATGGTGCACGAGCAGACCCTTATGCGCCAAGACCTCGCCGAACTTCGAGATGCAAACGACCGCCTCAGCCGCTGTCGTCGTACGAAAAGAAAGCAGCTACAGAAAGGAGGGTCCCTCACGATTGATCAGGCAAAGGATTTGAAGGCTTAAATCGATGCGACGCAGCAGTTAATGGCGGAAACGAGTCAGAATAGTGGTCGTACGAGGAGGCCCGAAACGCGCGCGCGACGATGTGGCGTCTGCGGCGAGCCTGGCCATAATGCTCGTACGTGTTAGAAAGTTGTATCTGCCTCTGAAGAAGAGGATTCTGAATAGTTTCAATTGATTTAAGGCGTTGTGGTTGAATTGTCTTATACATTATCGTACGAGTACCTGGAGGGTGGCCCACTTGCTTGTGTGGCCCGCTTGCTTGTGGATTACGTTAATTGTTAACGCGAATGTCTTTGTTGCACACACACCTCCCACTCCGCCGCACAGCCAAGAGCTCGCGTCGCGGTCAGCTTTCCTTACGCCGGGAAGCGCCAACGTCTGTAATCAGACGAAGCCGCATGTGCACTCGGCGCACTGACTCTGGCCTCATACAACATCGATTGAGGAAATGCGCTCGGGTCGCATTACCTTCGTTGCTCGCGCTTCGCATATTGCAGGTTATTGTAGAACGATCCGAACTGTGCGTAAGCTCCATTGCTCCTATCAAGATGCTTCCTCGTTGAAAAAAGCATTACAGTTTTCGATGCATGCCTTAAATAGCCATTTGAATCTCCGTGTCAGGTGCCGATGCTATCTGAGTATGGTGCGCGGGAGGCGCCGTCGTAAACATGGTAATTATCCATCAACATGCTCCTCGTTAACTTTTAAGTTTGTGAGGTTAAAACTTTGCTCAGGGTTAATCCATGTTCGATGCAGTGATTATCTCAAATAGTCAAGTGCGACTCTTTGCACCGCAAATGATTCAAAGTCGGTGCTTCAGAGACTATGCGGCAAAGTTGTGTTGCATATGCACAATAGGGCGTCACAGGTGATTGACGAGTCTGCCTTGCCATGTAAGGGTCTTATCGAAACCCCTCCTTACCCCGCACTTTCAGCCTTACGTAAGAGCCGAGACCGCCCAATATCTTACCGTGATAATGCTGATGCCTGCAGCCCATTTGACTTTCTCGCGTGATATTTGGCGACCGAGATTCCTTCAACCCGACCAGGAACCCTGAATGCCGTCGGTAATGCTCTACAATGCGGCTACTACAACGAGATAACGCCAACAACTACACCCTCACGGATGATCTGCGCGCTGACGACGTTCCGCCCTACGCAATTCTTTCCCACACCTGGGGCACCGACGAAGTCATCTACAACGATGTTAAAACGAGTTCCAATGACTGGCGACAGAAAGCTGGCTACGATAAGATCGAATTTTGCGCGGATCAGGCCAGGCGACATGGCCTGCAGCATTTCTGGGTAGACACCTGTTGTATCGACAAATCTGACGCCATCGAACTCCAGACTGCAATCAACAGCATGTTCAGGTGGTACCGTGGCGCGAAACGATGCTATGTTTTTCTGTCCGACGTCTCCTGTCCTTCGATCACCAATCAGCAGGCGGGTATCGGGTCGTGGGAGACTGCGTTCCGACGTAATCGGTGGTTCACGCGAGGCTGGACACTACAAGAGCTGATTGCCCCGCAGATTGTCGAGTTCTACTCAATGGAAGGTGTCTTCTTGGGCGACAAGAGGTCGCTAGAGGCTGTCATACGCGACGTAACAGGTATCCCTGCAGAGGCTCTACGGGGAACACCATTATCTGATTTTACGACCTCCGAACGCGAGGCGTGGGCACGCAACCGGGAAACGAAGTATGAGGAAGACATGGCATACTCGCTGCTTGGGATATTTGGCGTTCACATGCCACTCATTTATGGCGAGGGTCGCGAACAAGCACAGAGAAGATTGCGAGAAGAGGTCCAGAGATCTGTAAAAGGTGAGGCACAGTTCAGCAACTCTGGAAGAGAGGATTTACACTGACTAATGCATTTAGGCACTCATCATGACAGATTCTCGATCAGCTTCAGCCTTTTGGACGTCCCCGAGACTCCACATTTTGTAGCAAGAGATGTAGAAGTAGCCGAGATGCGGAGAATGCTGTGCTCGGATGGGAGCCGTCGCATTGTCGTACTCCATGGTCTCGGCGGCATCGGCAAGACACAGCTCGCTGCGACATATATCAACCGATATCGGGACGAGTACTCGGCCATCTTCTGGCTCAATGTCAAGGATGAAGCGTCCATTCAGCAGAGCTTTGCCAGAGTCGCAACGCAGATCCTCGAACAGAATGCCGACACCGGCAGCCTCAAGGGGCTGAACCTACAGCACGACCAGAACAAGATTGTCCAGGCCGTGAAGGCGTGGCTCAGCTTGCCAGGCAACACCAGATGGCTCATTGTGTACGATAACTACGACGACCCAAAGCTTCCAGGGCGGAAATCCGATGCAGCGGTTCACATACACCAGTTCCTGCCGATGGCATATCAGGGCTCCATAGTAATCACAACACGGCTGTCGCAAATCGACATAGGTCATCACATTCGAGTTGACAAACTCAAATCCGAACACGAGAGTCTGCAAGTACTATCAAAGGCATCTGGCCGGAATGGCTTACAAGATGGTAAGAGTCTTGAGGCAGTCAGTTTTCAGCCACTAATAGTGTCTTAGATAGTGACGCAAAAGACCTTGTGCGAGAATTGGACGGGCTTCCCCTCGCTCTAGCTACGGCCGGAGCATATCTGAAGCGCGTCCCGATCAGCACACGCGACTACCTCCGCCACTACCAAGAATCTTGGACCAGAATTACCGGCAATCTGTATCTCGGATCCTATGCAGATCGTACCTTGAGTTCAACATGGCAGCTGTCGTATAAGCATGTTCAGACACAAAACCCGCTTGCGGCTCATCTGCTCCAGTGGTGGGCCTACTTCAACAACGAAGACATATGGTTCGGTCTTTTCCGGGCTAGAAGCGGAATGGGCCACGTGTGGATGAAACAGCTTTCAGAAGAGCTCAACTTCAACGATGCGATGGGCGTACTCCATGACTACGGCCTTGTCGAACCTACATCTTTGTTCCAGGGGATACAAGGGTATAGTATACATGGTTGTCTGCATTCTTGGACGGTCCACATATTGAACGAGGAGTGGAACAGCTGCTTGAACAAGCTTGCAGTCGAGAGCGTGGCGTTGCAGGTTCCATCAGACGTGGAAGCTGAATATTGGCTGCTTCAGAAGCGACTAATACCACATGCGATCCGGTCTTGTTCAACAGTACAGGAGAGCGATGTTCCCTCGGATTGGGCTTTTCATTCTCTAGGTGATCTCTACTCTGCTCAGGGGAAGCTGGACGAAGCCGAGAAGATGTACTTGCGGGCGCTCGGTGGATACGAGAAGGCACTAGGACCGGATCACACATCAACACTTGCCACAGTTAACAACCTTGGGACCCTTTACAAGAATCAGGGGAAGCTGGGTGAGGCCGAGAAGATGTACTTGCGGGCGCTGGATGGATGCGAGAAGGCACTAGGACCGGATCACACGTCAACACTCGACACAGTTAACAACCTTGGCAGCCTTTACAGGGACCAGGGGAAGCTCGGCGAGGCGGAGAAGATGTACTTGCGGGCACTCCATGGGAAAGAGAAGGCACTGGGACCGGATCACACATCAACACTTGACACAGTCAACAACATTGGCAGCCTTTACTTACGTCAGGGGAAGCTGGGCGAGGCGGAGAAGATGTACTTGCGGGCGCTGGATGGGAAAGAGAAAGCACTGGGACCGGATCACACATCAACACTTGACACAGTTAACAACCTTGGAATCCTTTACAAGAATCAGGGGAAGCTGGACCAGGCCGAGAAGATGTACTTGCGGGCGCTAGATGGGAAAGAGAAAGCACTGGGACCGGATCACACATCAACACTTGCTACAGTCAACAACCTTGGGAACCTTTACTCTAATCAGGGGAAGCTGGGCGAGGCGGAGAAGATGTACTTGCGGGCGCTAGATGGACGCGAGAAGGCACTAGGACCGGATCACACATCAACACTTGACACAGTCAACAACCTTGGAATCCTTTACACTAATCAGGGGAAGCTGGGCGAGGCCGAGAAGATGTACTTGCGGGCGCTAGATGGGCGCGAGAAGGCACTAGGACCGGATCACACATCAACACTTGCCACAGTTAACAACCTTGGGACCCTTTACAAGAATCAGGGGAAGCTGGGTGCGGCCGAGAAGATGTACTTGCGGGCGCTTCATGGATACGAGAGAGCTGTGGGACTTGATAAAGTCACGACATACCGGCCAGCGATCAATACCCTTACGAACCTAGGATCTTTGCGCTCAAAACAGGGCAATGTTCGTCAAGCGCGGCAATATTATCAACGTGCTTACGATGGTCTTGACCAGCTCCTCGGGCCATTGCACCTATCCGTCCAGTCAGCGCGACACACCCTCGAGCTCACGAATACCGCCTGTGAAGCTGGGACATGTTCGAGCGATGACCAATATTTGGGTGATTCAACACAACCCAGGTGTCAAATAAGAGGCGACGAGATATTTTGAAGCGGGTCCTAGGTCTTCATATAGGGGAGGAAAGTCGATAGTATGTTAGTCTGATAATATACTGTACTGGCCCTGGTATTGATGCCTAGATTACCTAATGCTCGAGAAGATCGAGGAGCACGACCGGTCATGTCCTATCTTCTCTAACCCTCGCTAAACAGTCTTCAGACACTATACCATTTAGTTTGGAGTCGGACAAGGCGAAACACTTTCTATTATATGCAAGCTATTCGACCTGCAACGAGTCTGCCAGATCCATGATTGCCGCGTCGCCTACTGTCCGCTTCAAGGGTCACTTGAATTCAATTTTGACCGGGATTGGTTGACGTTGTGGCGTTTAGGTTTCAGCATCGAAGTCGCTCATCCTTTGTCTCTTACGCAGATGCTGTGATTTATGCTGCCGTATTTCAACAGGCCTTGAACGCTGTGGCGATCTTCTGGGGAAACCATCGCGCACTCCCGTACCAGATGTGTTAGAGCTGTTTTGGTCCTGGTTCTTTCGTTGCACTGTCGTTCCTGCGCTGGATGTCTCCGACATTGCCTGTGTTCCGTCAACGAGGCGTAATTTTCCTTTGCCCCATACATAGCTGCGTTCTTTCACCTTGATCTGCTGTTGCAAACTCAAAAGATGTCGCACCTGCCGTTTCAGTTTCTTGTCCAGCCCGCGTATCTCTGCATGCCGTTCTTCAACTGAAGTATCTAGTTTACTTAGCTCGGCTTGCCGTTTTTTGAGCTCTTTAATAACCTCGTCTAGCGTATCTAGCTTGGACTGTCCTGTTTTGTTCAGTTTATTTAGCTTGGCTTGCTGTTTTATGAGCTTATCATTAACTTCGTCTAGCTTGTCTTGCTGTTCGGCGATTGACGAATTGAGGTTATTTAGCTCATCTTGCTTAGACTGCTCTTCTCCATAAATTCTGACCAGCTCTCCCTCGCGTTCCTCCACGGAGGCGTTGAGCGTATCCAGCTTCGACTTCCCTTCGTCCAGCCTGAGAAGGTTCTCCCGCCCTTGTTCTAGTAACATACGAATATGTGCGATATCGAGAACTTCTTGTTCCAGTATGGACCGGCAATTGATTGCTGTTCGGCCGGCTTCGAGGGAGATACCTAGTTCATCGGTTTGTCCCGTAAGGAGAGACGCTATGGCAGTCTTCTCAACCACAAGTCGCGTTAACAACCGAGGGATGACTTGTTCGTTAGATACGGCTTGCCGATTATGACTTTGCCCCTCCTGCCCCGCCGTATCCTCGCTCTCAGACCGCTCTGCTCTTGGCACTATCTCTGCCATGATAGTGTCGGTCAGATCCGTAGCTGTAAGCAAATTATCAAGTTGAACTCCAGGCGGGAGCTCGCGACCAAAGAAAGCAAAGTACACGGAGCGGCGTACGAAGATTGACGTCATCAGCGGGAAAGGGCTCATCAGCTCTGCATGGAGATTCGGGAGAAACAGCGACTCCCTGTCCCGCTCATGGTCAATGTTGTGAGGTAAACCCCACCTTATTGGGCCTTCGTTCTGGCCGCTAGTCTGAGTGCTGGAGGATGCTTCTGATAGAGGTACTAATTCTGCACTTTCGAAGACTCCCGTGATCTGATCAACTACACCCTCGAGGTTCTTGTACATATATCGTCCCGGCTTTATGACGGCCAGAAGAGCTGTTCGGGCAACCTGTCGTGATGGTGAATGCTGAAGTATATTCCTTATTGGCTCTGATGTAAACCCAAGCCGGGAAGCGAGATCGGCTAAGCGGAAGAGCGTTACTTCATCCCCTTTCTTGCGTGGCTTGGCTCGAATATGTGCCTTCTGTGGTTCAGCTGGTAGGTCTTGATAGATGCGAAAGGCGGCCAGCCACAGCTGACGACAGCCCAAAGCGAATCGAGTCGCTGCGTGCCCGGGCAAAAGCTTGTACTCAGAATCCGAGAATTGTATTATACATTGGTGCTGGTTCGCACTTCCGTCTGTCAACATGCTTTCTAAACAACCATCGATAGTGTCTCGTGGGCCTAGATGCAGCAACCTTCTCAGACTATCGGTAGCACACTTGAGATACTTCAAATCTTCGAAAAAGGTATGAAGGGAAGGGATCAAAGTGTGCCTAGACACTGTACAAATTTGGGACCACATTTCCCCTCGCGCTTGCTCGGTGAACCCCCCAAGGATGTGGCCACTTCTCAACTTGTCTAGAAGGGAGGAATGGTCTGACTGACAGGCCCCAGGGGCCATCCCCTGCAACGCCCGAATCGTGTCTGCATCAATTTTCTCCATTTTATTCTTGTCATCCCCACATATTGTCCTCCACGTCTGTCCTATACATCGCAGGTAGGCGATGATCGGCTGGAGACGGTTAGAAGAGTAGCATGGAGTTTAGACGAGGATAATACCTCTTCACATCTCAAACTCATCATTTGATGTATCACCGTGAGCCTAAAGCCACTGAACAGAGCAGGGACGATTAACAAGTCGTCGAAAGCTTCTAGGAAGGCCTTATTACGGCTCAGCTGTTCAAAGAGGTTCCTCCGGTTCTTTGATAGAGCTGAGAGCTGCCCAAGCCATAATCGCTCGAAGTATTGATTCTTCTGTCCGTGAACACCTTGATATTCACGAATCTTGCGATAAAACTCTCCATCGCTCGGCGCTTCCCGATAGTCGTGCTCCTCAAGAAACAACCTTCTCAAGTCATCGCTGAGGTCTAGTATGGCTCCCTGTTAGCCTTGGCCTGCTTGAGCTAATGGCTACTTACCTTCTAGATAGAGATCTACTATCCAGCGGGTTTGGGCACCATCAAATGCCTCACAAGCTGCCAACGCCTTCTCGCCCTGTTGCAGGCACTGCAGCTGGGTGTTTGGTGGTAGCTCAAGTTCTACATGAGGCTCTGTCTCTTCTCGAAGCCTCTGGGCCTCTATATTGGCATTGCGAAGACAAGAGTCTAAGAGTTCTGGGCTTATGATAGCCTTCGCGTGGTGCCGATGCTCGTCTGCGCGAAAGCCCTTTTCCTCGCGAAACTTGCGCTTGAATGGCTCGAGAATTCGCCTTTCTGGGGCCAGCTCGGTCGTCCATCTCGGCCCAGCGAAGCATAAAGCGTTTACACGGATGGAAGCTACGCCACAGAACTTGGCACGGCGTTCTTGGTCAAGCCGACTGTTCGTTTCCGCGAACGTCATGTTTTGGAGACATATACTGTAGGTTGGAAGAAGGGTAGCATGTATGGCAGCCTAGCCCATTTAACTGTCGTCTTCGAGGAACGTGGGTCCTGAGCGCGAAGCGAACGCGAAAGTGGCTTCCCAATGCTAACAGCATCTCCTCGAGGGCATCGCAATATCCATCGCACCGCTCAGTAGCAATCATCCGGAACTGTGACACTACTGTACCACCGTCAGAGAAGGACCGACCATCTAGCAACGTCCGCTACTGTTTATGGCTTATCAGAGGAATGCCACCGGCGTTCGGCTCGGGAAGTGGCCAAGGGCCAAATTTGGCCTCTTGTAGTTGAGGGGAGGATACGAGGTGGGCCCTTTCGCTCGGAGTAGCGATAAGCCAAAATCAAGGTCAGTCTCAGACCTATATAATGTGCCTTGCTACCCTCTATACATTTCTCATCTTCCCAACATGTCTCATTCCATCGCCTTGATGTCTACAGATACTCAGATTCCTTCTGTGATTACCCCCCAGGACAAAACCAAAGAACCAGAACGTCGCAACGGTTTACTCAGTCCTGAAGCAACACCAGCGCCTGACAATGGGCGAGTCGCAGCTGACAATGGGCGTCGAATGGCCGCAGGGGGACGCCAGACCCCTGAAGCAACACCAGCGCCTGATGATGGGCGAGTCGCAGCTGACCATCAGCGTCGACTTGCGGCAGGGGGACATCAGACCCCTGAAGCTTCGACTCCCCCGCCGGAAAGCCAAAGTAATAACACAAGTACTCCTGTCGATCATGGGATTAAGCAGACCAAGGACATGATCAAAACCATCCTAAATTTCACCGATGAAGAGCTTGAGGAAAACCCAAAGAAGGTGCTAGGATTAGGCGATAGTGCTAGTCCTCGCGAAGTTCAAGATGCCTGGACGAACATGGGGCGTATGTTGGGTCGTGCCAGAAGGTACGATTCCCCAGATGATCCAGCTAGTAACGCTTTGAGCAGTAAGCATCCATCCATAACTTGTTAGTGAGTGCAATTGTTTATAATGGATTCAAGGACTCGAGATCGCTGCGCGCTTCGCAGGTGTACCAATGAAAGAGATCCAGCAGGTACTCGATTGGGACGAGGGCATGGAATCTGATACCGAAGACGAAGCGGACGATTTCCGTATGACCACCGATGACTTTGAGTATCCAATACCCCTTCCACGCGTTAGTGAAGTTTATAAACAAGCAACACCTGTCCTCAACCTGATGGCCAAAGACCCTACCAACGACAAGCTCAGCCAACAGCTCATGCAGTTCAATGAGAAGATTAGAGTGGATAATGTCAAAGAGAAACTCCATGAACACGACTGGCAGATTCCCGTTGAATGGTTCATTACACATTACGGACTAATTAGAGAGGCGCGTAGCCGTCTCCAGGCAAACCCGGAGGACAACCAAGCAAAGCGCGAAATTATGGCGGAGGAATCATTGATCGACAAAGAGATTCAGCTAAAGCATTTCCCCACACAGTGGTCAATCTCAGCGGCAGATGAAGCTTGGAAAAAGCAGCGTGAACAAACATCACTGTTCGTAGAAGCTACCAACTCGGAAGCAACCAGACAGATTAACCATTCGAAAGAAACCACCAAGATTGTGTATCCCTGGCCAACTAAGGTTCTGCCGGATGGGTCTGTCATTATAGGAGTCAAAAGAAATGGCTCTCAAGGCCGGCAGGTCTGTGTCGAGATAGAGGAGGCAGGGAGAACTGTCCGCTATCTCAAGCCAGCCTACAAAGTTGGCCTAAGAGCAGTCGACGAGTACGCTAAAGAACAGGGAAAATATAAGAATCTTGCAGAGGAACAGTCGAAGTGGTCTAAAGAGAATCGAAACGATATCGCGGAGCTTCTCTGGGTAACCAGCTCAGTCGTTAAGGGCGACCCCCCGAAGAGAGATCCTGTTGCCTACTGCTGTGTTAGGCTTTACAGCGGTAAACTGGATATCCTCACCAGATCGAGCCTATGCAAGGTTTGGGGGGATAAGGACGCAAAGACCGCGATCAAAAAGGTCTGCGACAGAGATCAAATTCTAACACCATGGGAGGCTCGCGAAGCTAGCTATAGCAACAAGGGCTTGGCCGTCGGAGAACAAGACCGCCACGGCAGCTCCGGCGTTTCCCAGGGACTTCCTCACCACGCAGACATGCGCCAGAGCTCCGGCAGTCACTCCCAGGCGAACAGTAAGGCAGCGCCTCAATTCGAGACTAGGCTCAACAGTCTTGAACAGCGCATGGATAAAATGACGCAGGAAACGTCCGAGACGAAGCAGCAAATGTCCGAAATGATGGCTCTTCTGATGGAAATTAAGCAGAATACCTCCCGAGCTGGCTCCCCGAGTGCTAAGTAGAGCGGCTGTTATACTCTAGGTTGCCTTCACTGTACTACTGTTGCACTGTCACTTTGTTTGTATCACCCCCTTCGTCTTGTCCTGGTTATATCTCTCTGTACAAAGCACCTTCACCTTGTCAAGAATATTGTCTACATGTTATTCCGTTTGATTCACTGATTGTTCTTCTTCCCATCTACCAACCCTGTTACCAAGGATGTTCTTGCGCGCTTCGAATGTCTTGGTAGAAGAGACGTGGTGGTTTTCCTCTATGGTTGCTCTCGATTAGACTTATGTTAACATGTTTTGATAAGATATTCATGAACTCTTCCGCAATATGAGCCATGCCCCATGCCCCATGCCTTCTTTAAAGTCTTACAACTAGTCCAAGGACGGCCTTACTCGTGGCACCATTGCCCCGTGTTTGGACAAAGTGAGAACCAAGGGGGGTTATGTGTCGCCGAAGGATTCTGAGGGTCTTTCTGCGAGAGGAAAGCTCGTAGAGCACATCGTGGTAGCCCTATCAAGCGTGATTGATAAGAAATTGAAGCCTTGGCATCCCCCATCTAAATCTCGGCCTAGAGCCGCGTGCATGCGTCTCTAGCCGACATCGTGTAAGCACGGACCTCTGAATGGAACGGGCAGCGCGTGCTCGACGCGCTGCGAGTCCCTGCCAGGGGAGACGCCCCAACGGCGAGCACTTATGAACGAGGGCATGCTGGGCTTGGGCGGCTGCAGAGGCACGTGTTTGCCGTTTACTAGCCACCGAGGCGGTCTCGGACGCACGTTCAAACAAGAGGCACCCATGCGCACGGCGGCGGCGGCGGCTGGGAGCCACTACTCGGAGCTTCAGGCTGATCAAGTACTTCAATCTCCTGATGTGGTGACATATGTTGCGCAGCCGCGGTGGGCTGTGTATTCCTGCAGTGCAAGTTAAGTTGCTAGATCACCATCTACTCCCACTTCGTGACCATGGGCTTCACAATCGATAAGGTGACTAGGGTGGTTGGAGAGTATCGAAGCCTCATATAACCCCAGCTACACTGCATCTCGTTATTGCGTCGCGAGGAGTTTCTTGCATTTAGCGGACAAGAAGCGGGCTACTAAGACAAAACAAGGCTACGGATTAAATAAGCCTAAGGTGGCGACACACACGCCGTTCCCTCCCTTCAAGTATCTGCGCATAATGCTTGTGCTTGACTTGAAGGTGCCTGACATGTCCATTTGAGTTGCCGAGTGCGTAAGAATGGTTAAACCCAGCGCAGCCGGGGCCTTTGCGAAACTGTGGGGCGTGGGAACTGCCAGCGAACGCGTCCCCCTCGCTCTCGGCACCCTGAGGAACCTGCGCAGAACCCTCCATTAATGGAGCACAGCGCTTTGGTCCTTAAGCTGCGGAGCACTGAATCATGGCCCTTGTTTAGCAAACTGGGACCCTGCACCCCATCCCTGATACATGAAATGTCAGGGTCCTCCATGATAACTCGACCCTTGCTGTCTAATGTCACCCCTTTCGGCAAGCCACTTTCGGCTTTTGGAGATATTCGGTCGTTTACCTGGTTCCCTCGACATCTTCTGGCTCCCTCAAGAGTCCTCTCTATGTATCCTGGGATGCCGACTGCACAAAGCTCGTACAACAAGAGCCGATTTTCGACCTCGTGTCTGGCGCCTTACTCGTGAATCGCACTCGCTGCAGACCCAATGAGCGCTCGTTTCACGCATAGGCCATTTCAGCCAGTTACTGAGCGCCTCATCATACTAGGAAGCCTACGCTCCATTGGATGTCAGCACTCCTCCAGGCACGCGCGGCGTGAGCAGGGTTCATTGCGTGATGCTCGATGACTCGCACATACGCACTAGGATCCTGATAGCTCGGAGTCCTTGTCGCGCCGACATGGATCTCAATCGGAGCAGGGCCATTTCTGGCTTCCTGGTCCCCATTCGGAGAAGCAGAGGGCGTGTGTCCCGTGGCATCATCGTTGCTAGAGCGGGCACGGACTCAATCTCCATTCTCCACTCAACGCCCCCCATTGCTATGTGCCCTGTACGATGAATGAAATGCCGAGACATGGACAAGGGTCTGACACCGCACTTGGTACCAGGCAACCTACATGGATTCAAGGTTTGTCGCGCAAACGGCGCGGCACGCACATGGATCACGAAAGGGTGCTTGCTTAGCTTGATCCACAGATATGGCTTGACTTCTTGTCCGCGTGTACACTGCTCCACTAGCACGCGGACATAGTTCTGACCCCTGAGCCCGAACGCGTAGGTTCGTCACTTGCATGCCGCACTAAGGCAAGGGTTTCTAGAGTCTTTCTTCGCCAAAGGCGGAGAGTACAGTTAGGTTCAGGTCCAGCGTCCTTGTGTTTGATTTAGACTTTTTAGCCCGCATCGCTATTTTTGGCTTTTGTACAGTGCGTAACCTGTCATATGGAAGCCTACAAACTGTATTCGACTTATCAGCACCGGCCACGCTAAAATCGGAGCCGAAACAAACATCCCCACACTACGACACCTATTAGCGAGTATCTCCGTGTCACGATCCTACCTCCAGGGTCAACCGTCTGGCAGGGCGCTGAGGTTGCTGTACTGCAAGATAGGTAAAGCCTGTGCAATAACACTTTCAACTCTGCTGTCGCTCTCTCTTTGGGGTTGTCGTGTCTCTGGGAAGAGACACCAGTCTCGGCAATTGAGTGACTAGTTCAAGTGTGTGGTGAAAATGATAATTAGAGTGATCGCTGAAGTACGAAGGTAATGGCTGTCTGTCTAGGAGATCCTTCGATACTATATGCACCTTTGTCCTTCATCGCAGTTCCTTGGACATGTTTGGATATGTTGCGATCCAACATATCCATTCCTGCTGACATAAGGGTTCTTGATTCGGTAATGAACCTTGGGTGTGCCTGCCCCGCGTGTATAATCCGCCCTTGTCCTTGGCCAGATCCTGCGACCTGCTGGTTGAGTCGTTACTGGCCTACGGCTAACTAAGGGCGTCCGGTGACGATGAGTGTTATATAATAAACGGCGCTGGCCTAACTAGATTTTCAAGAACATAATAAGTCATCTCCTTTTATAGAAGCTATACCGGAATCAAAATCCCAAGCGTCTAATACTACCGGAAAGCTCGAAGTACTGCAGTGATTATCTAAATAGAGGGAGCTAAGACAACCACTTATGCAGAAATGGGAATATATACAAGACCAAGCCCTGGAACAAGAGTGGGATGTGTTCCTTTGGAAACTTCGCCTTCTTCTTACTCTGCACAGTGACGCTCTTGCCGACCCACCGCTCTCCCTCGTCAGCAAGCTGCACCATCGCCGCCGTTACATCCCAGAAGCTAACATAAGTCTGAGATCGCTCTGTAGATAAAACATGCCCTGCGGGCTCGTCGTGAGAGATTCCGGCCGGCTTGAAAAAGACCGCGTCGATCCAGTCACTACGCTGGCGAAGGTACTCCTCCGCCTTCATGAGATCGGTGTAGATGTACCAATTTATCGCGAAGAGAATACTGCACAACGGCCAGCCTATGTCATTAATTGCCTGCTCCGTCTCGGAGGAGGACAACATGATCAGTGTCGGCAGCTTGACGGTACGCTTGTCCCTCCCGCCACAGACCTGCTCGAGGGCGGCAACGACGCTCTCGGCCTGGTCCTGCGCGATGCGGTTCCCGGGAATACTGGTAAACGCTGCTACGCAGAGGAACACAGCGTCGGTGTCGCGCAGGCAGGAAGCTAGCACGTCAATGGCGGAGATGTCGCCCTCGTGTACGTCGAAGCGGTTCTTGATTGCTGGATCACTACTGAGCTGTGGAAACTGCTTCAGCAGCTTGGCCCGGGACCGGACAAAGGCCTTGATGTGCACGTCTGGCCGCTTGAGGAGAGTCTGCAGGACGTGGCCACCGACTTTGCCGGTGGCGCCAAGGATTGCGTAGGTAGGCATGTTGCTCTTCGGATGTGTATATGCGAAGTGTTGTTTTTGTATTATGCCGAGAGATGATAGCTGTTGCTTGACGTGCTTACGTAGTCTGTGACAAATCGTTTAACCATCGCGGTGAGCAGCCCTAATATATCTTGGCCCGCTCGGGAGCATCGGGAGCCTCGGAATGGTCAGCTTGCGCTACTATCGCTCCCTAACGGCTGCAGCAGCTACGGGGTCCGAGACCCTGAACCCTTGCCGGTGCTGTCGGAGAGAGTCTGAGCGGCATTCATGTACGCAGGGCCGTGCTGCGCAAAAATTATAAATGCGCCGTTTATAGTAGTCGCAGCTAATGGGAGCAAGCGGGGCGGGGCGCATGTCGGGCCTTAACAATAACCCGAAGTCCGCCTGCCGTGCCCGAAGTCTGTTGTGACGACCCGGCCAGGCCGGGGACAAGGGCGGACTAGCGAAGGTTGGGCGGAGAGCATTAAGTAATCACCCTTACGTCAGCAGCCGACTCGTGGCAGTCGGCCTGGCGACAAGATAGTGTCGCCGGAACACGCGAAGACGATGAAGGTCCAAGGACATATAGATGCGGAGGATCTCCTAGATAGACAGTCATTACCTTTGTACTTCAGCGATCAATCTAAGTATCACTCTTACTCCTCACTTGACCCAGTCACTAGTGTGATATCTCGCAAGAGACACGAACGACAACCCCTAGAGAGCACGACAGCACGGAAGCAGTATTGCACGAGGTCCTACCTACCTTGTCAGGACATATACCCCACAGCGCCCTGTCACCCCGGAGATTGGATCGTGACACAAAGTACCATTAACATTAAAGGCGTAATCTTCGGATTCGCGCCAGTTCGTCTACCTAGCATTCTCGTGGTTCCATATCGTGTCTAGGTTGTTCGTACTCAACTAACGGCGCGCGGAGTACAAGAGATCGCATTACCTATAGCTTCATTGTGAAGCTTCGGCAGATCATAGATTCGAATAGTTCGTGTTAAGATTCGGAGAGTCGTAGATTTATTTCCGGTAACGGCCGTACCAGCAGCGAAATGTAGAGGTTAAGAGAGCGAGAGAGACGGAGATGATGGGTTGTGGAGCCGAAGTGGGGGTCTGTGAGTCATAGTCATGAGCGCCTAAAATGGCGACTGTTAAGGTAACATCCATCCCTGCATGGCGAGCCACCCTGCGTGCCGAGCCAAAATACAGGTACTTGACCTTTGACATAGACTCGAGCCCACCCACGCAGATGCAAATCCTCAAATTTATGTAGAACCTGTAGATTGACCAATTTCAACCCATTTCATCCCTCTCAACCATAGTTTTTAATCAGTATCGGATCTCGAGCCCGCGATCCGAACCCACCGATGTCTCGAAGTATTGAAAGACATAGTTATACACACCCCACCACTATCTTCTCATCGTCCCCGAAAGTCATAAATGGACATTAATCGAGTCTCTGATTCGGATTTTCACCACGACAAGTGACCAGCAGGCCCAAGGCTGTTGTGGGACGGTAATGTTAGCAACGTCAACAAGTCGATCGGTACCTTTCGAGTGAAGGGTCTTCCGGTTTCGGCTAGCGTCAAACGTCAAGTTGCGTGGGGCATGTACTGCTCGTACTGCCTGTGGCTGGTGCGTATGTGGCTATTTATAACTACTTAGTGAGAGGACACCTCTGCAAAAAGGTATGGTAGAGGACAGCCAATTCGTGCTCCATAGTCAGCAATGGCTTGAATAAGACTCCTCGCTTATTGTATAGACGAAGGCGTCACGTTATGAGAAAAGTACACGATTTGTAACAATGAAGGGTCTTCCGACCGATCATCTCTACCCTTAGAATACTGTACACGAATGGTCGGAAAGATGGCTGCCTGGCTGCACAGCACCGTAGCTGACTTGTGAGGTCGCGGTCAGCCTCGCTTCCCCGCTTCTATGTCTGTGTGATTAACCCCGCATTTCCTTTCCTTGCCATGCTGATGATAGATGCCTGATGCTCGAGGAGGCATGGTCTTTTATGACCAAAGCCGCATCACGCCGTCGCCAGCCAAAACCGTCAATCGTCCGAGATCCCCGGCTGAGGCTACGCTTGCAGGATGCGACTCTTGCAACTCAAAGCGGATGGCAGCCTCAGACTTGAAGACCACCCCCACGAGGACGCCCCGCCATATGCTATCCTCTCGCACACCTGGGGACCCGATGACCAGGAGATCACCTTTCAAGACGTTCAACATCATACAGGCCACCACAAAGACGGATATCAAAAGCTCACGTTCTGTGGCCAACAGGCTGCGCTGGATGGCCTGAAGCATTTCTGGACCGACACTTGCTGTATAGACAAGTCTAACAGCCAGGAGCTTCAAGAAGCGATCAATTCCATGTTTTGCTGGTATAGAGATGCCAACCATTGCTACGTCTTCCTCACCGATGTACACAAAAGTAGCAGCGACAATGACGACCACAGACTGTCACAAGGACAATGGAAAACAGCGTTCAGAAGCAGCCGGTGGCTGACCCGCGGTTGGACGCTTCAGGAGCTGATCGCCCCAAGATCAGTCAAGTTCTTCTCGGCAGAGGGGAAAGCATTGGGCGACAAGAATACGCTAGAGGCACTGCTCCACGAATGCACAGGGGTCCCCATCGACGCCCTTCGAGGGAGACCTCCAGCTGATTTCAGCATCAACGAGCGGCTCTCTTGGCTGGGGAATCGCAAGACGAAGCGCCCCGAAGATCTCGCGTATTGCATGTTCGGCATCTTCGACGTCCATATGCCACTCATCTACAGCGAGGGGCAGGAGAAGGCCTTCCTCAGACTGAGACGAGAGATTGGTAAGCGTCCTTGGCTTCACATGCGCTTCCAATCAGACTGACGACTTGTAGAACCCACACCGCGACGCGTCGAACCCTTCTCGACCGTCCCGTTCCTCCCCGATGCCGACTTCGTCGAGCGTCCAGATGTTACCGCGTGGCTGGATACAACCCTCGCGCAGCCAGGCGGCCGTGCCGCACTTGTCGGCCTGGGAGGTATCGGCAAGTCTCAGGTAGCGATCGAGTACGCGCACCAAACCCGACAACGATCGCCGAGTACGTACGTGCTCTGGGTGTACGCCGACACCGAAGCGCGGTTTGAGGAGGCGTATCGCGGCATTGCAGACCGACTGCAGCTGCCACGGCGCCATGATCCCAAGGTCGATGTGCTGCAGCTGGTGTATGACTGGTTGTTCAACGCGGAGAATGGGCAGTGGCTAATGATACTGGACAATGCGGATGATGTCGAAGTGTTCTTTCCAAGACGCCCTGACCGGGCTGGGACGAGTGTGTCGAAGCAACGGCCATTAGGATCGCTCCTGCCTCAGAGCACAAACGGCAGGATCCTCATCACGTCGCGGAGCAGGGAGGCAGCCCAAAGAATGACGGGCAGCAAGTGGAAGACCTTCCCGATGCAAGTGATGGACGAGAACCAAGCAACGCAATTACTTCAGAAGAAGCTCCGGGATGAGTACGAAGAAAAGGCGGCCGCTCTGCTGTCTGGTGCACTCGAGTATGTACCTCTCGCAATCACGCAGGCTGCCGCTTATATTGTCCGACGATCGCCACGAATCTCGTGCTCGTCATACCTAGAACAGTTTCGAAAGAGCGAGAAAAAGAAGGAAAGCCTGCTGGATCGAGATCTAGGTGATCTCCGGCGTGACGGGATGGCGGCGAACTCGGTCGTAGTGACGTGGCAGATCACGTTCGAACAGATCCAGAAGGAGCGGCGGTCGGCCGCAGACTTGCTCTCTCTCATGAGCCACTTCGACCCGCAGGAGATACCGGAATGGGTACTGCGAAGCTACTATCAGCGGAGATGCAGGAGTGGGAAACATCACGACAATGGAAAGGAAACCGACGAGGACGGCGAAGATTACCACGGCGAGGACGGTCTGGACGATGACCTTGAAACGCTCCGAGATTACTCGTTAGTAGCCGTGACCGTGCAACAAGGCATCTACGAGATGCATGCACTCGTACAGTTTTGTGCTCGAGCCTGGCTCTCATCAGTGGGTGATATAGCAAGATGGAAGCAGATATTTCTGCACATCATGTCAGAGAATTACCCGCCGGGGAGTTATGAGAACTGGTCAAAGTGTCAGCAACTTGAGCCTCACATTGCGCAGCTTGTAGAAACGCAGCCCGCAGATGCTAAGGGTGCAACAGAATGGGCGCGGTTATTAACGAACGCAGGATTGTATGGGTGGCAAGTGGGAGTGTACGACAGGGCCGAGGCATTGCTTTGGAAGGCAGTGGAGGTTCGAGAGGCAGTTCTTGGCGCAGAGAATAGCAACACACTTACAAGCGTCAGCAATCTTGCTCTTGTGCTGCGGTACCAGGGAAAGTACGAAGAGGCGGAGGTGATGAACCGACGGGCGCTCGATGGGAGTGAGAAGGCGCTGGGCAAGCACCATCCGAACACACTCACGAGCATCGACAATCTTGCTCTTGTGCTGCTGTCCCAGGGAAAGTACGAAGAGGCGGAGCAGATGAACCGACGGGCGCTTAATGGTAGTGAGAAGGCGCTAGGCAAGCACCATCCAGACACACTCACGAGCGTCAGCAATCTTGCTCTTGTGCTGCAGTGCCAGGGAAAGTACGAAGAGGCGGAGGCGATGAACCGACGGGCGCATGATGGTTGTGAGAAGGCGCTGGGCAAGGACCATCCAGACACACTCACGAGCCTCAGCAATCTTGCTGGAGTGCTGCTGTCCCAGGGAAAGTACGAAGAGGCGGAGGCGATGAACCGATGGGCGCTTGGTTGTCGTGAGAAGGCGCTGGGCAAGGACCATCCAGACACACTCACGACCGTCAGCAACTTTTCTCTTGTGCTGCGGTATCAGGGCAAGTACGAAGAGGCGGAGCAGATGAACCGACGGGCGCTTGATGGTCGTGAGAAGGCGCTGGGCAAGCACCATCCAGACACACTCGCGAGCGTTAGCAATCTTGCTTACCTCTGCTATGAGCAAAATCGACTCGATGAAGCCGGCGAGCTTTATGTCAACGCCTTGAACGGATTCAGGAAAGTGTTAGGGCCAAGTCATCCTACTACGTTAGCTTGCGAGGGTCGTTATACATCTTCGAGTAAAAAGATGGCTGCAATGAGGTAACACAGTCAATTTGCGCAGTCAATATTGCTAGTTGTTAACTAAATCATTTGATTTCTGGACGTTCACGAATGACCTTTCTTCCTCCCACTAGGTAGTGATGAATAGCCACATACGCACCAGCCACAGGTAGTACGAGCAGTACATGCCCCACATAACTTGTCGTTTGACGCTAGCCGAAACCGGAAGACCCTCCACTAGAAAGGTACCTTGCGACTTGTTGATGTTGCCAACATCACCGTCCCACAATAGGCTTGGAACTGCTGATCACTTTTCTTGGTGAGAATCCGGATTAGAGACTCGATTTACGTCTATTTGTGACTTGAGAGGCGATGAGGTGATGGTTGTGGGGTGTCATTGCGTATGTCTGTAAATGCTTCGAGACTTCGGTGGGTTCGGATGACGAACTCGAGATCCGACACTGCTCAAAATTTATGGTTGAGAGGGATCAGAGGGCTTGAATATGGTCAGTCTATAACTTCCAAACAAGTTTGAGCAGTTGCATGTGTATGGGCGGACTCGAGTCCATGTTAAAGGTTAAGTACCTGTATTTTGGCTCGGCACGCAGGGTGGCTCGCGATGCAGGGATGGACGTTAGTTAAGGTATTCCATGGCAGGATACATAATTCTAATCACTTGGCGCTGTTCATGGCTCCACTTTCCCTTATTCTCCGACTGGCCACTAGAGAGGCTGAACCTGAACCTAGCTGTAACCCTCGCAGTGCCCACCCACGCTTTCCAACAGCGTTAGTGTCACTCACGCATCTACATATGGCAGACTACTGTCCATGGCCCCTGGCACGGGACCAGGGACCGGGCAAGGCTATCACGGGGCAGCACCGTTCCTCTCTTGTTTTGAGAACCCGAGGTCTACACGAGACATGTCTCGAGCGAGGTCGCTATCGCTTGCTGGGAGGTACCATACTCGACCAGGCTTTGTCTCTGCGAGACGATTGGGCGTCAACTGCGCTTGCCAGGCACAAGATCACTGGCACAGTCAACGACATAAGGCTTAGGAGGCCGGGGTCGTGTCCCGTTCAGGGCGGCCTTTCCCGTATATGCTTGCGACCGGTTCCCATCCTAGCTATCGCGGCAACGATACTTCATGACAATACAAGTCTATTTGATGGTTGATCGTACCTAGCTCGGCAAATTCACTCCACAAAACAATCAGCAGCTCAATAACACCTCATCCGGGCTCAGTTGGACTCGGCTCGAGGTTACAGGGACCATGGAAGCCTGTGTCGCTCTATAAAACGCTCTCAGGGTTGTGCTTCACACCTGGCCTCGTGACTGCGCGTTGCTTCTACTGCACTACTACCTCTGCCAGGACAGTCGCGACCATCGCTCTCAGAGCCTTCCTCTAGCCACGTTCCACTTTGAAATCTCACGCTCACAGTGTTGGTGACAAGGATCGCATCTGAGGACGCCTCTTGCTCATTGGCAGACGTCGTTGCAACGGGAGGTGACTTCTGATTGCATGCATTCGGAGACGCTGGAGGCGCTGGAGACGCTGGAGTCTTGCTTCGCGCTGACTGGCCTTGGACGCCTACGCAGGTCATCTCGTTGCTCATGGTAGCCTGTGTCCTCACTAGAACATTCGCGACGAGCGGTCGTAGTGCTGGTAGACTTCCACATAGCAACGCGCAGAATTTCTCCACTGCCGACCACACGACGATGTCCACGCCGTCCCAAGTAGCATCAAAAGTCGTGCTGTAACTGACGGCGTACTTCATGCGGATCATAGATGTGAGGCAGGCGCTGACAACGAGTAAGCCTTCCGCCACAAGAGCGTCCTCAAGCCGGGAATGCTTACAAGGAACCAATACTGAACAGGGTGACCAGGATTATTCGACGGTGTCGCTGGATCTGCAGCTGCCAGATTTGCTTCATGGGTAAGATAAGAATGGCGACGTCCTCGACAATACTCAGAATGCCTCTACTATAAATAACAGCATTAATATCGATACAGCGTCGGGCCGTAATAAGCCGGTCCCAGATCGACTCGATTGGTATACATTGAAGAGCCGTAAGAAGAGTATAGACAGCCTCAAGTACCGGAAGAAGACAGAGTAGGGCCCAGGTAATGTGGCGGATCGTTGGAACCGGGAAAATCCTCAGATAAACTAGTAAGATGGCCATCTTTCCGACGACGAGAAGAACCATGTAGACGATGGAGTTCAAGTAGAATAACTAGTAAGGATGTTCAGCATGCTTACGGGAAGAGCGGTCAGGCAGGACTGGTCTCACCTTTAATATCAGGGTCCCCGTCTCTACCGGGATAGTCCAATAATGCATGCCGAAGCCGATACTCGCATTATACAAGTTGATCGCAGCTAGCACTGCTAAGAGTATCTGTGCTTCGTTAGTATCGGTGAGAGGCTGTCTAGATGATGACCTACGGCTGCAGCGATTGTCGCGAAGTCATCGCCTGAGAACCCTTTGGCGTAGCGGAGCCTGCTGTAAAGACGGAGTGCTATGACAGGAAAGACAATGACACATCCCGCAATGGTTACACTTATGACTTCTGAGCTGCGAGACTCTTTCGGATAGCTGGCGCAGATCTCCGTCTCGATCCTCCCGGCGACTGAGTCAAGTTAGTCAAGCCCACTCCCACGTCTGGGGAGCCTTACCTACCTGATCCGCGAAGGTACAGCTAGTCTGTACACATTCAGACAGACCAGCTTGGAGGGCTATATCAGCACAAAGACAGCTCGCAAGATCGGTGCCATTGCAGCCTTTGGCGGCAAATGCATCGACGATACAGAAGCGCTGCAGCAAGAGTTAGCACCGCAACCTGGGTAGACAGTAGTACTGACAGTACACTCTGGTGCAGCAGCCACAAGCTGCGCAACAGAGTCAACTTGGCCAACCGCCATACCAGTCTGCAAGACTAGCACAGTGGCAAGAAGGAATCGCCTGATCTTCATCGTGATAAGGAGCTCTCCGATTGACATTATTTTCTAAACCTTGTGGCCGATGGACGCTGCGACTGAGAAGCGCCCCCAGCATTCAGGCCTCAGGGCTTATATAGCATGTCGCATCCAGGAGCTATAAGTGGCGGAGTGTTATGACACGGAGGAAGACCAGCAGCCCTCTCCAATATTGGATGCATGACGGATGTCACAAGAACGACCTCGGCCCTCGCACTCATAAAAGCCTAAAATGGTTATTTAGTAAATGGAAAAGCCCTCAGCTGCCAGACGAGGGTTCACTCACGACTTCAATCAACACATCTAACATACAGCATGCCTACTACTAAGAGCCGGGTCAACAAGGCCACTAGTGCGGAATGGAAGCCAAGCGCTGCGCAGTACCTCGTCATGGCCACACTATCCTCTCTCTCGTTAATGGTCTCTCTCGATGCCTCGATCCTCGTGACATCGCTCCATGTAAGCGTCGTCTGCTTCCGAACCTCCTTCCGAGCTAATTTGTACCGCAGGCGATTATTGTCGATCTGCGAATAGACACGACCCAGGGCTTCTGGATTGCCACGTCATACCTGCTTGCCAACACTATTTCCATGCCCTCCGCTGCGGCATTGAGTGACATATTCGGGCGCCGGAACTGTCTCTTTGTATCTCTCACCTTCTTCTCAGCGGGTTCTGTCGTGTGCTCTGTTGCACAGGGAATTGCTGTGATGCTTGTTGGGCGATGCCTCCAGGGGATTGGTGGCGGGGGCATTATTATCTTGAGTCTTGTCATCTTCACGGACATAGTGCCGCTCGACTTCCGGCCGAAGTGGTACGCAATGATGTGGGTGAGTCCGTGATCCTCTCTTGATTTCAGTACGCTAACACGCAACAGACTTGGAGCCTGGGCTCTGGGAAATTGTACCGGCCCAACTATCGGCGGGGCGATTGCTCAATATACCACTTGGCGCTGGGTGTTCTACTTGGTCTTCCCTTTCTGTGGTGTTGGGTTTGTGATGATCCTTCTAATGCCGCAAACTCCAATCCCAGAGAGTCGCCTCGGCAACTTTGACTGGCTTGGCTGCGTTTCCTTTACCGCCTCTATTACCTCGTTTCTCATTGCCATCTCATGGGGCGGAGTACAGTACAGCTGGACAAGCGCCCCGACTCTTGCCCCGCTGGTTGCCGGTGTTTGTGGCTTAGCAGCTACGCTGTTCTTAGAGACACGCGTTAAGACGTCACCTTTCTTACATCTGCGCTTGTTCCGGAGCGTCCGTACAACCGCCCCTTACGTGTGTGGGCTACTTCAAGGTCTTTTGGTAAGTTGCAAAGAGGACTTTTCTATAGCCCTGCTAACTACGTGCTAGCTATACGGTCAACTCTATTACATTCCATTCTACTTCCAATCTGTGAAAGGCTTTACCGCACTTGAAACCGGTAAGGCCATTATACCCGTGGCGGTTGCTCTGGTGGTAGGCTCCGTAATGTCGGGCATAGTTATCACAAGGCTTAGCCACTTCGGCTATCCCATATGGGGTGGATGGGGGCTAACAACACTTGCGACGGGCCTCACTCTACTCTGGGACAGAGATACGCACCAGGTCGTCTGGGTAGTCACTCTCCTCCTGCTCGGTCTTGGCCATGGTGCCGTCCTCAACGCGCAGAACATTGCAACCCAGCAGATGGCTGGCGGGCCCGAGCATGGCACTGCCGCTGCTATGTATGGCTTTCTCCGGCAATTTGGCATGGCTCTAGGGGTCGCGGCCGGCACTGCTGCCTTTCAGAATGTCATGGCACTGAAATTGGATTGGCAGGGTCTATCTCAGGAAATTGCCATCCACAGTGAAAGTTACGTCGCTGAACTCTCCCAGCTTCCGGATGGAAGCGATACAAAGGCGCAGATTCTCCAAGCATATCTCTATGGTTTCCGTGGAGTATTTGGCTTTTTCACAGCCGTTTCAGGTGTAGCTCTCTTAGTCAGTCTGCTGGCGAAGCCCAAGGAGAGCAGAGGCCGTCGGCGTCTCAACACAAGATGAATGGAGCGCTACCTCGTTACAGGCCTGACTTAGCCTAGCCAGACATAAACCTCTACGGCGCTTGTCAACTGGAGACGTATTCTTCCCCCTACTCTTGCTGGTAATCTAGCTCCTCAAGAATCAAGCCGCGGCTCAGATATCGGCCTGCTACTTTCCTTGTTGTGTCACGGAGCTCATGCGATCCCGATACTGATAGAACAAACAAATCAATTACACTGAACTCAAGGTCAAAGTGCGGATGTGATAAACTGACCGAGTACGAGGATGTGATCATTGTCTGACTGATATCGCGCTTACGATTCCAGTAGTGAATCTTGATCGTAGGGAGGTGGACGGGAAGGCAGTCCCACTTCCGGAATAGAATCTCCATCTACCTCACTTTGTAGGATCTCAGCTATATTCGGCGCGTGAGGGAAAGTGTTTACACGGCCATGATCCCCTAAAGCTTCGTTGTGAGTCGCACCCTCGTTGTAAATGGAGATTTGTAGGATCTGAGGTCTGTCAGGTCTCAACGCAAAAGGAAGGATTCAGCCAATAATAAGCTTACCCTTCTGAGGGTAGGATCCTGTAGATAGTCGTTCAGTAAGGCTACTAGTGGAGCGAACTCACTAAGCCTCTTTACGTGCCAGATAATGTGGGCACGGCATTTGTGTGTGGCAGTAATTTTCTTCAGGTATGGAAGGACCGCAATAATCCCGAAGTCCGTGGTTAACATCAGAACACACTTAGCCTCCTTCAAGGAATGCGATTTTCCATAAGGGCCGCTGAAGAATGCGAGACAATTCCGCTCGCCCATGTGGAGAAGTCGTAAGGTTAGGCCGCCTCGGCATTGGACGTATAGCTCTAGTTTGTCCTGCTTTAGAGGGGACCACGAAGTAATGGTAAATGGATGGCTTTGCGCCCACGACCAAAAGCCGAGAGTCGAGGACATGATACTTAGGCTGATGTATTGTCCAGCGTCGATCTTGATCGGACGCGGCAGTTGGAGGACTATTCTCACGATGACCCCATCGTTTATAATATATGCTTTAGGGAATGGTTTGCCCCAGCGAGTATTCCGGTACAGGAATAGCAAAAACTGCACAGCATGAACAAGACCGATCAGTCCAATTAGGGTAAACAACAACCACTGTTGCACATAAGCGGCGGTGCTTATATGTTGCCATGTGGAGAAGGCGATAATGACTGCAAGGGCTCTGTGAGTCTTGTCTGCGAGTTCGTATACACGCTTCCTGAGAGGGACTATGCTGAGAACCGCCATAAGTCCTACAGAGGCCGATGCCTGGGAAGTTAGTGGGATCTACCAATCTTGGGAATCGAAAACCCTACCATTATCCTATATAGATCGAGTACTTCTTCAAGATCGAGAGACAGAGAGACGTGGAGAAGCAGTAGCGCGAAGGTCATGACCCCTGCCGCTTTGTGTACTTCTTGTGTCGTTTTACGGGATAGGCCCAGAGAATTAGCTAGAAAGTCTAAGTGGAATGACAGGAAGAGTGGCGTTATATTAGTTGCTGCTAAATAGCCAGCTCGTGATGCCAGCTCTGTTCGCGATGGCTGCGGCAGTAGCAGGCACACCGCATTTGATACCACATATATACCTCGACCGAGGATGAGACTAATCGTCCAGGGTCCTGCCCATCGATGGCGATTGATTATGAACGTGTAGCTGAACAACCGGAGCCCCAGAAGAAAGAGAGCCCGACACCAGATGTAGATAAGCGGCAACACCTGCCGCGCTATGAATAGCGCAATGAGGATACCGCAAAGAGACAAAGCATAGACTTGATGGGCGGGAAGTTGCACGCTTAGCAAATCATCCATTACATCTCATGCTAAGCTAGGATTCCGAGACACTCTCGAGAGGGAATAGTACATATATACAGTCTCTCATGTCGGCCTTATGCTATTTCCGGCTCAACTCCTTTGTTACACCTGGCTCCATTTTTGGAGATGTGACTTACACGAGCCTCGTAAAGTTATACTTGGGTTTCAAGCTTATACTCTCGTGGGTGAGCCTGTACCTGACTAACAGCTATTAGAATAAGCAAGGAGCCGCAGTCCCACACTGCGCCTTTTCGCCCGAACTTCTTAAGAAACTCGTGCTAGAACATCCATTAGTACCACGAATCGGAATATCATGGGGGGCCAAGTACCTGCTGTAGCTCGGTCGCAGTCTGTGCTGATGTTGTGGCAGCGACAAAAGACACTGCATCCCCATTAGAAAGCCACTGCCGGTTATGGATGCCCTCTCTGCCTTCATTCTTGTTGACTAAGCCTTGCGTGATTGTGTTGATCCGGGCTGCTGCCCAGTGCTTTCGTGCCGGATTGACGGGCTGACACGCTTCACAGCAAGCTGATGCACTTCATTAGAGCCAGTCCGTTCTCCAGACTGCGTTTTCGCTGCTTACATATCTTGACTTCACCATTGTTGTTCACCAGAATAAATTCCCAGTCTAGTAACGGGTGTTCTAGATTCTCGCTTTCCAGAAAAGACAGGCCATCAATGATCTGTTTATTAGCCACTGGGACGTGTGTCGGAGGAGAGTACTCACTTGTCCAAGAATTGCAGCGCCTTCGTGGGGACTAGGGTACCGAGTACATGAAATGACATGCAGAAGGCTTAGCTGCATCACTTCAAAAATGACGTAAACGTCCTTATTCATCGAGAACGCCTCGAGTGCTGAAACAAAGCTTGTATGCCGACGATTTTGGATATCATAAAGACTCGCCACGGCTACTGATCTGATGTTCACAAATCTTCCTGGCGATGACTGTTCCAATGCAAGCCAGGTTTCCTTACCGAGATCAAACCAAGTAAGGATTTTGGTGTACTTTTGCCAAGGATCTCCGGGCTGCGCTCCCAGGAGGTTCACACGAGAGGTCTTGCTTTGGTTCGATGGAACGATAGTCTCAATGACAGGGTTGGTAGTATCCCTGATCTGAATTAGGCTCTCAAACTCCTTCGTTTTGATGACCTTGCGTTCTCTGGGTGGTGTCGCTGGTTCCAAGGCAACGGGCTGCCGTTTGTTGGGCACGCCCTTTCGATGAGTGCTGTTCGGGTCATTGATGTAGATTTGCGTAAATCTCGTGTTATCCTTGCTCATTGCTCAGTATTATGCCGACGGGCAGCGTAGGAGCGTATGTGCTTCCATTGATTTAAGTAGGTCGGTGGCCACCGGGCTTGGGATGCAGTGGCTGCGGGAGCACATTTTGGAGCCTCGGGAGAATTCAAGTTCGGACTCCTCGGCACATCCGCCAGACACAGGACTCAATACACTCTTTGCGATGAGCAAGAGAAAGCCAGACTCAACGAGGGACGTGGAGCTCTACTGTTCAATTCGAGAGTGCAGCCTACTAGGCCAACACGACAGGCAAGTGCGGTTGTTAGAACAATTATCCTCACGACATGCGCTGAGATGTGTGCGCGCAATGCTGCGAAGTGAAGGCCTTGCTGCAGCCTTTGATAAACCCTTGGCGATTCCGGCGCTCAGAGATGGCTGGAGTGTCAGTCAATGGCACAAATACGTTAGATATAGCGAGGTATGTGCCACGGCCGCTTTACTCAAGTCCCCCTGAAGGCTAAGCTCGGGGATATAAGGAGGTTATTTGTTATGTACGACGCGTTACAGAGGACTGGGAGGCGATCGTACCTTTCGAAGGGCTTCTGCTTGACTTGGACACAGCTACTGTAAAGGCTATCGAAGGGCGATGCCCGATGGTATCGACGCACGATGCTGCGGAGATTGACTCGCGAATGGAGAGAGGCACAATCTTCAAGAACTTCAGCACCGAACAGAGATTGATCATCAGACAGGGCCTATGGTCTATAGGTCACACAATTCCCTCCCTGTTTACCCTCCTTGACGACTTGAAGCTTCTGGACTCATGCGCTCAAAGCATAAGTCACCTTATGCCATTACCAAGTGGTGTACTAAATCCTCCATGTCGCGTGGTATCGAGCGCGCCAATGAGCATATACAGTATAATCAAGGGCTGCTATCCAGGCGATCCTAGTAATAGGGGCATCTTGGTAGAAATAGCCGAAGGTGAGTATTATCAGCTGGACGCCTCCTCAGAGGTACGCTTTGAGATCGCGCGACGACAGCTGTGGCTGTATGCTCTGAGGAACTTCAGAGACCTCCCGAAGGCCCGAGATGGTAGGGCGAGGAGGTTGCTGACGAAAGTCGAGCTGAGTAGAGCACATTTGGAGTCCTTGCAAAAGTTCGCGACGTTTGCAGGCCGGATTGGATTTGTATCGCCCGAAATCATGAGATTAAGAAGCCAGGAGGATGTCCCCATCACAACCGGGGATCTGCCGCAGCGTGAGAGTAGTGCAAGCACAAAGAAACGAAGCGGGTTGCCATACGAAGATACATTCAATCAAGACAAACAGTACTTGTTTATTCCTAATCTCCATCGCGACCATATGCCATCGACGGTTACCTCGTTTTTCGTACTACAGTCCTTTTACACGGCTTTCTTTGGTACTACGCCTCAGCTCGGTCATATCTTGCCCCGAGCGTTGACGCCATCCAGTATCTCGTCAGCCGACTCGAGCGAGATCGAGAGTACACAAAGTGAAGCTGATGACATCTCGTTACCTCGCCAGGAAAGTGGAAAAAAGAGGGCGAATGAGCTGCCGAGTCATCAAGCAGTAAAGCGACAAGGTCGATTATGGGCGAGCACGGCCGAAGTGAACTCACCCGTTCATTCTCCCGCCCGTCATACCATTCACTTCCGCACATTCCGATATGGACAGCTAGAGACTGTTCGTACAGCGCACGTTGACCCTTCCGACGAAAATGAAGTAAAGAAGGTCGCGTATGAGCTTCAAGAGCAGGACTTTGCGTTTCTTTCGACCTCCTTTAAGTCGTTGCTTCCAGAGCAAGTGCAAGGTAGCGCTTTGTCAAGTGGTATCAACACGGTCCTGGTCCTCCCGCGAGAACGTGTTGTAGTGGATAAGCCTCTTAAACAGGCGATTAAAAACCTACTACAGTCAGATTCGAAATCGGTGTCTGTGTAGGTCATGCAAAAATAGTTCTGCGCACGGACACCCTGGTCTTGGCACACCACATTAATCAGTGGAGAAGTGGGAAAGTGGGCACTTCTGCAGGAAGGTGGGGTAGAGGACAGCCAGTTCATGATCCATAGTCAGTAATGGCTTGATTAAGACTCCTCGCTTATTGCATGGATGGAGGCATCACATTATGAGAAAAACACACAATGCTGCAACAAGCAAGAGTCTTGCAAGCAAACATTTCTACACTCATTCGTTCTCGTCGATCGGCCGACGTTGAAAGTTATAGCTTGCACGGCGAGCTTCTGCAATCTCTCAAGAGCTGATAGCCATATCAATCTTGACTTCGATTGGCCGTCTTTTGTGGCGATGACATGGCGCATTCGGCTTTCTGGTCCTCTATTAAGACTCACTGCTCAGCGGAAAGCGTGGTGGACAAGTAACGCGAACTCGTTCGGGATGTTGGCAGGAAACGCGAGTTTACAGTCCTCCAGTAGGATGGGCTGTACAGTCTATGGACTGCAAGTAGTGCTCGTAACGGCCACCTCTTCATCAATAACATTTGATATCTGCAAGGGATTGAAAGCAACCTTCTACAAAAAGCGAAATGAAGTTAGGATGTAGATGAGGACACCAGATCTATAGGTGTTTGCGGGATGGAGTGCGGTCAGAGGGGCCTCCAACCATTTTGTGGCTAAAACTGCACATCAACTGACCACCGTCGAGCCTCGCGCCATCGTCAATTGACCGGATGTCTTCGACGAAAGCCATGCTCAGCTGCTTCAGGTTAGCGAGCATGGGACTGTGGGAGCTCCTGAATACTGGACTGGGACAGAGGCTGGATGACTCATCTCTATGTGGATCCAATGTCTCATGTGGCTCCCTGTAGAGGCACAATGGCTCTGTGCCTGGCTACTACGATGGAATGGCCACGTGGACACTGCCCAGCGTTACACAGTTCACATCACCGCAACTGACTACGATGCTGTCTGACGCCTATGCAGACCGTGGCAAAACGACTACGAATGGCCAGTCCACGAGCTCGATGACTTCGAAAGCCCGCAAATCTCGACAAGACTCAACATTGGCTTGCAGAACAGGTACACAATGCCGCTTGGACCAGACTCAAGTCATCCGATGATTCTGATTTAGCGCTGCGGCTTTCCTCAGCATGATGCGTAAATGTGGCGCCGGGCAGCCTCGTGGCGAAGGTATCACGCAATCATATACAGAGCTACTGAGACTCGAGGGTATGCTTGAGAGACTCTGTCACTGAGGACAGAGCTCCTGCTGCAGGACTGCTCGGTCTCGACTAGTCCGGGTGGCGGCCAAAGACCTAGTTTGTGAAGTTGAAACTGTGCCTTGTCGGTGCATCGGGTGGAGTCATATGTTGTCAAGGCAGAATGGCCTCACCTGCAGCTGAACTCGTGCAGATCGACCCCACGGACTCCATAGATTAGAGCCATCAATATGGATCAGCTGCGCGCCGTTACAGTACTTCTCAGGTCTCAGGTCAAAGCTGTAAGCCACGTCCACACCGGTCTGCACGAGCCAGTACGTGGCAGAATATACCCAATCATTCATTGCCAGGTTGCAGCGGGGTGCACTCATGCTGCTGTCAAGATGGCCATTTCCGCTTTGGCTTGCATGGCCCAAGCATACATGATTGCAAGGAAAGGACCACCATCATGCGCAGCCAGTGTATAGTGTTGTGGAAATGGGCTAAAATCGCAAGGCTCTTTTACTTGGCTAAGTGCTCCTAACATGGCAAGATCTAACGGTGATTGGATCCTGGCGCTATGGGTGTGCATATTTAAGAGAACGATTCCAAAGCTGTGCATCGCTACAAATGTATGAGCAGGACCCCAGCGCGACATTCAACATGATCTTGACCCGGTCCAGCCCTAATCTCTTCCCTCAAACCAGCCAATCTTACAAGTGGCTTCAGGGCTGAACCGACAAGATGCAGCAAAAATGGCGCTCGTGCGGGGTCGTGCAGAGCACCTCGAGGTTGAATGTAACTGCGCCGCTCAACAAGCCTAACACCAATTTCTTTTTCCTCGGTTTTTGGAGCCAGGGCCATGAGTCTATTCTCTTGGCGACCTTCGTTCTGACCTGGTCGTTCCTCACGAAGAGCACCTGTCATTCCAGATCCCCTGATTGTACTAGCCCAACACACTCTCAGACTCTATTTCGCATTCCAGGTTTTTTCGCGATCGTAAGTCTGTCTAGTGCCCATCATATCCGGCGACAGAACATACTCATCCTCAGTGGCACAATTCTTGTCCAGGCAAAACGCGACTGATCCTTCTCGAGATGACGGGTGTCGTCGAAGTCGGAACAGTACTTGGTCTCATCTCCGCCGTCATTGCCATCTTCGAAGCCGCGCATGACGTTTACGATGCAGCAAGCGATGTTTCGGGAATGCCGAGGAAATTTCGTGCGGCCGCCGAACGCATTCCACTGGTCCATCATGCTCTCAGTCGTGCAGCAGAGCACATACAGAGCCGACAAGTCAGTGAAGATGGAATCAAGAGCTCCGAGTCGGTTCTACAGCAATGCAAGGAGCATGCAGACAAGATCAAGGAAATATTCGAAAAGGCTCTGCCTGGACCACATACATCGAGGATAGAACGCATGAAGAAGGCCATGATTCTGAAGCGAAACAGCAATCAGGTCAAAGAAAGCATGGAAGAAGTTATGAAGGGTCTCGAGCTACTAGCTCAGAATCAGATCTTCCAGGACGCAGAGACACTCCAGGACATCCAGAAGTCCCTTGAAGAACTTGGCTCCCTCGCTGATGATGATGGACATCAGCAATACTCCCATTCAGGCTCAGGAGATCAAAACATCGTTTCAGGGTCGGGTACGCTGAAGAAGAACCACAATTCGGGATCTGGTCACCAATACAATGCGGAGAACATAACCTTTGCAGGACAGCCAGCAGGTAAGAGTGCACAGACGTCGATGTAGGCGCTGGGAATCTTAGGTAATTGTCATCGCTGCCTGTTATCGCACTTTACTGCGCCAAATACATTGTAAATATTGGGTTTCTGCATACATCATAAAGGCTCCCTTTCGCAATTCCAGCACTGACGTGGTGTATTGAGGGCCAGACACAAAAAGCGAAGTTGCCAAGCAATGCATAGCCGACTTGCGCGTGACCGATCCTCGCCATGATAAGAGGCGCATCGAGGGCATGAAGGGCAGCCTTCTCAGGGACTCTTACTTATGGGTGCTCGACAACCCGGACTTTCGCCAGTGGCGCAACAATGACAATCAGCGACTACTCTGGGTCAAGGGCGATCCGGGCAAGGGCAAGACCATGCTCCTTTGCGGAATCATCGACGAACTAGAGAGGATGCGCACCGAGGGACAGACTCTATCCTACTTTCTTTTCCAGGCCACAGACGAGCGCATCAGTACCGCGAAGGCTGCCTTGCGCAGCTTGATCTACATGCTCCTCGAGAAGGACGCCTCCCTCATTTCTCACATGGAGAAGCCGCACGCAGCCGCCGGCAGAGACCTTTTCGAAGACACCAATGGCTGGCAGGCGCTATGTGAAATCTTCGAGAACATTCTCCAAGATCCCAAACTTCAGGGAGTTGTCCTTGTGGTCGACGCTCTGGACGAGTGTTTGCAAGGTCTGCCAGTGTTTCTCGACCTGGTGGTCAGGACCTCGCAAAATACCACAGCGAAATGGCTCATTTCAAGCCGCAATTGGCCTCAGATTGAGGAACCATTATGCAAAGTGGCGCACAGGCTTTCGCTTGAGGTTAATGAAACTTCAGTTACAGAAGCCGTAAATACATACATCGAGCACAAGGTGTCCGAGCTTGCACGACGCAAGGGTTACCGCGATGACATCGCCAGGGAAGTTTACCACTATCTGTCGTCGAACGCAGATGGCACGTTTCTCTGGGTTGCCTTGGTCTATCAAGAACTCGAAACGACTTACTCCTGGAATGTGTTACAGAATGTCAAGTCTTTTCCTCTGGGGCTTGATGCTCTATATCAACGAATGATAGAGCAAACACTCGCCTCAGAAGATACTGAATCCTGCAAGCAGGTTCTTGCACTCGTAGCAACGACCTATCGCCCACCGTCGCTGTCTGAGTTGATGACTCTGGTCGGAGAGTCCTTTCGCATGAAAACCTATCGCGAAATGCTCGAGGGGATCATCAGCCTGTGCGGCTCGTTCCTCACAATTCGTGAAGACAAGGTGTACTTTGTCCACCAGTCTGCAAAGGACTTCTTAATGAAGTCTTATCCGGTCGTTCTCTTTCCCAACGGACAGCCATCAGTTCACAGCCAGATTCTCGAGAACTCAATCGAGGCTATGTCTAGCATACTGAAGCGCGATAACTACAATCTACGCTATCCAGGCTTCCCAATCGAGAAAGTCAAACCGCCGACGCCTGATCCACTCTCGACAGTCGGGTACTGCTGCGTCTACTGGGTCAATCATTTGGTGGATGCCATTACGAATCAGGATGAAGGCAGAAATTTACACGACGGTGAAATAGCAGACAGCTTCTTGCGGACTAAGGCTCTCTACTGGATTGAGGCGTTGAGTCTACTACGCGGCATACCAGATAGCATTGTTGCATTAGACGGACTCAAACAGCACATTCAGGTATGTTTTCATACGCAGTTTAGTACGTCAACAATACTGACTAAATCAGGATCATCCGAGTGCTTCAGATCTTCAGGCAATAATTGCTGACGTGTATCGTCTTCTGCGAGGCTTCCGCCCGGCGCTTGAGACCCGACCACTGCAGTGTTATGCATCAGCAATAGTTTTCAGTCCTGTTAAAAGTTTGGCACGAAAGCTCTTCCGCGGTGAGGCCCCAGATTGGGTCAAGTGCAAACCGGAACTGTCAGAGCGGTGGAGCGCATGCGAGGCGACACTCGAGGGCCATACCGCCTCGGTCCTATCGGCAGCTTTCTCTCCAGACGGCCGCCGCGTTGTCTCGGCATCGGGCGATAAGACAGTCAAGCTGTGGGATGCGGCTACGGCCACTTACGAGGCGACACTCGAGGGCCATACTAACAGGGTCTGGTCGGCAGCCTTCTCTCCAGACGGCCGCCGCGTTGTCTCGGCATCGGATGACAACACGGTCAAGCTGTGGGATGCGGCTACGGCCACGTGCGAAGCGACACTCCAGGGCCATACCGCCTCGGTCCGATCGGCAGCCTTCTCCCCAGACGGCCGCCGCGTTGTCTCGGCATCGTGGGATAAGACAGTCAAGCTGTGGGATGCGGCTACGGCCACGTGCGAGGCGACATACGAAGTTGGTGCTGATGGCTCTTTGTCATTAAACACGACTGACACATATATATATACCGGTGTTCAAGTACTCCGTGTCGGAAATTACGTGGAATACATATTGGATCTATATCCAAACATGTCCGCCATGGCCGGCCGCCAACGCTATGGTATCAGTTCGGATGGTGCATGGATTTTGAGGGATTCGCTGCCGGTCCTCTGGCTTCATCCAGAGCTCCGATCGCGAGTTATTAGGTGGGCCACAGTGGATGCAGATACGAAACTTGTTATTGGATGCTCGAGTGGCCGTGTTTTCATCTTATATTTTACCTTTATCTAGAGACACGTGCATCATAATTGGTGCCTTTCGACTTCCCTTCTCCCTACTTGCCTTAAGTAGAGATGGGCTTAAATTGCTTTTCCGATGTGTATCGTAGCTGAATGTCCGCGAACATACAGGATGTCTTGTTTAATCATATCTACAATTCTTACCATAAAGTTAACATTGAACAGGCTTCACTCAGTAGTGGTCCAAAATCATACCGCACGTCTCATGCGACATTAGTATTGTAAACTAACTTCAACTAATGGGAACATGTCTGTACGGCTTTAAATACCGTACAAATGAAATTGCGAGTATAAAACTGCACAATAGCCGTGAACGCGCTGTTAAAAGTCGCGAAGTCAGCTGGGAAACCCTCCGTGAGGCAGGAGCTACGTGCGAGAAAAGCAATGTTAGGTCTCATAATCACAGCCTGCCCCTACGCCTCGACCAAAATGACAGAAAAGTGACTTAGAATAGGAATACCTCGTAAGACCCCGTTAGATTTGACTTCGACTGCAGAGTAGTAGTTCATTTACATAATACAAAAGCTTGTAATAATCTTGGGGAGTCCTTCCAAGGGTTGCTCTCCAGACATCATCCTGTTTATGCAATAAGTGAAGGATGGGGTAATCCCGATGTGCAGCCCGAAATGGCTGTCCTGACTGTCCCACCTCCCTGCAGGCAGCTTTTGTTTGTGGCTCCATGTGCTTGGCATCGCTAAGAGAGGGCGGACCGTGCGCAGAGAAGGATATGTCCAGCGAAAGTGGACACCGATTTCGAATTTGACTGTATCGGCAATCGCTCAAGCTAAGTAATCCTTGGCTGGCAGCGCCGATCACCTCTAGTCTGCCTCTCGCCTTTGGTGCACTGTTAGTTGCGAAGGACCTAAGGACGTCGGCTCAGATTCGCCCTCTTGCAGAGTGCGCACTTCAAGACTGGACCTGCATAGGTTCTTCTGACTGCCTGACCCCGCTGAACGTTCCGAGCAGGTGACCCGAGATGTTGCTGGGGCCAAGTCTGCGTCGTCCTCTTGTTCACCACAGCGTATCTACCATACGTCGCTGGTTTGTTATCATAAATTTCCCTCATCAATTCTTCTTGGTTCGCACCCGTTTAGCGAGGAACTTTTGGCGGCCACCAACACTATCCCAGTACTCCTTCAACAAGTCGGGCGCGATCTGCTGGAGCTTGGCTTCGCCCTCCCAGCTCGTGTTGCCCTTTGTGGCGGGATAGCCGACCCACTGGACCTCGAGCACGAAGCCGCCGCGGGGCTTCTTTTCGTGGTTGAGAATGCGGAAGACGTGATATACCTCGGTCATGGTCTGGAAGAGGGTCTCCGTCCGGCCTCCAGCCTTCTTCCAGTAGCTGTAAAGCAGCTCACTCGCACCGTCCTGGATCTCCTGCTCTGGCTCCCAGGTGGACTCCTCTGCGCGCTCGCCCGCCCAGTGAACCAGCAAGTCTACGCTGTCATCTTCTAGCATCTTGTGGTCAAGGAGCGCCTGCACCTCTGCAATTTCCGCCTCTCCTCTGGCTTCCGCCTTGCCACTTTCTTGCGCCGCCTCGGGAGCTGCTGGTGACTTAGGTCCTGCCTCTTTCGGTGGGAGATGTGAGTTCACGGGGCTCGAGCTGGGCATTTCGGTCTTTTCGTTTATCGGCGGGCTAAAGAGATCTGCAGTGTCGCGCAGCGGCGGGTCAGACGACCGTCTGACAGGAAAGTCACGGGGCAGCTCAAGAGTCTACTCACCGGCGGTTCCGCCCATGTCGGCTACCGGGACAGCAGCAATGACCGAGCCATGATCGTGCGGGTCTGGTTGTTGCAGGCGCACGGCATCAGGAGCTAGCGCGCGCTCGAGGTTTGCGGGCGCATCTACGCGAGGGTCGACGTCTCGTGAAATGTCGTTCTGGGCTGCGCTTAGGCGGTAGCGACGCTCTAGGATACGAGGTCAGCAACACGGGTCGCCGCGACGGGCTCGCCGGCCGCGCGCGCGCGCGCACGCGCACGGCGCAAGGGTTTTGCAACCTACTAATCTTGCTACCACTGGCTGTCACGGAGCCGGGGCCAATTGATCGGCGCGCCTTGCCGCTCTCGGGTGTGCTCGCTGCGAGGCCGTCTGCCAGGGGAGGCATCTCGCTGTCAGTCACTGCACCTGCATTACCGGTCGCTCCTAAGCAAAAGAGGGAGGCACACCTTGTATGTCGTCTTTGACATCATAAATGTCTGACTTGCGTTTCTGGCCGCGCCGTTCAGAATCTGAGCTGAGAACCATCTTGTCAGAGGGCTCTTCTGGCTTGGGTTTCTTAGGGGAGAGTGCCTTGGATATCGTGGTACCCAGGCTTGGAAATAAGTACGACATAGTCGGCCGAGCGCTTGAGAGATGGATGCCGGACTGAGGATGGAGTAGCTCAGCGGTGGGCGGTGGTGCGACAAAGTGGACGGAGACGCGGTCTTGCGCAATTGGGACGCGGGAGGCAGGAAGGGTGTTTGTGCGTGTGCGAATGCTGACGCGGAATTGGAATCCGCGAAAGAGGCGGCGGAGGACTGACTGGAGGTGCAGTGGGCGCGGAAGCAGATGCGACTCGATGCGCAGCTGAGGTGAATCGGCGCAACACGACCGGGCCACGCGAGAGGAAGCGAGCAGAGGATCCTTCTAGCTGGACTGGCAAATGACGCCGCCTTTGGGAGCGTTGGCCGGGGAATCTCTACCCACAGTGTGTGGACACAAAGTCGCGTCTACGTCAGACTGTACGCGCCGGTGTTCTCGTGGCGGCTGCTACGGCGGGGAGAAATCTGAAGGCAGGACTCGTCGTGTAAAATAATGTAGTCCGAGACACGGAAAACGATATCTAGTCCGGTCGGCCCACAGTTTCTTTCTCTACGTCCTCTTCACATTGAAACGGACCGGCCGCGGTACCGCCTGGACCACAGGGCAGGATGCAATCGCCCGCTGGGGAGCAATCAACCTTGACGGTCCATGCTCGTGACCAGGGTTAACTACTGTACATTTGGCGCAGAGCACTCTCGACTATTAAGAGCACGAGAAATCTAGCATGTGAGTGCTGGGCTGCTGCTTATCGGCTGCCTCGCTTTATATCAATTATGATACTCGTGGACAGCAACATTTGCACACTGCGGTAGTGGGCGGACAGTCGCTGCTGCTTCAAGACGGACCCCGGAAAGGCGCGACGACTGGGCACAAACGGGGCAAACACCGAATGGGAGCCAATCAACAACGACGACGACGACGACAACGACGCTCTTCAACAAGTTTGCCCGGCAAGACCCAAGATTCGCGACCAACAACGTTGGTGGGAGCTCATTCCATTCCCGACAGCCCTACCAGAAATCGGCCTCAGCTAACGTAAGATTCCAGCGGCCCTCGGGAGCACCCGCGACAACAGAGTCATCATTCACGGTCATTTTCACACTTCACGGTCCTCCCTGCCAGTGACGCTGAGCCCACGCCGGCAAGCCCTCCTGCTACTGCCCATCAAACAACCAAATCTTTCACTGCTGCAATCCGGTTGCCTAAGCATAGGCGACCCCACTACTGGCACTGTTGCCTGTATTGGCCCAGGGCGTTGGCTGTTGATCAGGCCCTTTTGTGCGTCTGCTCGCTCCAGGAAGTCGACGCCCAATCCCGCCCTCAGCGTGCCACGCGATATGGCAGTGCATGAGCCACGCGCCTGGGTTGTCGGTGAAGCCCGCCAGCACCAGCCACCCGTTCGCTGGCGCCATTGTCGCATCCCGGGAGGTACAGGTCTTGGACGCGCCGGGCTTAGTCGGGCACTCGGCTATGCCGGGTGCACCATCGTTAATGTTGTCATTCAGCATGCGTATGCTGTGCCAGTGGATGCCCGGCCCTGGCTGGAAAGCTTGTTGGCGACATTTTCCCGCAAGGTGTCGCCTCAACTGTCCCGGAGCATGGGCCCGGGAGACTGGCCTTTGACGAGCACAACGGGGCCTTCACCACGCCATCAGGGCCCTTCCAGTCTTAAGTCTGCTCAATGGTCCGCGGTAACTGCTTGGACACGGAGTCGGCATGAGCTTCTTGACGGCAGCAGCAACAACAGGTAGTGAAACGGATTACCTTCCGGACTCTGCCATCCGGTGTCCTTTTCTCGTACTCAGAATTGATATCCAAACCTAGGGACCAGCATTGCCGGTTCTTTGGCCGATTGGACACACCGAGGGCTTGTGCCAAAATATCGTCGAGTCCTAAGTCACTGGAGACACTGACTACGCCGGCGACGGACACGGTGGTGTCAGAAGTACCTGTGGCGACTGCGGTGGCTGAACGTGCCGGGGCATTAGTGACGGCCGCGATGGCCGCCGACACGGCTGCGGCGGTAGCCTGGTCGATGCTGTCGGCTTGCGGAGCAGGGGCGGGTGCTGCGCTTGCAAGTGCCGAAACAACCAAGAGCGGCGATGGAGGCACGATGAGAGGGAGGGAACACCAGAACACTCTGATTAATGTATCGACTGTGTCGCAGTTTCTCGACTCGATGATGAGGGTGGCCCGACCCGGTGCCTTCCACTTTTGCAACATCCATCGGCGCGAGAACTGCATCGGCATTGCCCCGTCCATGCCTTGCCAGGAGCAGAGCATGTGCCATCAACGGACCGCACGGTTCGTTCATACGTGTGCCGGCGGCTATCAGCGGTGGTCTGATCCTACGGGCTTCCAATAGCATGGAGTGGACCCGGTCCACGCTTGTGGCGAAGCCTGCTCATGAGTCCATACATAGCATGACAATGAGGAGCAAATCGTAGATAGTTTCAGTATTTAGTGATGGATGTTTTGTGCCCTTCCAGGCTGTAACTCTTTGAGAAAACATCGGGCTCGAACGGGTGGATATGCGCAAATTAGCCCCGTCGGGTTTCAAGATACAGTAAATATCTCCTGTCGATCTCAACAGAAGCGATCTCTATTTCGCACGCCACGACGGCTATGCCTTTTCGATCTCTCTTCCATATAACGACGCCGGAGCGATATCCAATCGCCCATTATAATCAAGAGAAGGATCCAGGCTCCTGTGGTCGTGAATACAAGCAGGGCCATGAACCCAATGGGGATATTTTGGTCTTCTAAGAGAAGCCGGATAAGTGTGAGACTCTGGTAGAAATCATTAACACGAAGGTGATGGTGTGGTCAAACGCCAGGAGTTGTGATCTCGACCCCCAGATGGTGGCAGCGATGGTCATCATTGCGATGGCGTTTAAGACGTCGATGATAACGAACCTAGCCGCGAAATAGTATCGGAATATAAAGTGAAGCCATTCGAAAAACAGGGCCAGTCCGTAAGCCACTTCTAAAACATCCAGTTCGCTACCACTTCACCAGTCCTCGACCCAAGTATAGCATGGCCGGGCATTCTCCGTTGGTTTTCAGGGATGGCCGAGCCCATCGAGTCTAGTATAAGGGTGAAGATGCTGAAAAGGCTCCTATAAAATAGAACTTCTGACAAAGATGCCTGAGCTTCTCGGAGCCCTATTTCAGTGGACATCATTATAAGTGTCGTAGAAAATGTCGATGATGCTCAAGGGCTGATGATGCTTCCAAGACAGGCGAGCAATCAAGTAACATTAAGAGAGGTAGGACCCTTTTTTTTGCCCAACTACAAGGCAGCCTTGCCAGAGCAAAAATCCACAACTCACCCTTGTGGTGTTGGATCGAGTGCAGGACGCCACAACTCCGCCACGCTCAAGGCAGACACGGACAATCACTTCCCTTCGTCCCTCATTGCGGACTAGAGCACTGATGAACTGATGGGACGACATATAGCTGGGCCTGGAGGGCGACCTAGCGCATCACTAGCTCGCTAAATACTACGGCCCGTGCCTGAGATGGATTTGCAGGGAAGAGTGCGGGAGAACGGTTTTCATTATCCATTTGCGATGCCCACTTGCCCTTGGAATTGCGTCAATGTCATCGCTTGCGTGACTGCCATGTTACCGATTGGGACTTAGGCCAATTTGATTCTCGAAATTCCTCCCCCTTGGCCAGCCTGACGAACAAGTTTGCTTTCTCGTAGCCATCAAGTTCATGTGCACTCGGGACGGATCGAGTGAGCGAACGTCTGAAGTAGCTATTGACATACGCCCTCAAGCAAAGCCCTCTGCCCGCGCTATGGTCACCATCCTTCATAAGATGCGAAGCTAGTCATTCGAGAAATATATCTGCTCACGATCGTGTCGCAGTCTGATCGGATTCCTCCTCTTCCACTTGCCAAGAGGCGCTTTAGCGTCAGGCCGAGATCAGAACGATCGCGGGGCCAGGGCGAAATCCCACCCTCCTCGAAGGCTAGAGCATTCGCCCTGCCACGGCCCGGTAGCGGACTATACGTGACGGTAAGCAGGTCAGACATCATTGCCTCCCAGATTGCCACCCCGCCAGCATTGTGCACTACGACATGGGAGATGGCGATCAACTCGGCGATATCTTCCTGCCAGCCCAGATCCACCAGCTGCGAGTATGGACGTAGGCGCTTCCGTAAACCCGCATTCCTCCCGCAGAGAACCAGAAGCCGGGCTGTAGCCAATTCCTCTAGGATGTCTTCTACAGTTTCGACGATTTTGCCAATCCCCAGCGATCCAGCTGCTAACAGGATGACGGGGGATGCGGAGCAGTGCCCCAGGTTTTTCTTCAGGTTGAAGCACTCGGGGTCCGAGACGGGCTTTCTAAACTGTGGCCCGACCAGAGGGCCTATGACTGTGGCATCATGCCCATACCTCCTACACACCAGTGCTGCGACATGTGCCGGTACGAGATTCAGGCTGGTGGAACGGCACAGCATTAGCGGATGTATTCCTGCATCACAATGATACGACGCAATTGGCACGTTATGCTTGACTCGAATTCTAAGCCTGCCAGCAATCTGGGTGGCAATGGCGTGTGTCGTAATAATGGCTTGCTTATCCAGCATCCACCCCAGGACTCGGCGATCCGAAGCGGTCCACAGCAGCATGCGCATCATCCACGAGGACTCCACCCCCTAAGCCAACATAAGCCAGCTGAAGAGTGAAGGGGCGAAGGTGACCAGAGGCACATATAAGTCTCTAAGCATGACTCTGATCAAAAAGGGTAAGGCGTCGAGGATACCGTGGTATTCGGTGCTGATGCCATCATTTCCAAGGCGCCGCTGAAGCTCTAGGCCAGCAGAGGTATGACCTGATCCAATGCTCGCTCTGATCACCACTACCTGAGGAGACAGGGCTTCGGTTCAATGTCATGTGCCTTGTCGAGGCGATTGGAGACCATTTTGAATGAGTTGGAAGGTGCAAGCAGTACTGTAGCATTAAACACTTACAGGCATACTAAAGCAGGGGTGTTGCAAAGGAGAGCCGGGACAATCACATCTACCAATGGGTGCTACAAATGCATCTATGAGCCAATGTGTGCTGATTTGTGTAACATAAGCAGGAACATGGCCCCTCAAGACAAACAAGACCGGGCTAATCTACATGGTAAAGCGGGTACGCACTCGTCCAGAATGCGCTCATCTTCGTGAAGGTCGTGTGCATACTGTATCCATCACCGCAAGACTGCCAGTCTCGTCCCGCCTTCAACACGTTTCACCGGATTTGAAGTCGCAAATTCATAAGACACCATGAAATTTTGGGTTCGTCATCCCTGCCAGCGTGTTTTGGCATGGAGACTTACGTAAAAACAGTTATTTCCACTATCTTCGGCATGTACAGTCAGATTCGAAATCGGTGTCCGTGTAGGTCACGCAAAAATAGTTCTGCGCACGGGCCCCCTGATCTTGGCACACTACGCCGATCAGTGGGGAAACAGGTACCCCTGCAAAAAGGTGGGGTAGACGACAGCCAATTCGTGCTCCATGGTCGGTAATGGCTTGAGATTGAGATCCCTCGCTTATTGCATTGATGAAGGCATTACATTATGAGAAAACACACGATGCAGCAATAAATAAGGGTTTCGCAACCAACCATTCCTACACTTATTCGTTCTCGTCGATCAGCCGAACTTGAAAGTCATACATGTATGTACGTGTTCATGCAATCATCCCAGAATGGCCGGAAAGATGGCTGCCTGAATGTATATCACTGTAGCTACCTTGCGAGGCTGACGCCTTACCCTCCGTAAACTGGGTCGTATTTGAGCACCCCGAAACAGGACTGCACTGTCTGCGGAATAAGGCGCTAGGTTACAGCGTCAGCCCCGCTTCTAGTCCCAGTGGGATAGTGGGCTGTGTCTATGTAGTCAAACCCGCATTTCTTTTGCCCCGCTGCTGTCAGACGCCTGCTGTTAGTGCCCCACTACGATCCTAATGCTCGAGGATGCGTGGTCTTTCATGACCAACTTCGCATCACGCCGCCCACAAGCCAAAGCCGTCGATCCGCCGAGATCCGCCGCTCAGCATACGCTTACAGAATGCGCCTCTTAGAAGTCCGAGAAGATGGCAGCCTCAGACTTGGGGAGCATTCCCCAGAGGACATCCCGCCATATGCTATTTGTCGCACACCTGGGGAGCCGACGACCAGGAGATTACCTTTCGGGACGTTCAACATCATACAGGCCACCACAAAGACGGATATCAGAAGCTCACGTTTTGTGGCGAACAGGCTGCGCTAGATGGCCTGAGATATTTCTGGATCGACACCTGTTGTATCGACAAATCCAATAGCCAGGAGCTTCAAGAAGCGATCAACTCCATGTTTCGTTGGTACAGAGACGCTAGACATTGCTACGTCTACCTCACCGATGTGCACAAGATCGCCAGCGACGACGACGACAGACCATCACAAGTAAAATGGGAGACAGCCTTCAGAAGCAGCCGGTGGTTCACCCGCGGCTGGACACTCCAGGAGCTGATCGCCCCAACGTCGGTGAAATTCTTCTCAGCAGAAGGGGTAGCACTGGGCGACAAAACAACGTTGGAGATACTGCCACGAATGCACACGGATCCCCATTGATGCCCTTCGAGGGAAACCTCTGACTGACTTCAGCGTCAACGAGCGACTTTCTTGGGTAGAAACTCGCAAGACCAAGCGTCCAGAAGACCTTGCGTATTGCATGTTTGGCATCTTCGCCGTTCATATGACGCTTATCTATAGTGAGGGGAAGGAGAACGCATTCATCAGACTAAGACGAAAGATTGGTAATCACCCATAGCTTCAGATGCGCTTCCAATTAGCTGAAGCACAGACTGACCATTTCGGCTGGGTATCCAATCTCTATTTACAGGCAAGGACACAATCAGCGAAGCAGCCAAGAAATGCATCGCCGACTTGCGCGTCACCAATCCTCGCCATGATAAGAGGCGCATTGAGAGCATGAAGGGCAGCCTCCTCAAAGACTCCTACTCATGGGTGCTCGGCAACCCGGATTTTCGCCAGTGGCGCGACAATGCCGACCAGCGACTACTCTGGGTCAAAGGTGATCCGGGCAAAGGCAAGACCATGCTACTCTGTGGAATCATCGATGAACTCGAGAGGATGCGCACTGAGGGACAGATTCTATCCTACTTTTTCTTCCAAGCCACCGACAAGCGCATCAATACTGCGACGGCTGCGTTGCGCAGCCTGATCTACATGCTCCTCGACAAGGACGCCTCCCTTGTTTGTCACCTGAAAAAGCAGCACGCAACCGCCGGTAAAGACCTTTTCGAAGACACCAACAGCTGGCAGGCGCTATGTGAAATCTTCGACGACATTCTCCAGGATCTCAAACTTCACGAAGTTGTCCTTGTTGTCGACGCTCTTGACGAGTGTTTACAAGGTCTGCCAGTGTTCCTCGACCTCGTGGTCAGGACATCGCAAATGACCAGAGCGAAATGGCTCGTTTCAAGCCGTAATTGGCCACAGATTGAGAGGTTGATACGCAAAGGGGCGCACAGGCTGTCGCTTGAGGTCAACGAAAATTCAGTTGCGAAAGCCGTGAACAAGTACATCAAGTACAAGGTCTCCAAGCTTGCGCAAGACATGGATTGTTGCAATGATGTCTCTGAGGAGTTACAGCACTATCTCATGTCGACCGCAGATGGTACGTTTCTCTGGGTTGCCTTGGTTTGTCAAGAACTCGAAACGACTGAGGCATGGGACGTATTACAGAAAGTCAAGTCCTTCCCCCCGGGACTTGATGCTCTGTATCAGGCAATGATGATGCAAACACTCGCCTCAGAATATACTGAATCCTGCAAGCAGGTCCTCGCATTCGTAGCAACGGCTTATCGCCCGCTGTCTTTGTCTGAGTTGATCACTCTGGTTGGGAAGTCCTCTCGCATGGGGGCCGAGATGCTCCAAGGGATCATCAGTCGCTGCGGCTCATTCCTCACTATTCGCGAGGACAAGGTGTACTTTGTCCATCAGTCGGCAAAGGACTTCTTAACGAAGTCGCACGCGGTCGTTCTCTTTCCCAACGGACAGCCATCAGTTCACAGCCAGATTCTCGAGAACTCAGTCAAGGCTATGTCCAGCATCCTGAAGCGCGACATCTACAATTTATGCGATCCAGGCTTCCCAATTGAGAAAGTCAACCCGCCAACGCCTGACCCACTCTCGACAATCAGGTACTGCTGCATCTATTGGGTCAATCATTTAGTGGATGCCTTTACGGATCAGGTTCAAGGCAGCAGTGCACGCAGCGGCGGAATAGCAGACAGCTTCTTGCGGAATAAGGCGCTCTACTGGCTTGAAGCGTTGAGTCTACTCCACGGCATACCAGACAGCATCGTTGCATTAGAGAGGCTAAAACAGGGCATTCCGGTATGTTATTATATGCTCGTTTGCACATCAACATTACTAACATGAGCAGGACCATCAAAGTGCTTCAGATCTTCAGGCAATAGTCGTTGACGTGTACCGTCTTCTACGAAGCTTCCGGCCAGCGATTGAGGGCCGACCACTGCAATGTTACGCCTCAGCACTCGTCTTCAGTCCTGCTAAAAGCTTGGTTCGGAAGCGCTTCCGCGGCGAGAGCCCGGACTGGGTTAAGTGTAAACCGGAGGTATCGGAGCGGTGGAGCGCATGTGAGGCGACACTCGAGGGCCATACTGACTCGGTCTACTCAGCAGCCTTCTCCCCAGACGGCCGCCGCATTGTCTCGGCATCATATGATAACACCGTCAAGCTGTGGGATGCGGCTACAGGCACTTGCGAGGCGACACTCGAGGGCCATACCGCCTCGGTCCTATCGGCAGCTTTCTCTCCAGACGGCCGCCGCGTTGTCTCGGCATCGTGGGATAAGACAGTCAAGCTGTGGGATGCGGCTACAGGTACTTGTGAGGCGACATATGGAGATTTTGCCAATTGCTCTGTCTTACCCGACATGACCGATATGCATGTCTATCCCGGTGTCAGAGTAGTCCTCGATAAGTATGGCGGGAGATATTTGTTGGATCCACATCCAAATATGTCAGTCGCGGCCGGTCGCCAATGCTATAGTATCAGTTCGGATGGTTCATGGGTTCTGAGACACTCGCAGCCGGTCCTCTGGCTTCATCCAGAGCTCCGGTCGCAGGTTGTTGAATGGAACACAGTGGATGCGGCCACAAAACTGGTCATTGGAGGCTCGAGCGGCCGTGTTTTCGTCTTACAACTTACCTTCATCTAGAGACACGTGGATCGTAATTGGCGATTTTCGACTTACCTTCTCCCTGCGTGCCTGAAGTGGAGATGGTCTTAGATCGCTCTTCCGACGTGTTCTGTACCGTATCTGGAGGTTCGCGAACATACAGGAGCTCTTGTTTAGTCATATATAATCTTCTAATCATGAGGTTCACATTGAACAGGTTTTACTCAGTAATGGCCCCAAATCGTACCGCACATCTCATACGACCTAATATTGTAAGCCAGCTTCAACCAACGGGAACACCTCTGGACGCCTCAATATTCCGCAAAAATCAGATTGCGAGGCGAGAACTGCACACTAGCCATGAAAGGCTATTTAAAGTCGCGGAATTAGTTGTAAAACACTCCGTAAGGCAAGAGCCACGCACAAGAAAGCGATATTAGGTTCCACAATCACCGCCTTGCCCACGCCTAGACTAAAACGACAGAAATGTCCCTAAGGATGAACGCCTCTCACAAGCTACATGGTACTGTAGAAGTTAATTTATCCAATGGCTTGCAATAATCTTGGGGGGCCTCATAAGGATTCCTCTTCAGACATCATCCTGTATATGAAATAAATGAAGATTGGGACAATTTGATGTGCAGCCTGAAATGGCTTTCGTGAATGCCCCGCCTGCCTGCAGGCAGCTTTGTTTGTGGCTCCACTCACATGGCATTGCCAAGACAAGGCGGTGGGTGCGCAGAGAGTTGCGTCAAGCGAAAGTGGACACCGATTTCGAATCTGGCTGTAAATGGAGGAACTGAAACGGTACTATAACGACTAGAGATGATGAAAACGAGCTCTGAGCGCGATAGAATAATGTGAACAACACCCGTCTTACAACGCCTTAACCAAGCTCCAGCTAGCTAATGATCGTTTGAAGCACACCACCCTTCCAGATATTCTTGAATGAAAATTGGTCATTCGAGAAACAGCCATACGAGGAAACAATGATTTACACTACATGCCAGCGCGGCATCGTGGCTATTCTACGCCCACGACTGAGATGCAGGAGGTTCGCTAGCGAAAGGCGCCACTACTGGATCAAGAGCCAGCCCTAATAGCGGTCGAACCTCCCATGGCATCGTAGCATAGTCGAACGCTGAGGTCTGCAGCGGTCGGCGATCGTTCGGACGAGGATAGAAGCGGCTGAAGATGGAAGGACTGTGTTCCAAGTGCTGGTACATGACTGTGGTCGTCAGGTTCTCGTCGTGTGAAGGCCCTCCTGCATTTTGTCCCCCGCAGTCAATCAGCCAGCGGAATAAGTGATGGTATGCCTCTCTCATGACTTGACCTTCCATGTCGGTTGCTGTTTGGACAGCTTGAGTCATCTGGGATGATGCCATATACGATACACGTGAGAGGTCCTCAGTGATGATCATACACCACAGACGGAGCAGGACGAGCCAGGACTCGTGGTGACCCTGCTGAACGAAGTACGAGCGGCTGCAGATGATGTGACGAAGCCAGGCCCAAGACTGCTCTTCTTCTGGCTTCACCTTTTCTCTGCGCGCTTCGACGAGGGCCTTGTGTATGAAGAAGGCTTTGTGCAGAGGGCAATCATCCCGCCAAGAGGCCTGAAGCTCGCCAGTCCGCTCCAGGGAGTAACCTTCCTGGAGCAGTGCCCAGATAGCTGAGCATGGTCGAAGGAATGCCTCAGTACATTCACAGCCATACTGCGCAGATACGCGCACCATATGTAGGCCATTTGAGGTTTGGTTCGCTGGGAACATTGCACGCATAACTATTCCAAGACCATACCAAAAAAAGGGGTCACCTCTACTGAAACTTATATCCCAAGTGCGTCCACTTCTGGCCTGTACAGCCTCGTGCGCTATTTACTTCGCCTTTTACTTGAGCTTTCTAAGAGGGCGTTGCGATTGCCTTCTACTCCGTGTGGTTTCCTTCAAAAATACAGCTTGCACAAATGGGAGAGCCATCGTAGCCCCCAGTTCCGTAGAACTGCCAGGCTGGATGGTAGTCTGTCCACAATGGCCCATTGAACAATGACCTGCCCTCGAGTACATCTGCTGTACAAACAGACTGGCTCTCACATTCGAGCAACAGGTCGTCCATGGCGCAGAGCCCGAGGATCAGCCCAACGGCTCGACATTTCCGTGCCAGGATATAATTTTCGAAAGCAGTCCAGCTTGGAAACCTGGCGAGAAAAGGAAGGTTCAGCTCGAGACTGCCGAAGGTAGACCCAGTTTCGTACAGGTACTCGCAGAAGTCAGTTAGGTCAGTCATCTCGTCTTGCTCAGACTGGCACTGTTAGTACGAGCAGACGAAGGCCGAAAATGCCAAGTACCTGGTTGGGCCAGCTAGTCCTAATCACGGACAAAAGATGCTGAATGAGAGGGTCTTGGATGTGCATTGGACAGGTGTGAGATAGTGGATTGGAGCTCAATAGTACTCTCTCGTTCCTCTGGATAGCTTGGGCCATTTCTGCTGGTATAGAGATATGGCGGCCGAGGATCATGACTGGTACTGGTACGTTCGTTGGATGAGACAGTGGTCTTGTCCGCTCATATGACCACTACTATGTCCGTCATATAAATGTTCTGCCCTCTCACCTATTTGTGGCGCCTGTGGAGCTCCTACTCGCGGGATCATGTTGATCTGAAAGCGCCATTCTTGGTGCAGCTGCTCTTGCGGGCTGACTCTATGTAGCTTGCTCCTTTACTGACCGTGTTTCAGGATGATAAGGGAAGGGGGCTCGCGTCCTTCAACTATAAAAGTAGCTGTCCGGCTCCTGATGGGCTCCTGGATCGTACATCAAGTCGGTGCAATGGATTCCCTCGCATCTCCTCTCTGTTTAGTCCCCAGGCGTACGGCCAGGGACCCCCGCATGGATATCTCATTTATTCTTAACAAAGAAGGCGATCTCTTTGGGGCCGCAACTATTTTGCCCTCCAATAAGCCTCCAGCACGTCGAAGGAAGGGGAGAGATTCAAGCAAGAGCTCGCGATATCGAAACGAGAGTCGTCTTCTTGAACGTAGCTTCGAAATCGTACAGTACTACCGCTGTGTAGACATGTCCAATACTGATACCTTTGCAGCAAGAAGTTATGAACCTGGGCCCGACGAGGATGTGGCTTGATGGGGAATATTGAGGGGGGGTTTGTCCCGAGCTTGGGTTAGTCCTCGCTTGCTACTAATGGAGATCGATCAAGTACTAAGGCTAGGGGCTGTCTCTACATGTGCATGTCTTCATCATCCGTCCGGGACTTGCTGCTATATCTCCTGCGCTTGGCGATTGTCCTCGAGCCCAGCCTTGCTCCCTCGTTCTTGTACGCTCGTGCTATTCCTTGACTTATACTTTGGCGCATAGAGCGAGAGCCGTGCCTTAATTCTCTGTCCGAAGTACGCACCATATAGTGCGCGGCTTGTCATGATAGCACCTTTGTTGAGGAGGACGGTTATAAACAGTAAATAACATCTCGGAAGTAATCGTGGCAAAGCCCGGGAGGCGCGTGGGCGGCAACACTGCCCACACACTATCGGAAACGAGCGACGTCATCCAGAAGGAGGAGAGCGTCCAGCAAGCTGCAATGTTCGTGTAAGTGCCACCACGACGCTAAACTCATGTGCTACTGCTGAGACATATTATGGGGATCACCGAAAGGAGACTGCGCGATAGGAGGTCGCTGGCAACTGGTGAAAATGAAGACCATACTGGGAAGTTCTCTTCGTTTCCTCTCGCTGTAAACGAACTGATGGCATTTCCGACTGACCAAGCAACTCGAGGCTGATGTCATCAGAGCCTCAATCTCGGCATGCGACTACTCGAGTATGATCGCCGGAGTGATAACCACAATGGTGGCTTTACATGATACCGGAATGGGGCCAAGGAGGAGTGCGTCAAGCTTCGAAGTGCCAGCTCCGGATCGAATGAGCTAAAGATCGGCAGCGAGCGACTGACAAGGAGGGCAGCTCATGAGCAAGAAAGAGACATGATCAAAGTGGAGGGCTCGCATGTCCTACAACCAAGGGTGCTTGGGGGGACCATGTTTGTCGATATGACAACACCACTTCAGAGGCAACGGACGCTCTGATCGTCGCAACGTGTCGAGGCCCTGTCTGTGCCAAATGACCAAGAAGCCGCAACTGTGTCAGTGCAGGGTCCTCTAGCCGCGCTCCATTTTGGCGCCTCCTTCTCTTTGCTGCCCCGCACTCCGCTGCTCCATTTCTGGCTGCTCCATTTCTGGCTGCTCCATTTCTGGCTGCTCCATTTCTGGCTGCTCCATTTCTGGCTGCTCCATTTCTGGCTGCTCCATTTCTGGCTGCTCCATTTCTGGCTGCTCTCATTCTCGAGGGAGCTAGGATCCCAGGGTTGCTTGCCAGTGGGGCTCCACTTCTCCAGGGCCACCCATGTAAGTGTTGCATAGCGGAGGTGGTTCCGCGTACCCATCTCAGGCAAGCCCTGGAGGTTTGTGAAGGAAGGCATTCTGAGCCTGCCATGCTCGACCTCGGCGCGGCGTTCTCAACAACCAGCTCCATGATACTTCCGACAGCTTGTACTAGGTGTCTCCTACGTAGGCACTTCAATGCTCATCAGTCAGGGTCCCGGCGAAGGGGTCTCGTCAAAGTATAGCGTACCGTACAGTATTGTGCAATGCCTTTCTGAGACTTGACTAGCTCCTATGTTCGAACGCACGCCGAGCAATGGCGGAGTGTCCGCGCAGCACCAGGAGGAGCGGAGAGTAGTCTCCTTGCTACATGGGAAGCTGCGGCGCCAGAAACCAGCTGCACAAATTAGCGCTCTGCTTAGCGTACCGAAGGGGATGGAGCTGGGGTCCTGTGGGGAGCTCCGGTTTCAGCGCTCGAAGATCTCGGATGACCTGGTGAAGCTTACAACGTGAGCGCCCAGTGGGTCGACTCTGACTCTCGTTTATTCCTAGCTGGTCAAAAGAATAAGAGCCCACATGGTCTGCTGCCTGAGTCCTTAGACTTCCCGAATCTCCAAGTAGCCCACGCCAACTACCGTAGCATCACCAGAGTCAGCTGGAGTACCCTGAAAACGACTTGAGAGGACAGTCTCTGCTCTCTAGCACCTCACATGCGATGACTTCTAAGCCTGCCCAAGTCCGACTGCCGTCAATCCAGGATATGGTTTCGGAGTCGCACCTCGTCAATCCCGAACACATGGGGCAGTACAGCCTTGTCCATGGTCACCGAGTGAGCGAGGAGAATGACGCTAGTTGCGGGTCATGGACTTCCTCACAACCACAAGCGACAGACGGACTTAACACATACTCCTCGCAGCTGTGGCTCGCTGGCCCCACGGGGCCACTACCCGTCACCGGTCCATACACTGTCCTAGCGACTTTTCACTTGGTCCTGCCGATGTGTGGTGCCGTTAGTCAGCTTACCTATCCTCCATTGATGCCGCTTCCGCCTGTCGAGATGCAAGACCTCCTTCGCCCGGCTCAGGCGCAGCTACCAGAGCTGCAAGGCAACCAGACTTATCACGAACCAGAGACGACGATCTCGAGCTGGAACGCCGTGCAGTCCCCGGGTAGCATCTATCAAGAGACTGTGTATTCCTCTCCAGGCCCAGCGTACAGCGGAGGCCCAAATGCCGTCCTGCCGAGCCCGGAAGCACGGCTGCGCGAAGATCTGTCTGCCGGTACTTCAACGCAGCTGCACGACGAGTATAGCATGGCCATTGCTGGCACAGAGACCATGGTGGGATCAAGCCTGCTCAACATCAACGGTGGAAACCCAGTCCTTTACCCGGCTCCAGGCGAGCTCGTCAACAAACACGTCGCGAAACACGATCGGAGGCAAGTCAAACGGCGCCAGCGTGGGTCCGCAGGCTCGAAGAGAGGGCGCAACAGGGGTGACAATGCTCAGAAAGCCATCTACGACAGCTGCGAATCTGGTTTTGGTCACGGAACGAGCTCACACACGCGTCAGACGGGATGCAAAGCCGAATCCTCGCCTGAAAATCAGGGAGTAGCACCTGAGGTGCCTTGCTAGACGCATGCTATTGTGGTGGCGCAAGCTGTTAACTTGTAGAAAAGTAAACAATACCACAGCATTCAAACTAGTGCCCAAGGACATGTGCATGTGACTCAGCTGCCGAACATTACGCTGAACGATCGGACATCAAGAGGCGCGATGCCGACCGGGACGGCAAGGCCACAAGGCGTGCGTCCTGATGTGGAGAAGGGTACTCTCAACGGATGAGGCCACCCACGCCCCAGAGGAGACTGAAGGGGTCCGCTGGGCAACAGAGGGACCTCCGCAGGTGAGAGAGATTCGGATCGGTGAGTTGTCCTTACGCCTACCTGCAAGGGATGAGCGTCAGAAGCAAGCCATTGCCGTCGAACCAGGACAGGGGCATGTGCCGAATCGCCGGGAGGAGCCACACAAAGGCTTTGCCCTTCCAAGTAGAGTAGGGGTCGATCCTTGCGTTGCGTCTGATCGACCAAGGTCAAGCGACAGGGACGGTGACGTCCCACTCAGCAGGGGGAAGAAAGACCCTTGCCACTGGCACAAAATGGAGTCAAGGAGGCGAGGCTGTGGACAGAATAAACCGGACAGGTGCTGTACAGAATAGATCCACATTGTCCGGTTTATTCTGTCCACAGCCTCGGGAGGCTGGGTTGTCCCTGCCCGTCTGCAGCGATGGCCTGTGCACAAGACTAGCGCGCTGCCAACATCACACATTGCGATAAGAAGACCCTGGACCTTTGAGCGGGACTAGTGGAAGCTAGCGGCCTGATAGATCCTGCCGTAGTGCCTGACGCTGTCCTCCTCAAGGTAGTAGGACAGGTCTATGGTCAGATAGCCGATGAAGTTCGCCAGACTCAGCACGTAGAGCACCGCCATGGCACCGTAGGAGCCCCAGCGAACGGTCTTCTGTAGGCGCGGGGCGCGGTTCCAGAGCAGGAGGTGGCCTGAGACGAGGTCCAGGATGACGAACAGCAGCTGGACGTGCGCCATGTTGCGCGCGAAGCCGCCGCCCGCGGTGAGACCTATGGCTTCTTTGAAGCTGAAGCCGAGCCACCTGTTCCACACGTTCATCGCGCATACCAATGACGCGTAGCTGCAAGGTTCAAGAAAGGGTCAGTCCAGGGGTACCGTTATGGGCGGAACGAGCGGCCGGGTTTGCTCGAGGGAACGCCGTGTAGACTAGATCGCGTACGCGAACAATGACAGCGCTGCAAACGCAAGCCATCTGAAGCCCCTGCGGACCGGGTCGTTGCCCTTGTTGAGAACGACGAGACTGGCAATCCCCAGCGCGAGCGTCGGGAGGATCACCAGTCCTGAGAAGACGGTCTGGATCAGGGGTGCATCGGCAAGGCGGTTCATTCTTCGTTTGTTTTGCTGTTTTGAAGGCTAGAGGGTCGTGAGTCTGTAGAGTCTGTCTTGGTGATTTAGTTGGACGTGGTAGATATTGCTGTTGGCGGTTGTCTCTTCAGACATGCGCAACTCTGCCGTTGCTATTTATCGTCTCTCAACCTGGCTGTTGACGAAGGTAGATTGTTGTGTAGTCACGATCTGTCTTTGTGCAGTTTTGCACTGCCCGACTACGGCTCTGCTTACTGCTACGGAGCACTCAAGGCCTCATGTGCCGACTTCCATGCAACACCAGTCAAGCAGCCCTGTCCAGCTGAAAGGGAGTGTGAGAAGTGCACTTCCAAGCCTGGGCGTCACAGAACCCCAGCATCCGCCCGCTCACATCACCCACATAGCAGTAGTCGAGTTCGCAACCTGCCCCATTGTGGTAAAAGAGGCTTGAGCACTGCCACAATTGCCCGATGTTGATTGATGGAATGCTACGAAAAGACCCGCTTACCGGAGGCTTTTGTACATGCCAAGGGGAAGCCAAGAGCACTTCACTTGTCACGATGTCAATAGACGAGACATCATCAGAGACCTCGTGCAGCACTGAGCTAAGCTTCAAGTGGTCAGATGCATTGTTCAGATCCCTTCTAGAACTTGTCGAGAACAACGGTTTGCTACAGAGTATGTGGCATGTGCCGCTCTCGAACTACTTTCCACCCTGGTGACACTCCAGTATCATAGCCCCAGATCCACTCCGGCCGGGCTGCTGACATCCGGTTCGGGTGCAGACCCAAGATCAACATTGACAGCATGCGGCGATATTGCCCATGTTTCGTTTCACGACAGCTCACAGCGTCGTGTTCTAGACAGAGACTGCGATGTTGTCACTCCCCTCGAGACAAGTCCTCTACCCCAGGGACTTTCCTGACGGAATCATGGTACAGCTTGAATTCGTGGCATATCTTCAAGATGCCCAATTCCAGAGCGGGCGAAACGGGGCTTCCGGGTAAGTGAGCATGCATGCCACGTTGCGGACCTCCTGCTTGTTCGAAGTGATGTCAAGGGTTCCTGATGTTGCATCGCAGTGTGGCTGTTGTGTTATCAAGGATGGGCCGCCTTTTGACACATGTCGCGAAAAGCTCATCGAGGAACGTTGTCTCCTCATCCCCAGCCGCCTCCACGTTCCATGCGCCGGCAATCCTTCCGTGGCCTGCCGACTCGGCCGGCGTGGCACGGGTAAGATGATTCATCTCGATCGACGGGTCCAGCCTTGATCGCCCCGAGCCGCCACGTTTCTCTGTCAAGACATTGCTTTTCGGGGGCTCCGCCACTTTGCGCTGGCCATCACCTGCAGAGCTCGGCCGCGACGGTAGCCCCCCGGCGGAAGGTGTTACGTCCTCCTGGTTGGCCTCCTGCACGTCCACCATAATCTCCTTGGATACCATGATTCCCCCGAACGGCGATGGCTGTGCTGTTGACGATAGCGCCGCTTGCTGTGCATGCTGTTGATCGGGAAGTCGCGGGGGATCGAGCTGCCTTGGCTGTCCGCAGCCGCTGCAGGGGTTCTCGGTTAGGCCAAGTTCGTCGTCGGACTTGCCGCCGCCGGAGCCACAGTTGCACGCATGAAGAGTTGACGAGCTGTGGTGGGACGCGCCTACGATGCCTAATCTTTCGGCCGACACAGCCGGCAGCGACGACAGAAGGGTGGACATCTCGCGGTGCAAGGTGCGTCCGAACACGCCGTGGTGTGGCGAGTTGTTGCGTACCAGCTGGTGCACGTTGAGTAACTGAAGCGGCACAAACGTGCACCGCTGGCTACGCACAGTGGCGTTGATGTTCAGGATCACCTGCATGGTGATGAGCGGACACGTGTTTGGACCCGATGATGGGCCACTATGCGATCGGCAGGGTATGTGGACGACCCTGGCCGAAAGCGACGCCTCTTCGCACACTTGGAGGTCGATGTCGTTCTGCAGGGTGGAGATTCCTCCTCGAAGCTGGGCGGCAAACTGGTCCTCAAGCCGCGAGCGGCCCCTGTTAAACTCCAGTTGTCGAAGGAGCGTGGGAACGGGCATCCCGTCGAGGCTGCGGAGGAAGTCATGGTGCCATCGTTCAAGCTTCTCCAAACCTAACGGGACCATTGGGAGAGCGTTTCGCGACTCTCTGTTGACCAGCACGTCAAATCCGAATCGGTCCAGCCGAGCCCGTCGAGCAAAGATGCCGAGGTATACTCCGGGCTCAACCTCAGCCTTCTCTTCTTTGTAAGTGGCCATGTCGAGCAGTTTCTCCTCAAGCCGCCTCGTCCTAATTTGCATGCTCGATCGGATGATGTCGACGACACGGCGTGGCTCGGCGAACCGGAACCCGGAAGCTTCTAACCTGGCTATCTCACGAGGTGCACTAAGGTGCCGCACCAAGACCAGCAGGCAACCCCGGCCGATCAGGTCCTGGCTTTGCCTTACCCCCGTTTCGAGCAGATCGTGTCGGGCTTGGGCGTCTCCGGCCTTTGACTGCATGCTGACATCCGTGCCATTAGGGCTGACAATCCTGTTGACGGTGGTCCCAAGCCTGGTGAGCGGCCGTGGTTCACCGGCAGTGCCTGTGACAAAAATCTCGTACCAAAGTGCCCCAGCATTGGCGAGGACCTCGCCCAACCTGTACGACAGGGTTGACGCAGCTATGCAGAACAGCTCGCGGAATATCATGTCGTAGTTTTGGACAAGTTGGCCATTCTCCTGGACTAGTTTAACGGACCTCATGCCGCGGCCGCCACCGCTTGCAAAAGCAGCGGTAGAGATGGGGGGGGGGTGATATACGCTGCTTCGACCAGATCCTGCTGGTTGAGTTCTGCCGCAAGACTCTCCAGATTCTCGACGGGGCCATCGACGCAATAGAAGCTGGCCAAATCGGGCAAATTCCCGCCTTCGGAGTGAACAGACGGCTCTTCTCCGGAAAGTCCTTCGGGTGGTGCGGATGGTTCTCCTTCTTGAGCAGAAGCTCTAAGTACTTCCGCTTGTTCGCGGCGGAGACAGTTCTCGTCTTGACCGAAAAGGAGTTTCAAAGATGCATGATGGCGGTCGAGCAAGGCTTGCACTGGAGCTATGTCTTCGCTCACAGGCTCCAAGCCACGGCCGTTGACTGTGACCAGAGATGCGGTCTTGAATATGACAACAAGTTGAGACTCCGTTTCTTTGGGCGTGATGACCTCCTCCAGCAATTCGGACTCCATGATTCTTAAAGAATTTGGGGTTGGACGAAAGGTGCTAGGATATTGACAGGATCTGAAATATTCGATGCGATGGATATTGATAAGATCTGAAATGTCTGGCTGCTTTGATGCATGAGTTGCTCTGTCCTAGAGAGGCCGTTGCCCTCTTTATATAACCGGACTGTAGGTGGCTATCACATGTCCTTTGGCAACTCGAATCTGACATCAGCAACGGCTGAAGGGCAGCCACCACATACGCGCTCAGTCATTTCCTTTAAGCATTTACGGCTCTTTCCCAACATTGTAGAGCCTATCAGCAGCTTTGCAGCTTTCAAGATGATGTAATCAGACAGGTGGGAGCTGCCCGAAAGTTTGCAGATCGCCGGATGCCGCAAACTTACAGATCACCGAATCGCCCGAAAGTTTGCAGATACGGAATGCCCGAAGTTTGCAGATCGCCGGATGCCGCAAACTTACAGATCACCGAATCGCCGATACCAAGCGGTTATTTAAGTTAACAATAATAAATACAAATGGGGGAGGGGTTACAGTCGGCTTCGAGATCGGTGTCCACCTTAGCTGAACATAACTCTCTACGCACGGTCCACCTTCTCTTGGCGACGCCAATCACCTGAAGCGACAAACGAGGTTGCCTGTAGGTAAGGTGGGGCAGTCTTAACAGCCATTTCGTGCTGGAGTGGGCTTACTCTCATGCCTTCACTTATCAAAGAATGCATTGTTTGTTTGTACAGTACGGCGTCCGCCGTGCTGCCGTCAACCAGTGGCCTGCAGTTCCTCAAGGCCAACCACCCGGATGCAAACGTCTTTAGGTCAGCTAAATGCGGGCCTTCCAGGTATTTTAACATCAATAGTCGCTCTCGACCCGCACTACTTGCTATACGATCACTAGTCGTCCGTCCTTATGTGCAATCGAGTAATAATGAGCTTGTTCTAGACGTAGGCGTAGCCTCGGTTAGAAAATCTGGCCGTGGAGAATAGCGCCGCTGTGGGCGCGGGTAGGATGGCGTACCGGAGGGGGCTCGATCTTCCAGCCTGGCGGATGACTAGTAGGCTAGGTAGGAATTGAAGCTCTATATACCTTTCCTCCTTGTTCGAGTTCCATAGTGATGTTAGGATCACTCTAAGTCGTATGCCCCTGGATTGTCATCGCGATCCCGTTGATCCTGACCTGGATTACCGTGCTCTTGGTCCTTATCTTATCGTTTATAATTACATAATTTGACCGTGGTCTTCGGGCTTGGGGAGTACATCCGACTAGACGTGCCTGCTCCTGGCCCGAGGGTAGTTGCTACACGGGTGTTGGCGATTAAGTATGACAGCCGTTCGAGCCCCTACTATGGTAAGCTATCCAGCTCGCCCGGAATGAGGATTTGCGACCAGTGGCATCGAGAGTCTTTTTCACCAATCAATTCCCGTTGCGGGCGCGCTCCCCTCAGAGGACCCTGGTTCGCGAATATCTGAGCTCGGACGAAAGCGGCAAGTGGCTACTGGTGATTGATAACGCTGACGACCCGGACCTATTCCTCGGATCTAACGGCAAGGCTGGTATCGAAGAGTACCTTCCTGAGAGCGAGTACGGGTTGGTTTTGTTGACGACGCGATCGAGACAGGTGGCTGTGCAGTTTGCACAGTCTAATATTGTCGACATTGAAGAAATGGAACCGGAGGAGGCAACACTGCTTCTCCAGAAGGCTCTCGCGCAGGGACAGACACCCCAGGACGAAGCACTAGTGGAAGATCTTCTTATCCGACTGACCTATCTTCCGCTCGCGATCACGCAGGCAGCAGCATATCTCAATCAGACCAAGGTACCAATCCGTAAATACCTAGGGTTGCTACGAGGGGCCGAGAAAGATGCCGTCCGGCTCTTAGGTCGAGAATTCCGTGACAGCACAAGATATCAGAACTCGCATAACGCTATTGCCACAACATGGATTATTTCCTTTGATCAGATCCTGAAGTCCGATCCATTTGCGGTTGATCTGCTCTCGTTCATAGCTTGCATCGAACCGAAAGCAATACCGCAATGGATCATGCCCGGGTCAGAGTCAGAGGAGACAGAATTGGCGATCGGCATCCTCTGCAGCTTTTCGTTTCTTGTTCGGCGAGGAGACGACGATATGTTCGATATGCATAGTCTTGTGCATATGGCTACGCGGGAATGGATCCAGAAGCAGGATCGGCAAGACCGGGTGGCGCATAATGCCATACGTCGCCTCCAAAAGATATTCCCTTCGCACGACAGCGCGAATCGTAAGCTATGGCGGGAGTGTATGCCACACGCAATACGGCTTCTTCATGACACTCAGGCTTCGAATACGGAAGAGCGATATAAGCTCGTGGTCAGTGTTGGGAAATGTATGGATACCGACCGACGGTTTAAAGAAGCAATACGATGCTTTGAAGAAGTGTGGCGTTGGGAAAAACAAGGTGATATAGGGCAAGGGTTATCGGAGAAGAATGTTGAGGGTTGGCTCGCGGGCGCATACCTTGACGGCCGACGGATTAAGGACGCGATCGAGATATTCGAGCATGTCGTAGCGATGCGGAGGGAGGTACTAGACGAGAAGGATCATCACCGACTAGCATCGGAGCACGAGCTTGCGAGGGCATACCTCGACGACCGATGGACTAGCGAAGCGATCGAGATGTTGGAGCATGTAGTAGCGGTGCAGAGGGAGACACTAGACGAGAAAGATTATTCTCGGCTAACATCGGAGCACGAGCTTGCGAGGGCATACCTCGCCGACCGACGGATCAAGGAGGCAATCGAGATGCTCGAGCATGTTGTTGCTATTGAAGCTCAGATTTATGCCGAGGACGACCCTGAGCGCGTTCTCTCCGTGGCTTTGCTAGCGGATGCATATATACAACTCGAATCGTGTAATGAGAATATGGACAGCAAGAGTCCAGTCTCAGATGGCGATGACCAAGGGCACAACAAGGACACTACCATGAGTAGGCATGCATCCATCGAGAGGCTCATAAAGGCTATGAGTAGCATGCAAATTTAGAGAACGAAGCACGGGAGTCTGCTGTACCACAGAGCGGATCGCATCTAGGATGATAATCAAGTTTCAACTTTATCCATGCATAAAGTCTCAACTGAAGAGCGAGTGGACCTCTTTCCGGAGTTATTATACATGAAATCTGGCCGCATCCACCCCCTTAACGAAAGGGCCGTAAGGTAATCCCAAAAGAGACGTACACCAAACGACCTCATTTTGAAGGCCATTTGCTGCTTGAAGTACTGTCTATTTCTGACGTGGACTATTGAGAGGTAACACGCCATAGTACGCCACACGTAGCTGGTTCGTGCCAAAACAGCCACTAACTTCGAAAGCCGGACACATCCAGTGGTCACTACTATGAATATTCATTTCACAATTATTTCCTATAAACAGGCACAAAATGGCTTTTAATGCTCTACATTGTATTTCCCGCGTCATACTTTGCCGTCAGCTTGCGAAGTGCATGGCGAAGATTGGACGTCACCACTGCAGATGGGGTGACGAAGAAACAGCCCTAACTGTTGCATGTCATGCTGTAATCCACTTCTGGAGGGTACTTGTTATAGGACAATCTGCACAGTATGCGCCGTAATGCGCCACAGTTTTATGGTCCGTGCGGGAACATCAATTGAAGTCTGAAAAGCGGACACAGTTCGCGGTCACTACTGTATGCGTAGAATAGACATCACTTTCAGAGTATCCCGCATAAACAGACACAAACTCGCCTTTAATGCTCTGCATTATGTTTTTAACGTCATATTTTGCCTTTATCTTGCGAAGGGCATGGCGAAGATTGGCCGACGATTTGCGACGGTCACCACTGCAGATGGGGCGACAAAGACTTTTGGAGGGTACTTGTTATGAGACAGTCTGCACAGTGTGCGCTGTAATGCGCCACAGTTTTATGGTCCGTGCGGGAACGTCAACTAAAGTCTGAAAAGCGGACACAGTTCGCGGTCACTACTGTACTGTATGGCTAATAGAGATATGCTATTCGTGCCTTTGCTTTTGCGGTTCGAACTTTGGCCATATCCGACGGCAGGCTCCACTATCGTACGCTCCATCGTTAGGCGTTATTACAGCCAAATTCGACCTTGCTTCATAAACGCTAACAAGGCATCACTCGTGTTTGATGCGCAGACTCCCTTGCGACACACCACGGTGTACAATAAATGCGAACCCTGACCATTCAGGGGCTGCTATCCGAACATGTCCTTGCTTAACTGCGAGATGTGGCTTATACGTAAGGCAAGTTACTTCCGTGTATCTGCAATAGGTATTTTCCTCGACTCTGCGTTAGCCTATTACACAAGACTCGTTCACATCTATTTATAGGCCTATCAGCTGAGGGTTAGCCTTGCTCGGATGGCTTGACAAGATAGTGGCGTGTGCATAGGACAGACGCCTTGCTTTTATTTTGCCTTGCTCCCCTACACGAGGTCTATACGTGACTACTCTTAACTCTGCCTTGCCCGCTGCAGTAGATGCCGTTCACGCCGTTGTACGATGTCATGAAGGAGCCAGGCTGCGAGTCCCGCACCACCAGCTGGAAGGGAAGCGCGTAGATTTCACGCAGGGCCCGCTCCGTGATGATAGCCTGCACCGCCTTGCGTCGGTGCTCGTGGTCGTTGCAGACAAAGTGTTTCACCGTGGCCTGGATGCCGGTGGACTGGATGCCGTTGATGAGGGCGGCAGCTCCGAGGCCAGCCAGGAACGGATCCTCTCCGAGCGACTCGAAGCCGCGGCCGCCCAGAGGCGACCGCTGCATGTTGATGGTCGGGCCGAGGATCACATGGGTACCCTTGAGCTTCGCCTCCTCTCCCATCTTTACCCCGGGCTTCACGTGGGAGGTCCAGATTGAATGTTGAGCCCAGTGCGGTGCCGCACGGGAAGCAGGCCGCCTTGGTCCCCATGAAGAACTTGGTTCCACGCACGCCATTGGGACCATCGGTGAAGCGCAACGACGGAATGCCGTGCTTGGGCAGCGCCTTTGTGTGCCAAAAGTCAATGCCTATACGTCGTTAGCACACTGGGAAGATGGCAGAGCACCCGGTGCAAAAGATTTGGAATGGGCCACGAACCTGCCAGAAGGTCAACCTTCTCTGATACAGACAGCTTCCTCAGCGTCTCTTCCACATCAATGTCCGCCATGGCTTTGCAATTCTACTACGGATTTCACATATACCAAGGTGCGCAACTCTTGATGGGCGACAGAGATGATCTTAGTCTGTCGACTGCGAGCGTACGAGGCAAACAAGAGGAACGGGAATGTAAGAGGATGCCAGAACGGAGAAGGTGTGGCAGCGCAGGAGCTAGTTCATATAGTCGATGGCTTGCTCTCCACCCCGCCGCCGATGTCGTGGTGCGAGCACGAGGCTTGCAGCTCTACCCGCTCGCAACATGCAACAAACTCGAGGATCGCTCTCCAGGCCGATCCACAGAAATCTGTTCCCTCGCAGGCGGATGAAGCGCTGGCATGGCCCCACCACAACGCTGTCGGCATGCCGTCCATCCCAGCAGCCAGTTTCCTTCCAGGCCTTGCTCCACCGACCGATGATGCAAGGCGACTTCGAGAAGCCCCTCCCTGCCCATCAAGGCAGGGGCAATTGCCCAAACCCCCTCCCCCCCCCACATTGTACCCGAGCACAACGAAGTCGGAACGTGCTGCGAGCAGCAAGGCACAGGCGCCCAGACCTGCCGTCAAAGCAGGTCGCCTGACGGTCCCGCCACAAAGTCGGCGTCCGGCCCGTCCATCCAGCCCCGGGGTTCTGCCGGCGCTGGGCAGGACTCCGGCCAGGTCAGACGCTGATAGGTTGGAGCTGCCGTGTGTGCCTCAGCAGGCCAATTTTGCTAGGTTATTGCCCCAGATTGACCGGGATAGAGAGTCCCGATGCAGTTTTGGCGGGCCCGGAACGATTTGCATGCGCAGGTGTACCACATTAGGATTGCAAGGACTCCTGCGCCAAAAGCCTATGCTGCCGGTTCAGCAGCCCTCTCGTGCCATGACTGGCGAGCAATACCGGCTGCGAAGAGCCTTTCAGTTTCGTCTTCTCGCAACTCGCTACGACTGACTGCAGCTCGCCTGCCCTACTATACCTTAGAGCGTAGTGCCATATTCTTGTCGGATCGCTGCGCAGGACGTCTCCCATATACGACGGCGGTTGGCAACCACCATGAACAGGCCTTTCATTCCGACATGTCCCCTAGAGATCCCGTTTGCCCACACAAAGACACGTTTAAGATCGAAGTCGCTAACCGCACCCGAGTCGGCCTGGTCTAGGTAATCCAGAAGTTCAAAGAACCAGGCCATGGTGGATTGGATGCGCAGTCCCCAGAACCAATTGTCGTGGCGAATCGCGGCGCTTGCATGTCGCGATGCCGTCAGCAGTTGAAGGAGCTGGTCGTTGTCCAGGTATGCTGCGACGCTGTGCAAGATTTCTGGTGGCAGAGTCTGAAACAAGTCCTGCCCTCTCGGCATTGGAACCGTTGCTGCATCGCCCGAGCTGCAACGGAATCGCTCCAACTGAAGGACGCTTTGCAAGTGCGCTGAGACGGCCGGGGACTCAGCGGGCGAAGTTACGGTGTACTCCTTGCCGCGCTGAACTACCCAGAACTGCTCGTACTCCTGGCCGTCCAACCGGTAGTCGAGGTCTAACGACACGCCGCAATCCTCGCCCAACTTCCTCATGACGTGGTACAGACGGTCTACCTCCGCATCGGTCATCTGCTTCTTGCCGGTGAGCGCCCGGGCGAGGACGTCGTAGCAGGGCTTGTGGAACGGATAGCACGGATCTTGCTGCATAGTATCGGTGTAGCACTCCCAACTCTCCTGTGCATTCCCGAACGGGTCGAGCTCCGCGTCCATGTTCACAAAGCTGAAATCTTCGTGGGAGCCAGGGCCAAAGAAGGCCGCTCTGGATCGGTCGTCAGGCACGGTCGCAGATGACGGAGAAGGATAGCGATCGGCAAATATGTCCTTACCGGCTCCCATCAAACCCAAGCAAGTAGACATCGCACACCCAGCGGACCTGGCCGTGCTCGACCTCGTCGAGGATGACGTGAGGGTCGTAGTTGTAGTCTTCGCCGCTGTCCTCCTGGGACGTCTCCACGGCGGAGCCCTCGCCGCAGTGGTGCCCGGTATCAGCCGCGCCGGGCAGGTGCTGGGGGTGGACCGGTTCGAGGTCCCACGGCTGTCGGAGATGATGCTGGCGCCAGATGTATGTCCAGCGCCCGACACCAACCGTGGCGTTGCCAAACGGCCCGCAGCAGATGGCACAGTACATATCGGCCCCCATCGTGTCGCCGTTGTGGGCAAAGCGCGCCTTGCAGCCGGATGATGGACCGGCCGAGTCGATTTGCCTCAGCCAGGTCGGGCACTCCAAATTTTAGACGCCAGGGTTGCATTGGTGCCTGGCATCCCCTGGCATCTCGCGCAGATGTGGCGTTGGGGCTTACTCGTGGGGAGTTTCTGACACTTCTCCCACTAAACTCAGCCCCTTCGGGTGTTTTAGTGGGGACAGTCGATTCGAAAATGTACGATTGATTCGAAAACTTTTTTCGATACCTGGTCTTTTTAGCGCCGACCAGCAAATTGGAGGTATTCCTGTTTATTTGCATTCCCCCCTTAGCAATTTCAGCTGACAGGGATCATCTCTCCCGACCACGAACACGAACGCGCTTTTCTATTGATGACTTGGGTTGGTTTATGGCTTGTCTTTTGGCGCTGAGCATTGTATTTACTGCATCTGAATGCGTTTATTTACATCGCGATCCCAACTTTTGGTGTTTTCCATACAAAGACGAAAAATGTCTACTAATCTCAGCGGCCTGTCCGCCAGCGGCCCTTCGACCCGTGACATTCCATTGGAGAGTCGAATCTCACGCGCGGCTACAGAGTATCGCGAGGGCAAGTTCCAGTCGGTCAAAGCCGCACAACGTGCTTGGGATATCCCGGCCTGTAAATCTGCTTCTTTATATCGACGGGTTCATGGAGCAAAACCACGCAGTCAGAACCGTGGCGTGGGCCAAGTCCGAGTTTTCGGCGAGATCGCGGGACTCGCCCCCACGCCTCCCTTTTTGGGGGCCGCCGTTTGGAATCGTCCCCTTCTGGACAACGCCTCCCAAGAATTGCTTCTGGACAACGCCTCCCAAGAATTGCTTCCGCCGTCCCGCTTTCCGTTTAGACGATCCTTAGTCAGCATCCGCAGACGCTTGATCTCTGCGTCTCCCAGGCGTCGGTTTTGATTGACGTTAAGGGATTTGGACCTGCCTGAGGTCCCATCTCCAACCGTGGCCTTCACTTCAACGACGCCCGGGTCCAGAATGGACACCTCGACCGTGACGGGAGTGCCACGGCGGCAGGGCGGAATGCCGCTAATTTCGAAACAGCCCATCGTCGTGTTGAGAGAAAAGTTTCGCTCCTTCCCCTTCGAGAATCTTGAACTCGATCACGGGCTGATCGTCCCTGGCCGTTTGGAGCTCGTGCTCCTTGCTGCTAGGAAGTTGAGTGTTGCGAGACATGATCACTTCCGTGAACGGGCGGCTGTGGCCAAGGCGAACAACTTCGACGCCGATGGATCTCATGTCCGGCCGTGCCGCGATGCGTACCGCGCCGCGCGCAACGACCGCACTGCACTTCGAGTTGGCGATGTGGGTACCCGGAAACGTTTTCTCGATCGGATCCCTGATGAATGGGACACCGCACGAGCCGCCGGCAAGGACGGCGTGGCTGATCTGCTTGTTGTTCTTCCGGCAAGAGAGTGTGTCGATGATGTCCGCGATCTTCTGTCGCACGTGTTTGCACTCGGTCTCGAACTCGAGGCTGATCATGCTCGTGCGCATCTGTGTGACCACAGAGCTGACAGCTCTGTGCGTTCCGATGTGCGTGTCGAGTATCGATTTTCGATTTGCCCGGTCGCACTCCGAGCTTGAAAAGATCTCTGCCCTGCTTGGCGGTCTCCCAGGATAGATCCCATTCGCCCCTCATCGTTCGACGGATGATGGATTTCGTGGTCGCCATGAGGATCCGGAGGCACTCTGGCTCTGGCGGCGGTTGAGCGGGTCCTTGTGTATCTTGGTTGACGCCGGCAGCCTCTTTTGCTGCTTGGTCTGCCATTTCATGCGTGGCACTCCGACGTGTGCTGGGATCCAGCGGAACTACACTTCCCGCCCTTTGCTTCGGAGTTCGTCGAGTGCTTGTATGGTCTCCACAAGGATGTATTGCCCTGATGGACACTTTGGGTTCCAGATCGCTTGGATGGCGGCTTGATTGTCTGTGAATATGGCGCACCAGCCGGGGCGGCTGGTTCTTGCATGTACGTCAAGTACCATTTTGACTAGCACCAGTCCCTTGAGCTCTGCTGTGTACACCGTGGAGGTGGTCGATGAGCCTCATGTATGATGCATCCAGTCCGTAAGACGTGGAAATCTTATCCTACCCTTGATTTACCCGTCCCTACGTACAAGCAGGACCAAATACGCAAAATCGTCTCGCGAATATGGTCTCATTGACCTCAAGCCTGCTGCAAGGGAGGGATTACAGTCTCATCTGAAACAGTTCTCGAAGGATAAGGATGGTTGGTCGCCCCTATCGTAGGTCTCGGCTAATGGCCATGAGCCTGTCGTGAAGTTGCTGCTGGAAACGAGCAAAATCGATGCCGACTTACCTGACAGTAATGGTCGGACGCCGCTCTTTGTACGGCGAAGGATCCGACGTGGTGAGTTCTGGTGTTGCTGCAACAGTTGAAGCCCGGCATCGTTCATCACATTTCGCAGAGCCAAGGGCGGAACTGGCATGAGACGCTCGATTGTTGAATTATAAAGATATGTGAGTGGGCGGGCAGGCGGCGGCGGCCCTGGCTCACAGTATGACGCAGCAGCCGCAGCTCTCGCCGCTCTCAAAGGTGAGCAAAGCGGAGCGTGTGGCGGCCTCGAAGACATTGTCGACGCCCTCGCCGCTCAGGCTCGAGCACTCGAGGTACTTGCGGGCTCCTATCTCCTTAGCGACGGCATCTCCCTCTTGCGGCGTGACGAAGCGCAGCGACTTCTTGCGCATCTCCTCTATGGCGAGGGGGTCTTCCCGGAGATCCTTCTTCAGGCCGACGAGGATGATGGGGACGTTAGGGCAGAGGCGGGAGGCTTCCTCGATCCACTGGGGGCGGGCGGGGTGTATCAGCGAACCTTTGACCATATCCCCCCAGGCGGATGCGTGGGATATCGAAGGGACCAGGGGCCGTACCTTGTGCTTGACGTTGTCAAGGGAATCTGGAGTATCAAGCGAGAAGCCGACGAGGATGACATGAGCCCTAGAATATGCCAGCGGCCGCAATCTGTCGTAGTCTTCTTGTCCAGCGGTATCCCATAACGCCAACTGAACGGACTTGCCGTCTACTCTACAATCTGTGACATAGTTCTCGAAGCCTGTCGGGATCTGCGGGATGAGAGCGGATGGTCGGCGGGCGGACGGTCGAGGGTTCGGGGAGGACATACGTAATGCTGCGGAGGGTCGTGGTGGTTAGCTTGATATGCTTCGCGGCAGGCTCGGGGGGCTGACTGATGGGAAGTAGCCGAGCGTAAAGACGCTCAGCAGAGATGTTTTGCCGCAAGCACCATCGCCGATGATGACCAGTTTCCTGAGGGAATTAGATGTCAGTACCCCCTTTTTTTTTGGTTTGGTTTGGTTTGGGGGGGGGGATATCATGTGATGAATCGAGTTCGGTGGAGGATCCCTGAGGAGGGATCGTCGAGACGGTGGCGGGGCAAACAGGTGGGTGCGTACCTGCGGATGACGTTTTGAGGGCTTTGGCTGGCTATGGTGTCCCAGTGAGAGTAGCGTGGCGGAAGAGATGGGGGACGCGGTCTGGATGGGTGCGGGATCCCTCTGGCTGCGTATATTGCGTCGTCAGGGGACGAGGATTGCAGAGGCGGATTCGAGTCCGAGATCTCAGGTTCGACCGGGGGAAGGCCGAGTTGACAGGAAACGAGGGGGCGGCCGTCCGTCGGGGAGACCTTGGGGGTGGTTCGTTGGGTATAATGGCGAGTGTGGTAGTGGTGATAATAGATACGTTTATCGATGGTTGATGAATGGGTGGCCTGGGTTCCGTCCCAAGGATGGGTAATCGAAGAAAGCGGTGGTCTGGTATTTAGGGACTATGTTGTAATAAAACAAGAGGCGGCGCAAGAGCGGGAGATGACAAGCGATCAAGCCACGCGCATTGCAATGCCAGTCCTTATTGTCAAACGATACTCCGCCCCAGCCGAGGAGGCGTCCCGACCCACATGGGCACCATTGTTTTGTGTATATAACTCGTCCCCTTGACTTAGGCAGTGGTTAAGGACCAATTTCAACTCTCTACAACCCACACATCTTGACACTTATCTCGAGCCCGGTTGAAAGCGATATGGGGGTGGACGGGGAAAGGGGCGGGACTATGAGTCGTGTCATCCAAGAGGCAGAAGATGAAGCGGCAGCGTCCTTTTTCAAGTCCTGTCCGGTCAATTGCTCTGTTCCTCTGTTCCTCGCTCTCTCGGTACCTAGAATCTGCCCGGCAGAAGCTCTTTACTTGCGTAGCAGTCCACCGGCCAGCTTTAATACGAGCTAGGCACAGGACAGTACTGACACTACGGCTAAGCTCCATTTACCGTTGCAAACCCCACCCCGGCGCCCCGGGGCGAGAGCGGGGTGCAAGTCGCCATTTCAGGATAAGGTTACTCCGATACGAATCAGCCAGGTGACACTGGCTAGTACACTGTAATGGGAATTGACCGTCGACTGTACAAGTCGTCTTGGTCCGAGAAACCCACCACACTGTTGACACGGGGCAGGCAGCGATCTACGCCCTCTTAAGGAGCATCGTAAACGTTGAGGGCAAAAGAAACCTGCCTAGAGCGGCGTGCTCACCACGTTGGGAAGCTGGCGGGCGTGTTTGCAACTACGAGTTTGTGACATGGCGTTTTCTCCACTGCTGCTGAACCACCCATTTGTCTCTCCATTGTGGTCCTACCGTTTGACCCCTACCCGACTGATGCATCGCATCCTAGTCCCCGCCAACCCCGCCGCTCCAAGCGGTCGGCACGATCGAGCCCGACCCAGCTGGCATGTTCAGCCCTCCTGTCGCTAATTCACTTTGGTTTAGGGCTTGGAGTTTCGCCTAATGCTGGCCTCGGTCCCATGGACTGGATTATCCTCCCCGATGTGGGTCAAACTGAGCCGCATGCACACGGGAAGTTTCATGGGCCAGCCAGCCACCTTGCGAACCAACCTCCATTGCCGGGCCAAAACCTTCGTGGAAGTGATCCGTGGATGATCATGTCATTACCTCTGGCGGGGTAACCTGCACATGCATCAAGAGTCGCTCCACGGCAACGTCTTTGGTGAACCTAGTGCCTTCAGATGCCTGTCGAGACAGAAAAGGAGCCCGAGCGCTTCACCCATACTCACACATCAGGGCCTGATCCTACAATATCCGTAACAACATCGTCCCAATATGGCCGTCAGGCCAGCTTTGGTTTCCAACAACATTATTGAGCAGGGCATGTTCTCGGCCTGCCTGGTCTTTTCACTATTCGCGGTCAACTTCTTTTCCTCCGTCTTCTCACTCATCTTGCAAGTCCTTCTCCTTGTTACCCGCTTGCCCCTCATCTTCATTACCATCGCCGCCTACGGGATACTACTGCAATGGTTCCCAAGTGGCTCCGTTGTTAAGAAGCTTGCTTTATTCATACTGATGGGTATCTCCGGCACGTGGTGGACGGACCTACAAATCGATGGCGTTAGACGTGGCTCGGTAGCCCAACAGCCATCCTGGCGCCTGCCTCAAGGCGGCTCCGTCATCGTGTCATCGGCAACTTCTCCTATCGACGCTGTGTACCTTGCTGCGGCCTTCGATCCTATCTTTACTACATCTTGTCCTGGGACGCGCAAAGTGCGCCGGCTGGGTTTGCTTCAGGCAATCCTACGCGGGTTTCGGCGAATCGGGGATAATCCTCTTGGAGGCGCTGCCCTTGGGGAGCTGGAGACCTTGCTTGTGGAACACCCAGCGCGAGTCATTGTGGTGTTCCTGGACTGCCCAAAGACGAACAACAAGGGCCTATTGCCCCGCTTATCAAGCCTAGTCGCCGTTCCCCCTTCCACAAATGCCTTCCGAGTCAGCATCCGGTACACGCCGCCGGACGTGACAACACCGGACCATGGCGGGTGCCTGGCAATCCTCTGGAACGTGCTCTCCAGTCCTCTGCACCTTATCCGAGTGCATATCGCCGACGACGTGAATGTCCACACCGCTTTGTCACAGTCACACAAGACGAACAGCGAGCCTGCCAATTTGGTAGCGCGGCACAACGGAGATGGTCCGAACCGGAGTTCAAGGTCGGGGGTGACACGCCGACGCACAACTAAACGGCCGCTCAGGGTTCTCGGCGTCATTAAAGAATGAGTACAGCAAACAGGCATCAGCCTTGGGTGGTCAGCATACACTTGCTGTGCCGACTCTAAAAGTTGGAAATTGCCCAGAGCCCCTTTGCTGCCGCCTTAGACATCTGGAGCTCAAGAGCCTTAAACGATGGATGGGCCAAACTCTACGCGAAGACATCAAGCGAACTCTTGCAGCTCGTCGATGGTTGTATAAGCAGCAAAGATGATCTTGGGAACGGGTCTACTAAGCCAATCCCGGACACTCTCATCCACAGTACTTACGGATAAAGCGCAGACGAGTGATTTTGTCATACAGAAGTAAGGGAAGCTTAGGAAAAGCCTCAATCAGAAATAGAATTTACTGGTAAATCTAGGGTCATATGAGTCTCCATAGAAAACTGTCTCGCCATCCTTGCTCCAGCGTAGGAAGTATGAAGGAGGATCTAATCGTGCCATCTCACGGCCATCGTCTTGATCTGGAGCCCGACTTCGACCTGGCCAAGGTGAAAGCTGACCTAACCTGTGCTCGAAACGGATTTTCCTTTATCCAGCATCCAGGGAGCAGGCTGTCACCAGAAACTGCGAGTTCTCTTGATGTGGTCACGGATGGCCTCTACAGTTAACGGCTGGTTCCCATTCCTCTATGAGTTAAAACATCTTTGTGGAGGCAGCGTCAAATGTAACTAGCCCCCGCAAAATGGAGTATTCTACAAGCCTGCCTTGAGAACATCATTGTGCAAAGTGAGCGTAATCGCCTTCAGCAAGAGCGATGGGTAAAAATGGTTCCAACACGTTACCTTGGAAGGATTGCGCGCAAGCCTGGTTTCTCACACATGGCGAGAAGTCAAATGTTGTATGACATTCAATATCAAACGCCAAAGTGAACATAAGGAACCCAGAGCGGCCGCCTCGGCTCCGACCCTTGTCTCAATTCAGCGTCCCTGTCCGCTCCCGATGACCATGACTTTCCGCGTCCGGCATCCTCGAACTCCACCCACTGGTCTCGGAGCGTCCTCATCGCTCGGTGAAGCCCCCGGCTTACGGTTTCATCCCGGATACCCTCATCCCGCAGAAACTCGTACGTCATTCTCGCCATGTCCACACATAACCCGTCATTTACGCTCCAAAGCGTGCCCACTACATGACGGAACCCCGCAAGCTGGCAAGCATTGGCCAGATGGATGCTCTCGTCAACAGACCCCTCATCCAGGATCTGACCAGTCCCGCATGCCGAGAGGTAGGCGAGGAATGGCGGATTCGAGGTAAGGTTGGTCTCTAGGAGACTCGCCACCGTGAATGGCTCCCGATCCCAATCGTCGAGGAGCAGCTGGCTCTGTAGCGGTTCTTCGGGATGCGTGCTGCCGTGGCCAGCAAAGTGGAACATCCTGCAGGCCTCCAAGGCCGACGAGACGTCGGTCTTGTGCGGTCGAGGCCGGTCGTGCGGCAATCCCATCGACTCGCAAACAGCCACTACCGCATCAACCTCGTCGCTCGCATGTTTCAGCGGTGCCTGTTTTGGCGTTTTCTGCATGGCAACGACAACGGCGTTTCGGGTCTCTCCGGCTGCAAGCGCTTGCTGTGGCCGTCGCCGACTATGTATGATCGCCTTGACGGACGATGCGTACGACGAGACGACCCTGTCAACCGCCGTCTCGCCGGTGCGCCTCAGATGGTGTCCCGCTGCATGGAGTGGAAACCGGGTCAGTGTGCCAGTCGGGACCCACCACACGTGCGGCCACTGATCGTCCGACGGAGGCCCAGTAAAACCGAGAGCATTAAGAATGGGACAGACGATGGCATCCCAGAGCCACCCAAGCGTGTCAAGAGTTCTAAGTTCCCGGGCATGGTCGTTGAGCGCCTCTCGGGAGAGGTGTGGCAGCTCCAGCAATCGGATGCCGGACTGCTCAATGACCAAGGCATCGCAGCGATACGAGCTCACGTTCAGGACGACGATCGGGCCGTGCCGCGCAGCCTCCAGCATATCGGCTTCCGATGCCGAGAGGAGGAAGCGCTCAAAACCGGACTTGGAACGGATCGTCTCGAGGAGAGCGGCAAGCTGGGGTCCAGCGTCGCGGCGCCGATCGCCTTCCGTCTCTGCGGCCAGAGTGGGGCGCTCGGCAGCGAGGGAACGAGCCGACGCCGGTGCGTCCAGTTGATCTCGCAGGTCGATAAAGGAACGTACCAGGTCGGGATGCTCGCGTTCGAGAGCGGCAAGGTCGGATTGCTCGAAGAGGGCTCCCGCGATGACACCACGACCAGTCTCAAGCAGTTCGATAGCAGCAGCAGGGCCTCTGTTGGCATGCAGAGCAATGGCTGTCGCGTCCGACGAGAGTCCGACAGCCGCGGAGAGGAGGTGCCGCTTGTCTGAGTTCTGCAGAGAACGGGGCGTCAATAAGGGAATCAAGTCGATCGTCGTTTTGGCAATGGCGTATGCTTGTCGATCTTGAAGTATAGCTGGGGATGTCAGAAGATGACGGCCGGCTGCGACACGCATGCTCACAGCGGAGGCGGACTGACGCAAGGCAGCGACGAAGCGTTCCTTGCTTTCCTCAAGGTCTGCCATCGCGCCTATGCGTGAGTGTCTGTCGCCTAGACGAACTCCGAGGTTGATTAAGAACATAGCCCGGTACGGATGATCTGACGGGGTGGCATCGATGGCTTCTCGTCCTACTTGGATCGCTTCGTCGAGGTCTGCCATCGCTCCGTTCCGCGAGTATCTGTCGCCTAGACCAATTCCGAGGTTGTTCAAGAACCTAGTCCGGTTCGGATGATCTACCGGGGTGGCATCGATGACTTCTCGTCCTACTCGGATCGCTTCCTCGAGGTCTGCTATCTCTGCAGTCCGTGAGTATCTACGGCCTAGACGAACTCCAAGGTTGTTCAAGAACCCAGCCCGGTTCGGATGATTTAGCGGGGTGGCATCGATGGCTTCCCGTGTCACGCGAATGGCTTCCTCGAGGTCTGCCATCGCGCCTGTGCGTGAGTATCTGTCGCCTAGACCAATTCCGAGGTTGTTCAAGAACCTAGCCCGGTCTGGATGATCTAGAGGGGCGGCATTGATGGCTTCTTGCCCTACTTGGATCGCTTCCTCGAGATCTGCCATCTCTGTAGTCCGTGAGTATCTGTTGGCTAGATGATTTCCAAGGCTGTTCAGCCATCGAGCCCGGCCCGGATGATGTAGAGGGGTGGCATCGATGGCTTCCCGCGTCAGACGAATAGCTTCCTCGAGGTCTGCTATCGCTCCGTTCCGTGAGAATCTGTCGCCTAGACGAACTCCGATGTTATGTAAGAACATAGCCCGGTTCGGATGATCTGACGGGGTGGCATCGATGGCTTCTCGTCCTACTTGGATCGCTTCCTCGAGGTCTGCTATCTCTGCAGTCCGCGAGTACCTGTCGCTTAGGAGAGTTCCGAGGTTGTTCAAGAATCCTGCCCGATCTCGATTGTCCAGCGGGGTGGCATCGATGGCTTCCCGTGTCACACGAATGGCTCCCTCGAGGTCTGCCATCGCTCCAGTCCGTGCGTATCTGTCGCCTAGACGATTCCCAACGTTGTTCAAGAACATAGCTGGCTCGGGATGATCTGACGGGGTGGCATCGATGGCTTCTCGTCCTATTCGGATGGCTTCCTCGAGGTCTGTAATCGCTTCAGTCCGTGAGTATCTGTGGCCTAGAGAACTGGTTATCCTGGTAATTCGAAGCGGCTCGTTAGTAGTCCGAAGTCTTTGCCAGGGAGGAAACTTGTCACCCACCCTTCGAAGCTTTAAAATCTAGAATAGAATCGGCCCTTGGTGTCGAATGAGTGGAAGATTCGACCTCTGCCCTGCCTAGAATCACGCCCGAGCCACGCACCCACATGCGGCGAGCTATCACATGTTTAATTGCCATTCGTAACTGCTGACACTCAATGCTGACTTGGCATCTTCGTGGCTTGGCGCACTCAGCCTTCAGCTGGCAGAGTCTGCATTCGTTGTACTGTAACCACCCTTTGGAGAAACTTAGCTTCTAGGATGGGGGCCACCTCGTCATAGCAGCGTCATGGCTCGTCTTAGACTTTCAGCCGACAGTCAGCGCGTGCTGTGTCGTCACTTGTCAGCAAGGCTCCAGAGTTAGATTTGCAACTCCTCGCAAATCCACCGGTGCAGGGTCGCCACATGCTCTAACCTGGTGCAATTGTCATTTTCTGTAGGATCACTGGGACTGACTGACATGCATGCGGGCGCCCACGGTGGAATATGTCCGTCAAAGTCCTGTTTGTGGAAGCAGTCCATCCTTAAGGCCCCCCTGGGGGGAATGGCTCACTACCCCGTAAGCCCAGACACCTAAGGCATAAGGTTCAAGCCATGGACTCAGGCTCCGCCGCCGCCGAAAACATGCATATAAACAGAGGCGCCCACTGCCGACTGCTATCTGAATAGTAGGAGACAGAGGTCACCAGCAATGCATCATGGCCTTCCCAAACCTCCCAAAGCGATTTGCCTTGCTCGTCGGCATCGACCTGTACTTTAACGACGGCTCAAGAAAGAATGAAAATGGAGAACCACACTCTCTCAGAGAGCTTCGAGGCTGTGTCAACGATGTCCGGGCGGTCGCGGAGTTACTTCGAAATGAATTCCAGCTGGAGGAGCCTCGCATCCTCACTTCTCCCCTGACCCTGTCAAGCTTCACGTGTCCCACTGAGCCGACAGAGCCGTCAGATTGTCGGCCCACATTCGACAACATCAAGAGGGAATTCGACACTGGCTGAGCAGGCTGGTCCTGGTGACCTCTTCTTTTTTCACTTCTCTGGGCATGGGGCACGGCTGCAACCGACGAGCAAATCCCCGCCCGGGAGGCTGACAGACCCATCCCTGATGACGATGGACTTTTGCTGCGGAAAGCCTGCAGTGAGAGGATGGCAGCTGAACGAGTGGCTGAAAAGGCTCAACGAGAAGCAGATTCGGACCATTGTCATCCTCGACAGCTGCCACTCTGGCGGCGCCTGGAGGACTGGTGAAAACGTTCGAACTCCAGAAGGCTGGACGAACGTCCCCAACCTTCCCGCCGACGAAGAGGCAATCACAGAGACCGCTGTCGAATCGGGCAGCCGCGATGGGGAGTTGGAAATGTCCTGGTCCATCAACCCGGACGGATTCACGCTGATGGCAGCCTGCGAAAGTCATGAGGTGGCCGCAGAGAAGACTGTCAACGGCACATCTTACGGCGCATTCACCCATGGACTCTTGGCGTGCCTCAAGCAGAACCGACCAAGCGAGGCAATTGTGACTTATCGGAATCTGCGCGACCAGGTCGTCAAGTGGGTCAACGGACAGACTCCTCGGGTGTTGCCGAGAATGGCTCCTCGTCTCCGAAGAATGCCAGCCTGTCTCGACCATACTGTCCGCGAAACACCAGGTTGGTTCACGACGACCGTCCGATGGCAGGGGGCATTCCTTGCTCAAGTGGACCAACCGGGATGCAACCGGAGGCCCCGGCACAGTGCTTCCTGCTCCAGGACTCGCAATGACCCGAGCGGCGACTTGTCATGCACATTGGCCAGGATTCATCCAGCCATACATGTTAAGGCTCGGCCGATACTTTGGGCATGCGAGGCACACCGCGTCAGTCGCGTCCAGACGAGGCTCCGAGCAGTGTTTGCCAAGGCCTGCGGCTTCTCACAGGGGCTGGCTGACGCTAATGCGCTTTCGAAGAAGGCTGCTGTGAGGAGCCAGCTCCACAGGCTCGACATATAAACAACTTCACCCCAATTCACATCCGCGGACAGCCATCACGTTCAACACATCTGAACGACCGCCACGCAGCGCGCACGATGGTGTCGGCTATTCTACCGGCCCGAGTAGCGACAGCTACTGACCGTCATACGACCATGTCAGCCATAGCATCGGCGCCAAATACCGCAGACCAAGATGGAGGCGTGCCTGGCACCGTTCCTAGTCTCGCCTCGCACCACAATACCGCCAGCACCATTGATGGGGCGACTCTCTTCGCCCCTCTCGAACAACTCTTGTTGCGCGCCTGCAAAGTCATATACGGTCCCTCAGAAAGCACGGAAAAGCTTGCGGCGCTTGAAGAGATCGTCAAGCAGGTTTTGCTCAAGATACGCGAACAGAAGCAGGCGGGCGACACGAAGGCACGATCTCCCCAACCTCAAGGCCAAGATTCCGACACAAGTTCCACAGACATCACGTCTAACATCCAGACGGCAACATCGAACGAGGTCTCGGCCCGCCGAGCGTTGCCTCCTCGTCGCGTCCCTCGTCGCGTCCCACCTGCATCTGACCCTCACTTGTCTCCCAACCTGCCGCAATCTGCTGCGGCAGCATCCGACAAAGCGATCGCTCCGATCAACGATGCTACTAAGACACAACCAGCGGCGGTAGTGGCGACCGTCGAGGAGGATCAGCAAGCCGGCGACAGCGACGGAGGAGCGGCGGATACTCTTCAGCAGCGTCTTAGCTGTGGCCAAGCGCCTTCGTCCAGTGCACCAACGCCTGACGACGGATCCGCCAGCAGCAGTGAGGATGGTTCCACGCCTGCGACAAGCCCTGACAGTGGCTGTGCCAGCAACAACACGACCACAGAAGGCACCGAGGACGAGAGCATGACGGACAACACCACCCATGCAAGCAGCAACCTGCATAAACAACGCGATGGGGTCGGCATGTCCACCAACGTTGAAGCACAAGTCTCCACAAATGCGGGAGCGACCACTGGCGACAAGACAATCGAGCCCGCCAGGACCGCTGACGACACTCCGACGACTCCCGATCCTCTCGGCAGCGGCTTAGATCTCAATCGGCCAGGCGACAAAGACCTTTCGAGCGGCGACGCAGACGAACACCGTGGCAGAGCTCATGAGCCTAGCGATGAGCAATCCAATCCAGGCGCGGCCAGTAGTGGCGATGCCACCATCATCATGTCCAGTAGCAATGGCAATCATTCCGCCGCTGCAGCAACAGGGCGCCCTGGATTACGGCCGTCAAAGAGAAAGCCCGCGGACCCGGCAGGGGACAGTCCGGCGAAGAAACCTAAGGGCGGTGACTCGGGCAATGGAAGCAAACGCAAGAAAAAGAAGCCAAAGGCCAAACCCAAGATTCTCGACCACACACCGGAGACAATGGCCAAGCTTGCTGAAGCAAAGCCGCCCGAGAATATTCCGGAAAGTTTCGACGACACCACTAAGGAGAAGCACCTCTCGAAGAAAGAGGTCGAAGAGATGTGTGTCAAATGTTCCCTTCAGCTGGAGGATGATGTGCTGCAGCACTGGGATCCGTATGAATCACAAGGCATCCCTGCACCGGTCCGGACGGTGAATCTGTCGGGTTTTTACTACAATCACGCCTATTTGATGTTTCGGTACGCTACCGCGGATATTACGAACACAGAATACACCAGAAAGCAGCTCGAGGTCACGCTCAACTCCATCAAGTATTGGATCTTGGTGCTGTGTGCTTTGATGCCCGACAAAGGACGTCTCCAGGCACAGGACTTGCGGGAACACTGGCTGAACAAGGCCAGACTTGATACAGCTTTGCCACGCGGGGAGGAAACAGATTCTTCACGACAGCTGGATGACGACAATGCACGCCCGGCTACCGAGAACCATCATCCTCTGCTGAAGCAGATAGCTTCAGAGGTGAAGCACGAGCTAACCTGCCTGAAAGATATTGCTCAGAACAAATCGATCAATCATCTTAAGTACGACATCATCTCTATCAATCTGTGGGGAAACTTCACATCCATTGAGAAAGCTATAAAGAGCAATGATGCCCTCAGGAACACATACTTGGAGAAAGTAGGATACAAGCGCGGTTGCACGGTTAGTACGGAAAACTTGGCGCTCAAAATTTTCAAGAGCATACAAGTCACGACCCCGCATACCTCAGAAGCTCGCGACGGTATGAGGGGGCCAAGGCATGGAAGTGCTGCTTCCATAGATGAAGCTCGGGTCGAGTACGCTCTTGGCCGTGGCGCCGTTGTCTTTGCAGCATCGTGCTATCTGGGGGAGTGGGCGCCCCTTCACATCCCTGCGGCAAGGTGCGTTGACCACACAGAATTGTTCTTCGTTGGTGTTCGGTTTTCCATCAAGCGTACAAACTGACGAAGCCCACGGCTTCCATGACTCAGATTTCCACACAGATCCAAGCCAAAGCTCCCACCGGCGATGGAGAAGTTCAGGACCGACGACTTGATGATCCCTTTACAGAGAGACAAGGGCATAGCCATTTTCTGCTACCTCATTCAGAGCTTCGAAATCAGCTACTCATTCTTTTGTGATAAAATAAAGGGGGAGTGGACTCAGCAGGAATGGGAAAATTGCTACAAGAAGTTCAAGGCTGGCTTCGATGAACACGCGACGAGCGCACGACCATCATGAGGGGTGGGCCAAATGGACAATTATCTTGTGTACCCGTTCCGCCACCTATACAGGGCCCCCTCAGACCTTTCTGTGTTCTCAATGATATCAAGACGGCTCAACTCGTTAGCGACATCGTCTCGTGTGATGTTCCTACTCATCGTATCCCCAATTAGGAAGGAATGACCTCGGTCTTCATTCCTTCCTCATTCGGCTCAGGCCATACTTGAACACCCTTTCACCGACTCTTCTCCGTGCTGCACTAATATGCGCACCATTTAATAGAACCATTACCCTGACATACTCCATCGTACCTCATGATGGCATGTGAATATGCCCTCTAGAAGTCGATGCTACGTCCATATATGCTAGACCACCATTGAACCCTGGGTTACTCCTATCTTCATCGTAGCCTTTCCATTATGGCGACTAATTCCTTGTCTGACATACTTCCAACGATCTGTACATTCACACCCGGGCTGAATGAACGACCTGGGATGGATGTGCCTTGCGCCCAGTCTTGGACTTGTCTAATTGTTTCCTCGCTGTAACCCGACTGACTGAAGAGAAACCCGCTAAACACAGGTTGAAGCCCGTTTTGTGTGATCAAGAATCGGCCGTCGCCCGTCGGGTCTACAAGCGGTACACCAGAAGCTTGCGCCATGACAGCTGTCGGCCCACTGCGAGAACAATTGGTGCAAGTACTGGGCATCAATGGCATCCTTGGTCCATATTTGAATCGTGTTCTCGGGTAATGAGCTCGGCTTCACCATGCTCTTGACATAGTCGAGTCGTGGTGGTGCGGAACCATCGAAAGCCATGAGGGATCACCTAGGAAGGGACGTTGGACCGTCGCATGGATCGAAATAGGGTAAGCCTCTACGATTGTGGAGATGCGCCTGTGCGCAGCAAGCCCACGATCAAAGAGATTCCCTCCAAGGAGCCCAGGTTGAAGTTTACGCCGTTAAGACTTGACCGCATGTCAACAGATGATCAGACCCTATCAAGTGAGCGCGAGACTGACGACCTGTGCGAACAACATGACACGTTCCACTCAACAAGCAAGAACGGTGGCGATGGGCAGGAGGAGTTGGGGGCTCACGAGCATGAGGGTTGGTGCGAGCAGCCACTGTTGCGCCACGGACAAGGCCACGCCACAGACACGTTGTCGCGTGTAGTCCCGTTTAGGCAGGAATGATGTTCAGATGAAATCGGTGGTCATTCCTTCCTTAAGGGGTGAGTCCCACCACAGCCAGCCGAAACGGGTCCAGCCAATCATGATGAGGGGAAGTTTGCACGGCTGAAGGACTGCAATAACTACTGATCCATAGCTAGTGTACCGAAGCGGCGCGATAATGCCAGGACCACATCAACGCACTGATTGCTACGACCAAACAACTGGCTGGTCGTTGCGACAACGCCTGTCGCGGCCACGCCGTCAATCACAGCAACCATGGGTGGCGACCCCCTGCAGCCTCTAGGAGTGACACGCTGCTCTCGCAGCCGCTACTGAAGGCATGATGAGGAAAGCACGACGCCAGCATGCCACGGGCTCAGGTTGTTTTTAAGCACAATGCATATCGTCGCGTAGCCATGTATGTGAATTGAGTCTCCCCCGCGGTCCATGTCCTGCACTTTCTAAGGGTTTATCTTGGCTTCTTCCGGTCTGCCATACACTGAAGTTTGACCACGGTCCGTGGCTCATGAGTCAGCGAGTACATCGCTCAGGCCTCTGAAGTACAGTAGTGACCCCTAAATGTGTCCGCTTTTCGTACTGAATTGCTGTTTCCGCACGGACCAGCTAGCTGTGGCACACTGTGACAAATACCGTGCAGGAAGCCGCACAATAAGCACCTATCAGAATTGAAGTTTACTTCTGGTGGGCTGCTTTTGCAAGAGTGGCTTTAGTCCCAGCTCTCCAGCAATCAACTAAGCCCCCGCTCGAGCCCAAGATTGTGACTCATTATGGACGACTGCGTCCGTTTATCATCAGTCACAAAGGCTATTCGACGGACAAGATTGCAGCAATTCCATCAACGGCTTTTTCCGTGACATTGAACTGAAATCATGAGCAAATACGGTACATTGTACGACATCCTGCTACTTATCTATCTCACCTGGAGCCCAAAAACCCGCTTCAGCTTCGTCGTCTGGTCTTCGACAGGTTGGATTGTGTTGGATCAGCCAAATGTTGGTTATCCTTCGAAGACGTCCCAGCTTCGAGGGCCACATTCGTAAGCTCGAGAGTCTCCCGCGCTGATTGGACAGCCGGATGCGATGGCCCGAGAACCTTCTTAAGACCACCGTGAGCACGTTGATAATATTGCCGGGCTTCGCTCATACGGTTTTGTTCTGAGCGTAAAGATCCCAGGTTCGAAAGGGTGTTAATCGCTGGTCGATATGTCGTGACATTTTCAATCCCAACGGCTTGCTCATATCCATCGAGCGCCCGCAAGTACATCTTCTCAGCCTCGTCCAGCTTCCCCCGATTTTTGTAAAGGTTCCCAAGGTTGTTGACTGTGTGGAGTGTTGATATGTGATCTGGTCCAAGTGCCTTCTCGTACCCATCGAGCGCCCGCAAGTACATCTTCTCAGCCTCGTCCAGCTTCCCCCGATTTTTGTAAAGGTTCCCAAGGTTGTTGACTGTGTGGAGTGTTGATATGTGATCTGGTCCAAGTGCCTTCTCGCACCCATCGAGCGCCCGTAAGTACATCTTCTCAGCCTCGCCCAGCTTCCCCCGATTTTTGTAAAGGACCCCAAGGTTGTTGACTGTGTCGAGTGTTGATATGTGATCTGGTCCAAGTGCCTTCTCTTTCCCATCGAGCGCCCGTAAGTACATCTTCTCAGCCTCGTCCAGCTTCCCCCGATTTTTGTAAAGGTTCCCAAGGTTGTTGACTGTGTCGAGTGTTGATGTGTGATCTGGTCCAAGTGCCTTCTCTTTCCCATCGAGCGCCCGCAAGTACATCTTCTCAGCCTCGCCAAGCTTCCCCACGTCGGCGAACAGATTACCTAGAGAATGGAAAGCCCAGTCCAAAGGAACGTTGCTCTCTTGTACTGTTGAACAAGACCGGATCGCATGCGGTAGTAGTCGCTTCTGAAGGAGCCAATACTCAGCTTCTCTGTTTGATGGAACCTGCGACGCCACACTTTCGACTGCAACCTTGTTTAACCAGCCGTCCCGTTCCTTGTTTAAAATATGAATCGTCCAAGAATGTAGACAGCTATGTATGCTGTACCCCTGTGGCTCCTGAAACATGGCTGTGGGTTCGACAAGGCCGTAGTCGTGGAGGACGCCCATAGCTTCATTGAAGTTCAGCTCTTCTGAAAGCTGTTCCATCCACACAAGACCGTCTTCGCTCCCAGTGCGTACAAGATCGAACCATATGTCTTCATTGTTGAAGTAGGCCCACCAACGGAGCAGATGGGCTGCAAGTGGGTTTTGTGCCTGTACCTGCGCATATGACAGCTGCCATGTTGAACTCAAGGTACGATCTGCATAGGATCCGAGATGCAGGTCACCGGTGACTCTAGCCCAAGATTCTTGGTAGTCGCGAAGGTAGTCGCGTGTGCTGATCGGGACGCGCTTCAGATATGCTCCGGCCGTAGCTAGGGCGAGAGGAAGCCCGTCTAGCTTTCGTGCAAGGTCTTTTGCATCGTTATCTAATACACTATTAGTGGCCGAAAATGAAATGACTCGAGACTCTTACCATCTTGTAAGCCATTTCGGCCTGATGTCTTCGACAGTATCTGTAGGCTCTCCTGTTCGGATTCGAGCTTCTTGATTCGAATGTGATGGCCTATGTTGATTTCTGACACCCGTGTTGTAATCACTACTGAGCCTTGATCTGCCATTGGAAGAAACTGGTGTATGTCGACCGTGGCATCAATTTTCCGTCCTGGGAGCTTTGGGTTGTCGTAGTTGTCATATACAATGAGCCATCTCGTGTTGCCGGCCAAGTTGAGCCACGCGTTCACGGCCTGAACAATCTTGTCGTGGTCTTGCTGCAGGTTCAGCCCCTTGAGGCTGCCGGCATCGGTACTCTGTTCGAGGATGTGCGTTGCGATCCTAGCGAAGCTTTGCTGGATGGACGCTTCGTCCTTGATGTTGAGCCAGAAGATGGCCGAGTACTCGTCTCGATACCGCTTGATGTAAGTTGCAGCAAGCTGTGTCTTGCCGATGCCTCCAAGGCCATAGAGCACGACAACGTGACGGCTTCCGTCCGAATGTAGCATTCTTCGTATCTCCTCTACTTCCCCATCTCTTGCCACAAAATTTGGGGTCTCGGGGACGCCCGATAGGCTAAAGGTGATCGAAAAGTCGTTATAGTGAGCGCCTTCGTGTTTCAGTTAGTATGAATTCTCTTTTGCTGAACTGCTGAGCCGGCCTTACCTTTTATAGATTTCTGGACCTCTTCCCGCAATCTTCTCTGCGCGCTTTCGCGACCCTCGCCATAGATGAGTGGCATGTGAACGCCAAATATCCCAAGAAGAGAGTATGCCATGTCTTCCTCATACTTCGTTTCCCGGTTGCGTGCCCATGCCTCTCGCTCGGAGGTCGTGAAGTTGGATAACGGTGTATTTCGTAAAGCCCGGGCAGGAATACCTGTCACGTTGCGTATGACAGCCTCCAGTGACTCCTTACCGCCCAAGAAGACACCTTCTTTTGAGTAGAACTCAACAATCTGCGGGGCGATGAGCTCTTGAAGTGTCCAGCCACGCGTGAACCACCGACTGTTTCGGAAGACCGACTCCCACGATGCCACGCCTGGCTGCTGACTGGAGGTCGGAGGACCGGATGTCGATGGACAAGAGACGTCGGACAGGAACACGTAGCATCGCTTGGCGCCACGGTACCACCTGAACATACTGTTGATAGCAGTCTGGAGTTCGATGGCATCAGATTTGTCAATACAACAGGAGTCTACCCAGAAATGCTGCAGGCCATGTCGCTTAGCCTGATCGGCGCAGAATTTGATCTTTTCGTAGCCGGCTTTCTGTTGCCAGTCATTTGAGCTCGTTTTGACATCGGCGTAAATGACCTCGTCGGCGCCCCAGGTATGGGAAAGGATTGCGTAGGGGGGGATGTCGTCAGCGCGCAGATCGTCCGTAAGGGTGTAATTGTTAGCATTATCTCGTTGCAGTAGCCGCATTGCAAAGCACTGCCGATGGCATTAAGGGTTCGTAGTTGAGGTGAAGAAATCTCGATCGGCCAGATATTACGCAAAAAGGTCAAATGGGCTTTAGGCATCGGCATCATCACCGTGGAGATAATGGGCGGTCTTAGCCCTTGCGTAAGGCTGAAAGTGCGGGGTAAGGAGGGGCTTCGATATGACAATTACATGGCAAGGCAGACTCATCACCCTCTTGTGACGCTGTATGGTGCATGTCCAACGTAGCAGCTCAAAGTAAGTGCGCTAACTGCACATGCCGCTTCTCCTGATTGAAAAGGTTCGGCTTCCCCGCTTAAGAGGAGTTTAGCCATTATGCGAAGTTGTGGTTGAGGGCCCCAGCATGAAAGGGGTGTGTATGTGCATGTAGAATAGATAATGCGGTTAAACGTCCCATATAAACAGATACGAAGAGGTCTTTGTTTGTCTCCACGCTATGGTAACAGCGTCATACTCTGCCGTCGTCCTGGGATGGGCAAGGCGAAGATTATTCGACAATTCGCCATGGCCAAAACTGCAGATACAGTACAGTAGTGCGACGAACGAATAATCTTCTGTTCGTGCCAACAGCAGCACGAGATGGTGCAATCCACTTTTGGAGCTTCTGGCTATGGACTGTCGGTACAGTGCATCTTACAGTGCAAAGCCGTTACTGGTCCGTGCGGAGTTGTTTTATAATGCTAGGAAAGCGGACACAGTTCGCGGTCACCACTGTACAGAGCCGCCGATGAGTGTCCTCCATTTTTGGCTCCGTGGTCAGACCCGCCTTTGACCAACTCTTGGCTCAACAATGCTGGTCCATGCTTGCAAGGGGCGAGCAGGGGTGCATCCCTGCATCCATTCGGCAGGCTTCACCGAGAGGAGTCTCGGCGGCGCGGCGGCTCTCTGGGTGGTTGACAGCAGTTGTTCGACCTGCTCCAAAAGCGGCTCATTGATCCATGCGAGGGACTCGGATCGCAGCTGCCGCGCAGTTACGGCTGATCATATTCACTTGCAAGGGTGCACAACACAGCAGCACAGCCCATAGTGTGAACTATGAACTCGAGGCTTTCTCCGAGTTTCACGAAGCCGCCTCTTCTGCCACCGGCTCTTCCATAAGTCGACGACGCCATTCTCAACCACCCCGCCTGGGACACCTGGACTACGTCCATCATACCCTCTGTTTACCTAAGCACAACAGAAGTCGGACTGCCCCAAGATGCACCCTGAGAAAGGCACTGGAGCCATGGCGAGGATTTTGCGGCGCCAACCTAGCATCCTCGATTTGGGGCCCGGCGTACTACCGAAAAAATATGTCAGCGCGACGGAGACTATCCGCCAGCCTCGTCCGGGTTTCGGCAGAGAGCCTACCGTTCTGAAGCGGGAAGTTTGCGATCATCTACATGAAGGCAAGAACAGGCCCTTGAGAGTCAGGCACGCTGTAAAACAACACGAGGCAGCGGCGTCCTCGAGCAGCCAGGAAGCTGCCTATTCACCATTCGCTCCGCCACCGGGTGGTCTAAACACCTCGGCCCTGTCCTCCATCACAGAGGAAGACAGCTGCTCGCAAGCGCAGCTGTCGGGGCGCGCCTCTGCACGAAAGCCATGTACAGCAGGTCCCCTGCGGCACGTCACCACTCCCACTCTGGAAGTCCCAGGACCTGACGATAGGCAAAAGCCGGCACGCTCGACGAGTGACTTGGGCCCCGCCACTGGAACGTGTGCAACTACAAGTGTCGAGCGTCTGCGACGCAGTAGCAAGGTACTATCGGAGCCTTTCCCTTTCCACGTCAGGTTTTCTCCTGAGCAGAGTTATCCGGTCCGAAAACTTGATTGTCGGCAGGACTCCGAGACAGGCGGCGTGATTATCACCATTAGCTGGGAAAAGACTAGACTTTTAGTCGACAATTTCCACGTTAAGGGTGCGTGGGAAGAGCTCAACAACCGTCTATTGCAGAAATTCGGAACTACTTGGATGCACACGGATGGCGAGAATCAGCTGCCTGGGTCCGAAGATCAAACCTCATTCGAATACCATATGGTCTCAGAGTTGGAGCTTAGCATGCAGGATGATCAGCTGATACTTGTCGCAAGTTGGCCAGACAGTGATGTTTCAGTTGTCGTTGCTTGATGAGGTGGCGCTCGACTCTGCGAAGCGGCAGATCATCAACAAGTTTGGAGACGAGGTATGGAGATCCGAGTCACGACGTGCTGGACTGGATAATGCGAGTGTGTAGGCATATGGTTGGCGGAGAGACAATCGTGATTTCCTCTACTCTCAAAGCTTGTAGACCACCAACGGAATCGTAACCATTTCTTCCTTTCGTTCCCTTTGGGATGCGTAGCAATTCTCCAGCTTGACGATGCTGGAGTAATCTCGCGATGGGTAAACAGGGATATAGTTTTACAATTTTCTCGTTAACCTTCGCTGTAGAAGCCTTGTGAGTTGTTCGAGTGTGAAACTGACATGATGTACACCCGTGGAGATTCCCACGAGATTGCGTGCCACTGAAGTTGCGCAGCAAGAGGAAACGAGCAGCTCTCAACGGGGTCCATCCAGCTTGACGTTAATGATCAGCCTGCTAGAGCACCTAGAAGGTTCCACCTGTCCGTGTGAGCATAGATCCAAGCTCTCCAGCTCTCGCTCTCAACGCCCTGTTTATCATGCCACCAGGAGGTGAGGCCAAGGGTGTCGCCGCCATCACGCTGTCGCGATAGACTCACTTTAATTCGTGCATGACGGCATCTGGCCCTGCTGATCTCGTACAAAATTGTGAAGCCACATGACGGGCAGCGCCAATGCCTCGGAACGGGACAACTTTACCCAACCTCCGCAGCAGAACCCCAAAGATCCAGAAGTGGCTGTGGCCCCGGAGTGCATCATTAGTCAGACTGGTATGCACTCTTCCCCGGGCGCGTATTGGGCCGGAAGGGTCTTCACCTCGCGGATTCCCAAGCGACGTGTGCTGGTGGCCCTACTGCTGGTCAGGCAGCGATAGTTGCCATTTTGCTCGTCACTAGTTGTTGGCATCCAGCCATATCCACTGGTTATCGATAGTTACAGCTGGCGAGACTTCTGACGCAACAGAGGTTACTTACCGGTCTTATTTAGACACAGGCTCATTCCTCCTTCCAGGCTCTTCAGTCACTCACTGATCAACAGTGCGCGCCGTGAGACCTGACTCGTTGACAAACACTCCTTTGTAAAAATCACCTTGTCTCGACGACACCACACTCCTTTTATTTCACTGAATATACCCCCATTACCTGCTATCCACGATCAAGATGCAGCTCAGCCATGTTTCACTTCTCGGCACCGCCTCTGCTGTCTCCGCATACACCATGCTCGAGCTCGCTCGTCGTGGCGGCTCGATCTCAGTCACTCCCCACGACCGCTACTCTTCCTCGGTCGGCGTCCTTGGCTGCAAGATCAATACTAACCGCGTCGCTTACTGGCCGTCGTCCGTGTCTTGCGATAACCTCTGCGTTAGGGTGACCGCTAATGGCCGTTCAGTGACCCTATTGAAGGTCGACCAGTCTGGCGGCGCCTATGATATCTCCTATGACGCGTGGAACTACCTCGTTACCGGGCAGGGTGCGAAGCAGAATCCGGTCTACGGCGGCGGCGTCAGTGCGACCTGGGAGGATGTCCCTATGTCCCAGTGTGCTGATCTCTTGTCCGTCGCCGGCGGCAAGCTACCTCTGACGGCGGCAAACGCTATGAACTACGTCGCCAGCTGTACTAGCAACACCTGGGTAGCAAATAACTATGCCTTGTATAACATCCTCGACCCAGCTTGCAAGTGGGGCTACGATGAGCTGTGCACTCTTCCTCCGCCCACCGTTAGTAACCAGCCGTCTTGCCAGCATCAGCTTGGTGTTCCAGTCACGTTCACCGGTCAGGGCTTCAAGAACATCGACTATGGTACTGGCAAGGAGTCGCCTCCTTAAGACAAGTCAAGCATTTCTTGCTGATCGCAGTGTCAAGACCTGGCTTTCCTCATGGCCCTGACGTCCTCGTGTCGCCTTTCGACCGCAGATTCCCTTATCACTCCCCGCTTCATCTCTGGTCTTGGATATGTTGATTTGCCCTGTGGAGTGGTGGTCGTACTGAGACACAAACAAGCCGTCATCTCATACTGGTCTGTTTGTTTTCTTCGTTTACATTTAGCTTCCAGTGATATAATAAGCCTTGTTCCACCGCGCAGTGCATCGTTCTCATGGCACACAATAGTCCCTTGTGTGCTCTGAGTTTCATTAGAGACAAAACACTTGCTCAAGCGGAAATGACTTGTGCTCCTGACTGAACCTTGAAGATGCCTCTTACGACTCATGCCACCAAAGTGAGAGCTGTCTTTACCAGACTGACGCTGAATAAGGAAGCCCGGCAAAAAGTCTCCCCAGTTTCGCAGTCGCTTAGTCAAGAGTAGTTGCAGTCCACTGGGATGCCTCAATGAAGGAAGTCCTGGTGCCCCAGTAGCCTTGTCATTGGACAGGCTGTAAGAATTGCACCGGCTCCAAAAGTGGCTCTTCCAGCCTGGGGAAATCAGTGACGACCGACGCCGGGTTGCGGATGAGCTTCGCCCAGTTCGCTTTCAAGCTGCCAGTCAGGCAAGAAGAGCGACTTATGGAGCATAACTCTAGCTCAGCATCGTACTTAATCAGACGGCTCTTCCCTCCTCGATTACCCTACACAGGACAATGGAATCGAGCCCAAAGCACTCCATGACCGACCAAACACGACGGACTCCAAGCTGCTCCAAATGTCAAGTCCGAGCGGATCGCTTTCACTATGACCGGTATGTTCACGATGGCCCGCAGCACGATGTCCTTGGACGGAGGGCCTGTACTCAAATGGCAGCAGGTATTATGACGGCTCAAACCTCCCGCAACCGGCGTCGAACTGTTAACAGCCGCCAACGTCCACCAAAGCTCCAGAGGTACACAGATGTATATCCTTGCTATGGAGAAGTGGAAGGGTCGTCAAGGCCAGGTACTCCAGTGGCACAACACAGCAAGACGGTGCTATGGTCCGACAAACTGTCAGGCAATCATCGACATTCCAGTCCGCCCTTCGATCTTCCATCCACGTTGACACAAAAGTCGATTACCTCAACAATGGCATCCACCGAAGAAGAGCACGATCACGCACAGCTTGAGCAGTCCTGTTTGCGGCCGATGAGGGAGCCTCTCGGGCTCCAGCCCCAGCAAACACGAAAGTCGGGACGTCGGGGCCACCTCGGCATAGACACGTTGAGCAATAGCCGACCCCAGAAGCGAGCGCGCTTGATAGATGTCCCCAGCATTCACCTCAAAAAGGACGGCACACAACGGCCTGAGCTCGCCCAGCCCGATGCCGAAGCTCGTTCGCTTGAAATTCCCCCAGAGTCTTTCAGGTACCAGGTTGCGCTGCCTGAGGGTTCCGACTATCCAGTCCGTGACCTATCCTTTCGCAAAGATCAGACGTCAGACAACATCATCATCACTGTCGAATGGGCTGACACCTCGCTTACCCTGCGGTCCTTTTTTGTCGATGACACTTGGGAAGGGCTGCAGCGTTGGGTATCGAGACACCTAGGTGAGCAATGGCAGTGGTATTTTGACCAGGCTAGCGAGATGTTTAGGTGTGAAGATTCTTCAGATAATTACTCAGAACTCCACACGGTCTCACAGTTGCAGCTCAGTCAGCAGCGGGGATTGGTAGCAACTTGGCCAGCTAGCGATGTGCCATTGGAGTCGCTCGATGCCGACGCGCGAGAGTGTGCGAGAGATTATATTATCGAGCACTTCGGGGCGGACGTATGGAGAAACGAAGCGCGACGGGCCGGACTGGTAGATAATGAGCATGCGCTGGATGAATAACCGTGATAATCGACGTGGCGATCGCAACTTGCGCTGGTGCGATGCACTGACGGGAACTCCAATATGGCTTCTGGAGGGTCAATATGGCACGCATTCGTATTGTCCACGTTTTTAGCACTGTTCCCGACCTGAGTTGGGGATAATTTAGACTAGACAGGGAGGAGAGGAACATTTCATTGCACCGAGCTGGTCAGTACCAGGAGAAGGCTTGCCCTTTATCTTTTACCTTATGAGCCCTCTTACATGCAGCTGATTATGCCTGTCATAAACATACCTGGACGACGACAATGTCTCAATCAGCATTGCGCCTCGGTCGGCCGGCCAAATCTTGCGGCTGGTACGTCAGTAGGAGAACTACACCAAACTGGCGTCGAGCAGTCCGCACGAAGATGTGGCGGAGGCTATCATCGATTGGCAGAGTCCTGGGCTGGTCACCAGCACAGCTGTGGTGTGACCGCGAGACCTCTCGAAAGTAACCCGCTCTGCTGCCGTAGACCTCCCAACCTACCCGCCTCCAGGGTTGAAAAGCTCCACTCATACCTACAGTGTCATGAAGAAGACGCTGATGGCGCCGTAGGTCACTGAACAGAGAGCCTCCGCAGCTGCCTGCCAGTCCATGAGAAGCTCTTGCAGCGCCTGTGTCACACTCGCACGTCTGGTCATGTCGCTCAATGCGGCGGTCCTCAATGTTGTACACTGTGAGCATCGGCATTCTCTTGCACGCGCCGCGCATACGCTTGGAAGTAGATCTCACTTGAAGCTGTGCTGTTGCAGATATGGAAGCCTTGCTTCAGCCCGTCCCGAATAGGAAGGAATGATGAGCTTCTGTTCGGTGTCATGATGCTTTCCTAATCGGGTAGGGTCTCCACCTTTGGACCAGCTCCCCAGGTTGGGGTGCCGTGCGACTGGAGGCTGCCGCTCTCGATTTCAGAAATTGCCTTTACAGGACGAGCGGGCACAGTTCCCCAGGCATGACCGCCGTGGAGTGCGATGATCTCGAGAGCTAAAACAAGATTCTCAAGCCTGCACGCTTCATAAGTAACAGGATTGGAAATGAACTTTTGGATTTCGTTCCGTAAATGACCGCCTGAGAGAACAATTATCAGTAGATACTGGTCGCTGCCATCTCCAGTGCGCACATCACAGACATGGAGGCCCAGTACACACTCTCGGCTCCCTCCTCCAAGGGCGAGGAGGCAGCGAGGCAACTGAGTGGAGGAAGTATCGCCTGAACACGATGACTACCCCCGCACGAGGAGCGTACCTCGCTCCCTCGCTTGTGCACTGTGAGAAGGATCGTGCCGCCCTGACAAGCCGTGGCTAGTGAAAGTACTGACATCTGCACAGCTGTCCCACTAATGAATTGTGCATGCAAGTATCGTGCGATCCCGCTCTGCACCAACGCAGACGCTAGCTGCCGTCCCCAACCCCCAACCAGGGTCACATACCATGTGGCGCATAGTGCTTATTTTTCCATCTCGCCAAATCAAGTTGTGCGTGCGAGGAAAAGCATGGTGCATACCCGATACACAGGGTCTTTTGTTGTGGGGCTGAAATGAAGCAGGCTGGCTGACACTCGGGGGTCTCAGCGCACCAACACTCCCGAGTCTGCCTTCATGCGTCGACCTGAACGCCGTGCTCTTAGCCGACCTGCTTCACCACAACTCACGGGCCTAGATTCCACATGACCACAACACAATCAGCATACACGTTGAACTCCAGTCTCCGGCCGGTCAGTTTGATAGCGCGCCAGAGGCGTGTCTGCATGGGCCACATACCCTGTCGGCAGACTGCAGCAAACACGCTTCCGCGACAACCGATGCACTCATCGAACTGGAGCTACCATTCGCATTCACTGAGGCGACGCTGCAGCGGTAGCTTGTTGCACTACGAGAAGCGCAATTCCTCACTCGGAACGGGTCCGCGTCAGATCGCTCGTCGCACCTCACTGAGCGGCTATCCGCGAATGATACGACATCGCATCGAACATCACAACCGAGGAAAAGCCTCAGGGTAGTGGTCTGGTGTATGGTCCCCCACGCAGGTATCATTCTAGTCTTGGCTTCATGACAGGTGTCACGGCTACAACTAACCTCTTCCTGCCCACAGCACAGCGAGAGTCGGCGCGACGCTCTCCCTGCTCGGCCGCAGATGTCGATGCGACAGGCGAAACCTCGTGGGCAACACCAAACACGGCAGGTTTCTGCACTCACAAGACAACAAGCGAACTCCTGCTCGAAACCATGATCGAACACAGAGGCGACAGTTGAAGTGGTCATGACGGAGTCCCGCGTAGCGCATTCAACGAAAGCCTCCGTCGTTACGGGGCCACAGCCGAGACCCGCTACCGCGTCGGGCTCGTCCAACGAGTCGACATCGACCAGCAACCCATCGAATCCCCAGCCGTCGGAGACGTCCGCCACATCACAAACCATGCGGCCAATGAGCTGGCTGCACACACCGCAGCTGGACAACTGCTGCTCCGACCAGAGAAAGACGGGGACAGAGCACTGCCTGGCTAAGGCCCAGAGGGACCAGAGGGACTAGAGAATGCCCCCGTGGCTTTGTCTAGTATCGCTGCCCTGGAGCTTCTATCAACAGCAGTCACGATTGCCGGAACGACACTGGAGTTGTCGAGCATGCCCAGAGTTACACTGCGCTACCGACTACTCTCCATGAAGTTCAGAAAGACAGTGATGAGCACGAGCAGAGTGTTGGGGACGAGTGTCGTGATGGCGGCAGGGAACACGAGAACACCGGAGTGAATCACATCTCGAATGGTACAAGCACCACCATGGGCGAACAGGTCAATGGGACGCCCATGCCGAGGACGGGGTCGAGGATCCAGCGACGAGGACCACGCCTAACAAGACTGCCTGCGCCCAGCAGTCTCGTTAGCGAGGAGCTTGCGACCACAATGGACATCGACAACAACCATAATCGTTAGCGAGGAGCTTGCGACCACAATGGACATCGACAACAACCATAACGCTGAGTCTGGCCTCTTAGATGAGAGCTGCCGGGGAACCTCAAGGCGCGATAACCTCCGCCATCATTCGCACGAGGCTATTGGCGGCGATCATGGCAGTGCTTGCGGACCCAGGGGCGGCGAGGACAGCCGGGAACCCACAATGCACGACATCACCAACGTAGCGATGGTTCACGATGGCATCCTTCCTCAGGTCACAGAAGCCGGGAAGGGTGAGGCAGACGATCGCGCGAGTGACCGCGGCATTTGGGGCCTGGGTTCGGGTTCACATGCCATACCCCTTACCAATCCAGTACGTCAGTTCCCTGAGGCGATTTCATGCCCTGCACGAGGATTGCAGTGTGCTAATGATGCGAACGGCTCCCCACAATGTAGATATCGTGCAAACCTCAATGTACAGCTGCCGCCAGCGGCGATCAAACTTGTGGGGGACACGGGTGTTTCTGAGCCCACGGAGCTGATCATGCTGATGCATTATTCGGTTGTGCGAAAATACCTTCCACGAGCACTTTCCGAGCAGAACACACTTCCCAGCCACCGCACGCTCTGAGGCGAAAAAGGACTAGAGACAGTTGAAGGGAGCTCGCTCGAGTCACGCCACCATTCGCTGATCGAACTCCATCGCCCTGTCTCCGTCCAGACCAGCCTTGGGCCACTGGATAGGATCATGGACTGCAGCACCATGCCGAAGGCTCGCCAGCGAGCCTGCGCATCAGTCGTCAAGATTGTAGACCTCATGACAAGACGCTTCCGCACGTCACCACGCATCATCGACGGCAATGGCGCCGGACACTACTGTCATGACAATAACACAGCTCTCGGAAGACTTAGCTGTCTTGAAGGTCGAACAGCGTATCGTTCTGCTGCTTCGGGACGAAGACACTTATGATGGGGGTAGTATGTGGGAGGCCGAGGCCCTTAGCGACTGAGATCTGCCCGATCCTTGGCAATCAATAGTACAGACACCATCAAACACAGCTTGACCTGCTGGCACACTGCAGTGTACCCCTTCAACCTGCCGACTGAGCCAGACCATCAGTATGGCGCTCTCCTGGAGCTGCGAAATCTTAATTGTGATATGAATCCACGCCAGCTCGGAGCTCTTTCCACAGCGGGCAGGTATTTGTCGCCTCTGTACGAAGAGCCATGATGTTGAGGTGTGCCAACCCCTACAGGAGCCGAAGATGGAGGCGCGTCTTCCTCGATGTCCTCTGCCTTTGGCCGTCTGGAATTTGTGCATCTGCTCAAGGTCTTCGCCATCGTGGTTGAGTAGCGGTTTAGAACTGAGGTCGTCTTGGCCAAGTGCTTGAGATCTTCAGACATTTATGTAGATCTTGTGGTCGTGCATGGAGCCACGTTCTGACCAACCACCACGAGCTGCACGTCTCTCGGGCGGAAGAGGAGAGCCAGGGCTTGCTGGCTCGCCGATGGTTGGCGTCATAAAGAATCTCATTCACTTCACGTACCTCAAGCTCGAGTACAAAGTCTGTCTTATGCGTTCCTGTCTAACCAGCGACCAGTTGACATCCATGCCGTCCCCCATATCCTGGCCATTGGATATCTTCCAAGGGCCGCGAGTCGTCAGGGTTGTAGAAGCACGTTGTGGGAAACACGATGGTGCTCTAGCCCCGATGGCCGGCTCGCATTGTGGGCGAACAACTTGATCTCGGACATGATATTTCCTCATCGGCCTCATCCCCAAGCCAACCACCATACGAATCTGTTGCCCCTGTCTTGCTACGCTCGATGGCTTCTGGACCACAGGTTGTTGTCCAACCCGGTGCATAGGCTATGCTTGGTAAAACGGGATACTTCTGAGGAGACTTGCCTGCCAAAAAGGCAAAGCACCATTTTCCATCGAACCCGCCACACCCGGTCCAGCCCGAGATGTATATGCCGGCGCCTCTCAAGATAACGCAACGATACAAAAGCGCCGAATTTATCCTGCCCGCCCCTGCGCCTAGTCGCTGCCATCATCACCACACAGGGTACGACGACAGAGCAGCCGTTCCCGGACACATGCGTTGAGCACATACATTTTCCTTGTATCCATCTGTGGGAGGCAAGGCAGCTTGGTGACAGTTCAGGAAAGCTCCAAGCAGCTCTACTACGTATTTTCTTGGGCGTGCTCTCTGCAGGAATTTGATGCTGTTGCGGGTTGCCAAGCGAAGGGCTAATGTGCGGACTCAAGTCTGCTTGCAAATGTCATGCATCAGATCCTTGTCATCTCCACGTTCCATGCATGCCGCGCAAGCAGCGCATCATTTTAACAAGCGTTTTCGGTACCTCCCACGAGTAAGTAACACTGCCGTTCGATCTGAGCACCTGCCTAGAGATCTGACTGTTTCGATTCTAGCCAATGGAGAAACCTCCCCACCCTTGCCGCCTGCTATGCCGACCCAATTGCATCCATCACGCACACAAGGCCGCACTCAGCCGCCATGTTCCTCTTGCCCTGGTCCGAAACCTGTCAAGATCATGAATCTCGGGCTTGGATCATATGCCCTGCGTTGGAGACTTTACCCCTCGTTTTCTGTGCTTGTACCACAACGGCAAGCGTGCTGTGAGAATATTCTGGCAGGCCGTCCCTCTCGTCAGATTAGGGTCCGGTGTCGGTTCCTGGCACAATTCCGCATGCCATGTATGAACAATAAACACCTCAGAACGCAGTATCAAGACATCCGACATATTGGTGACTGCAATGTAAAGCTCGATCCTGCCCATGGATGCAAATATCCTTGGGAGACCACGAGAAAGGTTGCTTGCCCAGGATAAGGCCTGACACGAACCTGTCACAGGCAAGCTTCATGACGTCTCTCCTGTTTGTTCGCTCACGTATCTGCAGACGGAACATTTTGGTGTCTGCGTGACCATATCCAAGTGCTGAACGACTTGGCCACTGTACCAGCGGCAGACAGAACCAAGCGATCGAGCTGGGCTCTGCAATCTCGGCCATTATTCCTCCCCCACTCCATTTGACAGACAACAAATCTCGACCTCTCTTGCGCTCCGCGGAGTTTCTTCGACCACGCGCCATCGAATCACGTTGCATAAGTGCCAAAAGCGGCGTGACTGACCGCGTTTTCTCCCCGCCTTTGTTAGGCGATCGACTTGATCATCTCGACAGCACGCTCAACCTCCCTCTCGTCGCACCGGTTTGGCTCTGCCCTTCCGCGCCCTCATCATCTACCCGGCCTTCCCCTCGTCCATTCGCACAAGAGGATAGGGCATCTTTACCCGCTCGCGCCCTTACGGAAATATTCGGTGCAAGGATGCTGTCCATCACTTCTTCACCAGCATATACAAGCTCAACCATACCGCGATCGAAGCGACCTTCCTTTGCGAATGTCGGCCATACCGGGACCTCCCCGCCTGTGCCAGCTAGACCTGGGAGTCCTGACGTGCCTGGATTATCCCTTTGATCCCTCTTGACAGCTATCACAAGATCATCAGTTGATTCTTGGCTGTCTCCTTTGGCTTCGCATTTTCCGCCCTTCCTCTATTCCGAACGACAAAACAATCTGTCAAGGCTCATGCAACGATGCACTTACACCAGGATATTCCCAATCAAAGTCTACGCCGTCCAGACTCTCGTCCTTCAAGAACTTGACGACATTGTTGGCAAAAGTGTCGCGGTTAGCAGGCAACATTGCCTGGCGCAGAATGTCGTAGGTGGCGCTGCTACATTGCCGGTCCGCAGTCGCCTGTCCACTTCTGATCATGGAAAGCTGACTTTTGCATATCTTGCTCCGCAGGCCCCCGATACCGACTTCCCAGGCCTTCCCACGGATGGGCCAAACTATCTCAAGTTCCTGCAGCTCATCAAGGGCAAGCTTGGCGGGAAGTCGCTCTCGATCGCTGCGCCTGCTAGCTACTGGTATCTGAAACAGTTCCCTATCAAGGAGATGGTCAAATTCCTCGACTACATTGTGTACATGACCTACGATCTTCACGGTAAGAACTCGGCGGATTCCCTGTTAAGAACTGACCCTGAGAGCCCGTTGGCTAACTAATACTCGCAAAATCCAGGCCAATGGGATGCTGGCAACAAGTGGTCGGCGGACGGCTGCCCCGACGGCAACTGTCTGCGCTCCCACATCAACATGACCGAGACAACGCAGGTGCTGTCGATGATTACCAAGGCCGGCGTGTCCCCGTCCAAGATCTTTGTCGGCGAGTCCAGTTACGGTCGGTCGTTCCGCATGGCCAAGGCCGGTTGCGACGGGCCCATGTGCAAGTACACGGGCGACCGGCTCAACTCGGAGGCTGCGCCGGGCCGGTGCACCGTGACGCGAGGATACATCTCCAACGCCGAGATTGACAACATCCGCAAGACGTACGGCACCGTCAAGAGCTGGCACGACGCCCGATCCGATTCGGACCTCCTGGTGTACGACCGGTTCGAGTGGGTTGCGTACATGAGCGACGAGACCAAGTTGTCGCGCCGCAAGCACTGGGAGGGCTTCGGCTTTGCGGGCACCATCGACTGGGCAGTCGATCTGCAAAAGTTCACTGGGGACAGTCTCGAGGGGCTCAGCGGCGAGGACGAGGAAGGCGTGACGCCGCTCCCCAAGTGTGCCGACGTGGGCAAATACAACAAGCTCGAGGACGTTGAGAACAATATCAAGAGCATCCCGTTGCACTGCCGATCTGCGCACATGCTCAACGCCATGCAGAAGATCCTGTCCGATGCGCTCACAGGCTACGACAGGCTGCTTAGTGGCGGCTATGACGACAGCTTCAAGACATATGCGGACGTCGTCGTGGATGGATCCAAGCGGGCCGTCGAGGACTTCATGTACGAGAACGGCAAGGACTTCTTCACCTGCAAGGTCACCGAGACCATCGACAGCTGCAAGCACTGCAAGAACAATAACCCCCCTGACAACTACTGCCGGTATTGCGAGGATTTCGAGTAAGTAAATGCCTGATTTCTCTCACCCTGTCCCGTACCCGTAACCTCTTCACATCGTGGGACCGTCATCACCACCACCAGCATACTTCGAGGGCAGAGGTTGCAGTCTCCCTCTGAGGTACTCCTCTCTGAGTCGCAACTGATGCTAATACAGTGCATAGCTGTGGCTGGGCTGGAAATATCTGTAACCAGCCAGACGTGATCTGCTCAGGACACGAGTTCCGGTACAAGGACATGGACATGCCCTGCCCGCCTGACTACTCGATGCGGTCCGGGACCGGACCGACAGGCAGATACTGGCCGCAGACGACCAGGTGGACGCTGCGCTCAGGCAAGCAGGACGACTTCTACGGCGCCCTGTACAAGAGCACCGGCATCGACAAGGATAACATCCGGTGGACCGACGTGCACCACTGGACATGCGCCCCAACCAACTCCAAGGAGATATGCCAGAAGCGCAACTGGGACATCAACTTCCCCGTGCCCCACGGCTACGACCGCGAGGACGTGCTCGACCCAAAGGACGTCGTCGAGGGCGCGCGCAAGAACCTGACCGAGATCGGACCGGGTATCAGCAACGTGCTCGACGGCGTCAAGGCACAGACCTTTTTCGGGAGCGTAGACGACATTGTGGACGCCATGATTGTGCCCATTGTCATGGTTGAGGACGCCGTCGCCCAGATGGGCAAGGTCAAGGAGCTCGCCGACAAGATTGACGCACAGAAGCGCGAGATGATCATCATGGCTTTCCTGAGCGCCATCTTCTTCTTCGTGCCCGTCATGGGCGCCGTCGTCGGCGCCTTCACTTCACTGGCCAACGTCGCCCGCATCATGGCCCTGGTCGGCTCACTAGGCGGCGCGGGCCTCGACATCTACGACATTGTCAAGTCCGACAGCAACGACTTCCTCGCCATCTTTGGTCTCGTGCTCGCCCCGCTCGACATCCTCAGCGTCGCCAAAATCACCGAGGCCGCCTCGATCCGCCGCAACATGAAGGCGGACGACATCAAGGCGCTGGGCGAGGTGCCCAAGGCCCGCATGGACACTATTGAGCGCATCCGCGGAAACGGTGCTTGCAGGGCCAGCAGGTCCAGGGACTTGACGTTTGATGACTTGCAAATGAGTGGGCTGGACGGAAGAGAGTACGGCCTTGTGTTGACACCGGTCCCTTTCCAGGGCTGATTTGGCATTGTGACTGGGGGGAAACGGGGCACACGGGTTTTCTGCGACACTTCACCTGGCTGACGATGTGGCGATAGTAGTTCACGGTGACAATGTGGCGATGACAAGGATGCGGTTAGTGCTTGATAGTACGATTGGTGGACATCTATGTTCGTTTCATCATTATCGGAATAGCGCGCTCGATTTTGTGCTTCAACGACGGAGACGTTGGTGTCTTCACAGAGGTGGTCAAGCATTTCTCGCAAGCTACGTAGCAAGGGTACAGCTGCCCGTCTCCTTTGGGAGCACACTTTTGATGTTGCTTTCCTGTCTTGGGTATGTTGCGTTGTTGCTTACCACTGCGCGTAAGGTAAGATCAGTAAACTGGAGATCTAGGGAAGGAGGACCTTTCATACTTTGCGTTCAAGCCTGTGCTAGAAGGCGCTGGCGAGGCCATAATATGGGAGCTAAGTGTTCGGCCTTCGGAGCAGAAGTCGAGAGGATGTGGTGGAGCAAGACAGCCGATGTAGACTTATGTGCGAGGAAGTCGGATGTAGTGCGACGACTGGCTCATGTTCCTAAGATTCTGTGGTCGCCTGGCACGGGATGCGGCCCGGTTTCCAATGTATGGACGTTTTTTCTTTTTGCCGGGGGGGGGGGCCGAGAAATCAGAAATACTTGTAGCGATGAGACAAGATTTCGCATGTAAGTCATCATTACCTCGTCTTATGGAGACGACCGTCATGCAGCAGGTTGCATTGCAGGCGCAGTCCATGCGCGGGCTCACTGAGCTGGCAGTCACCTCTTACATTCTCCACAACACACATCTACTGACATGTAGAAGTGGAAAATGCGGACCACGAATCTGCTCATGGCCACCGGTCTAGGTGGCTGCGCCGCCTATTTCAAAATTGCCGAAGCTCGCACAGACTATGTCGATCTGCTCGAACGTATCTTCTGCCAATATCTGGGTGCAAAGCGGCTCATAGCCAGCCATACCATTGAGCTTCTACATATGGCATTGGTGGAGTAACTCTGGTGATGACCAAGAGGAGCCCTTGAAGCGACCCCAGGTCAAACTGTTGCATGGGCCAAGCTCCATCTCCACAAACACCATCATATATCAACAAGCCTTGGATTTCCCCAACAGTCCGCCCTGCAAGCTGAGGCAGTTTACCAATGAGATACTTTTTGGGGTGGGCCACTGCTCGTGAAAGCAACGAGGCAAGGGTGGGGAATGCTAGGCACGTGCAACGTCTAAAACGGAGTCATCGCCTCAATAACAAGCCGGACGCGCCGAAAAGGGGATCATGTCTAATTAGTCACTGACAAGCTCCGTGCAGGATTTGTCACTCGTCCAATTCACGCCATTCTTTTGGACCAGCAGTCTCACGTATTGCCAGGATGTATACAGACAGGAGTCATTGTTGTTCTCGATTGGTCGCATGGCTCAAAAAGACCGATATCGCCTTGCACCACACCCACGGTATACACACCTTGCAACGCCAATACGGAGATCCGCGGGGGGGCCGTGCCTTACAAGTCTTGCCTGATTGCCTGCTTGCTCGCGCGCTTAGCGCAGGCGCTGAGCCCCCGTTCTTGCACGCAGTTTATTCCAGGGGGGCCAGAGGTTTCGGGGGCGTGTTGGACAGCCCGTACACGCTGAGTCTGCCAGGGCTGCCGCAGATCTGGCTCGAGTCGCCGGGACACGGCACGTTGCACCGCGTCTGGTCGTCGGCGAGGCGCGTGCCGTTGCCGAGCCCGTTGCCGCAGTAGCAGTCTGTCCCGTTGGCGACGCCAAAGTAGCGGTACCGCGGCAGGCAGCCGCGGTGGCACTCGTCGAGCGTCATCCCGGCGAGGGTGAACCACTCGACGTCGCCCAGGTTGTGGCCCTCGCCGTCGAGGTAGCACCCGTGGGGCACGGAGGCGCGGTTCAGGTACGGCCGGAACCCTTCCTCGTCGCCGTACGAGTACACCTTGACCGCCACGCCGGCGGCTCCGGCGGCAGCGCCGCCGCACTGCGGGTACTCCTGGGCGTATCCCGAGCACGGGGTGGCGCAGAAGGTGTCGTCTAGCACGCGCTCCGCGTCGGGCTCGAGGTGCTCTGCGCAGAGGCACGTGTGACCGCCGAGGAGCGCGGCCATGTTTCCCAGATTCGGACCGAGGCCGTGGGCAGCACAATACTGGACGCAGTCTGGCGGTGAGAGAGTAGCATTCCCGGCGACGCTCACGGCTGTCGACACAGCGAGCGACGAGGCGGACACTGCCGTCGCCGGCACCCGCCAGCAGCCCGAGTCGGTGAAATGCAGAGCCCCCGGCGGCACCATTAGCGGAGGGCTGTACTGCCCGACACAGTAGGCCACGTTTGGGCTGAGCGATGCGGTGCAGTCCCTGTCCTGGGGGATAGCCGGGTTCAGTCTCCGCAACAGGTCGACCGTGATGCCGGACCTGCGGCAGATGGCGGCGCATGTGTCGTTGGCGGGGGCGACGACAGCCCATGCGCCACAGGAGCTGGTCAGCGTGCCTGGCGCGACCCCGGCAACGCCGGCAGGCACCGGTGCGACCTTGTCGTAGACACCACCGTCTCCGTTCCCTGTGCCGATACCTGGCACGCCAACCGACGTGTTGGAGGGCGTCCCGGGTGTGAAGGACCCGCCAGGCGACGAGAGGCAGATGACACTGCCGAGGATGCGGCGACTGGTCTGCAGATTACTGCAGAAGCGATCGATCCAGGGATTATAGGCCTTTATGGAGCCAAGCCGAAGAAGATTGAGGGCCTCGATAAGCAAGCACGACTCGTCATCCTTGACGTTGTGCACGTTGCACTTTGGCGGCACACAGAGGCGCTTGCCAGTAGCGATCTCGGCGCAAGCAGTAATGTTGGGATTGCCCGAAAAGAGGCTGGCGGACGAGACGTTATGGACCAGGGCCAGCGAGTCGCACGTATCGCCAGTAGCCGAGGTAATCCAGACGCCAGACGCACAGAAGGGCGGCGGCGTTGGGAGAGGTGTTGCGACGGGAGGCTGGGCCGTCGTCGGGATGCGCTGGGCACACTGCTTATTAACGTAGGCGGCTGCCTGTCCGTACCAGGCCGATGTGCCAAAGGCCGAGTAGGGGGTAGACTGCATCAGGCGTAGGCGGCCAGTGTAACAGGGCTGGCACAGCTCGTTGCGAGGCATCTTGTCGTAGTTGGCCTTGACTGTAAAGGCGTCAATGACGTCGTTACAGTAGCGGCCGGTTGCCGCGTCGAGGCTGCACGTCTCGTTGAGGCCAGCCCAGACATATCGGCCCTTTGCGGCCCCCGGGAGGCCGCTCGGCCACTGCAGCCGCGGGCAGAAACGCTCGACATTACGCACCCACGTCTGTACCGCCTCGAGGCACGACGGCGCGCACACGGCGTCCGTCACCGTCTTATTACCGGGGCTATTGCGGTACGCCACCTTGACAAAGTCGGCCGTATAGTCGTGGCAGAAGACGGTCGCAGCCAGCGACCGCTTACACCCAACCGGCATGGCCAGGGATGCCACCTGCTCTTCAGTATACAGCTTGTAGCCGGCAAAGGCAACAGTGTCGCCGCCGTCGGCGCGGCGGGTGAGCCCGGACGGCAGGCTCTGCTTGGCGCCGGCGATACTCAACCCCAGGATCCAGACGGCATCGTCCGGCAACTGCTGCTCGAGGAGGAGCAGCGTGTCCTGCAGGTCGTCGGCACAGCCCGCGTCGTGCATGTGCTCGGCAGTGTTGCCCAGGCTGTACAAGCCGGCGCCGACGACGTGCAGGCCGGACGAGCCCACGACGCGCAAGCCCGCGGCCATGGCACAGGTGCCGCCGCCGCCGCCGCCGCCGCCGCCACAGGCGGACTCGCCGTAGGCCGGATCCTGTGCAAAGTATGAGTTGGCGAACAGGCCGGGCGGGGCCGGGACGGGCTGGGACGGGGGCGTGATGGTGCGGAGGCCGGCGACGACGACGTTGCGGGCCTCGACGAGCTGTACCTGGTAGAGCGCGGCGTGGGCGACGGCCAGCCCGTAAAGCCACGTCGGCCCGCGCCGGCTCTCCACCAGCAGGCCCCGGCCCGCCCCGACGTCCAGCGCCGGAGCCGCGCCGGCGCTGTCGGCGTCGGCATCGGCATCGGCATCGGCAGCCCACAGCCACACGTTCTCCATGTATGCCGATGCCTCGGCCGTCACGTGCACCATGAGCGCCGCGCCGGCGCACTCGGCCGCGGACGCGCCCGGCCCGGCCAGGCACCGCTGCGCGTCCAGCCGCGTGCCGCGGCTCCCGCCCACCCGCACGTGCAAGTCCCACAGCCCGGCCGAGCCCTGCCCGCCCTGATGCACGTTCCACTCGAGCAGCACGGCCCCGGCGGCAGGGCCCTCGGATGTCAACGTCAGGCCCTGCAGCTCGACGATACCCTGCTCGCCCGGCTCGCCCACGCGCACCGCCGGCTGCGTGGCCGTCTGGTTGTTGAACCGGGCGCCCGCAGCCATGAGTTGCGGCCACGCCTGCCCGACCAGACGAGTCCCCACGGGCATCCGGAGCGTGTCCTCGAGCCGGTACACGCCGTAGGGCAGGTACACCACGGCCGACAGGTTGGCGGCCGTCCGCAGGATGGCGTTGAGCACCAGGTCGTCGCGCGTCTCGCCGTCCCCGTGGGCCCCGTGCTCTCGGGCGTCGAGCACCTGGTAGCCCCCGAGGTCGCCGTACGATGGTCGGTGCCGCGTGTACTGCGGCCCCTGCGGCAGTCCGCTGGTCGTGGCCGTGCTGCTGACGAGCGAGGCGTTGCGCACCGGCGCGGCGCTGGCCTCATTCGACGGCCACGCAGAGGCAAAGAGGTCATGGCCGTCGAGCATGTGGCCAATGTCATACCGCTCTATCTCCAGCCGGCCAGAGCTGGCCCCTCCAGCAAGGATGTCGCGGTGGCTAGTAGAATCCTGCACAAAGTGCTCGACGTTGGCAAAGCCCGTGTTGTATAGCATTATTCCGTGCCCCCGGGATCGCAGGCGTGCCTCGTTTACGGTTATCCCAATCACCGTGTCAAGCACTCTCATGTCGGTGATGGAGAATGACTCTGTCCCACGCAGATCACCATCGGCATCTTCATCGGTGGACGGGGAATTCTGGCGGTCGGCCAGGCCACAGGTCAGCATGTCGCTGTGTCAATAATGGCTCACTCGTGTAGAGCCTAAAAAGGTCTTCCCGAGGAACAGGAGAAGTAAAGACAAAGGTTAGTTAAAGAAAACAAGCAAACTCACTGAGCTAGTGCCGTTGCCCTCAGGATGGATGGCGACACCAATCTGGCAACCCGAGATGACGACGTCCAGCATTGTCGAAGATAGCGTCTCCCCACCCAGGACAGCGATGGCAGTCCTCGCCCCACTGATAATGATGCCACTGTATGTCACAGCCTGCTGGTTACCCAGCGCGATGCCGTACTGCCCGCCCACGAGCACCAGGTCTCCTAAGAACCCGCCAACGCCGTTCTCTACGTAGATGCCTGATGATAACTACGATGTCAGCTGACTGCAAAGAGGATGAGATCAAAAGTAAAAAAAAAAAAAAAAAAAAAAAGAAACTGCCACTCATATGAAATGCTTGGAGTTATTTGTAGTCTTTTGGCAGGAATAACGGGCATTGACACTCTCGATGACGACAAGGAAACTAAAGGCGGGGGCCAAAGTCGGGAGGGAATGGAGAGGGGCTTTTGGGGATATGATGGCACGCGAAGAGCTCCTCCGAGCCGTGAAAGGGATCCTGTACTCACCGACGTGTGTGGTGTTCGGGTGGCTGGCTCGATCGCCCATGTATATGTCCACGTTCTCGACAGACGACGCGTGCGCGGCCTGCCAGTGGATGCCCGCCATGTGCGCCTCGTGCGGCACGCCGCGCAGGTCGATCACCAGGTTGCGAATGCTGCGGTGGGAGTTGCTGCCGCTCCCGCCGCCGCCAATGTACCACTCGGCATTGCGGGTGGTGTAGGCGCTCGAGGTAATGACGCCAAGGCCCACGAACGAGCTGCTTCCCGCGATGACGGGGCGGTCTAGGGGCTGATGGGCCAGCACCACGTGGTCGGTTAGCCTTGCTCTATGGAGCCCGAGTCTCTATGGTCTTCTGCGCGCCATATCCGTGGCTGCAGCATAGTAAATAGGATTGGAATGGCCAAAGCCTTACATTTCCGAGAAGCTCCGTGTTCGGGAAGTGCACGATTGGGCTGGAGATGAGGTACATGCCGCTGGGGACGTATACTGTGGCGGGCCGGGTCGTCACACCTGCACATCGCGGTGTCTTGCAGCGTTCTCCGTCGGAGATGGCCCGGTTGAAGGCTTCTGTGTCGTCCGTTGTGCCGTCGCCTGCATGTCAAGCATGGCCGTGTAAGCGGATCTGAGAAGTGGGCAAGGGGGTGTATTAGAAAGGGTGGAAATGATCAGCTCACCCTTCGCGCCATAGTCCATCACGTTTCTCCAGACCTACGACAAGTTTAGCGAATAAGATCCAGGCGTCCAGTTTAGTGACGTTCATAAGATACGCCCGATTGAGCAAGGCAAGTTTGCCAATACTGACCTTGTACCCTTCCGGGGCAAACGGGGCTCTGCCGTTTTGCGAAATCGTCTCCATCCAGAACACTGGCTTGGCCGCTTGCCTCTTGGTGATGTTATCGGATGGGTCGCCGGCCGCGGAACCGGGTTCAATAATCTCATCGCCGTCAGCCCCCACAAACGTCCAGAGGCCATTGTCCGTTTGTATTGCCTGCCCAGGTGTGGCTGTGTCGTTCTTGCTCCCCTGCCACTTTTGTCGCAGCTCGTCACCGAGATCAAGGACCCCAGTGCCCAAAGCAGTACTCGCGATCTTGGCGACCAATTTGGCAGCCTCTGCAATATTGTCGGGAATGGTGTAAGTGCCCACATCACTAGTTGTACCGTTCAACGCTCTCTTGGTGCCGTGGCGCGCCCACAGAGTCGTGGTATTGCTAACGATATCCAGAGGAGGGGCAGGCTGCGTCTGTCCTTGTACCTCTGCTTTATTCGGACGTCGGTAGCGGATAGTGAGCGGGCTTCGCAGGATCTGGCCGTTCACGTCCCGGAGGACTGCCTGGGCCCTCGAAACGAGATCTTCGACGCTGCCCGCCCCAGTGGCATTGCTTGCCGTGCCATTGGTGGTGATGTTGCTCTGCCGTGCGTGGATGTGATAACTGTTGTGGATCGCATGGTGTTGATGATGGTTGTGCAAGGCAGCCACTGCACCGATGTTTGGTGTTGAAAAGAAGAGCGTGAGGCAGACCACAAGCGGCTTCATTGCGGAGACCATCGTGGTTCATGCATGAACTAGTTGTGAATCGTCTGCCACAGGGAGAAGCTCAGAGCTATCGTGAATTGATAAACCCATATAAGTAGGATAGTTCCTGCGGACGCGAGAACGCAACAAACTTGCAGCGGGGGCAACTGGTCAGAGCAGAACCACCAGATGCCAATCTTGCCAGAGGTTTGTGTCAGTGAGGTTTGGCATCCCTCCCATCCAAAGAGTGCGCATCCCAATGCACGGTCTCAGGTGCCAACGCGCCGCACCACCAGTCTCGGCCAGTTTCCGGGTTCCCGCCATGCAGAGTTATTGTCTTTCGAGGCCTGCATGTCTTGCGGATCGACGTAGCCGCGCGAACCTTGCCGACCTGGCCTTCGAGCTGGGATTGCCGGCCAACAACAAACCCCAGGCGGTAGGTCTACATCGCCACATCCGCGGCGAACAAAAGTTCCTCGCAGCGCCCCTCAGTTCGCCTGATGTTGGCCGGTGAAGCGAGGAAAACTCTGGATGTGGCCCAACATGGATTCACCCGGAGCTTTCTTGGCTTTCCTTCAACCCTCGGCATCTCCCGGCGGCCTGCAGCGGAACCGCGGATATGACTGTGAGCCAAAGATAAGACCCTGAACATGTATAGCCGTGTGGGGCGGAGCTAAACCCTGACCTGACAATGCACGCAGGGAATGGAGTGAATAATGACCCCTTGTCGCCCCCGGGGACGCCAATTTTGCGCGCGCATGCAGCCCTGTCTTCAGGGTTCATCTGAGGTACATCGAGGTACACGACGCAAAGCACTGGCCGGCCACGGGTGATGAACCGCGCCTCGATCCATTGTAATGCCGCGCCAAGCATCCCAGCGCCAACAGCTGAGTAACATGGGCAAAGCAAGCAGGCCCCACGAAACTCTATCATGTGATATTGAACAAATGCGCGACACGACCAACATCGCGAAAAAGGAAGGTAGTCCGTGTACCGGGCCCGGTGCCAAGAGAGCAACAGTAGGTCCCTGGCAACCAACTCTCGGAATGTGTTCCCCGTGGGAATGCATAAACCATTGGCAAGGGTCCGCCAAGTGAGCTGGTCGGTGATCAGGAATGGTCGCAGAATGAAGCTGCACTACATACATAGTATCAATTAGAAACTTCCCGGGATCTAACCTGTGACGGGCCGCTCTCCGGCCACGGATTGTGCTCCGTGTCGCAGCCGCTCTCGAATATCGTGGTTCCACTTTCAAGCCGCATACTATCGGCAGCGGCATGTGTTCTGGCGGCATGAGGCTTGCTTCCCTGTGGTACGAGGGGCCTGTCAGACCTCTGACGCATCACGACACCGCTCCTGTTGGTTGCAAAACTCTGCGCTGGCCAGTGGAACCCGTGTCCGCTGCCGACGCTCCCCCGGTCAGAGGTGAAGGGTTTTTGCGGTTTCCAGGACGGGAGAAGGGTGCTGCTGCAGCTTTGCTTGGCAGAAGGGTGCTGCTGCAGCTTTGCTTGGCAGAAGGGCCAGACTGGCAGGATTAGATCCACGTCTTCGGTCAGGCTTTGCCCCTTGAGTCTCAGAGAAATCAGAGCGTAGGGGTCCAGCGGCGGGCTTCCACATATAGGGTCCGGCGAGCCTGTAAGGAACAAGGCTCAGCAAGGCTTGTGAGAGCCATCATCCTGCCAGCGCTCGAGCTTTGGTGACCATTGTCAAGGCGCCATGAAGGCAACCAACCCGTTACTTCTCGCAGGCCTAATAGCCTGCACTCTGTTTGCGAAAATCAGCAGTGCTCAAGACTGCAGCAAGACCAAGCTCTGTGCCACGGGTTGCTGCAGCAAATTCGGCTTCTGCGGCACGACGGACGAGCACTGTGGCGAAGGTTGCCAGAGCACCTGTGACTTCGAGCTTGGCTGCCATGCCAGCAAGCCATGTGCCACAGGGTGTTGCAGCAAATTCGGGTTTTGCGGTCTTGGACCTGATTGTGAGTCGTGATCCTGTTCGGGAGACCTCGTCGAGTGGCACAACATCACTAATACGTGGCGTTAGTCTGCAGCCCCGAGAATTGCGTTTCCGGGTGTCAGTCTAAATCCTATTGTGACCCAGGAGGTTATGGGCCCGACTATGTCGAGATCGAAAAATGCCCCCTCAACGTCTGCTGTTCCAAGTTTGGGTACGTGAACACGGAATCAAGCAGCCTGGGCGGCACAAGCTAACCACTATCGACAGCTTTTGTGGAACGACAAGCGAGTTCTGCGCTGGAAAGGAAGTTGCGAGGCCTCAATGCTCCAGTGCCGGCCGGAAGGTCCAGCGCGTCATTGGCTACTTTGAGAGCTGGGCTCCGAAGCGCGCCTGTCAAGCCTTTCAACCTGAAGACATCCCTGTCGGCGTCTACTCGCATCTCATCTTCGCGTTCGCGGGTATCGATCCCGTCACTTTTGAGATCGTCCCTGGCTCTCCAGATGACATTGACCTATACCGACGAATTACGGCTCTGAAAAAGAAAGATCCAGACCTCAAAGTTCTCATCGCAGTCGGGGGCTGGGCATTCAATGATCCGGGCCCTACTGCAACGACTTTCTCAGACGTTGCGAGGTCTCCTACGAATCGAATCAGGTTCGCCCGGTCTGTCCTGAAATTCTTAATCACCTACGACTTTGATGGCGTTGACATCGATTGGGAGTATCCTGGCGCCGAAGACCGCTCCGGCCGGCCAGAGGACTTCAAGAACTTTCCCATCCTCATGTCGGATCTCCGCGAGGCGCTCGACATGTCGGGCAGAAACATCCTCACTCTGACGACACCTGTCTCCTACTGGTACCTTCAACATTTTGATATTGAGAGCCTCATCAAACCTGTCGACTTCTTTAACGTCATGTCCTACGACTTGCATGGCATTTGGGATAAAGGCAGCAAATGGCTTGGAGACTTCCTGAATGCCCACACCAACATGACCGAGATTACAGACTATCTCGACCTCTTCTGGCGCAATAACATTGACCCTGCAAAGATGACACTTGGCCTGGCGTTCTACTCTCGAACATTCACCGTCGCCGATCGGTCATGTACGACACCTGGGTGCAGGTTCGACTCCGGCGGCAATCCGGGTCCTTGCACGCGTGATACTGAGGGGGGCACGCTCTCTATTGCGGAAATCAGCGACTTGCTTCCCAAATCCTCCAAGCCCGTCATCGATGAGAAAGCCATGGTGAAGATGACAGTTGCGAATGGGAATCAGTGGATCGCCTACGACGACCTGGACACGTGGAAGCTCAAGATCGATGCGGCGAATCGGCTGTGCCTAGGAGGCGTCATGGTCTGGGCTGTGAGCCAGGACATACCGGGGACCGGCCAGTACTCGCGCGAGCTGCAGAAGGCTACGGGTTGGAAATCGGCCGCCGTCGGGTCCATAAGGGACGACTTTGAGGATCCTAATGCCCTGCTTACCATACATAGGCCGCAGTGCACGTGGACCGACTGCAACCAGAAGTGCCCCATCGTCGATGGTGCCCAATGGACGACTATCAAGCGGTCCGATCCAGACGGCGGCGGCGAGGCCATGATGGATAGCACAAACTGCGTTGCAGGCCAGTCTAATCGACTGCTGTGCTGCCCACCCCAGTTGCCTGCTTCCTTCGAATGCGGCTGGTACGAACACAACGGCGGCTGGTGCCACGGCGAGTGTCCTTCAGGCATGACCGAAGTTGGCTCCCTTTCCCAGCACTGCAAACAGCAGAATCCGGAGAATGGAAGATACCAGGCGGCCTGCTGCACGATGGCGGACCCGAACACCAAGGTGTTTGAGCAATACCACTGGAATGGTCAGATGAATCATTGCGATGGCGATTGCCCTGGTGGGGAGACCAGTCTCTTCAGCTCGTGGTCCGGAAGCGGCGCCGTGACGTGCCCAAGCTGGGATCCGTGGATGACACTATACACTCGATACGACCGGCAGTATTGCCGCACCGCAACTGCCCTCGAAGGAGCTGAATGGGATAAGTGCGACTGGTTCAGGAACACGGGCTCGGTACCCGCCGACGCCGGGCCAAACCACTGCCAAGGTGGCTGCCCAAACGGCTGGTCCAGGCTTGCACTCCGGGACAAGGACTGCCACACTGGGGCGATGGCTTACTGCTGTCTCTCTCGGTATCGATCGGACGCTACCCCCCAAGAGAGCATCGAACATACGGGCAAGCTCCTCGACAGCTTCTACGACTCTCCCACCTGTCCGAACGACAACGAGATCTTCCGTGGCAAGTCAGAGGCGTTGTTCTCGCTTGGCGTCGTTAGCACTATCCTCATGGGCTACGACCCGATCATCGAGCGGCAATGGGACAATCACATAGCCCGGGGCGGGGGCAAGTGGCCTGATCTCACGTCCAGCCGTGTCCAGTCCCTCTTTCGAGCCATGCGGAAGACAGTGTCGGGGCTGACCGAAAAGGCGCTGGGCCGGCCTCTTTTGTGTGATACTGATCAATGGCAACGTTTTGCCTCCAGGGGTGGCTTCTCACAGTCATTCACGAGCAGCGGCCCCGTTTGCATCATAAACTTACTGGCCGAGGATCCTGACTACAACGGAGCTGACGATGGGGGGGATGACACCATCAACCGTGGTCAGGCTGCTGAAGTCTCTCTGCGGGACGAGTTTGGAAAAGACCGTGAAGTATTGGACCGCAGGTCAGACCGCGCGCCCATTTACATTGACTGGGTGAGCAACACGATGGTGGGAGTGCTTAGGCGCTGGAACTACCAAGCACACAAATATCCATCCGGGCAGAACGGCAATACCCTCCAGGCCGCGAGCGGCAATGCAGATCGCTTTGGGTACAACGGTGGCAACAATGGTGGCAACAATGGTGGCAACAATGGTGGCAACAATGGTGGCAACAACGGTGGCGGAGTTGACTGCGAGTTGTGTGTCGATGTTCAGTTCAGCAAGCAGACGACTATCAGCACGGTCAGGTTCGTTAGTAAGTAAAGGATGCTGTTAAGCGGCCAGTCTATTGACATCAGACTTTAAAAACTGACTCACGACAATCAGCTGAACATGTGGTGGAACTCCAGAGTATAAAGCAGTTCTTCATGTTCTGCTTGGATGGCTATCACGAAGGCCTTCAACGGGATAGGTGGTCGAATCTGCCAGACACACTGGTTGGTAACATCGACTCGATTTGGAAACCGCACGGCAGTGACACCATGGCCATGGTCCAGGTGATGGATTTCATCATAGAAGGTGACAACTTCTGGTGGCAGCAGAATCGCGAGACTCCCATTAGCGAGATACTGCATGCCCTTGGTTCAAATGAGAACCCGCTCGTTCTCCGCAATCTGCTGAGCGACATCAATGGCATCAAAGCAAAGGCAAGTAGTTCGCGATGATGGAATTTCCGTCACACCGGCTTCCGGAGACTCCTCGCCCTGTATCCCAGCCTTTGCTGAGATCGTACTCAGGTCGTTCCGCGCTCATTGAGATCTCTGAGCTAACTCGAAGTCCATGGGGCGCATGGTTTTGCAGTTGTGGGTCCTCAGTGCCCCGATATCTACCAGGAAGGTGACCGAGGTTGGCGGCGATGTGTTGAATAAAGGCGGTTACGAGGCTGCGATCAATCTTTGGAAGAAAGTAAGGCCGGCCACGTCATCACCACTAACTGACAGAGCGGATATTAATCGTGCGATCAAATTCTAGGTGCTTTTCGTCTGGGACTATCTACACGGCGTAACGGATGTCCTCGCGGAGATCGTGGATGTCGTCTCGACCATTCTCTTCCGTGTTAACCAATACTGGTCGGACAAGTACAACAACGGCCTTTCGCTGTACCTCTCTGAGCGGTGGGAGGAATTCTTCATACTCCACTTTAGTCGTATGCTGCGCTGGACCAAGTGGTACATGCGTCATATCCTCATTGAGCCAAAGCAGCGTAAATGGATCGACCACCTCCTTTCAGGGACAACGAGCCTGCAGGAGACTCTAGACTTGATATGCGCTATCATCACCGCCCAAACCATTCTCCGTCGTCTGGACGCAATCGAGCCTATCCCCGACAGCACGTTTTCGAGTGGTGACGTGCGGCTCGCCATGTTATCCATGTAGCCGATGTATATTCCGCGAGGAACCTTGAATTGTCCGGCAGAACATCTGCAGTATTACATTAGCCGAGATATATAGCCTTCATCAACATCATCTTATGCCTGCTCGCCCAAGCGAGTATTGCCGAATGACGTGGCTACAGCGCCTGACAGTGCCCTTGATGACAAGAAAGCCGACGAACAGGTTCATCCTTTGACAAAGATAGCACATTATCTTTGCTAGCGGCTTTCCCCCTTTGCACCGTGGAAGACAGCTGAATGCACACGCCAGATAATTGCGACCACCCACCGTGCCAATTTGCCCATCGCGGATCTGTGCAATGGCAATGCTTCTACCCGCGCTCGCTTATGCCTGCACAATTATCCCCCAGGTACATGTCAGATGTCGGGAGCACGTGCACAACGCCTGGGTAGTGCAACCATAACAAGCTCGTGTCAGTGAACAAATGCCACATACGGGTTGAGCCAAGACAGACGATGTTCAGGGTAAGGGCTGTTGTGGACAGGGGTTTCGATTTGGTCTGGCGGCCAAGTGGCCCTGGGCTGGCATACAAGAGGGCGACCCCTCGACTTGGAGAGGCCCTGCCCGGGCTCTCTCCTTCACCAGATTGCTCCTCTCATAGCATCCGCATCACAGCAGCCATGCGCGAGTGCTACTTTCCCGCCAGCATGCAAATCCACGTCGAGTCGGGCCTTCGTCTCGATCCTGCAGACTGGAAGCTCAAGCACTCGTTGGCCGATTGGGACTTGATCGAAAAGGCAGTGGCTTGTGACAGCGACACGGTCCCTCTCAGTGATGGCGACCGCCAACGACTGTTGGACGTGTGCGGCACATTCTGGGGTCGTGCTCTCGGCCAGCCGGCCTCGCTGACCCCGCGCGAGCGCCGAATCGCCAAAGGATGGCCTTCCGAGGATGTCATGGCTACAAACGTCGCTAAGGTAGCACCGGGACTTACGCCAGAGGTTTTCCTCGCCAAGGTGGCTAAGGGCGCAGACTGGATGACTCTTGCACAAACAGACCTTATCGACCAGCGCTTCAACCTCCTAAGGCCGGGACAGCGCCGCACGTGGTACAGCATGGCTCACTTTGACCGCTACCGCGCCGGGTGGCTGCTAGCTTCTGCAGAAGAGCGCGACGCTTACCGCAACTCCCAGCTCAGAGGCCAGCTGCTCCGCAGACCAGGCTTCGTCCTTGACCAGACTGCGCTGAACGAGAAAGCTGAGGCAGAGTGGGAGAGGAACCATAGTTCGCGAAGCGATCTGCGAGACCAGCCACCGTGGATCAAGCATATTCTCATGTCCACGCTCTGGGATGGATTTCAGCTCAACTATGGATTCCCAGTCTACTTTACTAGCGAGCTGCACGCAGCCCTCGAGGAGAAACTGGTGTACGGCCGCGCACTGTACGGCGACAGTGAGAAAGGTAAACTCTTCGAGTCACCCGTGGTCTTCATTGCGTCATATCTCAGGAGCAAGATCTTCCAATTCGGCAACTTCATCGAAGTAGCTAAGCAGGAATGCTCCAGTCCGAGGGACGTCTGGATAGCCCGGCGCCTTAAGGACACGACGAACTACATCATCTCGTACACCCCTCTGCCGCAGGACGACGGTGCCAGGATCCGATATCTCCATCGGATGGTGCGATATGGCGGAGCTCTCGAGGAGGGCGAAGAACCAAAGTGGAAGTCCCACTGGCTCGACGAGCAGTATTTTGTTGTCCTCGACGCCTCCAGCCTACCGCCGGTGTCCGATATCTTGAACAATACAGACAACTCCACTGATGTTACCGTCTGGTTATACGACGTCGACTGGGATCCCCCCAGGGGTGCCACGCATGATAATGACGGCTACGCAGGTAGAGTCAAGGTCAGCCTTGGCTATCACCTCTATGTCGGGCTCTACCCGTTCTTGCTTCGCCCAGGCTTCACCCTGAAGAAGGTTTGGGCTATCAAGTCATCCGACGATTACATGTACCGAATCAAAGACTTTTCCGCGATAGCTTAGCGTAGACGAGGAGAACACGGGTTATCCAGCATGTCCGAGGGCGGTGCCGAGTCATCATGATAACACGACAGATTTTGTAACAGAACCACTCTCCCTTGGCAGCGCGACCGTTATTTAGTTCTTGCTACATTTGCTATACAGAGTGCACGGTCACCCTTTGAGATCTCCTCAAGCAGCCGAGAGCGACGGGCAGGCTGCCCCTTGCAGCGCGGGTCACGACGCTGACGGGACGTGGCGGGTGGGGAGCTCGTCGAGACTCAACGGCGGCGGTCCTTGTTGTTCCGATATCCTTTCCACCGGACCGGCCTTCCTTTCCTCTGACTTGGATCCGGTCAGATGACTCGTGACAGGCAAATATGCAAGGTCTGCTCGTTAGCGTGCAACTGAACGAGACTCGGCTCGGGACTCTGCCCCACCATCATGCTCCACGTCCGTATTCGCCAGGGTCAGGCGGGCCGGCAAGGAAGTGCCTGCGATTAAGGGGACTGAAGCAAGTGCCAAGGCTTGCAGGGCAGGGAATCATCCTGTGGATGAGCCGTTGGTCGGGCCAAGTGGTCCTTGGCATATCAAGCTAGGCGCGGCCAGAACATGAACGCGGGAGGGTGCCGCTACCCTGTCAACCAACATAATGGCACCTTGACGGTGATGCTGACCGGCTGGAGGGCCTGTGCCGCATGGCCATTGGGCGACGACGGGCGCCCCTGCACCGACTCTCCTGGATCTGCACGACGATGGAGCGGTCCGAGATGGTTGTTGGTCACATCCAACAAGTACATGGAGGTACAAGTCGCGTCTGGGAGCGCAGAACCCATCAAGGCTATCCCCGACAGGACAGGCCTCTGCCCCTGTTTGCCGGCGGAGGTGTCATCAACTTTTCCGCGCCATCCAGCTCTGGGCCAACATCGTCCACTCAGGTGTTAGTAATCTCGCATCGCCTTTTGTGACACTCCGGTGTAGATACTCGTGACCGCCAATCTCGGCAGGCAGGGATTTGCATGAGTCCACGACAATGGGCGCGCATATGGATGACCGAGTCTACCGAAAGGACTCCAAGAAGCCACGGCTCGACTGAAGGGACTCCATATCCTTCGTGCCAAGGTTGTGAACAATCCCTGAGCCCGCAGGACTTTCCTTCTCGAGACACACCTAACAGACCATGCAGTGCAGTACGGAAGGCGAACGACCCGGGTGGCTTTCGTATGCTAGCATACTGCTGCGACGCTAAGATTGGTCGTGCTAGGGGGATCTAGGAACTTCGTCGCGTTGATGGAGTCAAAGGTGCGGTGTTTCTGCGTCAGCCTTGGTATATAACAGCCGCGGATGCTCACAGCGCTCCAGCTCAGAGACGTTTAGAACATCGTCGACAGTCGCAAACAAAACCTCTCAGCCACTTTTTTCCTTGCGGCTATCGTCATGCGGTCCACGGTCTTGTCTCTTCTGGCCGCCTGTCTGCCTGTTGCCTGGGCAGGTCCTGTAGCGGCCAGACAAGCATTTGAGGTCGACCCCAACACGACCAAGTACTGCACGTGGTACCACGACGTCATTGAGGGAGACACCTGCGAATTTATCCTCGCTTCATGGGAGATCTCCCTGGAGACTTTCATGCGCTGGGTGGGCTGAACCTTGTGCTAGGAAAACTTTTGACTTGCAAGAAGCGATGGCTAACTCAAACACTCCAGAATCCATCCATCACGGCCGGCTGCGGTAACGTCCAAGTAAACCACTCTTACTGTATCGAAGGTATGATATTGTTCACAACTCAATGCACTCCTGATGGAATTGGATCGAGGCTGATGTCCGGCTCTGCCACCATCTTCCACAGCGATCGGCGAGCCTGCGCAGGCATCGACGACAACGACATCGAAGCCTCCCGCGGCCACCGCCACCGCGCCTCCGACAACCACCAAACCCTCCACAACGGCCGCCCCAACCCAGCCCCCGACGCCCGGCACGAGCACCGGTGCCAACGGGGTTGCGACGCCGCTCCCGGTGCGCGCTGGGATGACAACAAACTGCAGGCGCTTCTACAAGGTCCAGCCCGGCGACACGTGCGACGCCATCATCGCTGCCGCAGGCATCTACGGACCGAATTTCTACATCTGGAACCCCGAAGTAAAGGAGGACTGCTCCGGGCTCTGGGCGGGCTACTATTGCTGCCTCCAGAACGTCGCCGGCCCTTCCATCACCCTCACCCCGGCGGTCCCTTCCACCACTACCGCGCCGCCGCCGACCACCCCGACCGGCAACGGGGTCACCACCCCGCTCCCCATCCAGAGCGGCATGACGACAAACTGCAGGCGCTTCTACAAGGTCCAGCCCGGCGACACGTGTGATGCCATCATCGCCGCGTCAGGCATCTACGGACCCAATTTCTATATCTGGAATCCCGCCGCCAGGAGCGACTGCTCCGGGCTCTGGGCGAATACATTTTGTTGTATAGGTAACACCGTCGGCCCGTCCATCACCCTGAGGCCTCCGACCCCGACCACGACGACCAAGCCGCCCGCGGGCAACGGCGTCGCAACGCCCACGCCCTTCCAAGTCGGCATGGTCTCGAATTGCAAGAGCTTCTATCTCGTACGCAGCGGCGATACATGCTCCAGTATCGCCTCGGCCAGGGGCATCTCCGTCAACAACTTCATCCGCTGGAACCCGGCCGTCGGTGCGGGCTGCACGGGCATGTGGGCGAATACCTGGGCTTGCGTGGGGCTGATTTGAAGTGGCAGACCACTGTTGTCTCTGGATGGCAAGTATCTGAGCAAGTCCCCCTTTGCGTCATGGGGGCCCGAGAGGCATCGCCCTGCGCAGGGCTCGTTTGCAAAAGGATTCTGGTGACGTGCCCCGGCGCACTGCTGTAGCTAGTTTTCATTCGTATTCGACCTTGGCCTGAACATTATAAAGTCTCGCGTTCACTTGTCTTGAGGAATGTGTAATTAGAAGTGCTGCCACGCCCTCGTTCGTAACACCCTGTGGACCCCAGTACGGCAACTCCCTCGAAAAGAACAATTAGAGTGTAGCGCTTGCTACTACAAAGTGGTTAATCATTAATGTCTGGTTGTTACCTTTGTCTCTCCAGAAACACCATGCATCATTGTGACAGTGGGATTGCAGGCTGCAGCCAATTCTTCGCCAAACACTCTCGTTCTCTCACAAGGGCGTTCCTGGGGTAAAATTGCACAGCTGGCAGGGTGCTACAATCATAATAAGGGCAAAGAACAAGATAAAGAATGAATTACGCCCCTCCAGGCCGCGACTATCTGAAACCATCAAGGAGGCAACGGGGATGTCCGCGGACTGGAACCCAACATGATCCTGAGCCGCTGAGGAAAGCTCGTGTCACTCAGAAGCAGAGAGGGACAGCGTCAAAACTTTTTTTTTGAAAAGAAAGCTGCAATGCCGTTGTAGATGGAGCAAGAAGTGTTATGGGACCATCTACCAAGTGGATAGGCTGAAATTCAGCTCGAGTATGAGTATTACAGCAATTCCACATGTCGCTGTTCAGACAGACGAAGGGACGGCAGTTCGGAATTCTCCTGGTGCTATCCTGCTGGTCGAGAGCCGAGTTCTCGTGGTCTGGCCACTCCGTATCTTGTCCTCAGGCACTGCACCCGACCGCCCGAGCATTAACCGCGAACAGTCTAATCACTGGTGCTGCTTCTTAATTGAGACCGACAAAGAAACCTGGTCAGTTGGTATTGGGGTCTGCGATGCTTTTGAACACGACAGCAGTCCCTCCCAGTGTGCACTTGATCTCATTGGACTCGGTGTCGATTCTGGAATGCCGGGCTGCAAGAATCCTTGCCCGCCACGAACCCAGCTACCTCCCCGATGGGGCTGTGATGGTTCACACCGAGGGGATCCTCAGCCGAGTCCGTCGCTAATTAAATACTTCTCGGGCGCACCGTTGGCCTTGAAACCCAAGAGGAGAGGCTAGGGAGCCCAAACCACGGTATTCATCCAACCCAGAAAGAGTAAGCCGTTCTTGGCGCGGATCTGCATGGATGTAGACCTGGTAGGAACGGCTGTGACAGTCGTGGTCATGAATGGACTGACACGAACAGTCGTGGGTGGCACGTTGGCACCGGCAGCGACTAGACCCATACAGCTGCATGCCAATGTGATGCGACTTGCTGGAGCCTGCCTGCTCAGGCACGCCGGAGTCGGCGCCGCAGCAATAACAGCGCGACGGCCAACCGGGTCTCCTACAAGGGAGGGTTGCGCCTCTCGGCGTGCTGCTTGAACGCCCATGGCAGCAGCAGCGGCGCCGGGGCTCAGGTAGTTCTGGCAGTACTTTGATGCGGCGCGGGCTGACTTGGAGAAGGACTGGTGCGTCGTGTGCGGTAGTAGCCCCAGATGTAACTAGGCAGGGCGAGCAGCCCATGGTGGTGGGCGAAGGGGTCGGGAATGTTGTGTAGAGGTGGCAGTGCCCTTGCCAGGCGCCCTTTACAAAGGGTGAGATTGGCCCCAGACCCCCAACATTTGAGGTCGCTCCCGCGGGCGGTGTTGCAGGTCTGGGCGAACTGATCTTGCGAGTCGAGGATGCCCTTGTAGGCCTTGCGGGCGTAGTATCCTGCAGGCGCGCAAGAGCAGCCGAACCTGACGTACTCAGACCATTGGAGGACGCCACAAGTCCAGAAATCTCCGGGGCTCCATTCGCTCCACCTGCAAAGCATCTGGGACTTAGGCCCCGAAGGGTAAAAGGCCAGGTACAGACCCGCCTTCTTCGGGACTTTTTTGAAACTTTGCGAGATGGAGAGAGAGAGAGAGAGGGATTTTGGTGACCTAAAAACTTGACTGACTTGGCTGACACTCTCTTTTTCTCCGCCCAGGTTGGACCCCTGTCATGGCGCCTGCAGCTCGCGGCCTCGGGGTTGCCCATGATCCCCCTCTTGCCCTTGATCATGTGGGTGCCACAATCACCTGCTTGGCTGGTCAAGCACGACGGAGGACGGTACGACCGCGCCTTTGAGGCGCTGCGGCGGCTGAGACGGACGGACCTCGAGGCTGCGAGGGAGCTGTTTCTCATCTACCAGGCAGAGAAGCAGCAACACATTGCCAACAAACCGCTCAACCCAGAGGCAGAAACAACAATATCAACACAATCACAATCACCAGCACCGTCAGCATCGGAAGGACTGCAAACCCCGCCATCCTCCTCCGCCTTGACCAAGCTCGTCCAGCTCGTCACGGTCCCGCGCATCCGCCACGCGACGCTGGCCGCGCACACCGTCATGATCGGCCAGCAGCTCTGCGGGATCAACATCATCAGCTTCTACAGCACGTCCATCTTCACCGCCGCGTCCTTCACCCCGCTCGCGGCCCTGCTCGCGTCGTCCGGCTTCGGCCTGCTCAACTTCCTGTTCGCCGTCCCGGCCATCTGGACCATGGACTCGTTCGGGCGGCGCAGCTTGTTGCTGTGGACGCTGCCCGTTATGGGTCTGTGTATGCTGCTCGCGGGGGTGTCGTTTAGTCTCCCGCCTGCTCATAACATGGGTGGTGTTCGTTATGGTAGTGGTAGTGGTAGTGGTGGGGATGATGACGTTGTACTGGCAGGAATAATGACGACGACGACAGCGACGACGACGACAGCGACGACCGTGTCCGCACGGTTCGTGCTGTTAGCGAGCATGGTGTACTTGTTCTGCATCGCGTACTCGCCGGGTATGGGCCCCGTGCCGGCGGCATACTCGGCCGAGGTCTTCCCACTCTGCCCTGCGCGGGCCGACAGCAAGTGTGCAGCGCATTGCTATCAGAACCCTGCGACGCCCTGGTCGCTCGATCATTGGCCCGCTGCAAGGTTCGTTCGACAGAGGGTTCTTGGGCCGCGCAAGAGGGTTTGCGCTAGCCCCTTGCTCGGCATGAGCAGAGCGGTGCATTGCCGCTCGGCTCCTGGCTTCATTGATAGAACACCTCTCATGGTCGGGCGCAGCAAACGCGTGAGTGACAACCTTAACTTCGACATAGATGGGCACAGGTCGGTATCTTGCAGGGCCGCAGACAAACGACGCAGCCGCACCAGAAGGAAACAGAAAGAAAGAATACGGCAGTGTCAGAATGACTCGGTCCACCCATGGGCTCTAGCGCATCGCCGCCTGTGACGTCTGCCGCAAGGGCATTCCGTCCCATTCGATCATGCACCGGCCCGTCACTAAGCTCGTCGGCTGGGTGGAGCGCGGGATGAGTGAAGTTGGTGGCGTGCGGCCATTGACAAAAGTTCATTCGTGCTTACAGCATCTTGTTGGAGACTGTGTTGGCTCGGCCAGGTTCTCAGTGGCAGGGTCCAAGTGATGAAATGTGGGGCATCCACCATTTCTCCGACAGGCCCGGGCTTTGCGCTCGTCTCCCAGAGTTGGCTCTCATGTTGCCAAAGGTTGCAACGGTGTTGAGTTGTGGCAAAGACTTCTCCGAGATAGGAGGACGGAGGAAGGCACAAATTTCTGGTTAATGTCGCAGTGCGGCATTGGGCTGGGACAGTCTTTTTCAGCAATTGGAGCCAATGCTAATGGATGCGAGCCCGACCAAGGCGGACTCCGATGCCTTTACGCTGAAGTTATTTGCCGATGACGGAGATGGCGGTGGTGTCTACTTGGCACCGCAGCTTAGACGGCATACGCGCTGAGGCGCCGAGCTGTAGTTGAGGTTTTCTGCGCCACACTCGCCAGAACGGCCTCAGAGCAAGGGACCAGCAATCATCGGCCAGTCAGGATCGCCAATGCAAAGCAATGCCTCCAGAAAACAGCCCCGCGACGTGCTGTGCATTGCGCGGAGACTGTACAAATGGGTATTAGCTGGTTGTTTTATCTGGTGGCGTCCTTCACACAGGCGAGACAGACTGGCTACCAGTAAATGTCAGAATACTTTCAGTGGTCGGACCTGTAGGAGCGTCGCGCCGCCTTTGGGACCCACGATCAAGGACAAGCCCGCTTGTTGGAGGAGACGTGTACTGGCTCTTGATTCAGCTGGATGACACGTGGTGGCAAGGGCCATGCAGCCTGCAAGCCATATCATATCAACCATCCATGCAGGATGGTTCTCTCGTTTGACAGCAAGGATTGGCCCACGTCCAGCAGTGGTATGCAAATAGCCAACGACGGCGTCACTGGTGCTATGAAGACGACGAGGGTCTGATGTATGCCATTTGCAGTAAGCTCGAGTCTACTCATTGGCCCAGAATAGTACCTAAACGATGGGGCAGCCCTGCAACAGCATCATATCCTGTAGAGGGCACATCCAAGACCACAGAGCTTTGCGGAATTCTGCCGAGTCATCTTCCCGAGCTCCGAACATTGTGCCGCCCAGAGACGCATGCAAGGAAAAGGTTTGTGCTCACGGCACGTGTCTGGGAACGGCTGTTTTGTTGTCGTACTCTGAGTGGTATTTATGGTATTGGCGGCGACTAGGTACAGGGGCTGGCGTTACACTCGGCACACCCACCGAGTATGTCGGCGTGCTGTATGAGCTCACACCATTCGTGAGTTCCGGTACGCTGGGTAAACGCCGCGGCTGGTCTTGGTGGGTGTGGGTTGGTGTTTGTGGATGCAACGACAACGGCGATAGAGGGGCGGCAAAGCTATATGTCTTCCTGATGGTTCGCGGCGCCGGTATTGCTTGCGAGTGTTGTAGGAAGCTTATCGTCCGCGCGGCACTAGGGCGATTGTGGCTCTGGCCGCAGCTGTGGTAAAACTGGTCCTGGCGAAAAGGTCGAGTGCGGGTCGGAAAGCGAGTGGGAATGCCGGTGGTTGCGACTTGCGGGCGCTCTGTTATTCCCTGGCTGTTCCTCGATGTTGACGTCGGATACGCAGGGAGGGGTCACTCCAGCCCTCTTCGCCATGTCTACCTCTCCCAGCTGCCAGTGCATTGCCTCTGCCGCACGCCATGGTATGGCCATCTCCTCTGCGATCTTGGCCCACATCTCCTGTTTAAACCTTTATGAGTAGTTATGGCATGGTTAGTTTGGGAGTCCGGACGACGTCGCCGACAGTGGTCGTAGTTGTGAGGCCCGTCGCCGCTGGCAGACACCCGGTCGCTTACCTCTCGTAAAGCTTTGCGAGCTTGTTCTTGCGCTCTTCGTCCCATTCGCTTCGGCGTTCCAGGTAGTTCTGATAGTGCAGCCGACAACTGATGGCGCTACGTCCCGGCAGTCGTTTCGAAATATCTTCCCATTTCATCCCGCTGCCTCTGAGGTCGATGATTAATGCATCTTCCTCTGCAGACCATTTGCTCTGCTTCTTTGCAGGCAAGGCACGGCTTTGCGAGGCCCTGATTTGCTGCTCTGGAGGCGAGTCACTGCTTTGCGGTAGCATGTTGCCCTTCGTGGAGCTCGGGCCTGTCCCTCGATGGGCAGTCGCACTTGGGCTAGATCAAGACTGCGCTGAGGAACGGTCCAAGACGACGAAGGTGTAGCAAAGAACTCATTACTGACATCGAGAAACGGCGGCAGTCTTGCCTTAAAGCTGTTGGCTGCGCCCCCACTGATACAGTGGGGGCGCAAAAATAACGCGAATTTCTCCACAAACGCGCATCGACGCGCTTCTTGCCACTTGCAACCCATTCAGCACCACCACCTTCAATCGACCATGGCGACACCACAACGACCGCTGAAGCCATTCAAAAAACATTCCACTCCTCGTACGAGGAATCGCGTTTGGGCAGCATTTTCTGCGGGCAGAAAAGCTGCCCTTATCGCCGAGGATGAAGGCATTCTTGTGAGCCTAGTGTATGGCATTAAAAGACGGTTCACCGCGCAGGATTGGGGGGTATCTCCTCCTGGCCGAGGGCGCCCTAGCCTCCTTACCTCGCACGACAAAAGGCGCATCAAGGATGCAATCAATCAAGACGCTTTCATCTCGATTAGAGAGCTAAAGAAACGGATAACTCCTCATGTTTCTATCGACACTATAAGGCGGTACCTCAAGGCGGACGGAATCATGCACCGTAAGGCTGCACAGCGCCCCTTTCTAACAGAAGACCATGCTCAAAAAAGACTCCAATTCGCGCAGAAGCATCGTGATAAACCGCCTACGTGGTTTCGTCGCATTCTATGGAGTGATGAGTGCTCTATTCAGCGCGGAGATGGGCAGAGTCAGAAGTGGGTTTGGCGGCCAAGAGGTCTGCAAATCACACCTACCTTCAAACCACGATAACTTAGTCCACAACTGACCATTTCAATCCGTTCCAGGCTCAAAAGCAATAGATCCCAAATATGTACAAGGCAAGACAAAAAAAACGCGGCATTCCCTTATGTTCTGGGGCGGGATCCGGTACGGAAACCGGGGGCCACTTGTCGTCCTCCCAGGAGACCCCGACGCCAAGAAAGGCGGTGTGACGGGCGCAGTTTATAAGGACCATATTGAAGAATACTTGCCGACGATGCTTGATTACGATACTATCTTCATGCACGATAATGCGCCTGTTCATACAGCCAAAGTGGTGAAGGAATGGCTCGATAGCTCTGGGATCGAGGTGCTTGAATGGCCGCCATACAGCCCAGATCTCAACCCCATTGAAAACCTCTGGTGGTGCCTCAAAGACCGCATCCACAAGGCCGACCCTCAAATGGCATATATGACGAAGTGCAAGGCTTCATTGGATTACCTTGAAACAGTCGCAATGGCTGCCTGGGAGCAGATAGAGGTTGAGCTTGTTAACCGCGTCATCGACAGTATGCCGAAACGACTAGCCGCGGGTGATAGCCTCAGACGGCTGGTACACCAAATATTGATTACGTCATCGGATGCAGCATTTGAAACACTACAGAATGCACTACTTACCACCATAATAGCTGTCGAAATGGCTTCAATACTAATAAGTGAAGTTGGTGCATGTGGTGTGGTGGTGCGGGCCGGATTTGGCGTTTTGCGTTATTTTTGCGACCTCCCTGTAACATGAGCGATGCAATGGCGTGTGAGCATTACCAACAGGCGAGCAAGTTCAAAGGCAGAAAACACGCAGGTTATTGCGCGGGCGTGGTTACACACTAAATGGGCTCCCAGGAACCTTGCCATTGAAGGCGCAGACAAGGGTAAGCTTGCAAAGGAAAAACGGAGCGGAAATGGCTGGGACCACGTCCCGCCGGTGTAGGCAAACGTTCTGATCCAATTCGGGTTTGACGACCAACATGTGCTAGGATAACTTGCAGTCCCTGGAGAAGGCACCTACAGATGCAAAGGATGCTGCCTAACTTCTCGTGGGCGGACCAGAGCTACATCTTCAACAGTGGTAGACCTGGCCAACGGGTGACAGTTGGATACTGAGCGGCTATGAACTGGTTGCTGCACACAGCTGCCACGAAGCCTAGCCACGAGGGGTTTGGTCACACTGCGGTCAAGGATATGACACCCGCTAGCCCAGTGAGCCAACGACAAGGCAAGTCCGTTGGCGCAGAGGCTTGACGATCAGCCCGGTGGACCAAGGCTAGCCATTGGTACGGCCAAAAGAACCTCGAATGCGGGGTCCCTGCAGCCAAGCCATCCCATGTCATGAATGCACGAAGACTTGCCTTTCTCATGTCGGTTCTGGGCCCCGCTAGATCCAGAGGGGGGTGAATCATCCCAGCCCCAGCGTCGTGGGCAGTCCAATAACATGCAATCAACTTGTGCGAGCTAACAAGGAAAGGAGCAGTAAAAGCAGTCGCCTGCTAGCCGCCTGTCTCTCAGACTGTGTCAGGAGAGCTTCATGTATGGGGGTCATGACGGTCGCGCTGGACAGACGTCGGTAGCAGACGGCGACACTCCAACAGCGGTGGCGCCTGAAAGCTCGGAGACGGGACCACTGCCAGCCTTTAGTGCGCAAGAACGTCTTGCGCGCGCGAGAATCCTGTGTCGGCATACATCTGTCCGTTTCTGCCGCGTTTGGCTCTCCTCGAGCACGCCAAGACACAACTTTGTTGTCTGTCAAGCATCTTTGGGGTAGGAGGGGGCACTCCAACACTCTTCGCACGGTGTTGACGGAGTGAGGCCCTCGTAGTGGGAAGTAGTCGAGCAAACCAGCCGAGGTTCATGCCACAAGCCAGGCCATCAGGCAATCGCTGGGAGACCCTTCAGAGGAATCCAATCGGAGTATGTGTGCGCCAACTCGCCATGGTGGCGCAATCGGACATGTGGACCGTGGGCTCCGAAAGGGCAGGTCCGTCGGGGCGTACCGAGGACGTCGTCTCGTAGCTGCCAAAGCTGCCATTCGAGAGCTGCGCCCCTCGTATTTGGTGTTGGCGCTTCGCACCATACCCGCAACACAATGAGCGGTACTCAGAGCTGCCACCAGAACAGACACAAGCTGGTGTACGTCAACACCGGTTCGAAACACACACCAGGCATGCAAGGTCATCGACGGATGCACCCAATTTCAGATCATCACAACTGGTGAGATGCGGAACCACCGACGTTTACTCGAAGCAGCAGTGCAGGTTAGTGTTGAACGTCATACATGCTACCTCTGCGACAGGGCTTTAGGCCTAGTTCGTCTCAGAGACGTGAATTTCGCTCCCATCGCGGCATTGATACTCGGCCCTTGGTCCTGGATGATCTGACACTGTGGTGTTAAACCGCCCCCTCTGCCCATATATCGGTGTATGGCGAGCACAGACGTTGTGGATGCCAACCCAGCAGCGTAGCGCTTGGCCAGATCTCGAGGTCGCACAAGGGAGTTCTCGATCTGGTCATGTGGAGATAGCATGGCGAATGGCACTTTCGCCAAACTACGGGATCAATGAGAGCATTCCCATGGCGAAAGAGGTAGCGCAGGGCCACCTCCCTGTGATGTCCGACAAGATCAACAGCGCGAAGTGGGCATTGGCGAGCCTATGTCCGCAGGCTCCCTATCTCCGCTTCAGGATGTAAAGATTGTTCCAATTGCCGAGCTCTAGCTTCAGGATACACATGATCGGTGATGTTCGCTATGGCGGAGGAGTGTGGCCAGGGGTTAGTGTGCGAAAGCAAGTGTGAGGCAAGCATTCTATCGTGCCAGCACTCGCTTATCGCAGTACTGAGTGCAATGTCCCTGTTTCTAATCAGCACTTACAAGCAAGCAAGTCTGCGTCGGGTACTTCTTAGCAGGGCATGATTGCGGGAGGGAAGGTGCTTCGCACTGTCCGCACTAGTGGCACTCGCATGACCAGTAGAGTAGAGGGGGTGGAGGGGGTAATGGCCACCCAGGGGTTCTGGCCACCCCCCCCCCACATCGTGATGCGCGTTCAGCAACCACCACAACAACAACTTCGTCGCGTCACCATTTGGCCCAGAATCGTCCAATTCCATTGTAATGAAGCCTGATAAGGTCGATCACGAGTGGCGCATCGCGCGGGCACTTAAGGCGGTCGAAAAAGGCGAGAACCGCAAGAAGGCAGCCGCCATTTGGGGAGTGCCTAGATCGACACTGAGAAACCGCCTTACCGGCGCAGAGAACGCGCGCAACAGCCACTGGTTCCAAATGAAGCTATCACCAAGTCAAGAGACGTTCCTCTATAGCTGGATTATCAATGAGGAGGCCGCTAGGCGTGCTCCGTCGCGTACGCAGGCCACAGGCTTCGCCCAATCCATCGTTAACGCATCCGGCAGTAATGACATCCTCGGAGGGCGCTGGATTAACGGCTTCCTCTCACGCAACCCAAGTATTGCAAGCAAGGTCGGGTACCCATTGGAATCCTCGCGAGCCAAGGGAACCGACAGAGAGACTCTAGCAACTTTTTATCGCAATTTACAGTATCAGATCGACTCAAAGAAGATCAAATACAACAACATCGCAAACCTCGACGAAACGGGCCTCCAGGAGGGCGATAGTTACCGCGGAAAGGTACTTGGCAGTTCCTACGTTCGCCGGGCAGAGATAGACTCTTCAAAGGCATCCGCCTAGGTGTCAATATTGGAATGCATCTCCGCAGAAGGCGAACGCCTAACACCCCTCTTCATCATGCAAGGGGAAAATCCTCAAGCGCAATAGTTCCCTGAACAGGGCAGTTAGCCACTAGAGATGGAAATATATAAGTTCGAGGCAACTCCGTCAGGGTGGTGCACTAGGGATATCGCCGTTAACTAGCTACAAGAGATATACCTCCCGGAAACGCAGCCGTCTCGGGATAAGTAGCGCCTCCTGGTACTCGATAGTGCCTCTACGCATGCTACCTACGAATTCCAGTATTATTACTGGCGCAATAAGGTACATCTTAAATACCTACCACCGCATACATCACATCAAACGCAGCCCCTCGATATCGTGCCTTTCTCCGTCCTGAAGGGGGCCTATCGCCGCGAGACAAAGGCGTGGCAGTCGTACGACGTCGCCGCGCCATTACAGAAGCAGCGGTTCCTTAGAGCCTACTACAAGGCGGCCAATGAGGCCTTCAAGAAGAGCAATATCGAGGCAGGGTTTCGCAGGGCCTCAATATGGCCTATTAACCCGGAACGGGTCAATAAAGACAGGGTGCTAGAGACCGACCGTTTGCCCACCACTCCAGAGCTCGAGAACCCGCCTCTAGACAATTCCTTCGCGAAGTTTACTACGCCGAGGAAGTCAACAGACCTAGCAGCTCAAGTGCGCGCCCTTAACGGCCAGGTCAGAGGGCTGGAGAGGGATTATCGTCACATCGTCAAGAAGGCGGGTAAGGGCCTGGACAAGCTGGCTTCCACGGTCGCTTCACTTCGCGACCAGATCCACCACAAGGACGCCGAAATCGACAGTCTAACACCATTCCCACATAAAAGAATCAAGCGCGATGACGCCAGTAAGCTTTTTGTCGACCGCAAGCAGGTCTAGGCCTCTCAAAGTGGCCTCGCGAAGAAGCAGGCGGAAAAGCTCGTAGCGCGGAAACAGGAGGTCGCAGAGCAGCGCAAGGCAGGTGCAGCAACCGTTGACATGGTGGATGCTGCAGTCCAGACAGCAGATAATTGAATCACAAAGTTTTACGAAATTCTATTGCAATTTGGTGGTACTGTGGAAGGTTGTCGTGATTGCATGATCAGGTGGTTGGGGTGGCCATAACCCCTGGGTGGCCATAACCCCCTCCCCGTCTCTAGTCTATGGCATGGATCAGCCACCACCTCGAGCATCCCTCCGAAGGACCTTGCGCTTCTGTCTGTGCCCCTGGACCACCCCAACCCGCGGTTGGCGCTTATGCACGTCCATGAGCCAGGAACCGGACCGGGCTCCGCGCAGCAGCACCGACCTGTGGGGGCCGTGCTTGGCCTTGGCTCACTCGGCCCGAGAGCGTCGCTGGTGGGACCGCTGCTCGCAGACTTCGAGCAAGACTGACCGGGCTCGTGAGTCGACGGGGGCAAGCACTACGTCACATCTCGGTTGTGAGGACAGGGGTGACTCAGGTCGATATGCGAAGACTCGGCGCGGGTAATGTGACCACATGCGGCAGACGTATTACTCGCCCGCGCGACAATATGGGCTGTCGGGTCGTCAGCTCAAGCCATGCGAGGCGGGCCAGGTGGACACAGAAGGCTGGTGGTTCTGTGGCGGGGATCGTGGATAGGGTAGTGAGGCTGGCGCGGGCGCGGGGCAGCAGAAGTGAGGTGGACTGGCAGGCCGCGTCTGCCTTGCCTCGTCGGCTGCTGAGTCCCTTGTCGGGAGCTGTCCTTCTTGTCGAGAGTGTATGGAAGTTTGGCGCAGGCACCAGACAAATATCATCCAAGCGCAGGCGCAACCATCCAACGTTGGCAACTGGACTCTTGTTAACACGCGCTGGCTCTATTCTACGATGCTTGAGGGGCGGACATTGTCCGCATGCACAGGTATAAGTGATCAAGACTCTGCGGTATTTCTAGTACGATTCCAACTACTTGTGTGAAAGCTTGCCTAGACAGTATCACATCGCTCGCCTCGTGGCCCGACTGGCCGCTTCATTGTGCCTGGCGGGGTTATTTCAAGTGCTTCGATCGGACATGGTGTCATAGACTTGTGCCACCCTGCATCGCTCTGTCCCCCATCACCCGGTCCCCCATCACCCGGTCCCCCGTACAGTCATTGCCGGTCTCTCACTAGATAGCTCATGAAAGCTGATCGCCGGGATTGTCAGCGACAGCCATATTGGATCTCTGGCGTGTTTACTCCCCCTTATGAGTGCGAGATTTCTTGGCCGGGATCTTAATGAGCAATATGATGTTAAGGATGGGCTGTCCGACGGCGCAAACAGCGCACCAGCAACTGAACCCGAATAGCGTTGTCGATTGCGAGCTACATGAAAGCTGTTGCAGAGCCTGAAGTGTGAGCCATGCTACGTGAATTCCGAAGAAAATGCGAATCGGGACGAAAAGCACAATGCGTATGTAGTGACAAATTTTAGCTGCGTGTTCGTGCTTTAGGTCCTGGTACATCGAGCCAATATTGTGCGGGATATTAGTGAACTCGGAGAGCAAAAACAACAGGAAATACTGGGCGAGATTGGTTTTCGCGTCCCTGGGAAGTGTCTGGATTCCGAACAGGTGTTAGCAGCTGCTTTGCCGGCAAGATAGGCCATCGCAAACAATCTTCATGAAGGCCGTGTGTGATACTTACGTAGACGAGCAGATTGCAAGTAATGACTGCGATGTGATGGAAATAATTCAGAGCCACATATGAAGGATCATCGCCTGAGATGTAGAAAATGCGCCAAAGGTAAAACCCCACAGCTAAAGCTATGAACCGCAGGTTCCAGCTAGCGAAGCGGTCAATCATGATCGTGAGAAAGGCCGCGCCCGAACTTATGCCGATTGCCTTGACCAGATTCGTGATCCACATTCTCCATTTACTCCGTCTCTCTGGCTCAAATTTGTTCCACCGTCCGCTGCCGAACACAAGCGGGGATACTTCCACTGAAAGGAAGTCATACATGATCTTGAAGAAGAGTGCAGACAGGACCACGTGAGGGATGTTTTCTGGCAGGTGTGGTAAGCCGATGGCATCTGCCCACTCTTGGAGGGAGGTGGTCGAGCTGAGTGACTGGATCGTAACCATTTTGATGATGTCGCAGTATGATCGATGGAAGGATGCTGGTGGAGCAGAGGCGTAGACTGAACGGTGGGAGAGGATCAAGGGATAGTGTCTGTCAGAGAAGAAGTGTAAGCTTCATATGTTGGCTTGGGGTGCGAGAACAGATCGAGGGGGGCAGTCAGACGAGACAGGATGGCCACTTATCTCGGTTTGTTATGGCGGGACGCGGTGGGCCGCAGCCCCAGTGTATTGGTGTGAACCATGACATACGTGTCAGTGTGTCTCTGTTGTGCAGTCGGGGAGCTGACGGCCGGCATGAGCTGGCTCGTCAGCACTTGGCAGTGGACAGAGCGTATGGGTGGCGACGAGGGGGCTCTCGGGAAGAGCGGCCGTGTGTGCACCAGGTAGTTCATCGAGTGGGTGCTGTAGCCGTCCACGAGAGCGAATGTAACATCGGTGGGCTCTTCGCTGTGCTGGACTCGTACACGGCTTCCCTCTGGCGTGGGCCGAGGTCCTCGACGACAGAGGAGCATATGGTTCAGGCGGGGGACGACGGCTTGTAGTGTGTGTGACACTGCAGACAGTGCTGCCCATGTCTTGTGGGAGCGAGGACCACCGAACCCATCCACAAGGCCTGCCTCAAGTACCTTGCACATGCAGGCTGTGCGGAGGCTTGCCTTCCTAGGTCATCAAGCATGCTCGGTGCTGTATGATTTCGGAGCTCTTGACCATACCCTGCCGTGAAAATCCGCGACCAGGAGGGCGTGATGATATCCTGGCCCTGGCGTTATGACGGGCGAGCGGAGGGCAGGAAGCCGCTTCAGATGCAAAAGTCCCCGGAAGCGACCCTCAGGGCAGGAGGCGTCAAGCGCTGGGACTCGGCTCGACCGCCGCTATCTCGCCGCCACAAGCTCCTCAAGCGCCAGTGACGGTGGCTTTCTAGGCTCTAGGCACCCAGAATTCGGCACTGTTGACAGAAAGGGGTCCCCGGACACACCGCCGAACCTTGAAGACCTGACTCGGTCGTGGCATCACATCTGACCCCTTCGCACATAAGTCCCCTCGGCTGTGTTTGTCTTACCCTTCCTCTCGACCTCGCGGGAATCGACTCACCACCTCCTCTCCGATGGCCGCATCTGAGTCCTGTACCACATCATCGAGCGCAGAGTAAGATTGGATTCCCCTCTCAATGTGCCCAGCACGCTAACGTCACCTCAGTCGGCCTCACCTGGCCCGGCCGCAAGACCAGGACAGCGATCAACCCAAGGCAGAGAAGCCTCGCGAGAGAAAAGGACAGCAATCTCCGGAAAGGCCCCAAGCTGGAGTCTCGCCGCATAGACGGCAAGAGATCATCAAAAATACCTACCAAGAATACATGAGGCACACCAAAGTCTGCAAGTCTTTCAACCATTGTACTGAAGCAGCCACCATGGGACGGGCTGGTGACTTTGCGGACGCTTTCATCGATGGGGTGCGGCCCAGTATGGTAAATGAGAATTGGGCACCATGGGATGGCAGGACCGAAGAGGAGCGCTACCCTACAGCTGGGGACGGTACTGAGCTGCTCAGTGCAGAGGCCCCTCGCAGTGAGGACAACATGTATCCGGACATGAAATCTTACCTTGCCTTCCTTGCTCGACAAGTTGGTCCAGTGAAGTAGTCACTCGAGTTAAGTAGATTCAATGCTGAGTTGTCCAACCGACCGATGTCAACCATCCGGCGTCGTGGGGTGTTCACGTCACAATTCGAGGCACGAGCATCATGAACACTAAAGTAGATATAGCATTAGAAAGTGCAAGTATTGCTAGACAGGACTCTGTGCCCATGAAGAAGTGCTCCTGGTTGGCACCGGATCCATGAAGCTGAGTGCCAAGCGACGCGGCCTGGCCGGAAGAAGAAACAACACTGTGACGATGACGTAGGGGAGGCAGGAGACAAGCTCTTGTAGGTTGTTGAAACGCCGCCTTCTGCAACATGCGCTCACTGCCCTTGTGTACAACAGTCGAGCAGTTGCGGCCCACTGGTCCTTCTCCTCCTCGAGAGGCGAGACGCCAGACTTCTGCCACCCTACCTCGCGAGGTTTCCATCAAGACGACGGCCCCCTATCCAATAACTACTGACCCTTAACCGGGTGGCCAATCAATGCACATTGCCTCCAGTAACAGCCGTATCGGATTTCAGCCATGTTTGCCCGTCCTCATGTGTGTTAGATGGCTGGGTCCCTTCCTCATGCGTGCTACGTGCGCTCGCTGCCTTGCTGTACCACAGTCGAGCATTTCCAGCCCACTGATCCTTCTCTTCCTGGAGAGGCGACATACACCTGGCCACCCGTGCTAAGTGACCGAGACACCGCGCGAAAAAGGCTTTGTACGTGGGAATATTCTCGTTCAGATAATTGAGTTCCTGTATGCGTTGTAGCAAGACTGACCATGCGTGATCAGGAGTCTCATTGTAGTAAGATATGACTCACCCCAGCAATGGGACTGTCCCTTGTGACCACCAGCTACGCAAAACTCCCTTGTCGAGAATGAGCCGCTTCGTGTCAGCCCATGCGTTCGGATGTTCACAGATCATGAGAAGATCGTTTATGTCGTTGGTGAGTGTGTCGACCAATTTTTGCAAGGCCTGATACTGTTCCGTATTAAGGATATATGTCTCTCCTAATTCCTCGTCGGCCTTCCCGGAGAGGCAATTTTCCATTAATTGAATGTTCGGAAGTATGATCTTGCCCTCATCGTGAAGTCGTTCGCCTGTAACGGTTCGAGTAATCGGATGTACGTAGAGGATAGGAGTTACGAGCTGGGAACTCTCGGCGGAAGGTTCGGGTGTGTACCGCGTGAAACGGGCGACGAACGTGGCGTGTGCGAATTGTTCATCGGTGTCCTGGCCCGCGCTGCAACCTGTGTTGCCCTTCTTCAAGACAACATAGAGGCGGCCACTGTGCTCGCCGTCCTGCGCACTTCTGCTGTCGTGGAAGGGCACGAAGTATCTGCCAGGCTTGAAGGTGGTGACATTGATGCTGTTCTCGTCTCCGGAAAGGTACGAAATGTTGGTATTGTCATCACTGTTCCAGGAGTCCGCACCAGTATCCTTGAAGTTGTCTGTGGTGGCATCGATGCTGTCTTCGTCCTTGAAAAGGGCCGAAACGATGATAGAGGGATCGCTGACCCGGTCTTCGGCGCCTTCGTTGAGGTCGTCCATGGTGGCTGTCGTGTCCAGAACGAGCTGGCTGGAGACCGTTCCGAGGATGTGAAGACGTGAAAGCGGAGAGCACTTGATGGGTGAGGGAAGGTCGGCCTTTTGAGGAGATCAAGGCAGCGCAAGGCAACAAGCTTGTAGTGCGCGCACCAGTGTAGGCAGTGCTAAAGGGGTGGGCTAGGGGACTGGCCTTCTCGGACAGCGAGTGGCGAGCGCTGCTGGCACATAGGCAAGGAGGGCGGATTTGGGGCACCACAGGCATGCCCAGCCGTGTGGGAGCGCTGATGGGCGTCAGGTAGCCCTGTCGAGCACCTGGCGTTCACACCCACGGCAGCACGAGAGGTGATACTGGACAGAAAGCAGGCTTGCGAGCATCGTTTGGGCCGGCTCGTCTGGCTGGAGAGGGAGAGGAGGCCGGCCACGACGAGGAGGCACGACGGTAGACGACAGATGCAAGCTTCTCAGGGGGCCTTTCGGCACCGATGAGCGGCTACGTCCCTTCTGGTCGCGAGTGGAGACAACTGCTCAGAGACGCTGCTCTCAAACGGAAGCGTGTAGACTTGGGATGAGCGGAGCATGTAGCAATGCAGGTCCAGCCGAGGGCTCACGGGGATCTATTCACAGCCCATGCGAACTCCAGCAGAGGAGAGTCTGGGCGCGACGCAGCATGCCATCATGACAACGCATGCCTGCAGCTCACTGTCACGGGCCTGCTCACCCGGGTGAGGAGCTAACATGTCTGGTCGCTGACACGCCTCGACCTGCTCACCCTGGGTGGGTACGAGGACATGCCCATGATCTACAGCAGCACCATGGCTATGCATCCGGCCGGCAGCGCTAACACACCACTATGAGAGTGATAACGGAGCAGCGCTGGCGCGTTGGCTCAGTCCCTTGCTTTTTCCCCATGTAGTGTGCAATCATGCAGCCGACATGGGGAAGCGAAGGGACAAGCCGGGATGGATGCTGGGGTGGGGGCTGACGAGCGGACGAGTGTCGCGAGACACAGGACGCGCGAGACGTACGGTACGGAAGAGGGCTGAGACTGATTAGGACGCAGGGAGGATTGGAGATCGGGCGGCAGAGGTCCCCCGTCTGCATGACATGGCTTTCAAGGTCGGGGTTCTGACGGGCTGGAGCTGCCACTCTTCCCTCTGTCCTGTCGTTGAAGCTCGTCTTCGCCCTCGTACCCATCAACGTCATCTCGAGCGCTCCAACAACTCGCGTCTGTATTCTACGACGGTGCGGACCGAGTCCTCGAGAAGAAGCAGAACAGCCTGAAGACACGCGAGGGCCAGCAACGTTAAATGGTACGTCACCCTGACCATGTCTGGCAGACGGTTCTTCAGCAATGCTAACAACAAGATCTCTTACAGTCTCCTAGACGCCCAGGCGGCGATCCTGACCCGCGAGCAGCCGCTGGGCTCGGACTTGCAGAACACTGGTTCGGACGACATGTCGGCCTCCATGACGAGGACGCCTGCGCCTTGTGAATCCTCATTTGGCGGACAGAGCCCACCCCTCGAGATCTCCCTGGCGCGCCTTGACCCGGGCACCCAGAAGAAGCCGGCATCTTTTGCCGGCATTGTTGCAACACATCGTGCCAGCCAGCAGGCTGTCAGTGATCAATCGGACGACTATGACGAGAGCGCCATCGACGATGACGACTCGGACTCAGATTGGCACTCGATCAAGAGCAGCCAGTCCAGCCAAGACGACCGGATAACATTCACGCGTATTCCTTCCAAGTCTGCCCTCACGTCTCAGCAATCCCTTATCAGCCTCATGTTCGCGGGACAGCGCCAGGGTACTAAGGCCTCCAGCAGCCATACGTCGCAGTCGACACGTGCGATACCCCAACGTTCGCGGACTATGCAGGCCATATCGACCATGGCCAGGTCTCCCAACGACTCTGACGAGGATCTCCATATGAAGAAGGGCATACGCCCGCCTCAGCTGAAGCGCATCAACGAGATCCCTCGATCCCCTGCACAGCCCATCACCGCCCCTACGCAGCCTATCCGCCCGCGTGTGCCTCCCAAGTCCAACTTAACCGCACAGCGATTTCCTATCAGCCCCATCTCCGCGGGACAGGACCAACACACTAAGGCCCTCAGCAGCCATGCGTCCCAGCCGACACCTGGGATACCCCAACGCTCGCGGACCATACAGAACATGTCAACTATGGCCAAACCCCCCAGCGGCTCTGACAATGGTCTTCAGATGAAGAAGGGCATACGCCCGCCTGAGCTGAAGCGCATCAACGAGATCCTTCGATCCCCTGCACAGCCCGTCACCGCTCATACGCAGCCCATCACCGTCCATGCGCAGCCCATCACCGTCCATGCGCAGCCCATCACCGCACAGCAATCTCTTCTCAGCCTCATATTCCCGCGTGGAGGCCAAGGCACAGCCGCTTCCAACAGCCACGCCTCACAGCAGACGCATGATTCACCTCAGCGCTCGCGAACGACGCAAAACACGTCTCCTATCAGAAACTCCCCTGACGACTCCGACGAGGGCCGCAAGATTAAGCTCGAACCAGAGTATACTCAGAACAATGATATTAACAAAATTCCTCGTTCCAAGCCGCAGCGCACAAAGGCAATCGTGCTCTCACCTCGCACCACACGCCTTAACATGCTAGCGAATGAGCTCACCGAGTCTCTTCGCCGCCAGCTGCTCTGGGAGAGGGAGCACAAGACCAAGACCGCGAATGCTGTGCTCAAGAGGCGACACACTTCGCTCAACGTTGCTAACCTGAAGCAGTACCCCGAAAAGGTACATATGAACAAGGCGGCCGATGAGCCCTCGACGAGCTGGAACCAGTATTTCAACCGCGACACTCAGGGCGGCTACCACGCTCAAGGCTGGTAATGCCCTAGAAGGCTCCTTGGAAGCACCTACTACAACACCTCTGCTCTGGACAATCAGTAGTTTTCTTTTGTCGTACTTTCTTTCCATAGCAGGTTTAATATCAAGCACCACAAATACTATCTTCAGCTTCTGATTGCGCCGGCCCCGTCTCATCGAAGAGAGTTTGCGTGATATCAGGTTGATGCAGTCATGGCATTCTAGCAAGCTGAGCCTTCAAACGGGGCCCCCTGCCGCGCAGCTGTCCAGTCCACCATGAGGGCACGAGATCGGGCCTGGTATGCGGGTCACTCGAGAGATGTGGCGACCCGTTCGCCACTAGGTAAATGGCACCAATTAAAGGGCATGGTGCATCTCTGTGCTCGTAGGCTTGCATGAGACCATCTTTGGAGATGATTGGATACGAGGGCTGAACGTGTCGCCAGAACAGCTCCAGTAGTTTTGGTCCCCACGGCTGGACGAGTGCCTCGATGGCCTCGACCTCCGATTCCAGTTCTTCGTGATCGATGGCTCTGGTATCCGCCACCATGTGGAAGGTGAGGGGGTAATCCTGCGCTTGATACCGGTGGAGCACTCGTCTGATGCCATGTGTGCCTAGATGGTACTCATGCGAGTTCGGGTCATATGGTCGGTGTCGCTGGCGGAGTGTGAGACTGGTCCGAGAATGAGTCTAGTCTTGGGGAGGACTCACCATAAGTATAGGCTCCATGTCACTGCCAAGCCCGTACAGTTCAGAGAAGCGGTTGGCGATGTATCCTAGCTGGGGCGGGCCAGAAGCCGTCAGAGCCGCCGGCGCACGAACCGTGCCGTCGACTGTGCCTGCAACACTGGCATTTCGTGGGAATGAGGGTTGCGAGGCCTCGCCCAACCTCTCTTGCCTCGGCCGGCTTGGTGTTGGCGCGGAGCTGTCGCCATTGACACTTCGAGAGCTCTGGGACGCATTTGTGGGAATCTCTGCAAGATGCGGGCTGTTTTCCCGCGCGGCAGTCGAGGAACGTGCCAGAGGGCCATCGCGATATGTACAAGCAGTGCCCCTAAGACTGCAGTGGATACAGGGCGTGGTGCCTGAGCCCTCGGGGCTCTTGATGCATCGAGTCTTTGCTTTACGACAGGCGTCACATGGTTTTGCCTGTGTTTGCTGTTAGCTGAAGCCGCTTCATTGAAATCTCTGGTGGATTGTCGGGATGGCATACCTGTCTGGACCGTCGGCGTCGCGAGTGGGCAGGAAAGTCTGCTGGAGTGACGACCTCCATGGCGATTCCTCAGGACAGGCTGGTAGTCAACTTACCGCACACGTCGTCCTTCTTCAGTGCAGGTGAAAGCATCGGTAGCCGAGACCTTTGCGTGGTTAGCCGGGAGCATTCAAGATTGGCGATTGGTCGAGGGCTGAGCTCGCAAAATATGAGGCGGCTGGGCGATATTGGGCAGCCGCCGCCTGGGCGGCTCATCCGAGCGTGTTGCATGAGTGCAATAATCAAATGTCTCATTTCTCTAAACAGCAAGTGCAGCTGCGCCATCGGCCATGATCCTAGACCCAGCATACGGAAGCATGACGACGACGGGGCCGCTGATGGACAAAGACGGAGCGCTGTGCGAACATCGAGACATGCGCTGTCCAGCACTCCCCGTCAATGTTGGTCACCAATGGTTGGACTCGGCGGCAACCCCTGGCACGACGAGTCCAGCCATCCGATTGGCCGTCTTAGCTCAACCTGCAGCCCTGCACACCATCACCCACGTCTGGCGGACATGGTTGCCCCTGGCTAGCCATGCAGGCAGCCAGCAGGCTACCCCAGCTCTGCCCTGGTTGGATCGGACCCCCAACGTGTTGACTTTGCTGCAGGGCCGGCAAGTGACTCCCCACCTCACGTCGGGCCGTGCAGAACGGGCAGAGTCGCGCTTGGGGGATGCGCCAGAAACAGAGGGCCATCCACTGGGGTGGCCAGACCCGCATAAGCCACAAGCACACACAATGGAGCCGAGGAATGGCACCTTCCGGCAGGCAGGGTGTTGCTTGCCAGCCGCACAGACAGCACCAGGGAGCTCGATTACAGGTCATGCAGCATTGATTGTGTCGTTGTGGTGTTCTGCCTGCAGAAGTTTCTATGACGTAGCGACTTGGCCAGATGCTGCGCTCGCGTTGGAAGTCTACAGGAATGGTCTATTCTCCGAGAAGCCGCTGCATAGACGCGCGCCGCTTGCGGCCGCCGCTGGAAGCGCGCGCACGAGCGCGTCTGGAAAGACTCGCTAGCCCTCGGTTGATCCGCCTTTTCAATCTGTCCACCGAGTTCCCGAAGACAACCGCCAGAGGACAACCACAGCAACCCAGCACTGCCCAAGCCGTGGGCGGCTGCTTGAGCCTGACCTTCTCGCTGCACGGATCCTCGAACATCTCATCCTCCGTCTGCGCATCCTCTTTGAGCGACTCAGTAGGTGGAATCTCGGCCTGCGGCTCCTCATCGTGCTTAGCATGTGACGTCTGCGTCTCCGGTCCCTCATCGGTCGTGGTGTTCGGGCTCTCGTTCTCGTTGCGTGTGTCATTGCCAGGCTGCATCGCAATGTCTGGGCATGCTATTGCCAGCAATGCCCCATCGATGAGCTCTCGAACACCTTCGCCGGTGTTGAGAGAAACATCGAAGTAGGTGATATCCGGGTATTTGGCTAGCTGGTCCTTGTGTTCATCGCTCCACTGATCCTGCTGGTCAGAGTGGGTAGCAACAAGAATGGGCTCCGTGAACGAGGCCTCATCAGGCAAGGCCTTCTTGAGTTCATCCCACCAGTCCAAAACTTGAGTGAGCGTGGATGGCTGCCTAGGATCGTATAACAGCAAGACCACTGTTCTGGGAGTACACTGTCTTGCTAGATCTTTGCTGATATCCGAAGTCAGATTGGGGACCTCAAAAATCTCGATGTTATGCGGTACATCAGCCCAAACTTCCGCATGTGTCTGCATGTTCTATAACAACGTTAGTTGCCGCGATATGGCTCTCTGGGAGCGACGTACCCGATGAATAGTGCTGTTGTGGTCGAGGCACTTCGCTATCTGCCTCTCGATCCATGTGTGCTAGAACAACGTTAGTGACCGCAACATGGCTTTCTGGTAGCGACGTACCTCATCGGTGTTCAAGTTTGGCTTTGAAAATGCGCGCTGGAACCACAATAGGAGATGAGTCTTGCCGACCTCACGCGCGCCAATGATGACGATTCGCCCGTCAGGACGCTTTGGTTCTCTTTGCGCCATGCTGGTAGCTGAGTGAAGGAACCCGCTCAGACGTTGGGAGTGGCTGCCAGATGATCGCTGCATGCCGAGGTGGTTACACGGCGCAGGACAAGGCCATTTAAGTGCCTGCAGACGCAGCTGGCATCAGACCCTGGTCATCAGCGATCGACCACGGCAGTCAGGATTGACACGAGCCGTGCTCGACTTCCGCAGCTGGTGCACTCATGTCCCGGGGCTTACTGCTGAAGTCCCCCGTCCTGTTAGTGGTCCCGCAACGGGACGGGCCAGCCTCTATCAGACTGAGCATAGCCATGTCTCATTGAAAGGACCCACGACGCGCGGTCTTGGCTTTTGGCAGGCCGCGGAGGCCAGCTTGGTGTTGGGGGTGGCACCACGGAACATCAGGGGGCCTCGCTGCCGGCGAGCACCGAACCTTAGCGTGCAGGGAGCCAGGCCTCTATCTGGGTGGCTTGCACGGCCCACGCCATAACACAGCACGCAGCGCACAGTTGCCCATCCACATGCCGAACTGGCACATGAGCGTACCTTCCAACACCGCAGCAGATCCCGGAACAAGCAGGAAATGACTCTTGCACCGGATCCACTGCACGCCGGGATGACTGGAGCAGCCAGCCGCAGGGTAGCCGTAGTGTCCTCGTGCGCCAGCCAACAAGACGCAAAGACGAGACGCGTGCTCCCACTCCCGACTCGAGCTCATGGAGGCAGGTGAGGCTGTGGAGGCCCCTTGGTGTGAAGCCTGCAGTGGACCATGCCGTGAGGATGTCCTTATCCCGATAACGATCTCCACAGTCGCCGCGTTTGGCTGAGCACTTCGCTGGCTATTTATCGCATGTGAGCACCCCTGGATGTCTCGAGAGAAGCTCATATCAGTCTCTGGGTGCTTGGCTAGCTGGTCCTTACGTCCGGCTTTACCCTTCCATTGATCACATTGGTCAGAGAAGGTAGCAACAATAATGGGCGCCGTGAACGAGGCCTCATCAGGTAAGGCCGTCTTGTAGATGTCGTTGTCGCCATTGCCACAAGGCTCCCTGCTGTCGTCCATGACGTTCTCGCAGCCAGAACCCGTCGTGCGTTTTCAGTGGATAGAGGTTGTAGGCGACAAGTGTCCCTCGTGGAGAACAGGGCGAGGGGTTTGTGGGTGGCCCAGAATCAGGACTCTCTGTACTTGACACTTATCCCGCTCAAACAATGGTTAAGGCTCTTCGGCCTGCCTTTTGCTTCTATACACTGATTCAAAACGTATATTACTGCTTGCTATGTAGACCCGCGCATCACCATCTGAGCTTCCACGCTCTCTCTGCACTGCTCACCACCCTCCAAAGGTCGTCGTGCGACCACTGTCATGCACGACCGCCGTTCCCCACTCATATGGTCGTTGGAAAGACGTGGTCGGGTTCGTGATTTGACTCGACTGCACCTGTTCCTGAGCCTCCAAAATCTTCAGCTTGGCGAGCTTCTCCTTGAGCTTCGACCTGTCGCGCCTTTGTTGGCAGTTGTTACGTATGGGTGCGCTGTGACTACGATACCACTTCGGGGAATTCTCGGTTTTGCAATCTACGCATGACTTGGGTTGTGTGGCTTGGCCATGTGGTCGAATGAAGCCACCGGCGTCCTGTCGTTGAGGTGGTGTTCAGCTGCGCGTGCCGGCTGTCTTGTTAGCCACGGGTCCCCATGAGGGCTGATGGGTCCTAAGAGACTCTCTAGAGTAGTGTTGGTGTCTCCATGGAATGGACTGGTCATGTGGTCGAACGAAACCACCAACGTCCTGTCGTTGAGGTGGTGTTCAGCTTCGCGTGCCACCTGTCTCAACAACAGGCCCCCCTGTGGGCTGATGGGTCTTGGGAGACTCTCTTGAGCAGTAGCAGTATCTCCGTCGAATTGATTGCGGTATTGAATGGGGCCAGACATCAGATGCTGGCCCACCGGCTGCCGAGATTCTCGAGGGGACAGCAGCGTCAGCCTTGGGTCTAGTTGCAGATATTGGCCGTTTGACTTCGAGCGAGGCGAAGCAACGTCTTTGCTTTCCTCAGACCTGATCGGCTCCGTGTCGTCCAGGTTGCTCCGCTCGTGAACGTTTTCGGACGCCGACTCCTCCGATTCGCGAGTCTCCACAAGAGCTCGGAGGGACTGTAGAGACCCATTGAGCTCGGGTATTTGACGAAGACTATCGCTGTACTGATTGGCACGGTTAACAAAATTGCGGACCGCGTCTCTTATCCTTTTGTGGTCGTCCTTGAGCTTCTCCTCTTCAGCTTGCTTGCGATTCCTGAATTTTTGCTGGGAACGCCGGTTTTGCGCACGGCGACGCTGATCGGGCCTGTTAGTTTCCTCAATATTCTCGCCATCTGGAATCAATCGTGAGTTTTGCTCACCTCAATGGCCTTATCCGTGATCTGCGGTTGCGCCCTGCCCCTCGCTTGTTTCACCTTATCCTCAGGTGCGGATGTCCAAAGATCTCGAACGTTCGGCCTTTGCTGCTGTCCAGCCTCGGATATCGGCAAATCCATCGGCTCATGAGCTGCGTGGCAGATTGGAGTTGGCGTGTAGGGTGTTCTGTCACTGTAACCGACGTATGCTCGCGCAAAGGCCGCTGCTTCTGGGCTATGTGTTGATGCCTTTTAGATATAGGTAACCGGATTTTGAGGCTGTATTCGCTGGTACGTACATCTTGGGTGCCATAATCATTCCGTCTGGAGTAATCTTGACAGTCGAATGTTCTCTCGAGAGAATGCGCAGTCTTCTGCTCACAGGGTCTTTGCTGGGCCAGTGAAGCGGTGACCTTCTCGGCTGTGTTGGAGATTCAAATGAGAAGGAGAGAAAGCTCGTGCCTGCGAAGTCTTAGTAGCACTTTTCGAAAGAGGCTGGCATTCGAACAGCATGTGCGGCCTTTCCACCGCGGAAAGGACTGCTCGCCGGATTGGTAACAAAGCTCATTGTCTGGCTGGGATGACTGAGTGAGCAGGAGCTCTAAACAAGGTGCATGCGAGAAGCACATGCGGAACAAGGGTTGATCTATTGTGCATGGTCTCGGTCGTGCGCACGCTGCCAGCTGGCCGAGTTCCCCTGCACTAACTAATGTATCGACCTGGTACCAGGCCGCACACCATCGCGCGTCGTCCCGCCATGAGTGGCCCCTGGCACGGCTGGCTGATTACACCCCTGCTTTCGTATCCTCCATCTCACCTTGGACGAACCTTGTCCCCCTCCCCTTGTCTCGCTCATCCCCTCCTCGCTCATCCCCTCCTCGCTCATCCCCTACCCGCTCATCCCCTCCTCCCTCATCCCCTCCTCGCTCATCCCCTCCTCGCTCATCCCCTCCCCGGCCCCACTCTCTGTGCTTCCCCGTCGTTCCCTCCTGTGCTCGTTCCGTCTGCCAAGCCTCTTCTCCCTTGAATTTCTACTCCACCCCTCCGTGGAGTGCATGATTGTCGGCAAGCGTTCCCCGGTTCTGGTACTTGGGGACTCTCGTCGCTTCCGACTTGGTGAAGGCAGTTATTCATGCGAGGAGAACCCGCTGCACACCTGTCACGATCGACCGTCATTGTTTTAAGGGCTACGACAGGGGATAGATATGCATGCTCAAGCCGGCGAAATTAACGGCTGGAAACGACTTCTTTGATAGATATACTAAAATGGAATCCGCGATCGTGAAAGACGCGCTTGGATGGCGCTGGGCACGGCTCTCAATTCCTGGACGCTGGGCATGGCTCCTTCCACCATTACCTGTGTATTGGGCTCATCTCGCACTTGAACAAGTACTCCTTCTGGGCCAGTGACCCAAAACCCTGCTTCGAACACCTCCCACTGTGTGATGTCCCATTCGAACCATAGGTCAAGCCACGGCTTCACGCCCGCAGCGAATTCGGGTGACCGTACGTATAAGGATATCTCTTCCTTGAGGGCCGTATATAGCTCCGTTGGATCGTAGGGAAGGTGCTCAGCAGATTTCGCTGAGGCTGTTGTGAATCGCTGCTGAAGTTCGTCGCGTGCTCTTGGCTGAAGTACCACAAGGGCTCGGTATTCGTACATGATGTAAATTTCGGATAGAGCGTTTGAACTTTGCAGGTCCCTCAGAATGCATCCAACCATATGTTGTCGGCGAGTATCCGCGGATACAGTCCACAGAGCGTCTCGATGGCGTTGTAAGGCAGCTCTCGCGTTGGACTCCAGTTTTCCGTAGGTCGCCGCCGGTATGAGCTCTTGGACATCCACGAACCAGCTGGGAAGCCTTGATCTCAGGAACTGTCGCAGATTTGGTCCCGTTACCACACAAGGGCTGGGATTCTTGAGGTCGGTCTCCATGATTGATCACGAAAGACGTGAGGGGGGCAAGAGAAGCCTGTCGTTCAAGTTGGCAAGGCTGTCACTTACGCAGTCCACGCCTGCAGTTATATCCTTGTGCAGCGTGCTGCTGATCCGTGCTTTATTGATTAGACAAGGTGGACATGGGGTCATGATCCGACCTGGTCAGATATGAGCTCCCTTTCCCCCCACCCTGCCAGTCTCCTTCATTTGTCTGCAGAGTTGTGTTGGGGAGAAGAGAGTGATCATGCTGGCCGGAGTGTCTCGGATCCCGCCCCACGTCGGTGACGACGCCACGTATGGGCTCGTGCAGTTTCCGCCATGGAGGCTGGGTTAAACCTGCTCGGACGGGTTGAAGTGCCCGAGATCCCTCATGCAAGAGGGCTGAAAGAGTTTAGCGGACAGCGCGCGAGAAGCTAGTACGAACTGGGAAAAGAGGGTGTGCTATCCCGTCGCTTGGCCAAGCCAATTGGACACGGCGTCTACTCAGATGTGGGGTGAACCTCAGCCATCTCCGGAGCCTAGCGTTACAGGGGACCGTGGGTGCATGATACGCAAGATGCTGCGCTCCCCTCATGACTGTACTTGTGAAATGCGATACTATCGGAAATGCAGGCTGCTCTAGATGCTGACAGGGATTATGTGCTCACGTTCGCAGCTGACGTGGGAGAACACGACGGATTCGCACTACGATCACGCCACCCCTTACCTTACATGCCAGGTTCTTCTTAGTTCCCGGTTTTTTCCCGCGTCCCCCATCCCCCTCTCCCTCCCACCCTTCCCTCATCTTGGGCCCCGCCCCACTTTGTTTCTCCCCTAGACCCCCATCCTCGTCGTATGCTCTTCTGCGTGACTTCGACGTCTTGTGCTTGGATGCCACCGCCCTTGACCTTGGAGGTTTTTGTGAGGTCTTTCGATCGTCCTCGGAGGGTTTTGTGAGGCTCTTCGAGAAGGCTTTGATGTATGGTTTTGCGAGCCCCTTGATGGAGTCTGTGATGGTGGGGACGATGAACTCTGAGCCAGGCCAGCGGCGAGAAAGGTAGCCGATGATGACAGTTTCGACAAGTTTTAGCAGCTGTTTCAGCTGTTTTTTTGCGTGTGTCTGAATAAACTTTTGACACAGCGCGGACGCAGGGACGGACCAGGCATCTTTGACAGCACTGAGAGCAGCGCCAGCCAGAGGTTGACAAAAGTGATAGGCAGAGTGCAATGATGTCCGCACTCTATCTTGGATCCGACGCCAGACGGTGTGTGGCGATGGTGGAGCAGTGCAGGGGCTAGGCAGTGTTGGTTTCATATTGAGATCAGCTGCTGGATGGGGAGAAATTGATTTGTTGTTCATCCGCGTCCAAGCAGCGGGGAGACACGAAGCTCACTTATATGCCATCATCAGGGGTTTCTTGGAAGAGCGCCGGTAGTTCACTGGCCTGAGCCCAGATCATAGGGAGTGAGACTGTTTCTCCCTCCAACCCTCCACCAGTGCTATGCCCAACCGCGTGGCTTACCGTCCTGCATCGCTTCTCTAACCTTCGAGGGTGTCATGAGCAATGCCGTCACAAGGGGAGCGGGACTGCGATGGCACCCGGGCCGCCGGAGAGTGGAGCCGCGCAATGTGACGGCCGTGCAGCTGTCATCATCGTGTTGATCCGTGCTCTAAGACCAAGCTGAAGTATTGATTGCATGGCAGGCTCATGAGGAGGAACTTCTGGTGTCCAATCAGCCCGCCGGTCACTCAGACAATCTCCACGGGCTGATGCGTTCCCTGGTCAGTACACGACGCGCGCGGCTCCAACGAAACTAGCTTGAAGCATGCTGTAAGCTAGTCGATATTTGGCAGGAGGCGGACCAGTGCAACTAGGGTCCCTTGCCCCAGGTGCGTGCTCGTCCCGAGGTCATCCCGAGGCAGCCAGAACAAGCTTAGTGTCCAGCAGTCTGTAGGCTAGTTTAATTCGATCAAGCTGCCAGGTAGTCCAGCTTCCACTCTTTGCATTCTGTCGCACTCCCACCGCTCCACCTTGCGGATCGCCTCGACAATGGGGAACTCGACTAGCCAACCAATCGCATGCGCAGCCGTTCTTGACCCAGGGGGGTTCCAAGCATGCCTCGAGCGCGATGAGATGCAGGACGCCATGGCCGCGGCTCTTCGTGAGATGCCGTTGGCCAGCCTTCAACGCCTTCAACACGCACTGGATCAGGCGCGCGCAACGCAAGGGGACGAGCATGTGCTTCGCTCTTGGGAACAGGCGCCTGACAAATTCTTCGACTGCATCGGCATTACGCCCCGGCCACGCGACTATGCCTTGGCGTTGGTGAAGATCATTGAACATCTCGACAGTCGGGGGAAGCTCCTCAAGCCCGAGCGCGTACAGCGTCGAGTCGCGCTGTATCTCGTCCGCCTGTTGAGGCGTCTGTATCCGGAAGTCAAAACAGAAAAACTAGACAGAATCCACTCTAAAGCAAAACGCTACGAGCTCCTTGTCGACACATTCGGGATGCGGTGCCTCTTGGACCTAGACGATGAGATCGAGCAGGTCATGTAAGCGAGATAGTCCTCAGACCGAAACTCACCACTAATGCAGATGCAGTCTCGAGAATTATAGGAAAGAGGGCGACTTCAACCAAGCATTCGAGCGTCTGAGGGCCAAGAACTTCTGCGCGGACAATCAACTTCTTGAACCCATCTTTGAGCGGGTCGTAAAGTGTGAAACAGACGGGATGAAGAAGTTTTACGGAGACAGAACTATGCCACGAGACACTACTCTACATGACGTCGATTTTAGCGGGACTGCATACCAAGGGACTGCATACCAAGAGGCGGCCCCACGGAGGCTACCATGGTTTGTGTGAGTCATTGTGATATAGGCACGAGTTCGAGAACCAGGAATGCTAGCCGGCCCCCAGAAAAAGACAAGATGAAGGGAACGGGGATCAGTATCCCCGACCCTGCCACCCAATCAAGAACTGATTCCGTCCCCTCCACCTCGCAAAGTACCCGTGACTTCACCCCGTAATTCGAGTCGCAGCCAAGAGGAAGTATGGTTAGGTTGGACTGCACAAACCGAACTCTTCCACTTCTTAGTTCGTAAGGCCCACGCATATAAGGTGAGTATGTCACCCGCCATTTCACGTAATGGTCGCGCTGTAACTGAGTCAGATGACGGGTGTGCAGAGTCAGAACTTGGCAGACGTACATGTTGCTTGAGGAATGCCAGGACGAACTCCTCGTGGTCCGTGGTTATGTCGCATTTGTACAGGTTGCTCTTGTTGACCTGCTTCGGATCGTGATGGTCTTGACGCCAGTTTTGACAGTTTTGATAAGCTACACCTGCGAGCTCTTTGAGAGACGCAGTGGGCTCGAAGTGCAGTATGTCCGCCATGCCTGCTGTATTCGATGAGCTTTTGATGGCATCTGTTCATCGGTCGATTCGGTGACTATGACACGTCACCAGCAAACGTGCACCACACAGCACAGAGGTGGGGTTCCCGACCTTAGTCATCAACACCAGTGCGGCACCAAATCACCAGGCCACTACCGATCATTTGGGGTTTTCTTGATAAGGCTTTTGCGATTTAGTCGACGGAGGAGCAGTGTGTGGCATTGCGAGTGTCTTGTCGGTCAATGAAGCGCAGGAAGGCCATGATCTCAATCGGTACCATCAACAGCACTGCGTCTGTCTTTTATATGCTCATGTCTATCACACTCAATTGTCACACCCCATGCGTGGCTGAAAGACTCATTCTCCTGACACCTGCCTCCGGCGGACAAGGTGGGCCGGGGATTAAGGGAACAAGGTGGGTCGGGGAACGAAGGAAAGAAGGCGGGCGGGAGGAGGGGACGATTTTTTGCTGGTACCAAGGTTTCGTCCTGGTGTCACGTCAGGCTTCTGGACCCCTCCCACCCCGCCTTCGGGTGCATCCCAGCTGAGCGCCCAGCAGGACGAGACAGCAGAACAGCAAGATCCCAGCCACCAACCTCAGACCACGCGCGAGAAGAATCGGTACCGGGCAGCATCTCAATATGGTATGGTCCCCTAACCTGCGGCTGATCGGCATTAGAGCTAACCACCCCCACCTTAGTCATTCAAAGCCGAGCCGCTTGAGAAGGACGAAGCGTTCTTCGACGATGCGCAATCGGGCGTCGTCACCATCACCGGCAACGGACAGCGCGTCTATTGGCTTGGAGTTCGCAGCATCCAGATATACCCATCTACAGACGAAAGCGCGGTCTATATTTGCAGGGATATTGACGGCCAAGGTACGGCCGCAGCTGGTACCAAGTTGGTGTTCGTCGGAGGCAAGGTTAAGGAACAAAAGCCGGATGAGGAGGTAACAGATAATTTTCATGCATGAATGGAGGTCATCGGAGGCACTGGGATAACTTTGATTTAATGTCTTCGTAATAGCTGAGCTTGAATTTCAAGAGGAGATATCCAGGGGATTTGGTATGAGGTGGTATCATCAAGATGACGCTCTGCGTCTTTGGGGCTCGGAGGTCACTATCCGCTCGGAACTGCTCGCTTCCCCGTATAGCGGCGGAAATCGTGTCTCCGAACGTTATAGATGAAACCGCTTCGTAGGGACAGCCTGTAAAGGCAAGGTATGCAGCGAATTCGCTCTGTGGTCGCATGGGTCGTACCGACAGTGCTGCCTGTGTGATGTAATGCCTCCGGTCACCTATGTCCTTGATATCCATAGCTAGTAATGTCTCAGCAAGCTTGGGTACTTCGCCCGGCCTGATCTCCAACTGAATCAACCCGTCGAACAACGGAGGGCCCTCAAAAAACTCGATGGGCATCGTCCCAACGACACCCAACACAACGGCAGAAAAGAAACCACGTTGTGCAGGAGCCGGCCGAGGTTCCAGCTGCTGAAGAAATTCTTTTGGGAATAGTTGGTCAAGCACCTTAAAAGAAGGCGTGTACAGATGTTGCTCTTGTATTTCTTCGTCCTCAAGCAGGATCTTCGTGACGAGCGGGGTCTCTCGGCTGTTGGAGGATTCGCGTTGAGCGTTGGGTCCGACAAGGCTAAATGAAGACGGTATTCTCGATATGCTGCCCACGGAGCCTGTAGGGGTTGCTGAGGCCATCGGCGTCGCCGAGGTCATCGGAGTTGCTGGGGCTGTGGGAGCATTCGATGGGAGCGATGCGGTCGCTGAGCCTCCAGGAGGGTTCGACGGGAGTGGTGTGGTCGACGTACTGCGTGGCGGCTCGACGCGTGCCTCCGGGAAGGGTGAAGTGACTGACACACTGTTAGCACGACCCCGAAGCCGGCTCATCAGTAGCGACATACCTCCCGTAGAGTCCTTGATTTTTCTAAGAAGCCTTTCAATCTCCGTTGTTTGTTCTTTGGTCAAGCTGTCCACAACGTCTCTCAAAGCTTGCTCAATCGTGTCCGACGGCCAGCTTGTCAGCCCGTTCATCATTGAGCGATACTTTGCTTTGTCCGGAAAATGGTGATTATTTTCTTCAGTACCCTCTTGGTCTCGACATAGATGGCCCAGGCCGTTTCGCCAGCCCGCAAAGCGGCGCCCTCAGGTGAGTTCGCATCGAGGTACGGGACCCCACGCCAGGCTGCCTTCAGGGCACTCGAGCCGCGTTTGAGAGGGAGGTACTTGAGGACTGCTTGCAGTAACTTCACGAGAGTGTCGGCCTCTTGCATGGTGCACCTGGTGGTCGGAAGCGAGTGTCGTGACGTTGTCGGTGCGCGGGGTGTGGTGGTGGCCACTCGGCAGCCTGGGTCCCGCTCGCTTTATGTGGGTGGCTGGGGCATTGTGGCCTGAAGCTGAGTCATCGGAAGCGCCAGTCCGTCGCGTAGCGACGCGCTTGGGCATCAATTCTCCCAGTACAAAACGTCCCCACCGCCAGTCGCCCACAGTCAAGCTTGTCAAGCCCGACACCCACGCCTTCACGCATCTCACGGTATTGAATAGAAGCTGCCTGCACGCCACCGCTCCTGCACGTTTACACATGGTCAGTTACTTCCAGAACAGGCCAGGACGTCGCTAACCCAGATCAGTCTCCGGTGCCGTTCGAGCGCAAATCATTGTCGAAACCGCCCGACTTCTTCCAGGATGTTCCCGAATCAATGTTTCGCGAGGTCATAGGCAAGGGCCAGCAAGTGTACTGGCGTGGAGTGAGTGCACTACAGGTTTACCAGGGGGGAGCTGGCTCATCCGTGGCTCGGGGTGAGCAAGGGCATGGCGAGGCGACTGTCCCTGAAGGCATACGTCTTGTCTTCTTGCAAGGACAAGTCAAAGAGGTCGAAGAGGTTTAAAAAAAAAAAAAAAAGCATCTTCATTGCCGTCTAGAGACAAGGTTGATTTGTTGATTCATGTGCGTACCGCACTCCGAGCTCGAAACCTAAAGTGAGCTGGATCTGCACAGGTACAGTGGCACCTGAGAAGATCAGCCCGACACTGCTCATGGTCCCGCTCCCGGTTTTTTCATCCCTTTCGTAACGGCGACTTGAGATAATTGCGTCCGCAAGGCTACGCCCAAAATGTTTCGTGAGGTCCAGCGACATAGTAGCAGTCAACAGCAAGATGTCACTCTCCCGCTGACCCCGATGTGCCCTGCCATCGCTCGTGGTGAGAACTCGGCAACCTTGACTGACGTGCATTTGGCATCCGAAAATATCGCCCACAACAGCAGCCGCAGAGGTCTCGTCGATATCGAAGGTCCATAAAACGTCCCATAACATTTGTTCGGCTCGGATGACGGCACGGGTGATGCCTCGGTCTGCTTCAAGTCGTACTGGAAACGTCAGTGGCAGAAATGCGCATGTCGCGCGCACGTCAGGACGGGCGACAAGAACGCTGCGCACGTCGAATTCGCCCTCCTCTTCTCTGTCGATATTCGGATATAGCCAAGACTCTGTGAAAAGCTCTGGATGTGTGACATCTGTGATCAGACTGTCGTTTGCCGTCGTCGATGATAAAATTGGGGTGGGGTCAAGAGCCAACGAGATCGGGAAATTGTAAGCGGCAGCGGTAGGGCGGCCGCCATTTGTCCCGGCACCAAGAGTACTGCTGCTAGGCGCCACATTACAAACAGTGCCTGAATGAGGCAAAGTGGTTGCTGCTGGTGAATGGCCTCTGTCACACCCCTGCGGAGGCTTTCTCCTCCTTCTGGTTGGGACAGAAGGTTGAACGCTTATACCTGGTGCAATGTCAGTTCGGGTGTACGCTGTGGGTTGGGGAGGACAAACAAACCATTCGTCAGCTGGGTGTGAATCTCCTGAAGCAAAGCAAGCGTATAGCCGGGCAAGATTGCTTTGAACTCCGTCGCGAAACAGCCGGCTGTATCTGCATCATAACCGCTCAGTGTCTCGAGCAAATCCTTATGTTTCCTCTTGCCATTGTAGTGAACGTGGTTCTGGAGACTGACGCGCACTGCTAAGTATGCAACGTGAAACTCTGGGCCGTGGAAGGCGAGGGCGACTTCCACAAGTGTCGAGGGCTGTGCCCGCGTTGATGATTCCCATGCGGTCAAGAGGCGCTCCGACGGTTTGTTATTGCGCCATCGGACGTTGAGAAAGGCGTCTAGGAAGTGCCTGGCTGCTTCCTTCGGTTGGCAATTAGACATTGGAAAGCCGAGGCCGTGCCCAAAGAAGTCAAGTGGCGTGGGGCAATGAGGGGATGAGGGGATGAGGGGATGAGGGGATGAGGGGATGAGGGGATGAGGGGATGAGGGGATGAGGGGATGAGGGGATGAGGGGATGAGGGAATGAGGGAATGAGGGAATGAGGGAATGAGGGAAAAGGGCAGAGAAGGGGACGAACAGATGAGGGGACGAGGGGACGGGGACGAAATAAGGAGTTGGGCGTCGAGGGGGGTGGGGAAAATGCAGCAAAGGGGATAAGACTACCAACAAAGGGAACGGGGGCTGGAGACAGAGACATAAGTCACACCGGTTACAGGGGTGCGTGCCATACTGCGCCAGCGACAGTAGCCACGGGACAGCTGCAGGAAGAGAAGAAGCAAAGATACGCAGCCATTCATCTTCTAGCGGCCCTGTGAACGGCCGCATATTCTGGCCCTGGGAACTTTTGATTGGGCGGGGAAAATGGACCGACAGGACGCATGCTTGCGACGCCCCCCTCTGATCGTTCTGAGGGGACGGGGGAGAGAGATAAGGGGAAAAGGGAAAAGCCGGAAGGTGAGTACCCTCATCATGCAGGAGCAGGGAGGATGCTCCAGGACAGGTGTCACCGGTGGTCTGCAGAACTGGCCGCTGGCAGGCTATGCCTGTGGGACGATCTGGTGGTCCAACATGTGAAGGGGACGGAGCTGGGCGAGGGGGGGGAAACATAGCAGGAAGGGAGCAGGAGGGGGGACGAGGGGAGAACATCGTATAAAGCTGAGGGGGAAATGACATGAGCTGTCCAAACAGCCTCGTGCACCTCAACACCCTTCGGAACTCTTTGAAAAGAAATATAACCAACACGATGGACTTCAGCAGCGGTAACGACTCCAGCGAGACACCTTCTCGACCTTCTACACCAGCTATTGGTGGACCGGATGGGGATTCGAAGCCGCTCGAGTGGCCCACATCCTCTGTAAGTCAACGAATGCACCTCCTTGGAAACCCGAGTGGCTTCGGCTAAGACTGAACACCAATCTAGTGAATCATTACCGGCACAACCACGGGGACCGTGTCTCAGCGACGATGATGGATGTTTGAGATGGTGACACAGGCTTCAACATGAAAGTGGGAGTGCGCAGGTCCAGAGTCGAGGACGGTCGACGGTTTTATTTCTTCCCATTCAGAGCCTGCACTAAATCAAACGGAACAATCCTATCCTCTAGATCGTCCAGCAGCATCGACCTTACGTCGGTGGTGTAGCCAATTGCCAGTCTTTTCCAGTGATCCTGCACGCATTCCAGCCATGCACCCATGGACTTCCTCGCCTGAAGTTGCTTCTCTCCGACTAATGTGACAAAGGGGGTCTGACAAGCTGAACGGGCTGGAAACCAGTTCTGGTTGGAGGTTCGAAGGTCAAGGGTGCAGTAGAGCAATGATAGAACTCATGACAGCTCAGGAAGAGCACTGGCGTGGTAAGGGTTGAAGCTCTTCCTTTGAGCAGGAGTTGTTGTCGTGGCGGCCAGCACTAGGAAAGTGACACAATATCTCGATGTGCAAGATTACGTGAGTGAAGATAGCTGTGTTCGGTGCACACTCTTGATCGCCTTTCAACGAGGTCTTCTAAAGCTGCTGGACAACTGAAGGGCAAGGTCCTGCTAAGTGCGATGATGATATGGAAGACAGCCTTGTTGCATCGCCGCTGGAGAATTCGCTTGATTCATCGCCGTTGATGAGGTCGCTCGATCCGGCATCAACACCACGGCGAGCACCGCTTGGCGTGTAGAGTCGCTGAAATGTTTGTGAAACGATGGCGAAGCCTAGCATGAAGTACTGCACCGTTCTGGAGACTGTGCCGGCTGTGCTGTCCATATTCACAACGAGAGAATATGTCAATGTGCAAATCCACCAGGCAAGAGAAAGACCAAACAGTGTAAGGGCAGCATAAACGTTCGCGCGACCTTCGTGAGTACTCCTTATTTGAAATTTCTCTCTTTTAGGGGGGTTTTCCTCCTCCTGGTGGCGGAGTATCGAATCATGCCAGCGGCTGACGTGGAACACAATGAGGGAAGGAGAGTGCGCGAGTACCGCTACTGCATCCATAATAGGAAAAATGTCGGGCCATAAAAATAAAGACAAAAACAGGAGCAGTAGTTGTATGATTATGAGACCAAGAAGCAAAAGTCGCATCCGCATCTGGTCACTTGCTTTCGCAAGGCGTGCAGCTGTGCACCAGAACTACATGTTGCAATGTCAGCTCAGTCAGGGTGCATGGGATGGTGGCACGTACAAGCATAGAGCACATATGCAGGTAGATGAAGTCATTTATCCATGTGAGCGAAGGGAGATGGCCGGTGAAGTGCATGCTGAAGAGCCCCAGATAGAGTACGCCACAAAAGGCCCAAGGGAGCACTATGGCGAGAGTCGTCCACCTCCACAATGGTGCCGCAGGGAGGAACAGGATGGCCTGCATGAGGCCGACGCACAAGGCCAGGATGGCGCAAAAGATGGTCGTGAACTCAGCTGTCGGCATCTTGAACAAAGCAGGTAACGATATAAGACTGAGACCACACTCATATACGTGGTGCACCTGGAAAGGCATTGCCTTTATGTAAATAGTAGCGATGGGTAAGACGATAAGACAACTGAGGACGCGCAAGAGCGTGGTCACGGAAACGAGTGGGCCAGGACGGGAACAGTGGGTATGAAAGGAGACAATAAAATGGACGGGAATACGAGACGGGACAAGAAGCGGCATGTGATCTGAGCCATGGCGAAAAAGGGTTAGAGGAATACACTCGGAAATGGCCTCGGGAAGGAGGCACAAGAGGACATGGCCAGAGGGGGCCGGGCCCCGGGGGAACAGGGGACGAGGGGACGAAGGGACGAGGGGACGAGGGGACGAGGGGACGAGGGGGCAATGAGTAGTGTGGGTGGAGACAAACTCAAAGCGCCCATCTCCAAGTGCGCCTACTAAGGTACAGGCGCTCGAGTGCTACGGCTGCAGGCCAGTGGCCAAAGACGCCCCACACACTTGTACTCGCCCTCGCCGTCTTTTCATCCTCCCACACCAGAATGGAATCAGGGAACAAGCGAATAAGCGAACAAGGGAGCAAGGGGATGAGCGGGCGAAGAGGGGGTCGAACACTACTGGACCGGAGAACCACGGGACCGGGAGGGACGGGGAGAAGGACGATGGAGGGGTGTATGTAGCCGGGGCACGGATGGTTACCCGGAGCGCTTCCCCGGGCCTGTTCCCTGTCTGCATTTAAGATGGCTACCAGGATACCGGACCTCAACCAAGCGGACTTCAGCCGCCCGATTGTTCTGGCTCGCCAGGAAATCGTTTTGCACAGCCACTAGAGCCGTGGGCAATTAGGCCGCGAGGCTGGGCGGCTAGGCCTGTGGGTACGTCGGGCTGAAGTCACTCTTCGAGCGCAAGCAGTGGGCCGCCCTACTGCGTAGTGGCAGCGCGTGTGTGATGGGCAAGACCCGGGAAGGGTCCCCGTGTCTGCCGGGATGCGGCATACCGGGGTACCCTGTCCGTCTCAATGAGGGATGTGCAACGACAAATGGCCAAGGCTGCACAAGTATCGACGTCGCCAGTCCGTCCACTCGCGTCTCTCTGCATATGATGCCCCCCTGCAGAGACAGAAGAGGACGCCAATTAGACAGTGAGAGCCGGTACAGTGAAGGACTACATTTCATCGCAAGCATCTACTCTGTCTGCGGATGCAGAGCGAGGTCACATCCACGGAGGTTACTCTGGTAAGCTTCTAATTAACCACAGAATATATAGCTCATTGTCCGGTAGCTGGCCCTAGGAGATCGCTGCGGTGCAAGTACCACTGCCTGGCCCATGAGAAGGAGGTCACATTTTCACAACACGCAGTTGGTTCTGTACACTTTGCCAGCTGTCGTGGCGTATGTTGGTCGCCGAGCTTTGCCTTCCTAGATTCACTGGTGCTGATGGTGAGACCAGGCCAGGGTCATTTGGGTTGTTCGGGCGCTTGAACCCTTGCGCAGCCATTATCAGGCTCATCCTTGACCGCATGTTTCCCATGCAAGCCTCCCTGGTAGCATTTAGTGTTGCCCGCGTATTGGCTCGTTGATTCTGCATTCCGCCTGCTGACAGTGAGTACAGGCGGTTGAATCCTCGTCCTGATTGACGTGGCCGTGCTAACAGCTTAAAGGCGATACTGCCGCCACTCCTGAATGTGAGCGGTGAATTCCCAGACACCACATTATCGTTATCCCATCACCAAACAACGCTCCGCGCTGCCACGCACCAGCACAAGCTCATCGCCCTGTTATCCAGCCCCACGCAAACTTCGAGGTCAGCCTCGCGCAGACTGACCAAGCTGACAGCTCTGAGGCTATTGTAGTAAGAGAAGCGAGCTCAACCAAGCACGAAATGTCGCTACCATGGACCGCAGAGGAAGATGAGTGGCTCATTGCATTGGTGAAGGCTGTTACGCCCTGGGAAGAGATCGCGAACCAGATGCCTGGGCGAACGGTTAGAGGCTGTCGGAAGCGCTATTATAACATGGCCAAATCCCGAAGAAAAGCAGAAGAGAAGAAGAACCCCCCCACCGATGTTCATGAGCAGTAAGTGAGCACTGCCCACGCGTCCAGGCATCCCGGATCACGGACACCATAACAGCTGCCATTGCGCCTGGTAATGTTTGTATCTCTGTACTGATCATGTATACAACTTCATACAGATCCAACCATATGGATTGGCCCGAGGAAGTAGCTGGGTCGGCCGGACCCTGGCGTTCGCCCAACGGTCAAGCAGGGAACACAAGAGCTCATACCAGCCCGGGGCACCATTTCTTGTCGGATCATAGCTATTCCAGTACATCCCGAAGAGACATTCATCTTCAACACTCGCATGCTCTCCCTGCCTTCGATTCCCTGACCTCATCTTCAGCCGACGACTCTCACTTAGCGACAATTGAGCTTCCGCCTCTGCTATCGCCACGTGCATATGGCTATGGCGAATTTAGGTCCAGTATGGACCGCGCACGACCGATAGAATGCGAGATGGAACCCATCTCACCCCCAAGAACTTTCGAATTCGCCAAGCCGGGTAATGAAAGACGCCAGCAGTGGTTTCCTCCCGCGTTCAGAGTGGTGAACATTGCGCCACGGTAGGCTCTAGGACCCTTTTCCGAGCTTGGAGGCCTTCTGGACTCGACACAAGATCAAAGGGTCGGCTCTGAAATCATTGAGATGGCTAAGTCCGTTCTCGGTTTTATCGAGGGCGAGAGAATTGACCTTGATGTGCCATACAGGGCATGCCCAGGAATGCGTCGCAGCCCTCTTCAACAATGGACCTTTTGGACGGTCACCTGTTCCACGTAAATAGATAGATGATGATAATCAGCAGCTTTATTCTCCCTCGAAGCATGTCAAGCCTCAGAGCAACCGAGTTAATAAATGAGCATCGTCTACAGCGCGTATGCATAAAGCGCCCGGAATCCATGATCAACATCGAGGCTCCAATGTCACTTGCGTTGTGTGCATGCAATAAGTCTGTGACCTTATCGGGCTGAACTTTCGTGCCGCGATAATTCGCGACTACCCATTCCTTCAACGTCTTTACAAAGCTTCCACCCTCGGCGGATCTGGCTTCAAGGCCCGGACTGCGAAGCCATACCTGCTGCCTCTCGTTTAGCTATTGGTGTGCTGACGTTTGGCGCCGCGGGGCTCTTAGTCTAGACCCGGCTGCATGGACTGGTAATCCACTGGATGAGCCAGAAAGAAGGTGCGTCCAGGCACTAGCCGGTGTGGTGTTATCCCGCCGCCGGAGTGTGTGTCCGCGTCCTGCAACCCTGGAGCTTGCACCAGAAGCATACAATGAAATACGACCCAACAGCGGTGGCTTCCTGGCAGTGAGTGCTTGCGTTAGCAATGGTTCAGGCCTCACTGTTTCACGAGTGGCTCGCGGGTCGAGGCCGCAGGGCCACGGTGCCGTGCGCCGTGCATGAAAGAGGGCATTGAGACCACGGTGCGACAGGAGGACACGCAAGGCTCTTGTGGCGTGATGGCCGCACATCACTATCAGTCACTCATGCACGAAGGGCCAGATCAGGTAGTGATGCGTGTCACTCTTGCGAGCTGTGGTAGCCAACAAAGGCCATTACCTGTTGCATTGGTCGTTGATTGTGTCCTGGACGCAGACCGGCAGCCTCCCCGGCGATGGCTGGACTGGACCCTTGTACACGATCATGCCTGTTGGTGCGGTACTGTGGTAGCTCTCCCTGTTGAGACTTGTACTTTGCCTGACCGACCTCTTTTCCCAGCCTCGTTATGCCTTCCCCTGAAAGCAAGTTGAGCAATTAGCTGTCCTTGGCATGCACCGTGCATGGCTGGAAGGCTGGACACGCCTCGGGATGTATCCGCCCATCCTGAGCGCACGCCTTCAACAGGCAATTTTCAAGGGAATCCTTCTTCAACGAAGAGATTGTGCTTCCGTTATCAAATACAAAACCATTCCATAGAACCCTGGCATTCTTGAATCCAATGTATATGCTTCCGGCCCCCCTGTGGTTGCTGCTGGAGATGGGCTCTGCAGAATGAAGCTTGCTGCTGCCTTTGCTGCGTCTTCAGGAGCCACCCCGGCCCCGCTGCTGGTGCCGTGGTTGTCGTGGTTATGATTGCGTCATCGACGATGCAAGGCTGAAATCCCGTACATGAAGGGGGGTACCGCTGTGATGAGAAACTGTTGGACCAACACTGAGACCATGGCGTAGCCCGAAGACGCGCAAGGCTCTTGTGGCATAATTGCCGCACATCACTATCAGTCACCATGCACGAAGGACCAGATCAGGTAGTGATGCCCCTCTTCTTGCGAGCCACGGTCGTTAGCAAGGGTGCTTCCTGTTGCATTGGTCGTTGATTGTGTCTTGGAAGCAGACCCGCAGCCTTCCCGGGGACGGCCGAATTCGCCCATGTACGCGATCATGCATGTGGATGTATACGCCAGAAGCCTCCTGCCAAAAATGCCAGCACAACTTGGGCCGCATGACAGGGAGTCCAACAGCTTCCAAGTCCGCAGAGTCGAGGCAGCCATTGCATTGCTGGCAAAGACCATGTTTTGGCGGGTCAGTCCCTGATGCCCTGTTCTTGGCTGGAGAGCCTGGCCTGCGATCGTACTGCATGGCGCTCGTAGTTTGATGCAACCGCCCTGCAGCCTCATTGAACCACTTCAGGGTGCCTCGCTTGTATCCACTGGGGCGCGCAACACTCTTGGCACAAGCCAGGTCCTTGAAGCCCGACTCTCGACACAAGTGTCCGGCTCCGATATAAAGGCAAGCCGCTGCTCAGGCCTATCCGGAGATGGTCTTCCCTTCCTTCCTCACACTTTGCGGAGCAGACCACAGTAGCACGCGCGACAGAGTCAGCAATAAGAACAGAAACACCAACAAGAACACCAACGAAAACACCACAAGAACAATAACTTGTCTCTTTTGTCCTGAGGGAAGCATTATACAGGAGAGGAAAGATGCACATCGAGATGAGCGACCTGCGGCAGAGTTTGGCCAGCAGCTGAGCCCGGGTGGGGCAAAGAAAGCACACGTGGATCCTGTTGAAATTTTGAAAAAGAGACAGGAGCTGTTGCAAAAGGCGCAGGGTGATTTGGACGAAGAGGGGGAAAAGTTGTGCGAGGCGCAGGAGCTGGTGGACAAGAAGCAGAGGCTGCTGAACAAGCTGCAGAATGATTTGGACCAGGAGAAGAAGCGGTTGAACGAGGAGCAGGAGCTTGATACGGTAGGGCAGACAGATGGTTCGGCGGAGCACCAACTCCATGGCAATCATCACCTTGCGCGTCTCTCGCTACCGTCTTTGACATTGGATTCATGGTATGCGGCGCTGACTGAGCAGCTGCATGCTTTGAGCGAGGTCGGCAATGTAGATTGTCGATTCAGTTTATGAAATGAGTGAATACAAGAACGCACCTATATGAGCTTGCTTCTCTGGGGAAGCTTCCGTGGTCACAGTCCGTTGAAGGCACGCCGAGTTGTTTAACACATCTGCACGTCCGCCGAGGAGTCACTCTGCAGCCAAAGCCTGTACCGCAGTCACCGAAATTCACTGTTTGGAGGTCGCACCAGCTGCAGGCGAGCCAGCGAGCCGCAACTTCGCGTTAAGCAGACAAGTCCGATGGAGAAGCACCCTTCAAGCCTAATGGCATGGCTATGTCGCTAACATCTCTCGCCGCAATAGCCGCCTTTCTGAGAAATATCCTGCAGCTGCCCCGTCCACCAGTGCTTCACGATTTGTGATCGGCCAGCACCATCCGCGCCTTATGCAGGGAGGCGCCGCAGTCGAAGACACGCAGCCTATCAGGAGTTGAACGTGAAATCAGCGGCATAGTGGCGGTTACCCTGTCTTCCTGCGTCTTGGCCTTGCTCTCCAAGTTCGACCTACTACCTCGTTTGGGTTAGCCAGATGTGATGTGATGGTTGCACCGGCAGGACTGGACAAGCCGAACCAACAGTGGTCTGCTGCATGACCTGACGGCCAGCCGCCCCGATCGACCAGCGGTGAGTGCTTGCTTTAGCAATGGCTACATCTTGCAGTGCTCGCGCCTAGGGGACGCAGGGCCTGGGTGCCATGCATGGAGGTGGGCACAGAGGCCATCGTGCAGCACGAAGACACGCAAGGCTCTCGTGGCGTAATGGCCGCAAAGCACTATCAGTCACGTATGCACGAAGGCCAGATCAGGTAGTGATGCGTGTCACTCGCATGCTATGGTGGTTGACAAGGGGCATTCCCTGTTCCACTGATCGCTGATTGTGTCTCGGACCCAGACCGGCAGCGTCCCGGGAACGCTGGACTCGACCCATGCACACGTTCAAGCCTGTTGGCGCGGTACTGTGGTAGCTCTCCCTGTTGAGCCTTGCACTTTGCCTGACCGACCTCTTTTCCCAGCCTCGTTATACCTTCCCCTGAAGGCAAGTTGAGCAATCAGATGTTCTTGGCATACACCGTGCATAGCTGGAAGGCTGGACACGCCTCGGAACGTACCCGCCCATCCCGAGCGTATGCGGAATAAGACAGGATCCCAGCCGAGAACATAAAGTGGACAGAACGGTTGTATTTGTATGGTACGTCTGTCTCCCAATGTGATGTACGCATGGAACCTCGGATAGGTCCCTCGAGAAGTTTCGTATATGACCGATCCATCTTCTGGGGCTGGACTTTCTCACTTTTCCATGACGTCTCATCTTTCTGAACAAGAATCTTTGTTTCAGCCACTTTCTCCTGCCTCGCCTCAGCTTGCCTGCACCCCGACGTCATGCAGTCAATTGAGCCCTTGGAGCCAATTGACTTTGGAGAACCAGTTCGCCTCTGGCATTTAGTCTGGGGAGATTTCAGGATCCGCCATCCACAGCAACTCAGCGGCGAAGCGCAAATCAAGATCTTACGTGAAAGGGCCACAGTCCTCGATGACAACGATCTGCCATGGAAAGTGGTCAAGGGCACCAAAGAACTGGCCTACACACTCGACTGCCCTCAAGAGCATGTGGAGACAATTAGCTCAATCATAAACGCATTCGTGAGTACATTCGTCCATGTCATGTGGGTTTCGCTGATGGATAAAGATTCATTGGGCCGGAATACAAGCTAAGAAACGAGGAAGCCATATCTCGGAATCCCCAACACTAAACTTGCTCAGGCTTAAGGGACGTGAGCTAAGCTCGCCAAAAGATGGATTCTCTTGGGTCATGCCGTGTAGTGCCAAGCTCGTGGATCTACCTGAAGTGTGCCTGGTGCACACGGACAGAAGTTTTAAAAAGCTCACGTCTCTGGAAGAACCAATCTTCCTTTCCGGCGGGGAGGCCCTCTCCGTTCTCAAGGGTGACATGAAGCTTCTTGCTGTTCATTTCAAATTAAGCATCGGAGCACGGGATGACCCTCAGGATGACCAAAAGAACGGCTAGTGATCTGATCAGAAGGTTTTGATGCAGTATGGACGGAGGCAGCTATAGCGAGTTAGTTCTTGGCTTCATGTCATGATAAGACGAACAGATAGGTGTTGCGCATCTTCTGATTAATCTGCTGGTGAAGAAACAACGGAAGCGGACAATGACAACACAAACACAGCACACACTAGAGACTGTCATGAGCACGAGACCCATTTCGGACGTGTGATCAGTACGGTAGTGTGTGCTGGACGCCAAACAGAACTGATGCCGACCTCTACAACTGGTGATCTGGCTATGTGAACATGGGAACCAGCATGGCCAGGTCATCAGTGGTATATGCTTTAGGTCCTCCGTGCCTCGGTGTCACCGCTGCCTGCCGGGTGAACGTTGGCCTAAGGATGACTGCCGTTCCGCCGCTCCACACCGCCGTTCCCGGAGCTCAATGGGCTTGGACTCAGCATTTCCGTGGTGGCCGCCGGATATGTCCTTTGTGGGATGATGCCAGCTGCAGCTTCTGCCTGGGGCTGCAGGAGTCGCCACGGCGCCCCTGTTGATGCTGAAGCTGTTGTGGTTGTCATCGTGTCGCCGACGATGCAGGGTTCGAATCCCGTGCGTGAAGGTAGGCATCCCTGTGATGAGAGGCCAACAGCAAACAGCTGACCTTGAGACCATGGCGTAGCCCGAAGACACGCAAGGCTCTTGTGGCGCAAAGGTCGCAGGAAATGTCTGGTTGGGATCACGTACAGTCCTTGCTCTTTGGTCGTTGATTGGGTGCGAGATGCAGACTGGCACCTTCTAAGAGGGCAGCACTAGTTGTATGAGGCCGGGACCCCATGGCGGGGACTCTGTATGTCTGTTGTACTATGACCGCGTCGTCACAACGCCCAGGTCGGCCTCAGCCTGATGGCGAGGATCCAGTGGTCTGATGTGGCGACATACAGGCGAGCTGGCGCCGAGCTTATGGCTTGCCACAAAAGGTCTCGCCCCCTTCTCGACTCAATGGGTCACAAGAGCATGCACCACCCAGGCCCATCTTCCCATTAGCGTATAATAGAATGCAGCCTTCCGGAGCTGCTTGCCTTATGGTATCAGACATGGGTGTGATCGACATGGGCCGTGGTCAGCACAGAGCATGCAAGCGTTGTCACAGTGTTGGTGGGCAAGTCTTGACCTCGAACCGCATTACGCCTCACCGTCATCGGGCAGGTGTGTCACATCGGCTGCGTGCCGCCTACCAACTCTCCCCTGGACCAGTCTGGATGCCGTCTCTACATATATCTGCAACAGCTCCCTCAAGAATATGCAGGGAGACACTTCTTCTCGCTCAATCTCGGCTTCAGCCAAATCTCCCAGCAAATCCCGTGCTCTGTGCTGTACCAACATGATGGAGCAAGATCCTCCCCAAAGATTTATTTTCCATCGCGAGGGAGGCTTAAAAGGGCTCTATGGCAACAGAGAAAGGCTGGACTCAGGTGAACTGATCCCTGAGGAGGACTTCATTGGCGATGTGAAGACAATTTACGTCGTTATAGATCCCCCTCGTGGCCCCATCCACTATCCCTCTGCACTGAAAGTCGACGTCATTCAGTATAAGTCTCGTCCTGGCGACCCGGAGTACCGAAACTGTACCAGAAAGAATGGTGCGACTTTTGAGCATTACATCGGAAGCTATACGATCGCAGACCCAGGGGCCCTCGCAAGGCACGTGAGGACCAGTCCAAAACCTGCGCACTCGACCGGGTGAAGTTCTCGTTTCCACCCCCACACCCTCTGCGGGTGTTCGTGCAGTTCATCGAGGAGAACGTAAACCTCCCCTCCTCCCGCCTTCCCTTGAACACCGTTCATTCTAAGGCTTACTGACTCCTCGGCTAGAATATCCCCGAATACCAGGAAGGCCTGGAGCGGCTCGTCGAGTACATTTACGGATGCAGTACGTATGATATTCCCTTTCGAATTTAAGCAACATGCTAACCATTTCAAGACTGGAAGACCGGGTCTGCTTTCATTACCGGGGAAGAGACGCTGGGGATAGAGCCCGTGCCTGAGGACGCGCAAAAGTTAGCGGGCAAACGCCCCTGCCCTCGAACCGTCACGGTAGAGATGGATTTTGAGGAGGACTCGCGCCTGCGGATTCTAGCCGATCTATTTTGCAAATTCTGGGCAAGCTTGCTCGAGGATCGCCGCCTGGTGGCTGTACTTCTCAAGTACATTATAGCACTAGCATTGAGATGCACGGCAGAAACGGTACTGGAGGATAGAATGCGCCGCGCGTATGAGAACAATCAGGAAGTAAGGAAATCGGACACATTTTCGCGATGCTTCGCTGACTTATTCAAAGATGAAACCACAGCCCGAGTGGGTTGACCCAATCGAGAGAAGTACAAGAACAATAATCTTCAATGCAGGACCGAAAACCATTCCCAAGACCATCACAAGAGCGGAAGCCATTGCAGCAGTAGGCGAGTACGCTGTGACTGAGATCGAAACATGGGCAGACAATGGAAGGAAAGAACAAGACCAAAGCAAGCAACACGACCAAGCCTTCTTCCCCATCACCTTCCCAAAAGAGATATGGGGAGCACCTGATTCGTAGAGTCAAAGCCGATTCCTGGGGCGTGATGGGAAAGCATCCTATCAACGGGGTGTCTGTAGCAGTGATCCTCTTCAACAGTCGATTCGCGGGGCTTTACTATCTTCCATGATTACGCTGAATGGCTCAGTCGAAACACTCGATATGCTTTCCCAGGGCTGTTCCCACTGGGACTTCTTCAACGAAGCAAGCTCACAGTTTTCTCCTCAAGTATCGACCCAGTTCATAGAATGCAGCGTAAATCAAAATTGTTGTCCTCGCTCAAAGCATGCAGCCACACAGCCGGGTCCACATACCATGATGCTCTGCCAAAAAAGTGTCGGGAGACGCGCAAGGTGATGATCGTCATTGAGCTGTCAGCATGGCTGTGCAAGCTTTGTCAAAACACTTCGACTCGCCGGGCTGCACATAAGAGCAAGGATTGCAGCTCGATGGCCTGGATGTGCCGCTGACATCTCCTCTCGGCGCAATACCTGCCTGTCTGAGGAACATCCTGCAGCTACGCCGCATCGCTGCCTCGTCACATGCGACCGGCCAGCATGATGCTCACAGCATGCAGCGAGCCGCCGGGTTGAAGGCGAACTGCCAAAGCGGCCGCACGAGTGCGGGTCAACTGGGGTTTAATCGCTATCTTCAGGTCTACACGGGCCGGCTCGATCTCGACAGGCTGCTCCGAGAGGAGATTCTTCTTCGACGGAGCAAGGTTATTTCATAATCTCATCAAATATCCGCCCATTCCATAGAACGCAACGTCAATGAACAGTATGCCCTCGCTTCGAGCATGCAGCCGCACAGCCAGCTCCACGTCGCGTGAATGCTCTCTCGAAAACGCTGTTGGATCCCCCCTCCCAATCAAAAGATCCTCAGCCGGCTGACTGTCCGACGACCCGTACCAGCACCTTTGCACCCAATACGCTGAGCGCAACTTTCAAAGGAGTTGAAGTGAGCCATTCCGTGTCTCTTCCACCCAATCAGCAACCTCCCGCACAGCACACATCGGGTCATCTCTGTGCTGAATCAAAAATCCCTGAATCTGGGCGGGACTGAGCTGCCTCTCAGGGATCTTGGAGCCAAACTCCTTCGCCGCAATGCGAAGCTGGTCTTCATTAAGCGTGTTGTCAGGGAAATCATGGCGGTGCTTGTTTCCTTGCGCCCCGGGCGGTGCAAGAGACATGGGCCCTTTCTCGTCTCTCTGAAACATGATTACGAACTGCTCTTGAGCTTGTGCGCCTGTGGCTTTGTCGAACTTGATGTGAAGGTCCACCCTTCCTGGCCGAACTAGTGCTTGGTCCAGCTTCTCAGGAGCGTTCGTCGTCATGATGAGCACGCGGCCTTCCTGCGAGGCCACGCCGTCGATGGCATTGAGCAGGCCAGACAGTGATATGCCTTGCTTTCTTGACTTATACAGCCCGCCTTCAACACTCGGGGAATCCGATTTGTCGCCAGATCGACTGAGTCCAGCCGTATCAATGTCCTCAAGTAACACTATACAGCGCGGCGGCAGCTTCGAGAATAGCATATTCAAGTCTTCTTCAGTCAAGGAAGCGTCATTCAGCGAAAGAATGTGGATTGTCAAGCCGAAAACCCCAGCTAGGGCAAGGCAAAACGAAGTCTTTCCCGTTCCGGGGGGCCCAGAGAATAGATAGCCTCTCCGCAGAGGAATGCCGCGCTCTGCGTACCATCCCGGGGTCTTTGGGTGGAGGTAGTTGTTCATGTCCTTGAGGGTAAGCTCCTTCAGGGCGCTCTCGAGGATAACAGTCTTCATGTCACGCACGGGTCGGGTGACCGCTGTGCGCCATGGGTCAGGACCAAAACGGCGATAGTGATCGGCTGCAGGCGTTCTGATGAGCGTGCCTCCCTTTTGGGCCGCCTTGAACTCGGACGATACGTGGTTGAGCAGCTTATCGAGACAGCCTCGATTACGCGACAGACATTTGATGGTGATGGTCCGTGTTTCACGTGGTCCCCCATCCCCGGATTCGGCGCCCTTTTGGGCGTGCACTAACGTGATTCGCCGCCAACCCCACCAGATCTTGTGGGTGCCAAAGTCGGGGCCCAAGCACACTTTCCCCTCGTAGTCATGGTTGGAAAAGTTTAAGTATTCGCTTGTCCCACTGAGGTTTGCGCCTGGCATGTCTTCATCCTCTCCGTCGTCTCTGGTCACGGTTTCCAACAAGGAGTGTGAAAAAGTCGAGTTTGAGCGGAGCCACTTCATCAAATGTGAGTACCTCTCTTCGTGGCTGGGTATGCAGATGCTCTGTGTGAAGCGCGGTATGGGAATATGCTTCCACATCATGTACGTGATGACCAGCATGACGAGCGTCTCTCTTGTGTCGAATCCGAGCCAGGCCGCGATGCTGGAGAGAGGACCGATGCTGGAGAGAGAACCGATGCTGGAGAGAGGACCGATGCCGAGGAGGCTCTGGAGGCATCGAGAGACTACCATCTGTAGCAGAGCATCGAGGCTATACCCGATTCCTGCTTGTGACATATTTTTTGTCGCATGGTGGCATTGCCCGTGAAGCTCCGTTAAAAGCTTGGAAGCATTTGGCACCAGCAGGGAACTGGCGGAGTCCATCCCGGGGCTTGTGAGACAAGAGATGCTTCGTGGTCGAGTTTGTGTATAATGATTGGCATGAGCCTTCAGGGCCGTTGCGGTACGCTGTAAGTCCACGCCTGGCATGCGGAAAGTGACCAAGGTGCGAGAGAATACTTATAAAATGCTTGAGGCCACAAACAGAATGCCTCCCTTTTACGGCCCCGGTCTAGATGGCTTAGCCGACCCAGGACCTCCTGATCCTATTGGATCGTCCCAGCCCCGGAATACTACGTGGCATGCAGCCGAGCTCAGGTTGGGCGCCGTCAAAGACGGCCGGTGAGGTGTTCGTCAAGGGTAAGGGTCGTACTGTGACAGCCTTGCCCTCTTGCATATCGGGTACAGGGCCCTTAAGGCCCTTTTCTCGGCGGTGAGACAAGGTCCATGCTACCACTGAGGGGGCGCGAGCGTAGGTCCTGTTGCGCCAACCAGGCCGTGCTTCTCTAGCCCACGAGGAAAGGTCTGGTCGACTTTCGACACTCCCGTTAGACAGGGCCACCTGCATGTCCTGAGATGCGGCATGTGGACACCTCTCTCGTGGCGATATTGTCTGCCAGGATCATGGCAAGGCTACGTAGTCTTAGGCTAGCCATTAAAACCTTGCTGCAGATGTGATTGACAAGGCTCTGGTGCCCCCCTTCCGAGGCTCACGTTGGGACGACCCTGGTCCTTGACCGAGTTGACTGCAAGGAACTTTTGGCAAGACCTGGCAGCGGTGATTCATTTCCAGAGCAAGCCAAAGACTTTGTCAAATTTTATTGGCACGCACAGAGAAAGCATTCCGTACTCCCAGCGTGCAGCCTCTGGCCTAGAGCACTTCTCTGCGTGGTGCTTTCGCCCCGCAGCGGCAGACGTTGGCCCTGCGCCTCCCCGTAACCGGCTCGGCTCGAGCGAATAGCGGCTCTCTCTTGGCCTCTTGCTTCCAGCACCTCTCCGCGCCTCTATGCGTGCACCGTCAAGCCCTGCAGCGTCTCATTCAGAATTATTCGTCGAATCAGGCAGACGCTCTCGACGAGGCCAGAGCTGCCGCGCTGCGAGATCGAGACAGTCGTCAGGCGCCACCCCCGAGTAGAACGCTATGCGGGCGGCGAACCTTCCCATACAAACACCCTTAGTCTCTTCTCCAGCAGCAGCCTTACATTGTCTTTTTATCAGCTCGGTGTCGCTGCGTGGACGCAAGATGGGAGGTAGAGAAGTCAGTCGGCTTCTTGCGGGCACTCGAAGTCGAATTAAACGTTCTCAGGTCAAAGCGATGAAATGCTTTGTCATGCGTGAGAGTACTCACAGGGTATCATCTCCTTAGCGTCTTATGTTCCCGCCTGACACGGCCAAGTTCATCCATGCTTGGACGGGGGTCTAAGTTCAGGTGACCCCGATCGATCCAAGCTACTGACGGGTGGCGGCTGCCATTACCATCTCAGCTAGTGCAAAGCAGACAGCGTTCACAATGTCGCGCCATGCCACTGAAGTCCCTGTCTCACACATTGGGAGGAGCATGTTCACCTGTTTGCCGCAAAGTCTGGTGCCTGGAGCAGTCAAAGGACACGCGCCTTCTAGTTTAAGGTTTTATAGTACAAGCGAAGCAGAGGGTCCCTGCATACTCGGAACGATGGTCATGGGCTGCGTACTGACCATGAGGCTTCTGCTACGTGCGGCGAAAACTGAAGCTGCCTCGTCAGCACCATCTCTCCAAGAACCTCGTCCCCTCATCGGTTTGCAGGAAACCGACAGACCAGAGCGCTGTATGAGCTTCAGCTTACTGGAACTCTCCAGCTGCGTGCAGTGAACTCTTCACCGGGTTGGATGCAAGGCCCCCCAGATCGTGAGATCTGCTCGTTGATGCACGATCTGCCAACCCAAGGACGGCCAAGTCTGATGCAGCTTATGCCAGAGCAAGAATAAGTCTTGGCCGGTCTTGGCCGACTGCTGCGCTACCATGCCACCCGCCTGTCAAAAGCGCCAACACGCTGAGTGGGTCCCAGCGAAAAGTCGCTGCACGATGAGTTCCACTAATTACCGGATCAGGAAGGAATGACAATCCAAGATCATTCCTTCCTCATTCGGCAAAGGCCCCACTCTTTCCCGTCCTGGCGCACCTGGGACACTTGGGACGCCGATGCGAACTGCTTCATTCGGGCCTGCATTTATGGCACTGCAGAGAGCCACTGTGCTTGTGCTGATGGCGGTGACCTGCGCGATAGCTGAGGTTTTGGTGTTGCGTAGACGAGGCGAGGGCAGAAAAGCCGCTGCATGATATATGGACAACTGTCTTTTAGTGCTCGATGAGAAATCCGCGCTTATTGCCTGGTGACATATTCTGATTGGCTCGTCAGAACTCACTCATAATCGAAGATACACGGTCTGCACGGCATGCATGAAGTTACCTACTATGCAGCCGCATGGGCAGGCTGTATGTATGCACCTGTCCACTGCTCTCGCACAGTCAGAAGCGATTCACAGTTGATGAGGAGATGCAGAGATTCACGCAGTGTTGCAGATTGCTTCGAAATGATGCACGCCCGAGGATATCGAGATGAAATGCCTTGTGTTTCTAGTGTCCCGTGGTGCTTTGCTAATCTATGGATATAGAGGCCAGGTAGGTCCCAGCAGCTCATCCACTCCGCGTAAGATCTCTTCCTGGGTCTGCACATGTACTTGTCTGTTAGTCTCTGTCGGCATACAGAAACAGCCAGGAGTATCTGCCATTAACTCGGATCTACCTTCGAGCTGTGAAAAATCCCCTGTAGCCTTTTCTTGGTTATTTCAGCCTTCTTGTCCACCCCATTGCTCTAGGGCCGGGAGGCGCTCTTGGGTAGGATCACGCCTGCCTCTGGGATGATCGGGTCTGCGCTCCAGCCGGGGGCATTGGCATTGTCGGCTGCGGCGTGGCGCGAGAGAGGATCGATGAGAGTTCATTGTAAAGTTGCTGTACCACTCCGAACAGTTCAGACTGGGCATTGCGTTCGCACTCGGCGATCTCCTGAAGGCTTGACAAGTCATGTGGGAGGGTTCGGCAGCCCTCGTCGTCAGCCCGCGAAATCGTGAGTTGAGATGCTGGTAATGCCAGTGGAGGTTCTGGCAGGTTGATTGTCAACAACGATGGGTAGTCCGTGGTGCATGCAACACTAACACCGTCGCGCGATTGGGCCGATGTGATCCAGCTGGTGAGTTCTCTGGCATTCAGCCACAGCTCGGACACTCCCTGGGTGGTGCTGATTGTGATTTCACCGAAGTCGTGAAGAGGTTTTGGGTCCGGCTGACTAGGAAAAAGGGACACCGAAAAGGTGAACAGCTCAAACCGTTTGGGAGGAAGAGGAACCGTGACTTTATAATGGGGAAGTTCAGGAGGCTCAAGCCGTTCAGGAGGAAGAGGAGTCGCGACTTTATGTTGAGTCGGAAGTTCAGGAGGTTCAGGGCATTGTTTCGGAGGCTCTTTCTCAGGGATTTTGAAGAAACTGATAGTGTGGCGGCTGATGGGAACCTCTCCACGACGAAGTACTCCCACGATGTAGCACGGAGAAGCCGGAAAATTTCCGGCATCTGGAGGAAGCAGCGTGAATACCAAGAATGTTGGCTTCGGCGGGGCAGTGCGATCTTGAGGATAATAATACATGCGGGACGGCGATTGCAGAGGTGGTCGTGAATGGGAAAACTGCACAGCGGAGACGAGGCTTTGCCGTACATATATTGCTCTGATTGTGAATGGTGCTCTGCCCTTGGGAGAGGCCGTCCTTTATTTGATCAACGAGCTTCGTTGGCTGGCCCATATCACACAGCAAGGCTACCCACATATCAGGGGCGCGGCGAGTGCAACCAAAGCAGATATGATCTGTCGAGCCTAGTGCCACTGCATCTGCCCGTGGAGGGTGGTCCTCAGACCACTGGGTGGCTGGGCTGTCGAGTCAAGGGTGATGCCGTGCTACAGGCGGCAGGCATTGCTGCTGGTTCGCGCTTGTGGCAGGACTAGGGCGCAAGTACCTCAACGCCTTCCGTCAGCAGCCCCCGTCCTGGCGGTTGATGCTGAGAGCAGACAGAACAGGGGCCGGGGAAGCACACGGGCGTTTCCGAACATGCTCGGGTGGGGTTCAGTGCTTGGCAGTAAAAGCTTCGAGCTGCGGAGCCTGCAAGGGCCTGGACGTTAGCCGCTTTTTATTTCCGCCCCACTCGTCCGCAATCCCTGTAGCTGAAAACAGAATGCAGGAACCAGATGCAGATACTTTGGCACCGTGTGAAAGTCCCCCCAAAGGACAAGTCCCACTCAGCCATGCTCGCGACGCTCTGGCTCCCGCGCAACGCTTGTGCTTTTTGTACAAAAATGCTCGGCACAGCCTGGCGCTACACGGTTGCACAATGCGCAGTCCAGGCCCCGCAGATTTCCACCATGGGAGCCAAGAATCGTGCGACGCCAAAAGTGGCCCTGCCAATCACGCTGCGAAACAGGGTGTGGTGGATGGAGCCGATTCTGGCTGAATCATACCACCGACCGAGCACATTGTCTCTGAGAAGTGCAGCAAGGGGCGGAATTGCAGGCGGGCTGGGCCAGTAGGGCAGATCTGCAGGTAGAGACGAGCTTCCGGCTGCGAATGCGGCTCGTCCAACCAGCTCGAACCAGTCGAGGCATAATTGTCGGCTATCATTGGCATGTTCAAGGCAACCCCGATAGGTTAGCGCTGGTGCGTTGTGGCACTGGGACATCGCAGCCGCATCATGAGGGTCATCTATGCAGCTGCCATAGCCGTGCGCCTCATGGGCGGCAGTAGATGAGCTTTCTGCGAAATTCACATGTCAGGACTGCGCAGAGACTGAACCGTGGCAGAACAAGCTCGGCCGCGATAGTAGCAGGAGTCCAGAGCGTTTCAACTCAGCATATTGATCATTTAAAGAAGCCTGAGATATTTGGCCACGTGCAGTCTGGTTAGTCTCGACTTGCATTGCTGTGAAGCGAAGTTCTATCATAGGACGATGATCTACTGAGTCTACGAATCATGCAACTGTTGCATCTGCTGTGCGCTGCGAAGACGGGGAGGGTAGGCGGGGCCTGTCAAGCTCCCAGCCTTGAGTGTGGACGAAGTGTTGATATAAGTCATCCTCCTCCAAGTACTGCGCTTCTCGTCCCTTGACAAAGAGCTGCGCATCAGGAGAACAGATAATGGAGCTGAGGGCGCGCAGTGCAGCATCAGAGAGCCTCTTCATCAACTCCCGCCCGAGCTTCTCATGGAGGTGTACATGAGTCGGCATGAAATACCTTGCCACAATCTGGGCTGCTTCGGAAGGCTCTGTTTCAATGGAGTCACAGACCCGGGACGCCGGCTCCTGGACGTCCGGGACCAACATCATGTTGTATGCGCAGAAGTCACGGCCTGCAACCGCCACTGTCACCTCTGCTGCAACCATGTAATCTTCGACGACCCCCTTGGCCTCAACTTCGACGATGTACCATTGCAAAGCCGCCAGTGATAGATTGCGAGCCCATATCATGGTGAGCTCCTCTTCGATATTGCAAGATCGCCATGCATGCTCAACAACGTCTAGTTTCTGCTCCACCGTCGTGTCGATCGAGCTGTCGCTGACCAGAGCGCAGAGATGTCGAATAATCGAGTGTGTCTGTGACTGGATGATACGCGCGGCGAGCCGCCTTTTCTCAGCGTCGATCGCCAAGCTTGTGTGTCTTGATAGCTGTGCAAGCCGCGGAGGGAAAAGTTTATTGTGAGAGATTGCGTACTCGAGAGCATCCTGTCCTAGATGATCTCTTACATGGACATCCGCGCCAAGGTTAAGCAAAAGGTCCACTGTGTCTGTCTCTTCGGACTGGATTGCGATGTGAAGTGCCGTTCCGTCCCGGCCTAGAACGTTGACATCGACGTGGAATTCTCTGACAAGAGACTCGATCATGTCTTCTCTCTGCTTGCGATCATCCAACATCATGGCATACTGAATGAGGAGTGTTCCTCTGGAGTACACCGATGGTAAGCTTGAACACTGTGCTAGGAAGCGGAGCACACCTAGCTGCCCGACTTGTATAGCTCGAACCGCCAGCACCTCCTCGAGTGGGCAGGTGTCTGCCCCTTCGATAAGGAGGCCTTGGACTGCTGGGCCCTGCCCACTGTCAATTGCATTACCCATGGGTGTTGCCAGGCTGCGATCCTCGACCACACAGTGGAACTCCTCGTCCAGATATTCCAAGAGTTCAATATCTCCATGTGCTGCTGCACAGATGCAGGACAGTCGGAGGACATTACGGGAGGGGTGTCTGGTCAGGCGATACAGAGCAGTTTCGAATCGATGCCGTGAACCGCTCCGGGCTTCTGCCAAGAGGGTTTGTTCGGGGAAGTGTTGCTTCGATGTGGTTAGCTGTTTGCTGAGTCGCTCGATATATTCGTCCGCGTCTTCGAAGCGTCCGCAAAGGACTAAGGCTACAGCGCTGGCTTCGTTCCATTTGGCCGACATCGGAGAGCGGCTTTGTTGTAACGAACTCATCAAGTATTGAGCGCTTTGTTCGATATAATCGTCCTGCACTTCAGGCAGCCTGCCATAAACCCAGTCCAAAAGCTGTGTAATGCCTTCTTCATCGTCAACGGGAGTGTAGCCTTCAGGCAATTGTGCATAATATTGGCGTTGCATCTTGGCTGACCATGGATCGCACGAAGGTAGATGAGAAGGATACGTGAGTCTCATGGCAGGCACTTGCTCGTAAGGACGAGAGTTCGGTCCCGTATTTACCCTGTGAAAGCTAGAACCTGCCTAGTTAAGCCATTAATGGCTCCGGCAAACTCCACCGCTCAGTGATGTGTGGAAAGGTATGTAGGAACACTTGCGGGCGAAGCGTTGGACACTCAGACGTCATGTATGATCTGGGCTAGGTACCAGACAATGAGCTACATTTGGAGACAGCGGACGGAGAATTGGTAAATCGTAGTGAACATTTGCCCGAGTTATGGCTCTCAATAGACAGAGACGCCATTGGACAGAGCCTGCTATTTGATCCAAATCATCTACCCGCCGAGGGAGTCAAGCGATGAGCACGACGCTCCTTTCGCGCTCCCAGAAGTCTTGATTGCAGTTGTATATCCCGCTTGACGCGTATGATGCCCTTTTCTAAAGAGCCATGCCTTCGAAGTGTCTCAACCGTGCGCACTTCCTCCATTTTCTCTACCTGGGGCCGGCTGCGTCTCTTAGAATGTCGTTTGTGCCAGGGAGGAATGAGGACGGACATGTCCAACATAACGCCACCACACCAATCTACCTCACGGAGCGGGAGACGAAATGAGAAACCAACCGTCCATAGAAAATCTAGCTGAATTTGTACCTCGCGCTGCCTTTTAGCCTTGTCCTGGTCTTGACTCATGGTACTTTCTTCGATGTATTCGTACACAATGGCCAAGTATTGCATAGACGGCACGAGTGTCCGCACCTTCTTCTTGCCGTCGTCGAGCTCGACTTGGACGGAACATCTAGAGGTAACTATTGTCCAGCCGTAGCATCGTCGAAGCCTGGGACAATTCTCTATCGTAAAAGTGGATGGTGTAGCTAAGTCTCGTAATCGCTGCTGTTGTTGTACATCGTCTGAAAAGGCGAGTAGGTTCTCTAGTGCTTGTTCTCGTGTTGCTGGGTTCCCATGCGGGAGGATCCGACCATGCTGAGAGCAGCTTCGAATCTTTTCGAGCAGTGCAGCGTTCTGGCACTCGATCTCGGGTGCCCAATAATATAATTGGGGGTCGTTCCGTTTGGCTTCCCAGAACTAGAGCATGACGTTGAGCTATGAGCTGCCAAACGCCCTAGTTTGCTTGACTTACCACCTTCACTGCATAGGGCTCGTTGTTGTGGAAAGCCTTCCAAACCATTCCGTCCGTGCCATGACCGACGTACGCGTGCCATTGAAGCTGCTGGGCAAATGGGCAATATCGGAGTCGCGGTTTAAGAAAGTCCTTCCTAGCACAGCTGGGCTCACCCTCGAGAGCCCGCCGTTCAAGGAAGTCTTCGTTGGAGAAGGGCGATTGATCGTCAGGTAAGGGAGGCGGGTGGACGTGAAAGGGCGGCTGAGGCTGCTGCTGCTCGTCGTGGAGAGGCGGCTGCTTGTGGAGGAGTGGGTGACGGTCGCTACGTAAAGGCGGGCGCTCGGCGTGGGGCGTTCGGGACGTGAGGCAAGCGTGTGATGAAGCGCTCATGACGGGCAAAGGAGATGAGCATGTTTGCAGGGCCGATGGAAGGCGATAACGGCTCAAGGTGGATGTGACGACGCCAGGCGGGTGGAGCTGGGAGGAAATTGTTAGTGGTTACTTCCTTATGTAAGCCTTCCGTGGCCCGCGCTGTATCAGATCCTGTCATCCTTCGCGCCAGTCACCCATTGGCTCCCGCCACACTACTACCGTGCGTGTGACATGGGCTGCCATTACCCCTGCTCGACCGCTGCCCGGGTTGTGCGACGTGACACTGCAGAGCGTCGCAAGGGTGCTGTATCTTCCAACCTCAGCAGCGACCCCTGCTCGAAATGGAGAACAGAGTCGCAAACCCCTCACCCTTGCAGCAAGGAAATGACTCATATATTAGGACGACGTCCTTCTTGACAAGAAATAGTCATGGTGTGGTCCCCCGAATATCCATCCACCGAGACGATGTCGAAAAGAATTATTGACGTACTATGCTCCCGAAACCCGTCGCCGATGGATCTAATTATAGATGGTGGAAGGAATACGCGAGCAGAAGATTGGATCCTAGTCGAGGGATGGGAACCATGGCCTGACTTCACTTACGGTACCCTCACCAAGCTCTTCCACGAGTATCTAAACAAGTCCGCCGGATCGCTAGTCCAACAAGACCCGCTTCTGACCGATGACCGGATCATAAACGATGAAAAGACCTGTGAGGTTTTCCTGGGGCGCTACATTATGCCAGTCGTCAACGGAGCACTCGCGAAGATGTTGCCAGCCACGAAGCGTGCTAGGAGCCCCTACATAGGGTCTGGGTCTACCATTGGAAGCACAGCAGATTGGGCCGTCCGAAGATCACTTGACGACGGGACGTTCGAGCCGTTGCTCCCAGGTGACACCAAACTGGCACAGAAATGGGCCCGGAAATGAATGACGTGGAGCAACGGAACCTGCCTGTGTCTCAAGTGCTGACATATGCGCACTTGATTGGCAGTCGCTATGGCTTCATCATCACCCAGTCCCATCTAGTCGTCCTCCGCTTCTGCCAAGAACCCATCGGCGCAGGCACAGCGCTATCTCGACCTCGCCGATCAGGGGCCGGACAGGGGTTTTCCCAAAGTATCTATTCGGGGAGTACTGACATATCATCTGCTATGGAGAATATGTCCCTAGATACTGGGTATATATCCTATGTTGACCAAACTGACGACTACTTTCCTCCCGAGTATTGTTCAATACACTGGAATACCCATGGCAAACAGAACCTGACGATAAAATTGGCGCTTGCTTGTCTCTGCCTTCTCGCGGTGATCGGGCCTAGGGACATCCACGATCGCCCTTATCCTCCGCTGGACAGTTGGGTTGCAGCAGTTCCGGAGGGCTATTTTCACGTCACTACCGGGCAGTATAAGAAACGCTTGGACAAGAGCGATCGCTATCACCAACCCGTCGAAGATGATCAACAGCATGGCACGTTTAGTGAACCATTGGAGCATGGTCTGGAGGCCAGCTTTGATGTGCCGGCAGGCGGTTTGGAGTACAGTCAGTTGCAGGGCGCCCATCAGCAGGGCGGCCCAGGTCCTTCAACAATGAGATCAAGGAGAGCAAGACATGAGGCTTTTCAGGGTGATTACACGGAGCCACAAATGGACGACGAGCTCTACGAGTGGTGACGAACAGTCTCGGAGGGACGGACCAATGATACTGTAAAAGAAGCTGTAGTCAAAGTGCTCATTGAAGAACTCGTTCACCTTTCCAATAGCCGCCCATCACTGCCGAGCAGGTAGAACTTGTTACGTCCAGGATGGTGCCATATTTGGTGCGGTCCGCGATGCATGTGGCCCCGCACCAATGAATTGCCCCCTCCCACCCATTGTCGGGACGTTTTGCTGTAGCTCGGTCATTGGGCATCAGCTGATCGAAAGCTCAAGAGCATTTCGCGGCCACTGGCGGAGTGGCGAGGGCGGAGACTGCGTGGCAAATAAGGTAATAACCAGGAGTGCGCTTGAGAAAGCTGGAGCAGATCACTCGAGACGCAAGGTTCGAGATTAAGCTGCCGTTGTCCGAGTAGTAGAGGGTGCTAGGAAGTGGCAGAAGAAGAAGATTACCAAGCTGATGGTCACGACAAGCGGCGGGGGAATGAAGTGTTGAGTGCAGGATTTCAGAGGATCACGGTCTGTGGCTGGCGAGGGCGTGGCTGATAGCTCGAAGTTGTGTGGCTGAAAGTTGCGGAGCCACACGAACAGTGGCGCATTGTGGCAGTGGCCGCACAGCAGCCAATTATGGTTGGCAATTGCTACACCGGCGTGAACGAATGGCTACACCGGCGTCACTCTTACACAGGCGTCACTTCCATGGCCTCTGATTCGCTCTTTTTTCCTTCGACCCACAGGTACATCGGCGCAAAGGCGGTGAAGCCAGCTCCCTTAACAAGTCCCTCAGCTTCGGTAAAGAACCAATAGGGTCAACCCAGGTCTAAATCGAGCTCATAACAAGATCTGCAGAACAAGACCAATTCAAGTATGCTCTAGATGCCAGCTCTCCATATCGCTATCCTCTCACTACTATCGAGGGAAGTACCTCCTCGTCGCTGTCAAGCAGCTCCCACTGACTCCTTCGCCTACGAATGCTAGGCTGCGTCTGCCGCCCGCTGGCACGTACTCCTGTAGTTCTTCCAGCTCCAAGAACAACTGACCGGCTGCGCGTTTGGCGCTGGGATGGGGTACTGGCCTGGTTACTAGCCTGGCTGCTGGTCTGTTGGCTCACTTCCAGTGGAGGCCTAGCTAGCGTTGACTTGTTGAGACTTCCCGGTGGTCGACCACGTCTGCGCCGTGGTGACTTGCTTGCTGGTTTGTTGGCTGGCTGGCTACTGGGCTGGCTGCTTGCCCCGATGGCTAGCCGCGCTGGAACAACCTGCGTGGTGTTCTTAGGTCTGCCCCGGAGAGCAGTGGCGATCTTAGGGTCGAGGATTCGTCGGTATGGATCTCGAGAGGATGGCTCTCGTAGGCGCCACCAAGGATGGACCTCCCATTTGGTGAAAGGCGTGCCACTTCCCAGCTTTGAGTAGATTGTGTGACAGCAGGGGATTCCAAGTTCGGTCGAAACCGAGCATTCCTCGCCGCAATCCCCGAGAGGGTCAGGAAACGGATTCTTTCCTGTCGGCATTGCTTTCCTTGCCAGCCGATATTGTTTCGTGATCAGTCCGAGACCCTTCGAAGAGAGCGCTATTCGGAGTTCGCCAAGATACTCCGAGCTGGACCCCATATACTCTCGTGCGGTAAGTACCTCATCCGCTGCGCAGGCATCGTTGAAATCCCGCTCTTGGTCCTTCATCATGTCCTGCATAGCCTCAAAAAGGCGATAAAGATTGCTCATACCATTCAGAAGATAGCTCTTGATGTTGTTGTTGCTTGCTTCTGTACCAGAGGTGACACGGACCCCGAAATTGCGATACTTCCGGATGAAACAGCGGGCCCATTGGGCCCTGACGGGCATGTAGGTTCCATGGAGATACCGCAGGATAGCTCGCTGGTCATCAAACTCCTTACAGAGGTTTGCCCATGCCTCCTCGTGGGCCTCCTCCGTCTCAGCAAATAAGACGAGCTTCCACATGATGAGAACTCCTCGATAGTTATGAGGGATAGCCTCGGTTGTTGGCGTGTGAACCAACTCTCGGTCTTGAGGGGTTAGTTGAGCTTGTGGCTGCGGGGTAGTTGCCTCTCCGTCGCTGGTACCAGGGCTACTTCTGCTGCTGCTGCGGGCGTTAACCCACCTCTGCTTTGACTTAAGCAGGATGTTCGAATTGATGTGGTGGATGCACAGCTGCTGCTGTACATCGGGGAACTGGTCGTTCAATGCGGCTTTCATCTGGTCGTCGAAATCGGTGACGATCACATCCGGTCGCCGGATGGAGTGCTGCTCTGCTAGCTGTCGAATGCTCTCGGAGAGGAATTGGAACCCTTCTCTCCTCTCGTTATCTATCAGACCGAAGGCAGCGTTATAGACAGAGCCAAGGCATGTCTGTCCCGTTGCTTGGAATAAGGGAAGCTTGAAGCGGTTCGTGTTATATGTGTTGTCGAAGCTGATCACCTCGGGGAACCGCTTCCACATCTGGAGGCAGTAAGGAAATGTCCAGACAAGGCCAACAAGACGGTTTGGCTCATCGTCTCCCCACTTAACGAGATAGGGAACCTTCATCTCGTCAAGCAGCTTGATCAGTGCTGCAGTAGGAGTATGGCCATCCAGCTTGTCTCGGTTGATACGAGATCTGGCGTTATAGATGTCTTTCCGTGTAAAGGATGATTCGGGATGCTGCTCCTGGACGATAGCACGTACGTCACGGGCCCGAATTCCGACCCGACGGCTTGTCGATTCGACCGTTGTCCTGATAGGCTCGGTGAGTCTCCGATGGGAGGGATGAGCAGATGGCCCGATGCTGCGGCCGTGGTTATGCTGGCTGTGTTCGGGCTTCGAGTGTTGTCGTAAGAGCCACTTCCCCTCTTCTAACGCCTCGGCAACAACCATCCATTTACATCCACACTTTCGAGACTTCCGTCGTCGAAGTCCTGCGCCTTGACTAGGGGCTGGTTCTCCGAATCGATCGCATTGAAAAGTGTACCGGATCCTCCGACCCTTATATGAATGTGCATTTCGTCGAACAATACCGAAGCCATTAGCCTTCGCGAAAGTATTCACCCACTCGAACAGGACTTCGGCTGACGGCGCTGGGTCGCCTGGGATAGCTGGGTTCGGGATCCCGTCAGGGACAGGCGATGACGAGAGGTCGGGCAAGGGCGGTGAAGCTATAGTCGGAGAGTGCCTGTCTCGGGGAGGCGAGTAGGGCGGAGGTGATTCGAGTGCATCTGAACTAAGCGGCGAGTAACCCCATCTCTCACGCCATTGGCGGACTTGTTCGTATGACCGGACGAGCTCGAGGGTTAGTCTCCGGTGTGTCCCAATCACCTCGCGTACTAGCTTGAGAACAGAATGAAACTCGGCCTTGGTGGGAGAGGGATGCTCTTGTACTGATCGCGGTGGAGAGGAGCGAGGTAGTTGGTCCATTTCTGGGCCTGGTATAGGGATTCTAACTCGTTGGGATCGTCTTCCTTGGAATGGGAAATCGTTCGAAAGGTGAATCTCTTGACCGAATCGTAGCCCCCATGGTGGCTCGTTCAGCCCGCGCGATCCACGGGGCCGTGGCGCGGTCGTCAACGTCTCTGGATATGAGGCGAAAAGATTATAGAGTGCTTCATCGTCGCCGACGCCGTAGTGTCGGCCAATGCTCGTGCCTGTGCTATTAGAGGAAGGTGGTCTTGAACTATCAGATTGGTCCTGCCGCTGTCGTTTTCGAGGCCGGAATTGATAGCTTCGTCGTCGTTGGTTGCTTAGGGAGCTAGATGGAGACTCGGGCTGGGACATGACGGCCTCGATCGCGATAGGGAGTGTCGCACGCACGGTGAGAAGATGAGTAAAAGAGTACTTGATTCGACTATGAAAGAAGGAAAGAAGGGTCTCATTTCGGGCAGAAAGTAAAGACCTGCTTTGCGATGCCGATTCTAGATGAGGCTGTTAGCGTGATCTGATACAGCCTGTGTTCGAGCTTTGGTCTCAGCAGGGGTCCAACACACCTCACTCCAGCCCTGTGACCTTAACAAATACCGTATCTTTCGCGAAAATCATTCTAAGTAGGCTCGACATGCGGCAAAGAGGTAATTAGTGTGGTAGCTAGCTGGTGAAGAGCTTCCATAAGGCGCGTCGATCGTTGCGGTGGAGAGGTAAGCCCGAGGTACAACGGGCGCTGTTGGCAGAATCTAAATGCACTAACAAAAAGGGATGGACCAATCAAAGGCCGTAAAAGCGACGCCTGTATAAGAGTGACGCCGGTGTAGCCATTCGTTCACGCCGGTGTAGCAATTGCCTTAAATAGATATAAAGAAATTATAAGGCGGCCTAATATAACACTGACTTGGTGCTTATAATATAGCGGTGTCACGATCCTGATCTCGGGGTCAACCATAGGATAGGGCGCGGGGGTTGCCGTTCTGGAAGATAGGTAAAGCCTTCGCAATACTCACTGACTCCTGCTCTCGTTCTCTCTCGATGGTTGTCGTGTCTCTGGGAAGAGATACTAGCCTTAGCAATTAAGTAACTGGTTCAAGTGTGTAGTGAAACTGATACTTAGATTGATCGCTAAAGTGCAAAGGTAACCGCTATCTAGCTATAGGATCCTGCCGAACATATACTCCTTTGCCCTTCACCGCAGTAATCGCCCTGTGGTTAGCTCATGGTGAGCCGCTTCTTGGATCGCCGTGATCCGGGTGCGAGGCTCACTAGCTCACCTGGTGGTCCGACCCTATCGTGCTGACATAATTTCAATACTTACATAATGAGATTCCTTGGCGGGGTGTCGTCCCGAGTGCATGGTCCGCCCTTGTCCTTAGCCTGATCTTACGACCTGTTGGTCAGGTCGTCACACACCGCTGAATACGAGAGCCAATAGTGGATTTTGTCATCGTTATATATTCCAGTACTAATGATAGATATAGCGCTGATGTGTACATTACTCAAGCTAGATATACTAAGATGGAAGTATTGAACTTGCAGTGTATTTTCAAGCAGCTTTCACTCTATCCATTAACCGCGGAGGATGTGGCCGATTTTAAGGCAACTTGGAAGTGTATCCAGTTAAGATATGCTCGATCTCTTGCGCGAAGTAGATCTAATCATTCAGAAATCATCCAGAAGCCGGAATGGGATAGCTACGTATCGCGGTTCGCGAACCAAGGATCGATTCTTTTTCCAAATCAGACACACTTGAACACCCTGAGTAAAGGTCTCGCGCTCGAACGTCAAACCGTCGTGGAGTATCTCCAGCTTCTTAGAGCCAGTAAGCCTAAGCACCAAATAGAGGACATAACAGCCATCGAGTCAGACGCAGATATTCTAGCGCATTTTAGTACTGTACCAAAACGACCTCGCATGGTACCTATACAGTACGGCAGTCGCTGGCTTTTCGCAGCTGTCTATACGGATACCATCCACTTATATGACAGTAGTCCAGATAAAGAAGCGCAGCTATCATCTAGTAGTACTTACGCTACTAATTATATAGCTGGGCCGAAGCATAATCCGTCACGGGAGCAAGACTCTGGTTTATTTATGCTACTCGGGTTACGCCTAGTCGCCAACCAGATAGCTCATATAAGTGGCCAGTCGATTGAGGCCAATAGCCTACGGACTCAGATTCTAATTGAGCTCGTTACCAAAAAGCTCGATCCCACGGATCATGATTTCAAACGAATGCTCGACGAAGAAGCGGCATGCATGGAACGACAAAATCGATTTAATCCATCGAATTTTGACAACCTTTCCGGGGGATTGGAAATCTCCCCATACAGCTCACCTTTACCGTGGCCGTGGTCTGACGCAGCAATGCAAACACAGAATAACCGTCAGACACCAAGACCTCCCCTTCCCAACCCACCATTACCCGTATTAGACGAGCGTAAAGCTATCCTCTCTATGCTTCACGATGCGGTCCGACTTGTCAGATCTGTAGAAGTGAACGACGCGAAAGATATACGGACCTTGTGGTCTTTAGCCCAGGAGAGCCATTTCAGAAGTGAATTTCACAGGCGTTATAATTGCGCCCTTTTCTATGATTGCTTCAGAGTTCTCGAAACCGCGGTGTCTGAAACTCCAACAAGTAGTCACGATATCGACGAGGAGACGCTCCAGGAGATGAGAAAGGCTCAGCCGACAAACCATTTCTGGTATACTTTACGCGACCTTCAGAAGGAATCTGATCTCCAAGAGTTAAAGGATGCTCTGCTTTGCATTCCAGTACACCACTCAACACTTAGGACCGATAAGGCTCGATCTGCTGCGATCAAAGACATTAAGGAACGCCTCCAGATTAGTGACGATCCACTACGCGGATTCCTAAATGCAGCAGTAGGACTTTGTGATGCTATTCTTAAGCTCAAACTTCCAAGACACCGTTTAATAATCGAGAACTTCAGGAGCAAGTCCTGGGATCCATTAACGGATGATCTCTATAAGGCGCTCTTAAGTTTAGAGAAGAGTCCCAGGGTACCCCTGCCATGCCTACTAGGATTATAAACCGTTAAAGAGGACTGGGAAACACGTGTCATACTGTATCATAGCCTAGGCAGTGAAGCTATTTCATACGTATTAGACTCGATTTCACAATCGCAGCTTCTTGAATGCTACTGATTCTATGTATATAAGCTACAGCATGCCCCCCTACTGTAAAATCGGGCGGGAACAGACGTATCCCTCCACTATGGAAATCCGACGCCACTATATTCCTATAGCCCTCCATGTTGGGGCAATCATTGTTCTTTTGTACTTTCTGTCTACAATTCTGCAGAAGGGAGAAAATGCCTCTGAAGGCATTGTCCTCCTCTATGTAAGTATGAGATCCTGGCGCACATGGAGCCTTTACTAAAACGAGTAGCTCACTCTGGGAAGTGCTCGACGTGCCTTTATTCCGTCACTTCCAGATATTCCACTGCAGCCTTCTGGTGTCGAAAATGCTATAACAGGTCTAGCTGCACAAGCTACAGCCGTGGCAGAGTCTGTCGCGGCTCAAGCAACTTCAGCAGTGTCAGCAACGGTCGAAGAAACCGTAGCCTTTGCATCCTCCATAGCTCAAGGACTTCTTGCCTCGAAGTATACTATCGGAACGAAGCTCGCTTGCGCCGGAGCGATTTGCAAAAGCATCCCATCCCTAGAAGCCGTCGTCGGATGTAGTTTATCGACCAGCATAATCTCTGCGATATCGATCATAGCCGCGGAAGCTTTAGCTAAGCCGTGGATACTATGGATCGCCCTATGTTCTTCAATGATCTCGATTGTCTTATGTACGGTTCTTGCGGTATGCTCAGCACTTATAGTTCGCTTGGCGTACCTAGTAGCCGAGTCCCCTCTTTTCACCGTGGACGTAGGTTACGTGTATCAGTCATCTTTATGTAGTGCGGCTTTGTCTCTACTTGTTTTCGCTTGTACAATAGCGTATCATATTGCGACGACAAGGACAGGTCATACACGCGGGTTTTCACCCGTCGGGAAACCACTACCAGGTTTAAGTAATCAAGGAACGGATAAGCACGATAATGGGTCACTGGATCACGCCGCGAGACTGTGAGCCTCACCAATGGATCACAGTGATCTGGGTCGCTGAGTTACAACGTACGTAAAGGCCGATGAGTAGGAAAGGTGTTTTTGACCACAAGGATCTCCTTGCTAGTTAGTGAATATCTTTCGTCCTTAGCAATGAATCTAATTATCAATTCTACTAAAAGTTGAACTATTCACTCAATGACCAGAAGTGATATCTCTGCCGGTAAGGCATAAACCAGGAGATACGACAAATTGAGATTTACTATTGCGATGGCTTTACCTGCTTTTCAGAACGGCAAAACCCTAGCGCCCTACCAAAGGTTGAGCCGGAGGCTGGATCGTGACACATATATCCTCACCATTCAAAAGTTATATAGAACACCTAGGCTAGGTTAGGGACGATTAAATTCGAGGTATATTCGCCCCCGGTATATGGCTTATAGAGGTATGCTACTCGTTCCTTTGCTTATGCGGTTCGAACTTTGGTCATATTAGAATAATAGGCTCCACTATCGTACGCTCTATCGTTAGGCGTCATACCGGGAAGTAGGCTGCCTCACAGCCAAATTCGACCTTGCTCCAAAAACGCCAACTACGCATAAATCGTGTTTGATGCGCAGACTCCCTCACGACACACCACGGTGTAAATGAAATGCTTACCTACCATGTTATAATACTATGCCGTCGACCTATTGTCGTAGACTACTAAAATATCTTGTACTAGATAACTCCTACTATCCGACAATATGTACGACGTCCCGTGGAGGGTGCATTTAGCCTGGTCTGAGGTACACGATACTAAGATACAAGAATGGAAGGCTTATGCGGAAGCCCAGAAACAAGAGATTGTTTCTCTGAAGCAGCAACAACACCTTCTGCAGAGAGATCTAGATGAAGCAAACAAAAGCCGGGATCTCCTCCACCGCATCACAGAAAGGCAGGGGGAGCTCATACGGTCTCTCGATGCAGACCTTCAACACCTAGCCGATCTCACCCAGGCCCATAGAGAAAACCCGCAACCCGCCGAGGCAGCAGATAGAGGGCAGTACGGGGAGGAAATGAACGCCTTACACAATTCCGAAACAGCGTTTACGCAAATGGACAATTCTCACCTTTTGAGCTACTTAGCAATGCCTATGTCTACACACCAAGATATTAGCGCGTCCGATAGCTACGAAAATCCTACTGGGACTCAGATTGGAGAAGATGCTTGGAGGCTATGCGAAGAGCAGTCTAGGGGTTCTAGCGCCGGCTTGGCGAGTCCAGCTGGTGTATAGTTAGCTACTTTGTGTATTTTCTTTTTAGGACAGCATATAGTACTCCAACATAATCTTATACTATCCATCTTCGAAATATCTTAATTATATCTAGTCCATTATGATTCGCAAAAGACTGCTCGGCTTATGTATAATGTAGCAAGATGAGTCAACATTCGATAGGCGGCCTCCCTTCTGGTTAGCCTTCGTACTAAGAATAAGTACTGTAGTGACCACTGAATGTGTCCGCTTTTCGAACTGAATTACTGTTTCCGCACGGACCAGCTAGTTGTGGCACACTGTGACAAATACCGTGCAGAAAGCCCCACAACAAGCACCTGTCAGAATTGAAGTTTACTCATGGTGGGTTCCTTTTGCAGGAGCGGCTTCAGTCCCGGCTCCTCATCAATCAAGTAAGCCCCGCTCGAGCCCAAAACTGTGACCCGCTATGGACGACTGCGCGCCTATATTGTCGGCCACAAACGACAAGAGAGCAGCAATTCCATCAACGGCTTTGTTCGTGACATTGAACTGAAATCATGAGCAAATACGGTACATTGTATGACATCCTGCTGACTTTTCTACTTCATATGAAGACCTAGGACCTGCTTCAGCTTGTCTCGTCGCCTCGCCTTCGACACCTGGGGTTGTGTTGGATCTGCCAAATGTTGATCATCACTCGAAGACGTCCCAGCTTCACGGGCGACATGTGTAAGCTCGAGAGTTTGTCGCGCTGATTGGACAGCCGGGTGCGAAGGCCCGAGGAGCTGCTCAAGACCATCGTGAGCACGTTGATAATATTGCCGCGCTTCACTCACACGGTTCTGTTCTGAGCGTAAAGATCCTAGGTTCGAAAGGGTGTTAATCGCTGGTCGGCATGTCGTGACATTATCAAGTCCCACAGCTCTCTCGTATCCATGGAGCGCTCGCAAGTACATCTTCTCGGCCTCGTCCAGCTTGCCCTGATTTTTGTAAAGGTTCCCAAGGTTATTGACTGTGTCGAGTGTTGATGTGTGATCCGGTCCGAGCGCCTTCTCGGTTTCATAGAGCGCTCGCAAGTACATCTTCTCGGCCTCGCCCAGCTTGCCCTGATGCGAGTAAAGGATTCCAAGGTTGTTGACTGTATCAAGTGTTGATGAGTGCCCCTGTCCAAGCGCCATCTCTTGTCCATAAAGAGCCCGCAAGTACATCTTCTCGGCCTCGTCCAGCTTCCCCTGATCAGAGTAAAGATCGCCTAGAGAATGGAAAGCCCAATTCGAAGGAAGATCGCTCTCCTGTACTGTTGAACAAGACCGTATAGCATGTGGAATTAGTCGCTTCTGAAGCAGCCAATATTCAGCTTCAGCGTTGGATGGAAGCTGCGACGCCACGCTTTCGACTGCAAGCTTGTTCAAGCAGCCGTCCCACTCCTCGTTCAATATATGGATCGTCCAAGAATGCAGACAACCATGTATACTGTACCCTTGTATCTCCTGGAATATGGCTGTGGGCTCGACAAGGCCGTAGTCGTAAAGTACACCCATCGCGTCGTTGAAGTTGAGCTCTTTTGAAAGCTGTTTCATCCACACGGGGCCCATTCCGCTTCTAGCCCGGAAAAGACCGAACCATATGTCTTCGTTGTTGAAGTAGGCCCACCACCGGAGCAGATCAGCAGCAAGTGGGTTCTGTGCCTGAACATGCTCATACGACAGCTGCCATGTTGAACTCAAGGTACGATCTGCATAGGATCCGAGATGCAGATCACCGGTAAGTCTTGCCCAAGATTCCTGGTAGTAACGAAGGTACTTGCGTATGCTAATCGGGACGCGCTTCAGATATGCTCCCGCTGTTGCTAGAGCGAGGGGAAGCCCGTCCAGTTCTCGCACAAGTTCTTGTGCATCACCATCTAAAACACCGTTAGTCGTCGGAAATGAACTACCTCGAGATTCTTACCGTCTTGTAAGCCATTCCGGCCAGATGCCTTTGACAATATTTGCAGACTCTCGTATTGGGATTCGAGTTTCTCAAGTCGAATGTGGTGTCCTATGTCGATTTGCGACAGCCGTGTTGTGATCACTATGGAGCCCTGATGTGCCATCGGCAGGAACTGGTGTATGTCAACCGCTGCATCGGATTTCCGCCCTGGAAGCTTTGGGTCGTCGTAGTTATCGTACACAATCAGCCATCTGGTGTTGCCTGGCAAGCTGAGCCACGCCTTTACGCCCTGAACAATCTTGTCGTGGTCTTGCTGTAGGTTCAGCCCCTTGAGGCTGCCGGTGTCGGCATTCTGCTCAAGGATTTGGGTTGCGATCCTTGCAAAGCTCTGCTGAATGGACGCTTCGTCCTTGATATTGAGCCAGAAGATGGCCGAGTACTCGTCCCGATATCGGTTGATATATGTCGCAGCGAGCTGTGTCTTGCCGATGCCCCCGAGACCATGGAGTACGACAATGCGACGGCTCCCATCCGAGCACAGCATTCTCCGCATCTCGGCTACTTCTGCATCTCTTGCTACGAAATGTGGAGTGTCAGGGACGCCCGAAAGGCTGAAGCTGATCGAGAATCGGTCATAATGAGTGCCTAAATGCATTAGTTAGTGTAAGTACTCTCTTCTATAGTTGCTGAGCTGTGCCTCACCTTTTACAGATCTCTGGACCTCTTCTCGCAATCTTCTCTGTGCTTGTTCGCGACCCTCGCCATAGATGAGTGGCATGTGGACGCCGAATATCCCAAGTAGCGAGTATGCCATGTCTTCCTCGTACTTTGTTTCCCGGTTGCGAGCCCATGCCTCTCGTTCGGAAGTCGTAAAGTCAGACAATGGTGTGCCCCGTAGAGCCCTTGCTGGAATACCTGTCACGTCGCGTATGACAGCCTCTAGTGACCTCTTGTCGCCCAAGAAAACACCTTCCTTGGAGTAGAACTCGACAGTCTGCGGGGCGATGAGCTCTTGAAGTGTCCAGCCGCGCGTAAACCACCGACTGCCTCGGAAAGCTGTCTCCCACGGTGCCACGCCTGGCTGCCGACTGGATGTCGAAGGACCGTACATCGATGGATAAGAGACGTCGGGCAAGAAAACGTAGCATCCCTTCGCGCCACGGTACCATCTGAACATGCTATTGATTGCCGTCTGGAGTTCGATGGCGTCAGATTTGTCGATACAACAAGTGTCTACCCAGAAATGCTGCAGGCCATGTCGCCTGGCCTGATCGGCGCAGAATTTGATCTTATCGTAGCCGGCTTTCTGTTGCCAGTCATTGGAACTCGTTTTGACATCGTTGTAGATGACCTCGTCGGTGCCCCAGGTGTGGGAAAGGATTGCATAGGGGGGCGTGTCGTCAGGGGGCAGATCGGCGGTGAGGGTGTAGTTGTTGGCGTTATCTCGTTGCAGTAGCCGCATTGTAGAGTATTACCGATGGCATTTAGGGTTCCTGTTCAGGGTGAAGGACCCCGGACGCCGAATATCACGCGTGAAAGTCAAATGGGATGCAGGCATCAACATTATCAAGGTATGATATTGGGCGGTCTCAGCTCTTGCATAAGGCTGAAAGTGCGGGGTAAGGAGGGGTTTCGATATGACGTTTACATGGCAAGGCAGACTCGTCACTCGCTTGTGACGCTGTATGGTGCATATACAACGTAGGAGCCCAGAGTCAGTGCGCCAGCCGCACATGCGGCTTCTCCTGATTGCAAATGTTTGGGCTTCCCCGCGTAAGGAGAGGCTGGCCATGATGCGAAGTTTTGGTCGTGCGCCACAGCATGATAGGGGTGTGTATGTGCATGTAGAATAGATAATCGCATTAAAATGTCCCACATAAACAGACGCGAAGAGGTCTTTGTTTCTCTGCGTTATGTCGACAGCGTCATACAGTCAGATTCGAAATCGGTGTCCGTGTAGGTCATGCACAAATAGTTCTACGCACAGGCACCCTGGCACACCACGTTAGTCAGTGGAGAAGTGGGCACCTCTGCAAAAAGGTGGGGTAGAGGACAGCCAATTCGTGCTCCATAGTCAGTAATGGCTAGATCAAGACTCTTCGCTTATTGCATGGATGAAGGCATCACATTATGAGAAAGGCAATTACTACACGGGCATGAAGAATTGCTACCCGGGCATGACTCTTACACGGGCATGACCTTTTGCAGCCTCTGATTGGTCCATCCCTTTTTGTTAGTGCATCTAGATTCTGCCAACGCTTCCCTTGTACCTCGGGATTAGCTCTCCACCACGACGATCGACGAGACATATGGAAGCTATTCGCTAGCTAGCTACTACACCAATTACCTCTTGTCGCATGCCAAGCCTACTGATAATGATTGTTCGTGAAAGATACCATATTTGTCAAGGTCCCAGGGCTCCAGGCGTGGTGTGTTAGGCCCCCTGCTGAGACCAACACTCAAACACACGCTGTATCAGGAATATCCAATAGCCTCATCTTCCAAGGCATCTGCATCACAAAGCAGGTCATTCCTTTGTGCTGAAATTGGTCCCCTCTTTCCTTCTTTCATAGTCAAATCAACTGCCCCTTTAACCATGCTCTCATCCGTGCGTGCGACACTCTTCCTGTCGCGATCAAGGCCGTCATTATGTCCCAGCCCGACTCTCGATCTAGCTCAGCAAGCAACCAACGACTATGAAGCTATCAATTACGTCCTCGAAAACGACAGCGGCAGAACCAATCTGAGAGTTCAAGACCACCTTCGTCTAATAGCACAGTGACGAGCATTGGCCCACACTATGGCGTGGGAGACGACGAGGCACTCTGTAATGCTTTCGCCTCGTACCCAGAGACCTTCACGACCGCTCCACGCCCCCATGGATCGCGTGGGCTGAACGAGCCACCATGGGAGCTGCGATTCGATCATGAGATTCACCTATCGAATGATTTCCCAACCCGAGGAAGACGGTCGCAACGAGTAAGAATGCCTATACCAGGCCCGGAAATCGACCAGCCACCTGCCTGCTCTCCACAACAATCAGCACAAGAACAATTCTCTCCAACAAGACCCCAGTTTCAGTCCGCCCTTAGGCTAGTGCGCGAGGTGATTGGGACAGATCGAAGACTTACCATCGAGCTCGTCCGGTCATACGAACGAGTCCGCCAATGGCGCGAGATATGGGGCTACTCGCCGCTCAGTTCAACTGCATTCGAATCATCTCCGCCATACTCGCCTCCCCGAGAAAGGCACTCTCCGCCTATCGCCTCGCCGCCCTCGCCCGACCACCCCTTGTCGCCTGTCCCTGACCCGATCCCGAACCCACCTATCCCAGGCGACCCAGCGCCGTCAGCCGAAGTCCTGTTCGAGTGGGTGAATACTTTCGCGAAGGCTAATGGCTTCGGTATTGTTCGACGAAATGCCTACTCATATAAGGGTCGGAAGATCCGGTACTCTTTCCAATGCGATCGATTCGGAGAACCACGCCCCTCAGAGAGTACCGGTATTCGGCAACGGAAGTCTCGAAAGTGTGGTTGTAAATGGATGGTCATTGCCGAAGCACTGGAGGAGGGTAGATGGCTTCTACGACACCACGATAATTCCGAGCATAGCCAGCATAACCACCGGGCCAGTATCAAACCATCCGCCCATCCCTCCCACAGACGACTCACTACACCTATCAGGGCAACAGTCGAATCGACAAGCCGTCGGGTCGGAATTCGGGCCCGTGACGTACGCGCGATCGTCCTGGAGCAGAATCCCGAGTCATCCTTTACACGAAAGGATATCTATAACGCCAGGTCTCGTATCAGCCGAGACAAGTTGAGCGGCCACACTCCTACTGCAGCACTGATCAAGCTGTTCGACGAGATGGAGATTCCCTATCTTGTTAAGTGGGCGGATGATGAGCCAAACCGCCTCGTCGGTCTTGTCTGGACCTTTCCGTACTGCCTCCAGACGTGGAAGCGGTTTCCTGAGGTCATCAGCTTCGACAACACATACAACACCAACCGCTTCAAGCTTCCATTATTCCAAGCAACAGGACAGACCTGCCTTGGTTCTGTCTACAATGCGGCGTTCGGTCTGATCGACAACGAGAGACGGGAGGGGTTCCAGTTCCTCTCTGAGAGCATTCGACAGATCTCAGAGCAGCACTCTATTCGCCAACCGGACGTTATCATTACTGACTTCGACAGTCAGATGAAGGCCGCCCTGAATGATCAGTTCACTGAGGCACAGCAGCAGCTGTGCATCCACCACATCAATTCTAACGTCTTGCTCAAGTCAAAGCAGAAGTGGGTCAAGGGCCAATGTAGCAGTAGTAGTCCCGACAGCAGCAACGGGGAGGACTACGCTCCACAGGCACAGGCTGAGCTCGGCCCGAAAGACGGACAGTTGGTCAACGCGCAGACAGCTGAAGTCGTCCCTCATAGCCATCGAGGGGTTCTCATGATGTGGAAGGTCGTCTTGTTTGCGGAGACAGAGGAGGCTCACGAGAAGGCGTGGGGAAGCCTCTGTAGGGAATTTGACGACCAGCGGGCCATCCTGCGGTATCTCCATGGAACCTACATGCCTGTCAGGGCGCAGTGGGCACGATGTTTCATTCGCAACTATCGCAACTTCGGCATACGCGTCACATCTGGGACAGAAGCAAGCAACAACAACATCAAGAGCTATCTCCTGAATGGTATGAGCAATCTCTATCGGCTTATCGAGGCTATGCAGGACATGATGAAGGACCAGGAGCGAGATTTCAACGACGCCTGCGCAGCGGACGAGGTACTTACCGCGCGAGAGTACATAGGGTCCAGCTCGGAGTATCTAGGCGAACCCCGGACAGCACTCTCTTCGAAGGGTCTCGGGCTTATCAACAAACAATATCGGCTAGCAAGGAAAGCAATGCCGACGGGGAAGAATCCGTTCCCTGACCCCATTGGCGATTGCAGTGAGGACTGCTCGGTTTCGACCGAGCTTGGAATCCCCTGCTGCCACACAATCTACTCAAAGCTGGTGAGTGGCACGCCTCTCACCAAATGGGAGGTCCATCCTCGGTGGCGCCTACGAGAGCCATCCTCGGTGGCGCCTACGAGAGCCATCCTCGGTGGCGCCTACGAGAGCCATCCTCTCGAGATCCATACCGACGAATCCTCGACCCTAAGATCGCCACTGCTCTCCGTGGCAGACCTAAGAACACCACACAGGCTGTTCCAGCGCGGCTAGCCATTGAGGCAAGCAGCCAGCCGAGTGGCCAACGAGCCAGCAATCCAGCAAGCCAAGCGACAGGGCGCAGACGAGGTCGACCACCAGGAAGTCACAACAAGTCAACGCTAGCTAGGCTTGCTCTGGAAGCGAGCCAACAGGCCAGCAGCCAGGCTAGTAGCCAGGCCAGTGCCTCATCCCAGCGCCAGACGCGCAGCCGGTCAGCTGTTCTTGGAGCTGGAAGAACTACAGGAGTACGTGCCAACGGACGGAAGACGCAATCTAGCATTCGCAGGCGAAGGAGTCAGTGGGAGCTGCTTGACAGCGACGAGGAGGTTCTTCCATCTATAGTAGTTAGAGGATAGAGATATAGATAGCTGCCCTCTAGGGCGTGCTGGAATTGGCCGTGTTCTGTATTGAAAACCAGACCTTGTTTTGATATACGCCTAAGACCTGTTCTAGAGGCCTGGTTGACCTGGTTGGTTCTGACTATACCGAAAGCACGGCCTTGTTAAGAGAGCTTGCTTCACCGCCTTTGCACTGATGTACCTGTGGGTCGAAGGAAAAAAATGAGCGAATCGGAGGCGATAGAAGTCATGCCCGTGTAAGAGTCATGCCCGGGTAGCAATTCTTCATGCCCGTGTAGTAATTGCCATGAGAAAAACACACGATGCTGCAACAAATAAGCGTCTTGCTACCAAACATTTCTACACTTATTCGTTCTCGTCGATCGGCCGAAGTTGAAAGCCATAGCTTGCACGGCGACCTTCTGCAATCTCTTAAGGGCCTATAGCCATATCAGTATTGACTTCGACCGGCCGTCTTTTGTGGCGATGACATGGCGCATTTGGCTTTCAGGTCCTCTATTGAGACTCTCTACTCAGCGGAAGGCGTGGTGGACAAGCAACGTGAACTCGTTTGGAGTGTTGGCAGGAAACGCGAGTTCGCAGTCCCCTGGCAGGATGGGCTGTACAGTCTACGGACTACACGTAGCGCTCGCAACGGCCACCTCTTCATCAATAACCTTTTAGTTCCGCAAGGGACAGAAAGCGGCTTTCGACAAAAGCGAAATGAAATTAGGACGCAAATTAGAACGCCGGATCTATAGATGTTTACGGGATGGAGTGCGGTCAGAGGAGCCTCCGACCATTTTATAGCCAAAACTGCACGTCAATAGACCACCGTCGAGCCTCGCGCCATCGTCAATTAACCATGTGTCTTCGATGGAAGCCATGCTCAGCTGCTTCAGGTTAGTGAGCATGG